CTGTCCATCCGTTTGTTGGTGGTGCGAGGTTGACATGTTCAGCTTGGTGCCGAGATGGTCGAACAGACTTGTCCAAAACAAGGAGGTGAATCGGGGGTCTCGATCACTGACGATGGACTTTGGGAGGCCGTGGTGCTTGAACACATGCTTGAAGAACAGCAGTGCAAGGTCAGGCGCGGAGCATGTCGTCTGGCACGGCACAAAGTGTGCCATCTTGCTGAACCTGTCGACAAAGACAGCGATTGCATCGTGGTCCAACTTGGTCGTCGGTAGATGCGTGATGAGATCCATGGACATGCTGGTCCAGGGGCGGTCGGGAACAGGCAGGGGTTGCAGCAATCCTTGCTCTCGGGTCGTGCGTGACTTGACCATCTTGCAGGTATGGCAGGACTCGATGTACTTCTCGACGGTGCGCTTCATTCCAGGCCAGTATGCGACTTTGGCCAGTCGGTCGTATGTCTTCTCGACTCCAAAGTGTCCAGCGAGGGGCGAGTCGTGGACCTCTTGGAGCAACTTGGTCTTCAACGACGGAATGTCCGGCACACAGACACGGCTGTCCTTCTTCAGGAGGAGCAGGCCATCACGCACTGTGTACTCGGATGATTCGTCGTCCTTGGGGAGCTTAGACACCTTTCGGAACAGTTCTCCGAACTGTTTGTCGTTGGCGATGTTGTCTCGGACAACATCCAGCATCGTGTTGTCGACACTGACAGTCGACTCGTACAGTGACGCCAATTGGTAGTCGGGGCGTCGGGACAGTGCGTCAGGCACCACATTGAGTTTGCCTTTCTGGTATACAACCTCGTAGTTGTACTCGGCGAGGAACTCCATCCATCGCGCTTGGCGTCGGCTCAGGTTCTTCTTGGTGTCGAGGTAACGCAGTGACTGGTGGTCCGTCACAATCTTGAAGGGCTTGGCGGTACCGTGGAGGTACACTCGGAACTTCTGCAGCGCGTAGATGATCGCAAGCTGCTCCTTCTCGTGCACGGGATAGTTGATCTCGTGTTGGGACAGTTTGCGCGACTCGAAGGCAACGGGCCTTCCCTCCTGCATCAAAACAGCTCCCACCGCAAAGTCGGAGGCGTCGGTGTGCACGGAGACATCCGTGTTCGGGTCGAACACAGCGAGGACAGGAGCGTTCGTCAAGGCGTGCTTGAGGGTCTCGAACGCTTGGCGTTGTGGGTGGTCCCACACGAAGGGGCACTCTTTGCGGAGTAGGTCTGTGAGTGGACCGGCAGTGCGCGCCAGATCGGGGATGAATCGGCGGTAGTAGTTGACGAGACCGAGAAACGACTGCACGTCAGAGACGCATGCGAGCGGCGGCCACTCGACCACAGACTTGACCTTGGCGGGGTCGACTTCGATTCCTCTTCCTGAGACAACGTGTCCCAGGAACGGGACTTGATTCTTGAAGAACTCACACTTGGACAGTTTGGCATACAACTTGTGCTCGCGTAGCTTGGCCAGCACGCGGGCGACATGACCTTCATGGGTCGCTTCATCCTTGCTGTACACAAGGATATCATCCAGGTACACGATGACAGAGTTGTCGAGCTCTTGGCGGAACACATCGTTCATCAGCTGCATGAACGTGGCAGGTGCGTTCGTCAATCCGAACGGCAGCACTAGGAACTCGTACAGTCCGTAGCGAGTCCTGAAGGCGGTCTTGTGGACATCATCCTCGTGGATGCGGATCTGATGGTAGCCTGAGCGGAGGTCTATCTTGCTAAAGACCTTTGCTCCACTCAGACGATCCATCAACTCGTCGATCCTGGGCAACGGGTAGGTGTTCTTGATGGTCTGTTTGTTTAGTGCGCGATAGTCGACGCACATCCTGAGATCACCTTCTTTCTTCTTGACAAAGAGCACTGGTGCACCATACGGTGACTGGCTCGGGCGGATGAACCCATGGGCGAGGAGGTCATCCAACTGGCGCTTGAGTTCGTCCATCTCCGTCAGCGACAGTTGGTACGTCGGTCTTGACGGAGGCGACGAGCCTGGTTCGATGTCGATGCGATGATCGACGGTGCGTTGGGGTGGCAGGCATTGTGGCAACTGGTCGGGGAATACGTCCTTGTACTCGTCGAGCAGCTTGGTCACCACAGGCGGGGGACCGGGACCGGCTTGGTCGGTGTCGTCGACCTCACGCACGACACAGAGGAACGACGTGTCCTTCTTGATCAGCCTCTTGAATTGCATGGCTGAGAGGAGAGGTGGCATGTTGGGTGAGGCCATGCCCTGCAGGACAATGTCAGGGCCAACACGGACAGTGCGGCCTTTCCAGTCGACGACTGGAGTCGGCTCGGCACGAGCAAGCCAGCTCATGCCGAGGATGGCATCGAACTTGGTGTCGATCACTTGGAACAACAGGACAGGATGGTACTTGGGATGGAGGGCCACTCGCAGGACCACTTGGTGTGTGCACTGCTGCACACGATCGTCTGCAAGCGCCACACTCATCGGCGACTTCTTCTTGGTTGCATGTATGTTGAGCTCCTGGAGCAAGCGTCTGCTGACAAAGTTGCAGCTTGCTCCAGAGTCCACCATCATTCGGACGGTGTGACCTTGGACGGTGGCAGGGAGGTACAGCAGGGACTCTTCATGGTCCTCCTGCACAGCCTCCTGCACCATGACTTGACTTGGGGGAACGGGCGACACTTGGTCTTGGTTGGCTTCATCACGGCCACTCGGACATTTTGGATAGGGTTCGGCCATTGCGGGGGCCTGCGGCGTCAGCACGCCATTGCACACGACGTCCACGGCTTGCGGACACATGTCGGAAGCATCCGACACACACGACTTGACAGGGGTGAGGGCACAGGCGGTCCTGTCCCTCAAGGGTTCTTGATTTTCTTTTTTGTTTTGGTTTTCAATTTTGGTTTTCTCTTCACGTTCGTGGAGAGGCAGGCGGCTTGCGCCACCATGCACCTCTCGCACGACGCACAACACTTGGTTTGTTTCTCCTTCGGGGGAGGGGGCGAGGTGAACTTCCTCTGGAGACGCGTGGACTGCATTGAGCAATCCACGGCGTTGGTCTCCTACTAGGGCTCCAGAGCCACCTAGTAGGGTCGGCCGTTTCCCGACTTCATGGGGCACTCCTTGGCCTGGTGTCCCGGTCGGTGACAGAAGAAGCAGGAACCATGGCGGAGGTCCTCCTGCTTCTGTCTGTCCTTGGGGGAGACAGTGGCAGCTTGCTGGAACCGGGAGCGGGGAGGGCCACGAGCCTCCATGGCGTTGACGTCAACGTCCATGGGCTCAGGCATGGGTCTTGCGGGCGGGGCCGGGCGAGGCGGACGGGCTGGGACGTGATGAGACCGATGGCCGCCTGCCAGCTGCGGGTAGAACTGGCGGCCATGGTACTGGACGTTGTCGAGGTTCTCGGCAACGTCCATCATCACGTCCAGGGACTTGCGGGCATCAGGGTTGCTGGCGATGTACTCTCTGATCTTGGGCTTGAGGCCCTTCTGGAAGAGGTACATCGCATCAGCAGAGCCCAGCTCCTCAATCTGGGAGGAGAGGTCTTCAAACTCCTCGATGTAGCGGGTCACAGAACCACGCTGCACGAGAGAGTATAGCTTGTCACGGGCAATGAGTTCAGCATTGGGGCTGCCGAAGCGGCGACGGAGGCGGTCCTTGAAGTCGTCAAACACACCTTCGCTCTGCTCGTCGAACCCTTGGCGGCGGTACCAACGGTACGCCTGGTCCTTTAAGCAGAGCTTGGCGGCGACGATGTGGTGGGTGGGGGCGACTTGGGCAGCATCGAGGTAGTCCTCGAGTTGCTGCAGCCAGTCCTCCACCGAGGAGGAGCGGCTCTTCCCAGTAAACACTGGGGCACGGAAGGTCTTGAGGAAGGCTTCCGGAAGTGGGCGGGGGTTGCTCATGGCAGGGGCAGGCTCCAGGGACAGAGAGGAGAGTCGGTCGGCAAGAGAGGCGGGATCCAGCTTGAGGATCTAGAAAGAGGACAAACAGGACGAAAACAAGACGAGGATTTCCGATGCTACCATGTAACGTCCACTACTGGGACGTTGGGGCAAGACGGGGAGGGAGGGGGTACAAGACAAGACAGGACGGGGCAGAACAGGGCGGTGCTAGGCTACTCTAGCGGACGGGTGAGCTCGGGGAGCACTTACGTTTATTCACGATAAAACCGAACTCCAGACAAACGGGGGGAACGGGGGCAACCCGCAGGTATACCCTGCGGTGGCCTGCCTGCGGTGCGTGAAAACGCAAAGCGCAGCACAGGTCACGACCCACTGCGCCGCGCAGTACGCGCAGTACGCGCAGCACAGCGTCGGAGATACCATCTCCTACAGCTGCACTATCTCATCGATTGGAAAGGCTACCCGGTCACCGATCGAAGTTGGGAGCCCGCCGACATTGTCTTTGCCCCAACGGTGGCCGCGGAGTACCACCGACGCTACCCAGACAAGCCTGGCCCCAGGAGAACTCAAGATGGAACACGCCGTAGTTTGAGGAGGAGATAGTGTGATGACCAGCATCACAACGGACCAATGAGATTGTCCCGCATGCTCTCGCCCTCCGCACCAATCATGAGTCCCCACGTGTTTGTTTGCCCCCATGCATGAGCACGCGCCGTTGCCACCCGCGTCTACTGGTTTCCTGCCTCCCCCACCGCTCGGCACATGTCCCCGGGCTGTGCCAAGCCTCTCTCGCTTGCACACCAGCCACTCTCGCACCCCCTTCTCGCTTCTCTGTGATGCTCCACCCTTCTCGCCCACTTTTGCCCCTCGACCTTCTCCCGGTCTATAAATAGCCCTGCATGTCTGAGCCTATGTTGAACACCAGTTCGAACAAAACTTGTTCTTTGGTGTTCGGGGCTAAAAGCTAATAAAGCTCATACCAAGCACTTGGTCTTCGTCCTTGCGCTTGTTCACTCCTTACACTCTTGGCGATATCCGACACCGTGATCGCTCGTTTGCCTTCGATACCCACGAGGCGCTTGTATGTGCTTAGTGCGCGTTGGTCGATCTCACCGCTCTCTACCTTTGAGCGGTGCTCCAGGAAGACCTCGAGCCACTTCCCAAAGAGCGAGTTCTCAGACAAGAACGCGGTATCAGCGATGCCCTTCACGTCCACCATCCAGGACATGAAACGATGGTAGAAATCGTGTGTGTCGATGCGGTTGTCGGTGGCATAGTACATATCCTTCTGGCGTTCGCGATCGTAACGGATGTAGACCGACTCGATATACTCGCCCACATAGTCCGGGTCAGCAATCTTGCGTCGGGTGAACGCCAGGATCTTGGGATGAATGCGAGTTTCAGAGTCGAGTGGGCGAGTTCTATCGGATGCGCTGGCGAAGCGGCGGATGAGGATTCCCAGGAACGCATAGCGCCATCGCTTCGTATTGAGCTTGTTCTTGAGCGTCTCGTCGCGTAAGCTCTCGTGATGCTCGAGAGGACGATCGGGCCGCTGGACAAACGAGATGGGTAGATCGAGAATGACGATTCTGCGGGTGGTGCCGCGGTCGAAGATAGCCTCTGGAGCCAGGGTTGGGTAGTGGTTGGAAGCGACCAGCACCTTCCAGCATGGTGTGATCTCGGTGCCTTCTTTGCACATGCCACGGATATATAGCTTCTCCTCGCTGCAGATCTTCTTCAGGGCGACATCGTCGAGGACCACATCGCCGGCGCGGCCTTTGCGGGTCTCTGATGCGATCGCAAAGCGGGCCCTGGCCAGCTTCATGAGGGTTGGGGTGGGTGCTTCGGGTGAGTAGATGACGCTAGAGGTATGGCACAGATATGCTCCATCGAAGCGACCGCAGAGCTCGGCACCGAGGGTGTTCTCGATCAGGCTGAGCAATACACTCTTTCCGTTTGAGCCGTTACCGATCATGAAGACGACCATCTCACCGTTCTTGGCGCCGGTGAGACCGAGTGAGACAAAGTCCAGAAGGAAATCGATTTGCTCCTCGCGGGTTCGCATGATCTCGCGGAGGAACTGCATGATCTCCATATATGCCTCGGTGCCCTCGCGCATGGCTTGTGTAGGAGATGGTATCTCCGACGCTGTGCTGCGCGTACTGCGCGTACTGCGCGGCGCAGTGGGTCGTGACCTGTGCTGCGCTTTGCGTTTTCACGCACCGCAGGCAGGCCACCGCAGGGTATACCTGCGGGTTGCCCCCGTTCCCCCCGTTTGTCTGGAGTTCGGTTTTATCGTGAATAAACGTAAGTGCTTCCCGAGCTCACCCGTCCGCTAGAGTAGCCTAGCACCGCCCTGTTCTGCCCTGTCCTGTCTTGTCTTGTACCCCCTCCCTCCCCGTCTTGCCCCAACGTCCCAGTAGTGGACGTTACATGGTAGCATCGGAAATCCTCGTCTTGTTTTCGTCCTGTTTGTCCTCTTTCTAGATCCTCAAGCTGGATCCCGCCTCTCTTGCCGACCGACTCTCCTCTCTGTCCCTGGAGCCTGCCCCTGCCATGAGCAACCCCCGCCCACTTCCGGAAGCCTTCCTCAAGACCTTCCGTGCCCCAGTGTTTACTGGGAAGAGCCGCTCCTCCTCGGTGGAGGACTGGCTGCAGCAACTCGAGGACTACCTCGATGCTGCCCAAGTCGCCCCCACCCACCACATCGTCGCCGCCAAGCTCTGCTTAAAGGACCAGGCGTACCGTTGGTACCGCCGCCAAGGGTTCGACGAGCAGAGCGAAGGTGTGTTTGACGACTTCAAGGACCGCCTCCGTCGCCGCTTCGGCAGCCCCAATGCTGAACTCATTGCCCGTGACAAGCTATACTCTCTCGTGCAGCGTGGTTCTGTGACCCGCTACATCGAGGAGTTTGAAGACCTCTCCTCCCAGATTGAGGAGCTGGGCTCTGCTGATGCGATGTACCTCTTCCAGAAGGGCCTCAAGCCCAAGATCAGAGAGTACATCGCCAGCAACCCTGATGCCCGCAAGTCCCTGGACGTGATGATGGACGTTGCCGAGAACCTCGACAACGTCCAGTACCATGGCCGCCAGTTCTACCCGCAGCTGGCAGGCGGCCATCGGTCTCATCACGTCCCAGCCCGTCCGCCTCGCCCGGCCCCGCCCGCAAGACCCATGCCTGAGCCCATGGACGTTGACGTCAACGCCATGGAGGCTCGTGGCCCTCCCCGCTCCCGGTTCCAGCAAGCTGCCACTGTCTCCCCCAAGGACAGACAGAAGCAGGAGGACCTCCGCCATGGTTCCTGCTTCTTCTGTCACCGACCGGGACACCAGGCCAAGGAGTGCCCCATGAAGTCGGGAAACGGCCGACCCTACTAGGTGGCTCTGGAGCCCTAGTAGGAGACCAACGCCGTGGATTGCTCAATGCAGTCCACGCGTCTCCAGAGGAAGTTCACCTCGCCCCCTCCCCCGAAGGAGAAACAAACCAAGTGTTGTGCGTCGTGCGAGAGGTGCATGGTGGCGCAAGCCGCCTGCCTCTCCACGAACGTGAAGAGAAAACCAAAATTGAAAACCAAAACAAAAAAGAAAATCAAGAACCCTTGAGGGACAGGACCGCCTGTGCCCTCACCCCTGTCAAGTCGTGTGTGTCGGATGCTTCCGACATGTGTCCGCAAGCCGTGGACGTCGTGTGCAATGGCGTGCTGACGCCGCAGGCCCCCGCAATGGCCGAACCCTATCCAAAATGTCCGAGTGGCCGTGATGAAGCCAACCAAGACCAAGTGTCGCCCGTTCCCCCAAGTCAAGTCATGGTGCAGGAGGCTGTGCAGGAGGACCATGAAGAGTCCCTGCTGTACCTCCCTGCCACCGTCCAAGGTCACACCGTCCGAATGATGGTGGACTCTGGAGCAAGCTGCAACTTTGTCAGCAGACGCTTGCTCCAGGAGCTCAACATACATGCAACCAAGAAGAAGTCGCCGATGAGTGTGGCGCTTGCAGACGATCGTGTGCAGCAGTGCACACACCAAGTGGTCCTGCGAGTGGCCCTCCATCCCAAGTACCATCCTGTCCTGTTGTTCCAAGTGATCGACACCAAGTTCGATGCCATCCTCGGCATGAGCTGGCTTGCTCGTGCCGAGCCGACTCCAGTCGTCGACTGGAAAGGCCGCACTGTCCGTGTTGGCCCTGACATTGTCCTGCAGGGCATGGCCTCACCCAACATGCCACCTCTCCTCTCAGCCATGCAATTCAAGAGGCTGATCAAGAAGGACACGTCGTTCCTCTGTGTCGTGCGTGAGGTCGACGACACCGACCAAGCCGGTCCCGGTCCCCCGCCTGTGGTGACCAAGCTGCTCGACGAGTACAAGGACGTATTCCCCGACCAGTTGCCACAATGCCTGCCACCCCAACGCACCGTCGATCATCGCATCGACATCGAACCAGGCTCGTCGCCTCCGTCAAGACCGACGTACCAACTGTCGCTGACGGAGATGGACGAACTCAAGCGCCAGTTGGATGACCTCCTCGCCCATGGGTTCATCCGCCCGAGCCAGTCACCGTATGGTGCACCAGTGCTCTTTGTCAAGAAGAAAGAAGGTGATCTCAGGATGTGCGTCGACTATCGCGCACTAAACAAACAGACCATCAAGAACACCTACCCGTTGCCAAGGATCGACGAGTTGATGGATCGTCTGAGTGGAGCAAAGGTCTTTAGCAAGATTGACCTCCGCTCAGGCTACCATCAGATCCGCATCCACGAGGATGATGTCCACAAGACCGCCTTCAGGACTCGCTACGGACTGTACGAGTTCCTAGTGCTGCCGTTCGGATTGACGAACGCACCTGCCACGTTCATGCAGCTGATGAACGATGTGTTCCGCCAAGAGCTCGACAACTCTGTCATCGTGTACCTGGATGATATCCTTGTGTACAGCAAGGATGAAGCGACCCATGAAGGTCATGTCGCCCGCGTGCTGGCCAAGCTACGCGAGCACAAGTTGTATGCCAAACTGTCCAAGTGTGAGTTCTTCAAGAATCAAGTCCCGTTCCTGGGACACGTTGTCTCAGGAAGAGGAATCGAAGTCGACCCCGCCAAGGTCAAGTCTGTGGTCGAGTGGCCGCCGCTCGCATGCGTCTCTGACGTGCAGTCGTTTCTCGGTCTCGTCAACTACTACCGCCGATTCATCCCCGATCTGGCGCGCACTGCCGGTCCACTCACGGACCTACTCCGCAAAGAGTGCCCCTTCGTGTGGGACCACCCACAACGCCAAGCGTTCGAGACCCTCAAGCACGCCTTGACGAACGCTCCTGTCCTCGCTGTGTTCGACCCGAACACGGATGTCTCCGTGCACACCGACGCCTCCGACTTTGCGGTGGGAGCTGTTTTGATGCAGGAGGGAAGGCCCGTTGCCTTCGAGTCGCGCAAACTGTCCCAACACGAGATCAACTATCCCGTGCACGAGAAGGAGCAGCTTGCGATCATCTACGCGCTGCAGAAGTTCCGAGTGTACCTCCACGGTACCGCCAAGCCCTTCAAGATTGTGACGGACCACCAGTCACTGCGTTACCTCGACACCAAGAAGAACCTGAGCCGACGCCAAGCGCGATGGATGGAGTTCCTCGCCGAGTACAACTACGAGGTTGTATACCAGAAAGGCAAACTCAATGTGGTGCCTGACGCACTGTCCCGACGCCCCGACTACCAATTGGCGTCACTGTACGAGTCGACTGTCAGTGTCGACAACACGATGCTGGATGTTGTCCGAGACAACATCGCCAACGACAAACAGTTCGGAGAACTGTTCCGAAAGGTGTCTAAGCTCCCCAAGGACGACGAATCATCCGAGTACACAGTGCGTGATGGCCTGCTCCTCCTGAAGAAGGACAGCCGTGTCTGTGTGCCGGACATTCCGTCGTTGAAGACCAAGTTGCTCCAAGAGGTCCACGACTCGCCCCTCGCTGGACACTTTGGAGTCGAGAAGACATACGACCGACTGGCCAAAGTCGCATACTGGCCTGGAATGAAGCGCACCGTCGAGAAGTACATCGAGTCCTGCCATACCTGCAAGATGGTCAAGTCACGCACGACCCGAGAGCAAGGATTGCTGCAACCCCTGCCTGTTCCCGACCGCCCCTGGACCAGCATGTCCATGGATCTCATCACGCATCTACCGACGACCAAGTTGGACCACGATGCAATCGCTGTCTTTGTCGACAGGTTCAGCAAGATGGCACACTTTGTGCCGTGCCAGACGACATGCTCCGCGCCTGACCTTGCACTGCTGTTCTTCAAGCATGTGTTCAAGCACCACGGCCTCCCAAAGTCCATCGTCAGTGATCGAGACCCCCGATTCACCTCCTTGTTTTGGACAAGTCTGTTCGACCATCTCGGCACCAAGCTGAACATGTCAACCTCGCACCACCAACAAACGGATGGACAGTCCGAGCGGACGATCCGCACCCTCGAGCAATACCTGAGGACATACGCCTCGACCAGCCAAGACGACTGGGACATACAGCTGAGTCATGCAGAGTTTGCATACAACACCGCCAAGTCGAGCACAACTGGCTTGAGCCCCTTTGAGGCGCTCTACGGATTCCAGCCTGATGTTCCCACCTCCTTGACACTGACCGAGTCCACGGCTGGATTGCCTCCCAAACCAAGTGCCTTTGTCAAAGATCATCAAGTCCGACACAAGATGATCGCCGACGCGCTCACGGATGCGCAACAAGTGATGGCGAAGTACTACGACCGCCGACACCAGGATGTCTCCTTTGAAGTTGGAGACCTTGTCTACCTGGACGCCGACAACATCAAGGTCCCCGAAGCCCAGTCAAAGAAGTTGTTGCCCAAGTACCGAGGACCGTTCAAGATAGCGGCCCGACCCAGTCCCCTCAACTACCTGTTGGACTTGCCACCTGGAAGCAAGCTCCATCCTGTCTTCCATGTGTCCAAGCTGCGTCGCCACACGACCCGCAGTCCAGCACAGTTCCCCGACGCCGACGAAGGTGTCCCGGACGACGCACCACTGGAAGACGACCTCGGACAATACTATACTCAAGAATATGAAGTCGAAAGGATCGTGAGGCACAAGAAAGTGGCTGATGGGTCACTTCGGTTTTATGTCAAGTGGGTTGGTTACCCACACTCGGGCAACACATGGCAAACACTGGAGGACTTGTCCCATGCACCCGAGGAGCTGAGTAAATACGGTAAACACCTCGAGGAGCCCCAAATAAAGAGCACACGCAGGGCTCCTCGCAGGAAGCCTTCTTAAGTGTGGGAGTGTAGGAGATGGTATCTCCGACGCTGTGCTGCGCGTACTGCGCGTACTGCGCGGCGCAGTGGGTCGTGACCTGTGCTGCGCTTTGCGTTTTCACGCACCGCAGGCAGGCCACCGCAGGGTATACCTGCGGGTTGCCCCCGTTCCCCCCGTTTGTCTGGAGTTCGGTTTTATCGTGAATAAACGTAAGTGCTTCCCGAGCTCACCCGTCCGCTAGAGTAGCCTAGCACCGCCCTGTTCTGCCCTGTCCTGTCTTGTCTTGTACCCCCTCCCTCCCCGTCTTGCCCCAACGTCCCAGTAGTGGACGTTACAGCTTGTTCGTTGTAGTTGAGCTTGATGTACAAGCTGCATCGATCATCGGCTCGGGCACGGCGGGTTTTGAGGGTGGTCAGGTCCAAGACGGTGCCACACTTGAATGTGATGATATCGTTGCGGGTGTCCAAGGACTCGAAAAACTGGACAAAGTCCTTCCCAAAGGCCGTGTATGCCATGCGATTGAGGCTGTTGATCAAATTCGGTGTACCAAGCACCCGTGAAAGATTGAAGATGGCCTTGAGGGTGACTTCGCAGTGAGGGTACCGATCTCGGTTGGCGACGTAGTAATTATTCATGGAAATTAGGTCGCGCTTGAAGCAGTTCTTGACCTTCTCATTGTGGGTCATGACACCGTTGAGGAATGTGTTGATGGTGTCTTTGACCCAGTACTTCCCGTTGAACAAATAAGTAAAGTCGTCGTTCAGTGTCGACGTATGGACCAGATGGCGATAGGTGTGGGCAAGGTACTTGACAATGTCATCAGGGGTGCCATAGAGAGTGCGCTTGAGAAGATCACAGCGAATGGGGTCACCGGGAAATGGCTCGTAGCCATCGTCAAGGCAGTCGAGATTGTCGATCAGGTTGAGAATCTGGTCCCCATCTTCGTACATGTCGTCAAAATAGGCGACTTCGGCATTCGTGTAGCTCTGGGTGGCGAGGTTTCCATTGTGAACAACGGCGTTGACCGTGGTGTTGGTATTGAGGTGGATATCGCCATTGAAGTTGACTTGGATGGCCATAGTCGTACCAGGGGGGAAATGGCTCTCGTTGGGAAAGGCGCGGCGCATCTCGCCGAGGGCCTGCTTGAAGCTCTCGGTGAGCATGTTGCTGAGAGGCAATGGCTGCTTGGGGACGAACTGGTGGCACTCGGTGCAGTAGGTCGCTGCCAGGGTGTTGGTGTCGATGTAGAACTCGACGGAGCGGCCGTTGCAGAGGCGACACGAGGTATGGACGACGGCTTTGGCACCCTTCATGGTGAATTGACACTGCTCCACGGCCTCATGACGAACCCCAAGATACTCGTGGGCGGCCTGACGCACCCCATCGTCGATGTCGACAGCGGCGAATTGACGCACAATCGATTGGAAACGGGTGTCGTCGTCGAAGCTGCCGGCGATCCAGGCACTGACGGACTCGAACTCGGACGACTGAAGAGGCTGGATCGCAAAGGGCTTCTCGGCACAGCAATCGATCTTGCCGGCGGTAATACCGGATTTGCGAATGGCGACGGTGACCAAGCTGGGATCGATCGCGCGCTTGCCACAGTGAGGGCAGAGGGTCTGGGAGAACTCGGCGTGGATGGCCTTCTGATGGTAATACACAGCCTGGATGGCATCCATCTCGAGGCGGCGGGAGAAGAAGACGCACTGGACATGCTCGGGCATCCCATCGGTCGGGATATCGAAGCGCTCATCGGGATTGAGGGTGGTGAGGAGATTAGGCTGGATTGCGGCGGATTCCGACGCGACTTGGGACATCTTTGCAAGCTCTTGATCCTTTTTTTGCTGACGCTCGGTCTTGAGGAGACCCTGGGATTTCATGAATGCCTTGATGGCCTTGGGCACCTTGGTGAATTTGACGGGCTTGTGCTTCTGCCCCTTGCACGAGTCGACATCCCAGCACATGCGAGCAGCACCCTCGGCATCGAAGCGGATGTACTGCGTGTTACTGGAGCGTTTATGGTGGTCGAGCTTGAAGTAGCAAAGCCGATGAGAGAGGGGGATATACAGGAAGGGATTGACCGGGTTGCGGTAGATCTTGGCCGCATCGACTCGGATCTGGTCGCGGTCGGGAATATCAAAATTGCCGAATACGAACTCGACCAGATCGCCGCGAAGGTCGGCTGGGATATCGACGGGTGCGCTGGATGCGCAGTCGCCGTCGACACTGATATCATCGCCGTCACCAGCGAGATCGACAGGGACAGAGTCGCTGCCATCGGTTCCGAGACGGATGGAGAATGCGTTGAGGTCGGCAACGGTGAAGGCGGCACCGGGACGTCTGACCCATTGGTGATCAGCGTAGTCCCATTGGGCAATGTGGTAATGCTCGTTGAAGCTGGTGTCGGACTCCTTGCGCTGCTTCCAGGAATGCAACATACGCAGACCCGAACGATAGACGCTCGAGTCAAAGAAGGTGTCGGGGACAGAGGAAGGAGCACCAGCCTTGAGGCGATCGATCACGTGCTTGGCATTGTCGGGAGTGATCTGCAGATTGGGCCAATGGAAATGGCAGCCCGCGATCTTCGAGCCATCGTGGGTGGTGCGCATGGTGACGATGGGGGCGTCGTTGATGGTGCTGCTGACATGGTCATACATGGCCTTGTAGAGACCATGGGCACCATCGGCATGCTGGGATGCAAGCTGGCTGCCATCGAGATCCATGAAGAAATTGAAGAGAGCGCTGGTGCGCTCGATCATGGAGACACGGTAGCCCTGCAAGTACTTGGCGAGGTACTGGCGATGGAAACGGTCGAGACCGGCCTCGGGAATGTGGTGGGTCAGCCTGCCAGGAATGAAGGGTGCCCCATGGGTCTGGGGGAGCTCGCTGTTGCTGCGTTTGTACTCGGGAAAGTTGAAGGTGTCGCCGGGACGGGCAAACTCGACAAACTCGAGGCCGTTGCGCTCCTCGATCGAGTGGACGACCCACGGGCGATCGGGAAACTCGCCATCGAGATCGGCCTGGAGCGGGACACACACGCGGACGACAAAGTGATCGGAGAGGCGCTGAGCGAACTTGGCCAGATCAGTGGTGCTCACACAGGCAGAGCGAACGATCACAAGACCGGAGACATCGAGATGCTCGACTTGGTGGAACGGAAAGAGCTGCTGGACCGCATCGACACCGGCGGAATCGAAGGTCTGGAAGACGGGACGAACGGTCTGGCTGAGAGGGGCTGGCATTGGTTCGGGTGCACTGCGGGATGCGAGGGCAAGGGAATGCCTGAGGGAACTGGGGATGCGCAAGACTTTTGTGTGGCCCCGGACAGCGCAGTAGTGGAGTATCCCGCCAAAACGTCCCTGTCGTCCAGGGACTTGGTTCCCTGGTGTGGCGGAGCAGCGATGCAATCGCACCATGCCCATACGCCGCTGTCCGAGTGCAGGTGGCTCTGGTGAAGAATGTGAGTCGCTCGTGTTGAGCATCAGTGTGAGTGGACATGCCTGCGATTTCGCAGTAACGGTTTTGAAACCATGGAGATCATCCCCCCCGTCCTGGTCGCCAAACACCACCATGACCCATGTCCATTGTCGACGAGTGGCGCAGCGCGAATGTATTCATGACTCTGCAGGCAAACAATACATCCATCCACCCATTCAACCACGCTCAGCCTTGATCTTGGTGCCCTTGGAGGCCTTGGGTGTGGGAGTGAAGGTGCGACGCTCTCTGGGGGAGCGTTCACTCATGACGCCAGCAATGATCTTTGGGGTGCAGAGAAGCCAGTTGAGAACATTGACGCGATTGAGAGCGAGAAAGACAGGACTGGGTGCTGCGGGTCCGAGGCTCACCTTGCTGACGGCATCCGTATCGATGGCCTCGCCTCTGTCCGAGACAGACATGAGGGCACTCACGATCCTGGCGAGTTCCTCGGCCTTCTTGGCATCGGCGGCCTTCTGCTCGGGGGAGACAAAGGCAGGCTCGTCGTGATCCTCGGCATCCCAAAAGGCCTCGGGGGCGCGGGTAGTGCGCTTCATAGGGGTGCGACGAGGAGTCGATGGTCCGGGCTCGTTGTCCGAGTCGGACTCGTCGAATGCGGCGGGCTTGCGATCCACCTGCATCACCTCCAGATAGGAGCGCGTGGGATACCGGTCGTGCCACTCACAAACATTGCGACCATGAAGCGACTTGCACGAACAGCGGATCTTCAAGTCGGACTTCTTGGTCATGTGGGTGCAGCGACCCACATAGTCCGCTTCGGGGAAGCGGCGGTGATGGAAGCACCCGTCAAAGCCCTCCATACAGGACTTGGAGCACTGCAGAGTGTAACCCGACATGCCGGTGGCATAGGGGCAGCGATGGTTGTAGCCAGGCTTGGTACAATGGACATTGCACTTGAGGCCGGTCTGGACAGCGCGGCCGGGGCAGCGAGTGCCATCCTCGAGGACTTCAGCGCAGCGGAGGGAGCGCAGAGGGGCAGCGGAAGAGGCGGAAGGAGTAGACATGTCTGTATCTGAATAGAAAGTGGGTGTGTCAGTGACTGGGATCATGTCAGCATCCTACAGTGTGCGTGGGAGAGCACGAACCTGGAGTAAGTCGTAGAGAGTAGTCGCTTGTAGTGAAGTAGGTCGTAGTCGAGTAGAGACTGGTGGGGATGAGAACTTCGATGCGGGAGACAGCGGCCTATTTATCATCGGCCAGCCAGATACCCTCCGTGCGCCTCGGAGTATGTGGTCTCCACCCAAATCAAATCACATCAAGGAGAAAAAACCCAACGGCAAGGAAAAAAAGCAAGTACCCTCTCGAGTGGTGCATTGGACGACAAGCCAGGGACACTCGAAGGAGCCGCATGCATCATGCGGACTACCCCAAACGGCATGGGATGTGTTTGTCGTCGCCAGAGAACAAGATCCGCAGAAAATCATGCTGCGCCGCATCCTCCCGAGTGGTGTGATGGGAGACAAGAACGGGACACTCGAAGGAGCCGCATGCATCATGAGGGCTGCCCCAAACGGATCGGATGAAGGTATTTGTCACTGAGGATGGCAAACCCTATCTTTTTTTTGCACCATATGATTCTCTCTGGGGCGTCCATCAAGGAGAAAGCCTCGCTATCGATTTTGAAACAAACCCCAGCCAATCGACATGTCCCATGCGCACGCAGGCAGCGGACGCACCCCCCGATGATAAAAGGACACCGGTTCCCTCCGTCTCCGACGCAACCGCACCTCACCGCACCCACCCTCTCCAGTGCTTTCCTACGACTTACACACTACTCTCTACTATCTACATTCTACATTCACTATGAAGCGCACCAATGCATCTCTCGTCGAGTCCACCACGTCCCCGTCCAAGCGCCAATGTGTCCGCGAGCACGATGATGACCCGCCCTCTCCGGTTTTGTACCCCACGGTCAAGCCCGTCTCGGATCATGTCACCCAGGTCGCCACCATCCGCCGAGTCAATCCTATGACCCAAGCCGAAATCGTCGTGGCCAATGAAGCCTTCCTCTGGCTCCTGGACATCCCCACCATACTCCGCCTCAAGCAAACCTGCAAGACCTTTGAAGCCCTCATCCGCGGCTCCAAGTTGGTTCAATACCGCCTTTGGATCGGCTTCACCGGGTTGGAAATCTACCACAGCCACGAAGACTACCTCGTCAACAAGAATGGCTGTTTCGATGTCCAAACGACGATTTTGGACGAGGAAGTAGCGCCGTCTCTACCAGGATCTATCCGTCTCCGTCCCCGAGCTGTTTCGACGACCGATGGCTCTTGAGGATCATGGACGCACCCGAAGACACCACAACATACACAAAGGCCGAGCAAGCAACCGCCGCGACCGTTTTTGCTCGCCTGATGATGACCCGAGTCATCAATTCCAACGGTACGATCAAGCTGACTCAATCCAAAATCAAGACATACTTCGAAGTCCGTCGAAAAGGCCGCCAAGCTCGGGGACGTTGTCGCGATCTACCTCTTGGGCATTGGGCATTTGAATCGGATTTGTGACATGTCGATTCACCCAAGCGATGACACTCCAGTGCGCCCCCTCCTCAAGATTGCCAGTGTCGCCGGATACCCATTCGCCACCGCTCTCCTTGCCACAATCTACAAGTCGTTTGATTGTGACAGGACGCAAATGAAGTTTTGGAGGCTGCTCTTCAACGCCCAAACGACTCAGCATCCCGCCCATTGGGCATCCGTTTGCAAGTTTCATTCGAAACACGTCACCAACCCCCCATTTCCCATCTCCATCCCCGAAGACGTCGTGGACCTGCTCGCGCGCAAGAGCGAAGCCTTGGTGGATCACCCTCAATTCAAGCCTCTCAGTGCCAAGGAAAGCAGGGATGTCTTCAAAAATGCCCGGTGCCATGATTTTTTCGAAGATGAAATTGAGTGGCGCGACGACATTGACTCTGAAGACGAACTTGTGGACGACATCAGCACCGCTTCGGATGCCGAGGATGATGTTGTTGTGCTTCCTGCTGTGTTCACTGTTCCACCCGAGCTCAATGGTGTGACGTTTGACTTGACTTCTGACTCTGACGACGACTTCACTGAATAAAGAAATGCATTGATCCATGTACACGCTCTGTTCGCTGCATGTGTGTTTGGCTGCGATGCTTCGAAGGGTGAATGACAGGTCGAATCCTTGTGCGTCTCCACGTGATCAGGCTGGATCCGAATCGAGCCATGATTCAGACGGTTCGCGCGGATTCGAACCTGAGGCACAGGGCATCGCCACACACGCAAAAAATCAGGGCCAGAGATCAAGCACCCAAGTCAACGCGATCGACTGGAAATGCCACCAAAGACGTCCTATTACTTTGACTATGAGAGTGATGATGTCGACTCATGGGAATGCCGGATGCGGTGTGAACGCTGTGTGGCCACCAAGCTCGATGGTCGACGCTGCACACGCACGACCTGTATCGGTGTCAAATACTGCTACTCCCATCTGGCGACGGTGAAAAACCTGCGCATCGACGACTCCACCATCCCAGGCGCAGGAAAGGGGCTGTTCGCATACAAGCATGTGCCCGCGAGCGTCTACGATGACGATGAGCGCGAAAGGCTCGAGAATGCAGTTCTGTTCAAGAGAGGCCAAGTGGATCATCGAGTACGATGGGCAGCCCATCCCTGGCCAAGAGAGGCGAACCCGATACGGGAACACCAACGCCCCATACCTCGTTGAACGCCGAATCGGGCTCAACGCGGGACGCTATGAAGATGGTGCATGCCGGAGAGGAATCGGAACGCTCGCCAACCACTCGGAAGACGGCAACGATGTCAACGCAAAGCTCGCCCAGGACAGGGGAGTCGGGGTGGTGCTGAAGGCACTGCGGGACATTCATAATGGAGAAGAGATATTTATTGATTACGGGAGTGCCTTTGGGCTGGACGACGAAGATGCAGTGTTTGGTACGAAACGCAAGACCAACACACGCGAGCGAATCGCACGAAGCAGGACATGAAGGGCCTGGCACTCAGTCCTTGGAGATCCAGGCGGGCATCTCCCTGCCAGGAGCAAGGTAACGCAACAAGAGTGCGAATCACAGCTTGGTCGAACCCACCATCTTCCACAGATGCCATGGTCACTGGATCGACAGTGATGTTTTGTGCCAGATTGATCACGATGCTCTCCTTGGCGCAGACCTCATCCCCCACGAGGCGAAACGAGCCGGGCCACGAGTCGACACTGACGATCGTCTTGATTCGCCCCATGTCGAAAGGCACATCCCCCATGGCTCGGTGGTCGATTTGGATTGAGGTGACTGATGTGAGAGTAGGGTATATGGCTGGTCTTGACGATGAATTGCGAGCTCTTGAGTCCTTCGCCCAGAATGCAGGTGGCACCAGCGTCCAGGGCCTCGGTCACAAGCTCCTTGACATGGGCACCGCTGGGAGGGTTGATCCGCGAGACCAGCCTATTGCCTGGGACGCTCAGGATGCGCGAGCCCAATGCATGCTGGATCAGACGCAGGAGCAGGCGCTTGCCATGATTTTGGTCGTTCCCCACCAAGAAGAGAGCTGACTCGGAAGTGCGAGATTTGGCGGTGAGGCATGTTGACAAGGAAGCGCAAGAGCAAGTGGTACTCTCTATCACTGCTCTTGCCCAGCATCGAGCGAATTATCTCCTCCAGCTTGTAGACTTTGCCATCGACGCCACAATAAAAGTCGTCAACCACGTACGAGACTGGAAGCGAGTGGGTGAAGCAGTCACCAGCATTGACCCGACGAGCCTTGAGGCCAGGCAGCTCCAGCACAATCCCATTGGCGAAGAGGATGGTGTTGGTCGATGCATTGGCGTGGGTGATGGCAAAGGTCTCGATGTTGTACTTTTTCGTGCTGGAACGCCAGGGCGAATCTGTATCTGTCTTTGATGATGTCTGGGATGATTCCCAGAGTGTGCTTGATCTCCTTGACCACTTCCTTGGCATGTTTGAGCTTGTTCGAGCTGGCATACCTTGCTCGAACCACTTCGACCCACCCCTGGAAGGCGCCCTGGGGATCAGTGAGAAGCTTGGTCAGGGCGTAGTCCAGATCCACATGCTTCCAGAGGAGCCCATCAAAGAACCAGATCTTGTGGGTCTTGGTTGCATCGGGCTCGGCGTGAAGGACTTGGTGTGGAACCAGGCCTCGGAGGATGTGGGTGATCGATGGAAGCGAGCCCAGGGCAGCCATCTTGATGGAGATGTTCAGGATGCTGTCATTTGGGAAGAGCACGACACCATCATCCAGAATATCGCTGCTCAGGCCCACGAACACCTCGGTCAACTCGTTGGACATTGTTGCACTCTAACTCTGGTACGCGATCTTTGTTTGGCCCATCCTGACGCAGATCGCGTTTCAGCGATGAAGCGCAAGAACAACCCACCCAAACCACCCCAACCACGCAGTACCTATGACCGGACCAGACGACTGCGCGTCGCCCAAGATCCCAACGACGCCAGCACCTATGGCCCAGGTGGATGCGCGATTTTTGCGCCGGGGCGCGAGACCACGTGAATCATCCACGTGACCACAGATCCGGCGGCAATCGACCATTCACACCCCAGGAACGCCGTGATCACATGACCCTGCCATCCATCCCGGTCGAGGCCGGACAACGAGAGGCCAGCACGGCCATCTCGCAAACCTCCGCCCTCCTCCCTCCGTCCTGCGTACTCCCTCCTCCCCGATGCCAGGATTGACTCGCCTTCCCTCAAATACGCCCGGTCCGGCAGGGCAAGAGCGTTTCCTCCTCATCTCGAAGAACGGAGCCCTCCTCCTCTGCCCAGGATGCTGACAGGTACGATGCATTCCCACCACTCCAGCCACCCCTCTGAGCCGATCGCAACTCCCCCGATCTCACCCATTTCTTTGCTTGCAGCCCGCAGCCCGGTCGACGACGACAACGACAACCCCGTTGGTTACGGTGAGTAGACGCTTGATCCCGGCACTCCATCGTCATGGAGACGTGAGGAACTTGAGGATCTGTGTGGGATTTTCGTGAGGATCTTTATGGAGTGGCCATGGAGTGCCAGGTGGGATCCCGAGGGTTCCGGGGCCTTCGAAACCCTCTGCCGGAATTTGAGTTGTTGTTTGCTGATATTCTACCTCATCAGATCAAATGACCATTGACGACGATGACGAGCAACTCAGCGACGACCTCATGCCCGTACTCGATGGGTTTATTGGCGCTGTCAGCCGCAACTTCGACCCAAGCGCATCGTAGGGGCATGGAGGGCTTTTTCGGACAAGTTCAATAATGAGCTTCTACAGCTACACTGGTGCATCCGCCCTCCCTGGAGGGGCCGCCATGCTCGATGACGTCGCTGTGATCTTCGAGTCATCCAAGACTCCTCCTGGGATTGAGCCTCTCGCGATCCCGTGGAAACGCATCAATGCTGTGCTGGGCCCCCAAAATGGCACTCTCTCCAAAGCCGGGGGAGGCAGTGCCAGTGATTGGGGGGCCCAGGTACACATCGTTTCTCACACACCATCTACATACAGCGTAACCCGCCGAGCATGGAGTGTGTTGGCTGGACAATCGGGTCCAAAGATATCCGACCTTTCCCTGTGTATGTGCGCGGGTATATGGGTTGTGGTTGAGACCCAGAATACCAAAATATATGCCATGCACCCAAAGTAACAAGAAAACCGGCAGAGGGTTTCGAAGACCCCGGAATCCGCTCTATCCCACATGGCACTCCATGGCCACTCCATAAAGATCCTCACGATAATCCCACATCAATCCTCAAGTTCCTCACGTCTCCATGACGATGGAGCGGTGTCTCAGAGCACGCGAAACATGAGCGAACCTCCAGCTCGCCCAACCGCCAACGATCTCCGCCGGAGGAGAGATGGTAGTCGAATCCGCACCGAGCCCAGGATATTCCGACATCACCGAGACGCCAAACCCGCTGGCTCGCCGATGCCCTGCCCAGTAGCACGGGCAGGAGGAGACAACCGGGAGTCTCCATCAGTCACGCCTCCTCCATGGCCTCCCGGTCACTTCACCACCGCATGCCTCCATGCCGATGGAGAGGTGAGGATTGTGAGGATTGAAGTGGGATTTTCGTGAGGATTTTTTATTAGTAATATAGTGGGGCGATGAGGGTTTGGAGGATCTTTGGGTCTTTTTGACCATCCGGCCGGAATCTTGCTAGCTTGCGACCGGGGGAGGAAGAAAGCACGCCTTTCTGTATTGGCCTGGTGAGTGGATATGTGTGGAGCCCGTATCGGAAGGTGTGTGGCAGTGCAGATGATTTGGTAAGCAACGTCATTGCTTGCCTCATGCCGACAAGAGAGGCCTGACCTCTCGCCGGTCGCTAGCAAACAAGATTCCGGCCGGATGGTCAAAAAGACCCAAAGATCCTCAAAACCCTCATCGCCCCACTATATTACTAATAAAAAATCCTCACGAAAATCCCACTTCAATCCTCACAATCCTCACCTCTCCATCGGCATGGAGGCATGCTTCGACCAGTGCAGCAAATGGGACTCATGTGGGCGGCCAAGGAGCGGGAAAGAGCCATGAAACCAAGTGCTGCCTGTCCGTGTGTGGCTGCTGCGCAGAAGTGCGTCGCCCATCCAGGCCAGCCCACGATATCACAGAGGAAAAAACGTTTAGGGCGATTTATGTGTCACCTCGCCGGCCATGCTGCGCACGCCTCGATCCGCCCACCACCGACCCAGCGCCGAGAGACGGCAGGGCCACCACACCCACGCCTGAACTCGATATTCCGTTTTGGCTGTGCGGTGTGGTGATGCTCGCACGTCGAAGGGCCTCGGTCAGAGACAACGCAACCACCCCTGCATCGAACCACCCAAAATGCGAATCTCGCCACTCGCGCATTGCGACTGGGGCATACCACCAAGCACCCGGCACCTATGGCCCGCACGAATGCGGGATGTTTGCGCTGGGGCGCGAAACCATGAGAATCGAACCTGCAACCTGGGACATGCTAACCACCCGATCCCCGGCGCCGCAACGGAGAACAAACGACGCGGGGGCAGGAATCGAACCGGGTGCATCGGAATGGGTATACCTTGTGTAACCCCAAATGGCAGTAAGCAAATCGCCACCACAGAGAGCGTGGGCGGCCCACAAGCCAACCAACACACACACACCACCATGCACCGCCACACGGCTGAGTGACACAAACGCGCCAAGCCGGCCAATGGGATGTTGAGGGCTGTTCACTCAGGTGAGATAGAGCTGCAAACGCATTGTTTGTGTAGCCGGGGTGTCTATTATAGATTTTCCTGGGGCTGTCCTTGCATAGCAAAACAAAATTTTGATTCAGAAACAAAATGTGTTTTTCGGGTGTTTTGAAAACAGGGCATTTTTCAATAATAGACAGCCCGATTACATACTTACGGAGCAAAACAACACCCCGAAACAGCCCGAAACAGCCGAGGACCAACCATGAAGGGGTTACAGACAACACAAACACACAGATGGGGGTGAATCACAGCAACACCAATGCGGGCTTCGCTTGCTGCTCGCTCGAACGACAACCACCAGACTTCCATAGATGGAAAACGGAAAGCGGAGCATCGCCTGGCTGCGCTGGATACCTGGACACAGCAAGAGCCGACGAACGCCGGCGAGAAGCATGGTCTCGCCATACCACTGCAGGAAACCCACAAGCTTGTAGCGAACACAGAGACAACCCAAAACCCAGCCCCTGCATCGAACCACCCAAAATGCTAGTCTCGCCACTCGCGTATGGCGACCGGGGCATACCCCCAACCCACCATCACCCATGGCCCAGACCATGGCTGCCCTCCAACACACGCGAACGGAATCTCCTCGGAATCTTTTTATATATGAATAGGAATCTTTTAGGAATCTTTTATTGTGTATTTCATATCAAATAGGAATCTATAGACCCAAAGTCGAGCCTAGGGAGGGCAAAAACAAAACGACAAAATGACAAAACGACAAAAACCCCTAACCCCGTCACAACGCATTGGCCACGACATCGGTTTGTCATTTTGTCATTTTGTATTTGGCTCCCCGGGGAGGACTTTACAGCCAATCCAATAAAAAACGGGACACCCAGGTTTTGACCATTGATCGAATATTTTGTTACCCAAAACCATCGCGCGCTGGCCATGACCATTCGCCACACATCCGACTTTCGCACCGCCGCATTGCGATGCTACGCCCTCATCCATAGCCTGCGTAAGGTCGCCTCCATATTCAGTGTATCCAAGAGCACCATCCATCGATGGCACCGAGGATGCAAGCTGGATGACCCATCCCGGGTCCCAGCTCGCAGATCCACTTTCTTCGAGCAGGCATGTCCAGTCATTCGCACCCTGATTGAACAGGACCCGTTCCAGACTGGTCCTGTGTTGCGATGCAAGCTCGAGTCCATCCTCCAGAGGAAAGTATCACTCTCACTCTGCCACACTGCCATCCACCGAGCAGGTCTCTCACACAAGAGGGCAACACACCTCTACAAGTCCAAGCGACTGGATGAGCGAGTGGCACAGTTCAGGGACCAGGTCCGCTCCATCGACCTGCGGCGATTCGTTTTTGTCGATGAGACAGGGATCAGGAAATCCATTTTCCCTCTCTACGGATACTCGCCGAAGGGTGCTCCGCTTCGCCAGCGCAATCACATGAAACACAAGTCTGTCTCGGCTGCATTTGCCATCAATCACTCTGGTGTGCTGCATCGCATGTACATCCCCACATCATTCAAGACACACTCGATGGTCGAGTTCTTTGAGCGAGCGACCTTCCCAGACGACTCTGTGATTGTGATGGACAATGTCAGCATGCACAAGACAAGGGCTGTCCTGGACTGCATCGAGCACCGAGGATGGTCAGTGATCTTCACCCCACCTGCCTCGCCCGACTTCAATCCCATCGAGAACTTCTTTGGGATTGTGAAGCATCAGTACAGGAAGGCAGCAGCGCTGAATGCGTCTGAGGGGTTCAAGATCGGGATGGTGACCCTGTTCGAGTCCGCCGTGCGGAGGGTGCTTCCAGATGTCTTCCCACGGCTGATTGAGCGCGCGATGCGTTTCTGGGCGTGAATCATACCATCGAAAAGTGCGTCAAAATCACCCTTGGTTTTTTCTTGCCTATAGGTAGAATCAACGGGGTGTCGAAATCGCGACAGATGGCTCCCCGCAAGAAAAAATCCCCGCCTGACCCAAATCCAGATCCTGGACAACCCAGTGACGCACCTGCTGACAAGAAACCCGTCATCAAATCATGTCGTGCCTGTGGATTGACCAACCACGTCAAGCCATTCACCAAGAAATGCAAGGCCCGAACCGAGTTGGGCCCCCCTTCTGACTCGGCGTCTGCCTTTGGCGCCGTTTGCCAAGCACCCCCTCCAGACGAGTCCAGTGAAGACATCGCCGTTCCGGCCCTCGTGGTCGAGACGCCTGCACCAAAAGTCACTGTATGTACCACATGTGGGGAAGAGGGTCATGCCAGAAGCAGCAGCTCGTTGTGTTCAAAAAAGAACCCCCTCTGGAGCTCTACCGAGCCCGACTGTGGTCCAAACGAGTATGCCAAGGCCGAGTACTCGATCATCAAGTGCACTCTTGACGCCATCATCAAGAACGGCGCCTTGCACGACAAGATTGAGGAGACTGTCCGGGCCATGACCCATGTGCAGTACGAAGCATCTCGGCTCCTGGAGCTGCATCTCAGGCGATGCTTGGACGAGGGCATCACCATCCCCACTGTGTCGTCGAGTGACCCTTCGTTCGTTCGAAAGTGTTTCAACATGGTGCATACCGGAGCTACAGATGTCAAGAATGGCACGATCCAAGAAGACAAGCACCTCCTCGACACCTATGAGCTGTATCGAAGTACATGGAGTGGATCGTGTGCCCTACCTCCTGTAATCCTCCCAAAGGGCACTGGGTCACAGATCCTCACATTGGCTGTCAAGACCTATGCAGTCAACTGCGAGACCCACATTCTCGATCGATATTGGTCCCTTCTACGCCGATTCTGCAATCTGGCCCTGATTGCTCCCAAGGATGTCAAGCGACATACACACGTCGATGAGTGTATGAAGCTGATGGAGAATCCCCTCTCCGATACACTCCTCGGTGATCTGAGGAAATCCTTCGCCCACCATGCCGACCAGCTCTACATCTTTCGCTACACAAGCCAACAGGACCTGTACAAAGTCGTACCAGTATTGGCCAGTGAAGTCTCTCGGCTGACCCACCGAAAGGAGACACTGTTCGTGGCGACCATTCGAAACAGAATCATCCCCAGGCTCGTGAGGGATACCGATGATCTGAAAGGAGAGTGTGGACGACTGAACGAGGAGATGTGTCGCGCTATCGAACGAAGGCAGTCGGATCAATACAACGCACTCCACAAACGGCACGAGGAGGTGGAGAAGCAGGTCACCGTCAACACGAAGCGAATCAAGCGATTGACTGACCGACTTGCTCAGACCAGGAAACGACACAACGTCCCTCGAGCACAGTGCACCTTGGTCCCGCTCTGCGATGCCAGAGCCAAGTATGTCAAGCTCGACACCAAAGCATTGTGGGAGTTCCTTGGTTCCCAGAAGGGTACTGGTTTCAAGTGGAACGACCTGAAGACCAAGGTCAATGGCACCACAAAACAAGAGATCTTCTGGCGAAGGACCTTCAAACTGGAGTCGAGACTCTTTGGTGTCAGGAAAGAGGGGAAGCAGCTCTTTGGTTGCGAGATCAGCACCGATGGGGTCGGGTGCTCGATCACCACACTCAGATATAAGATCCTGGAGAAGAAGGGCCCCGATGCCAAGCCGGTACCCAAGACCAAGGTGAACACACTCACTCCCGAGCAGAAGATCCAGACCAGGGTCGGTCCCATTGACGACTCTCGGACCACATGGATCGGGATCGACCCTGGAGTGGGATCCATCTTCACCGCTGTCAATCGAGCACCCGGTCAACCATCCATCCAGGAGCAAGACGGTGTCAAGGTGACCAAGGCACAGCGCGCCAACGAGAAGATCGTGTCGTTCTCCAACAAGGAGTACCAGCATCGAACTGGCACCAGTCAGGCGACCAAGTGGATCCAGAGCACCCACAAGGCCCTTGATCTGCAGGAATGGATGAGCACCACACCAAGTCCCAAGATCCCCGGGGTGGCCCCCTTCCTGCGATACATTCGCCATGTGTTCGATGGAGACATGCTGGACAAACAGCTGTACTTCAACCTGACCCGGCGACGGCGATTCAAGCGACTCGATCTCCACAGCAAGCGACAGCGCACCGTCCACGAGATGTGCAAGCGAGTCATCGACCAGGCAGCAAGGGAGACCGAAGTGGTGATTGCCTTTGGGAATGCATCCTGGAAACAGGGGAAGGGATATGCCTCCAGTCCCAGGAGACTCAGGTTTGCCAAGTACTTTGAGCAATTCCACCATCACCAGAGACGCCCACCAGACCCATCCGTCTCCAAGATCCATGTGTGCTCGGTGAACGAGTTCAACACATCCCAGGTGTGCTCACATTGTCGGGAAGCCAAGCGACTCGAGTCACCCGAGTATCTTGATATCGAGAAACCACACTTTGTACGGAGCTGTACAAGCTGCCATACGCTGTGGGATCGAGACATCAATGCAGCCAGGAACATGATCTCGGTATGCCAGTCGATCATCGCCACAGGAGATCGACCGAGTGTATTCAAGACTGTGCTTCCGGACCCACCCAAAACAAAGTGATTGCCAACCAGGACGGGAAACAATCGCACGACCTGCCCACTGGGGTCTACGGATCAGCAGACCTGTGTCGCTGATGCCAGGAAGTGACTGTCCCGTTTCTTTCTGGTTTGACTGTACCCCAGAGATTCCCATTTGATATGAAACACATAATAAAAGATTCCGGAAAGATTCCTTTTCATATGAGAAAGATTCCGCCGAGATTCCTACCACACACACACACACACACACACACACACACACACACCACCAGGGCTGCCTACCTGGACACACAATGAGCCCAGTCTCGCCATAACACTGCAGGAAACCCACAAGCCTGTAGCGAACACAGAGACAACGCAAAACCCAGCCCCTGCATCGAACCACCCAAAACGCAAGTCTCTCCACCCGCGCATCGCAACCAGGGATACCACCAAGCCCCAGCACCAACGGCCACACGAATACGCGAGATCCATCAACCCAACCAACCCAACCAAACCACCCGACCCAACGAACACCCAGATAGCCCAGATACCCAAAATACCCCAGATATGTAATCCGCCACACTGCGCACCCGAAAACCAAGCCACACCACCGTCTCCCTCAGCAACATAAAAAGCAGCAGCATCCCCGCCTCCATCAGCAAACCCACTCTCACCCGAAGAACCCCGCCTACCCCGACGACACCCCAAGTACCCCAAGTACCCCAAGTACCCCAAGTACCCCAAGTACTCCAATTCCCACGACTACCCCGACTACTCCCAAGTACCCCACCAAACCCGACTCCCACGCCAACCCGCCCTCACAACCCTAACCTAACCTAACCTAACCTAACCTAAGTTAACCTAAACCCGCACCCAATACCCCAAATACCCCGACCACTCCAACGACACCAATAAAGCCCAACTACCCCAACTACCCCACATACCCCAACCCAACCAACTACACCAAATACACCGAATATACCGAATACACCGAATACACCCTACCCTCCGACTACCCCTCTTCCTTCAGGTTACGCCAACCCTACCGTCCTCCACAGCCCCCACCCCGCGTCTACCCCTACCCCTCGTCTACCCCCTCTTCCCTTAGGTTAACCAGCTATACCGTTTTCCCCATCTCTATCATCCCGCAAAAACGGTATAGTCACTGATATACCCCTATACTACTAATGAATCAGCTCGCCGTCCTCTCCACCGGCCTCATCTTTGCCCTCTATGGCATGAGCATCACCGTCTTCCAGCTGAATGCCGCACAGGAAATCATCTTCAAATCCTACGGCCGCCATTTCCAGGTGCAGCACCACGCTCTCTTGCCCACGCCTTGATGGCAGTTGATCAGATACATGCGGCGCGCCGATCAGCCTACCCCGCAATTCATTGCCCTGTGTTGATCCAGAACCCTGTCCCCAGCGACGTCAACATGCACACCAGCAGTAAACCCTCATCCGACCTTCGTTTTCTAAAACTTCATTCCGATTGGACATGACGGACCCCCTGTCGTGTGCCTCTGGCTGGACACGTAGTTCTTGACCATCCAGGCGCTGCTCATCTCGACCCTGTCGCTGCTCGCGGGAATCATCAGCTTCCTCTCGACCAACGGTGAGACCCAGCTTTCGATTTGAACATCGGCAGCTCTGCTCATAGCCGGAACCATGCTGCGTGCTCATCCAGATGAATTTCCTCCTTTTGAACCCAATCGACCTCCAGGGCGCCTGCGACGACTCCGGATTTCGCTGTTGGCACTGGCTTTCCCGCTATCGTCGTTCGTGACGCTTTCCTACTACATCCTTTTGTTCCTGGACCCCCGATTGCTTCGGACGCCCAATGTGCCGGCGTGAGTCGAGACTTTGGCGCTGATCTGAATAGTCAGCATCGTCTGCTTCGAAAGCCAGCGTGCCCGATCCTGACATCTCCTTACTCTTGTTCAGCCCGCCGATTACCCTGGACCTGTCGCAGCACCTCCTGGTGACGATCGTGCTGCTCGCCGACTTTGCCTTCTTTGCCAAGAGCTTTCGCTTCAGCTACCTCCATATTATCCAGATCTTTGCCTTCACTGCTGCGTATACGGTCTGGATCCACATCTGCCACCATCGAAACGGGTTCTGGGTGAGTGCTGCACAGACGCTGACAGTCATATGGCTGTGGCCATGAGCTCATTATGAGAGCGCCCGCCGGGTTTCCCTAACTCTGTTCCTGCTTGGGTCGAATCCAAGGCGTATCCGATACTCGGCAAGTTCAATTTGCAGCAGCGCATCGTCGCCTGTGCTCTGGCCGGATGCACTCTGGTCGTCGTGTACTCGCTCGGCACTTTTCTCCACCGACTCGCTCACACATCGACCCCCAAGAGCAAGCGGGTCTAGAAACCGCTCTCCAGCCCATCACCATCGCCCACCTCATTCTGTATGCCGATAACCGCCAAGCTGGGGGAGGAGAACTGGCACTGGCACTGGCCCAGAGCAGCCCTTCCCGAGACGAAGCAAAGATAAGAACCGAAAATGAACTGAACTGAACTGAACTGAACTGAACTGAAATGAACCGCAATGGAGCGAGTTGAAATAAAGCCACCCGAGCTTAACATCCGAGCGTGCCGATTTGGTTTTTCGATATTGCACATCAGTGTAAACAGGTGGCTGTCATCGTTTGTGATATCCGGTCTGCGAGCCGGCGAGTGCTCGGTCTGGCCATGGTCGGTCCGGAATCGATCGAGGAAGCAGGCGCGAGCAGCGCGGCTGGCCGACACGGCTTTCCCATTTCGGCCGCCGGCATCTTCGTCTGTCGCCTGGATCGCCTTCGAGACGGATCGTCGTCGTCGTCGTCGTCCGCTTCGCCGTCGCATCTCCAGACCCCCCGATCGAGACCAGTGCATCAGCACCGAGCGACCCCGTCGGCCCCGAGCACCGCACCCAGAGCCCATAATCCAGAGCCAGCACCTCTCACACAACGCCGCCGTTTCCGTGTGGCCCTCTGAACCGGCACCATGGAGTTTACATCGCAGAGAGTCGGTAAGAACCCAACTGGACCGACAGTCGACGGGACAGTCTATATCGATATCGCCCAGATGCATCGGCTCTGGGGCCGTTCATGGCCTCGGGCGCTGGTGTGCGCTTCTATGCAGATTCCCCCCTCCCGCACGCCGCTGCTGTTTAATCACTCGCCAAACTGCCCCAGACAAAACAACCACCAAGTTTGCCCCAAAGCTCAAACCAAAGGCGCCTGTCAAGAAACCTGCAGCCTCGCCACGCCTGACGCCTGCAACTCCCGGAAATGCAGGCACTCCGTTGGTCGAGTCGCTGCCTCCTGCGTCGCAAGAATCGGTCCTGCCGACATTGTCGACACAGCCTGACCTGCCTCCGACACCGCTGACTCTTCCAAGCATAACGATCACCGCCCCGCCTCACGGTGCTGCCAGCGATGTCCAAAAGTCGCCCCGAAAGACATCGCCGCTGCGGAATCGAGCGCCGTCGCCTCCCAAGCTTGTTATTCCGCCACCCGCATCGCCCACCCGGATCTCGGACGGCTTTGCGGCTTCTCAAGAAAGCATGATTCTCGTCAGCCCCCGCCCCAGCGATGATCGATCCTCAAAAGCGTCGCAAACTCAGCCAGGACGAACCGGTACAGCGCACGAAAGCGAGACCAAACGTAGGACTGCTGTGCGCCGCGGATTTGCAACCGGCTCTCAGTCATCGAGAATCGGGTATGTTGGATATGCAACCGGCTCGATCGACTGACTCATCGCGCCTGCTCTCGCTTCCCCAGTCCCAACATCTCCGTCGCAGTCACAAGCCAAGAAGAATGTGAGTCGTGTATAGCCCGAGGCCGACATCCGTGAGATCGTTACATGGAACCGATCGATAAGTGCGTCAGCGGCCCTGTTATGACCTGTCGATGCTGTGCCATCTCTTCAGGTTCGCTTCCAGCTCGACTCCGAAGACAGCACCAAGGACCAATCCCAGCGGGATACTGGATACACAACTTCGGAGGACGAATCGCGCTCGGGGTCGTCGAGTATGGCCAAGTCAGCTTTGAAGCGCAAGCCGACAAGCCCCGAGAGCAAAGCCTCCTCACCGATCCAGAAGCGATATCGTGCTCTTGTGACGGACAACCGTTTCCTGGACGACGAAGATGATTTCAGTCACTACGAGTATACCCCTGCGGCAAAGCCCGCGCCGATGCCGCCCACGGTGTGTATGTGAGCATGGCCCGCTGCATGCCAACAATCGTCTGCACATATGAGTCGAAGCCAAAGCCAAGGCCAAAGCCAAAGCCAAGGCCAAGGCCAAAGCAACTCACCCCCGTGCACATGCGCCCGTATTCAGCTCAAGTCCACCAAAGGCATAGCCATCACGGTCCCCGGGCAGGCGGTCAGCCGGAAGCCCGAAGCGTCTCCGACACTCAAGCCGGTCTCGCCTCGCCTCAAGCCATCGTTTTCGCCGCGGATAAAGCCTATGGGATCGCCGCGGCTCGCGAGTGCGCTGGAGCCCTTGCCGCCCATGGTGCTGGCCGATGCTGCAGACAGCGAGCCGAGTGTGATCGAAGTTGACAACGAGGAGCTTCCGATATCAGGCTTCAGCCTGCGGCAGTTGATCGACTCGCCGTTCCGCCGCGGAAAGATGTCCCAAAAAATGATGGAGTATCTCGAGAGCAAGAAGTCTATGCGTAGACAGTCTCCCGCATTGAGATCAAGGTCGGGAACGCCGGTCTCGGAGCGAGCCGCATCGCCCATGAGCATCAAGTCGGACGGGCCCGAGCCAGCAGAGGATTCGGACGACTCCAAGCAGGACATCAAGCCCAGGTCAGGACCTCGATCGGAGCGAGCAGACACACGATGCCAGTTTAGCCAGGCTTGACGCAGCATCCGCCACGACGTCAACTTCCGGCTGTGAACGGGACCTGCAACAGCACTGACTCTCCCTCTCTCGTACAACAGTGTCTCGTCGTTTGGGCCGCAGATCCGAATCGTCAACGGCCAGATTGTGGTCGACGAGCAATCTCTGATGATTGCCGACGATGCTCAATCTGAAATCGGCGAGATGGAGGAGGTGGACGAATCGGACCGCCATATCACCAGTGCTTCCTTCTCACGGAAGCCGCGGATAGTCGGCAAATGGACAAAGGAAGAAACCAGGCTGTTTTACGACGTAAGTGTGTGCATGGGTACCATGTCCCATACACGCTGCATGATGATCCGACTGAGGCCGAAGCTGGCAACAGTAAACACAAATACACTGCTCATAAGCTGCTTCTCGGGATCCCCAGGCTCTGTCCATGTTTGGCACCGATTTCAATCTCATCTCCAAGATGTTTCCTGGCAAGAATCGGACACTGCTGAAACGCAAGTATCGGCTGGAGGAGCGACTCCATGGTAGCTTGGTCACCAAGGCGCTGAGACATCGCAAGACACCAGGTATCCACCGAAGGCTGAGCGGCACGGATCGTTGGATTGGAGAGATGCCCGGCGGTGTATACTGCAGCTAGCACGGCGGTTACTCTCGACCTTGGTGGCGATGCCGTACCGGCTTGCCCAGGCGGCAGATGCATCCGAGGATCTACCTTGATCCACTGAACACTGCATTCGCTCTCTGACAGACCAGGACGTTCTCGAGACCATGGAACTGCGGGCCAACCAAGAGCGCTCGCTGCGGGAGGCCGAGCAACAGGCCCTCGGCACCCTGCCAGATCCTCAAGGACAGTCCCTGGCGGCTGGTGAGCGCCCTGCTGAAGAAGGGCCACCCGCTTCAGATTCGGAGGAGCGCACCGAGCTCAAGAACGAAATCATCCAGAGCACAAGAGACCATGCGAGCCTGCGGCAAGTCCCTGTTGTGGGGGCTCGGTCGGGGCCGCCTGTCGTTGCTTCGAGCCGTGCGGCAGAGCCTGCAAGAACAGAGCCCGCAAGAGCAGAGCCCGGCACCTCGAGGACAGAGACAAGCGCAGGACCCGATGCCGATACGGCCGCGGCAGCCGACGGGAGCCAGGCCGAATCCAAAACGAACCAAGGCGGGCCCGATGCCACCGAAGCCGAGGCTGCGACTACCAAGCCGACATCATCGCCAGCCCAAGCCATGCTGCCGGTGCTCTCGGAAAAGGTCATGGCGCTTATCTCGAGCCCAGTGTCTCGGATGGTCGGCAAAGGCAGCCGGACTGGGTTTGCACCAAAGATCGTCAAGAAGAAAGCAAAAGGCGTGCCCATGAAGCAGGACCCCGCGCCGACAGACTGAATCCGGCGTCGTTGTTGGGCGTCCTCTCTTCCCGTCCGCCGGCTCTCTTCCCCCCTCCAGAGCCGAAAAACAGCAGGCAGAACAAGATTGGTCAGCCAGCCATGCAGGTGTAGGGCCGTCGCGACGTCTGGTCATGGCCTCCTGGGACCAGATCGCCGAGGGGCCAATGCTTGGCGCGCGGCATCTTGGTTTGTCCATTTTTCCCGACACTGCAACAAGACCCCCGACGCCGGGCTCGATGGCCTGCACATGCAACAGCAGCAACCCTCCGTGTCGGCCGATCGGACCAATACAGCGTTTTCCAGGCTCTCTGCGAGGGCCAGCACGAGCAACATTGCTGCCGGGTCGAGGGAACTTGGACAGCCAGCGCGGCGAGGGAACTTGGACAGCCAGCGCGGCGAGGCAGACCGCGGGTGCAGTGCTCTGCCGGTGCATCTGGATTTTGACGCAGGGAGCAGGTCTCCTTGCCGTTGCGAGGATCGACCTGACCGGAGGCACTAACATCGACTCAGGCCGGAAGCACCGGCAGCAGCAGCCCCTTCCCTCCCTCCTTCCTTCCTTCCTGTCTTCCTCCCTTCCTTCCTCTCCACATGCACCGGAGGCTTGGGCACCACCCGCCCGAGCAGGGCATTTGTCATTGGAAAAACATTTTTCCGCCAGTCCGCCAAGTACAAAAAGGCGCGGGTTGATTCACTGCCTGATCCAGCCAGCAACCCATCGGCCCGCCTCTTCGTCGCCCAGCCTCATTGACCCATCTCGCCAGCGGCAACCTGCATCTGCACCGACATCCGCACCCGCACCCGCACCCGCACCCGCATCTCATCCAGCCATGGCGACCGTGATCCTTCACCACCTCAACAACTCGCGCTCCCAGCGCATCATCTGGTTCCTCGAGGAGCTGGGTGTCAACTACGAAATCAAAAAGTACATGCGTGGGCCTGACAAGCTCGCTCCCAAGGAGCTGCGCGAGGTTCATCCCCTTGGCAAGAGCCCCGTCATCACCGATGGCGACCTTACGATTGCCGAGGTACGGCCCGCAGCTCTGTCCGCCAGACGCTCGCTGATCTGAGGCTTGCTCCATTTATGTCGCTCCCCACGGTCCTGGAGCAAAAGAGTCCTTGGTGAACCGTGCAGTGTTTCTCACCCCGACATGATCTGGCTACCGTTACTGACTTGGTCGCTCACTTACTTGCTTCGTGATCTCACCCAGTCCGGCGCAATTGTCGAGTATCTTGGTGAAAAATACGGCAATGGCAAGTTCGTCCCAACCCAAGGCACCCGCCAATACTACGACTACAAGTACTGGCTCCACTTTGCCGAGGGCTCGATGATGCCGCCGCTGGTGATGTCGCTGGTCTTCTCGGAGATCGAGCGCCGGTCGCCCTGGCTGGTGTCGCCCATCACCCGGGCCATCAGCAACACCATCCATGACTCGCTCATCATCCCTGGCATCACCAACCAGCTCGGATTCATCGAGCAGCACCTCTCCAAGAACGCCTGGTTTGCTGGCGACGATATTTCGGGGGCCGACATTCAGATGAGCTTCCCCGTCGAGGCCGTCCTGAAGAGCGATCGCGGCAACGGTCGCCTGGCTGCCCTCGTTGGACCCAACACCAAAGCCTGGATGGAAAAGATCCATGCTCGTCCGGCCTACAAGCGGGGTCTGGAGAAGGGTGGTGAATATGCCTATGCCTAGGCATGGCCATATACACCGCCCCTCCCGGATCTGTCTGCTGCCAGTTTCGTTGGAATTGCTCCCCTTTCGTAGGAGCAGTCGCGAGTTCCACTGATGGCGCACCAACATGGCCATCGATCTGGCTTGCTCTCTCGAAAGCCAACCAGATATACGAGGTCGATTCCAGGATATGTTTTTCTTTGTACAAACTTGTTTCTTTCTTTTTCTCTCCCCGTCGCCTGTGGATCTCTTGTCGTCTGCTTTATTGATTTCGTTGCCTTTGAGATTGGCCCTCCTCATCCCTCGACTGCATGGCTTGGTCCGTCACTCAACAATATGACAACGATAAACGCCCCCCGATACCTTCGCCGACCTGCACTGAACCATAGACCTTGGGCGCAAATCGTAGCGCACCTCCTACGCAGTCGGAGTACTGTGTGCCGACTGGCCATCCAGGCAAACAAAGCTTCAGTCCACCCCGATCGCTCCGACTTGTCTGTTCGATAGACTCGCGAGCCAGCAGGACCTCAGCGCTTGCCTTGAACTCAGCCGTCATCGTCGCTGGAGCCGTCGATCGTAGCGAAGCGATCGGCAACGGCGAGACGCTGCGGCTCCTCCCAGTGCTTCGAGTCGACCCTTCGCATCCGCTTTGCCTCTGCGTCGCGATGTATCTTATCGGCACTGGCCAGCGAGAACATCGAGGTGTAGTCCTTGAAGATCTCTGTCTTGGGCACTGCCAGCAACGACATGGAGACGTACGGCGAGTACGGGGGCTTGAGGATAAAGTCCGGAACCTTGACCCATGGCCCGATTCCGACCAAGATCTGATCCTTGGCCTTGGCACGGTTGAACCAAGGATGGCACTTGATATCCGTTGCGCCGTGCCAGGAGCCCAGCCTCTCGCCGAGCTTTGGAACAAGCAACCGAGCCAGGAGGTCGTTGGTGTAGACCTTGAGGTACGACTTTGGCAGCAGGGACCGATAGCGCAGCCGGATCTGGTCGAGATAGGATTCCATGTGGTCGCATCGGCCAAAGGGCACTTCGCCGCAGACCATCTCGTAGATGAGGATGCCATACGCCCACCAGTCCATGGATTTTTTGATGACCTGCTCCAGGATGGCCTCGGGAGACAGATCTATCTCGCAGGGTAAGAAGTAATGAGGGGGGCGGGCGTGAAGAGCCGGGTCAAAATCGGAGGGGGAGAAGTATCATCGGGCGTGAACGGATGAGTGCGAGCAATGTGAATCGGCAATGCGAGCCGGACTGCATGTTTTGCCGAGAGTATCACCAACCGAGCAAGCCGAGAAACGAGCAAGTGGACCCGCTCGACCGGGCTGGAGTACCTACATCCGTGGACAGGATACGGCGGCAGCAGCACCGTGCCTTCTGGCGCTGCCTGGTCAAAGTTGTTCAGTCGAATGTGGCCGTCCTTGTAGACCATCACGGTGTCAGTTCTGAGGTTCCCGAGAACAACACCCTGGAGAGTGGGAGATTGGGTTGGGAGAGTCGTCATTCGGCTGACCAAATGGCTCACAAAGCCAAGAAGGCACCCATGCAGCCAAAAGTAACCACAAGCACATTGCAACCGAGCCACTTGCCATAGTATCGTGCAGGTACTCGAGAGCGACAAGGATCTCGGCCGCATAGAACCGAGCGTCCATTTCCGAAAAGATCTGCAGTAGCCAGAACGAGAGCTCGCCACTTTAATTTGACTCAACGGCCCCGGTCAAGCACTCTTGACTAGCTCGCGCGCTTGTCGCTGCCCATCAAATGCGACAAAGGCCGCGGGACAGCGAATGCCGCTGCATCGAGAGCAATGGCTTCTTTGAAGCACCCACCCCATCCGGCTGCATCTTCAGGACCTGTCTGACCGACATTTCGCAGTGCTCGGTAACCTTGTAATAGTTCAGGTCATCGCAAAAGTAGCAAAGTAGCTGGCTCACGAACGGGGAGCGCAGCTGGGCTATGATGGATACTTCCCGCTCAACTCGGCGATCGAGGTCGGGGTCGAGCTTGCGGGTCGTCAGGATCTCAAACTTGACGGGCTCGGCCTTGATCTGCTCGACCAGGATGGCCAGCCGGGCCTCGGACAACTCCTTGAAGAACAGAGATTCGTGCTCGTAGAGGTACTTGAAGGCCAGCTCCTTGGGGCTCCGCAGCTCGTCAATGACCGTTTCGAGGCACTGGGCGAGATCCTCGCGGAAGCCGTGCGCGACCTGATCGACAAACTCAGCGATGATGCTGAGCAGCTTCCGGGCGACCTGCGGGATGATGTGCCGGAAGAGGGCGTCCTCGACGGCGTGCTTGAACTTTTGGTACCGGGCGTGGTCGCCGTTGATGAGCAGGATGGCGTTGCGGTCGGGCTCGACCTCCTCCTCGTCCTCAGAGACCTCGCGGGCAAGCACCCGCAGCTCCTGGACGGTAGCATTCAGCTTGAGCTCCAGGACCTTCTCGGCGCTGATGATGCGGACGGTCTCGCGGCCGGCAACGATCTCGGGAACCTCGATGGGTCCAAGAGTCTGCCCCTGGGTATAGAGCCGCATCATGCGCACCGTGCTCAAGATCCGCGAGCGGTCGCCAAACTTGTCGCGAATGATTTGTTGCAGGATATACACGATGGATTTGCGGATGGCCTGGGCGAGCGGCTTGTCGTCCATCACGACCTTCCAGTCATGCATGGCCTGGATGCCACGGGCCGAACTGACCGACGCGACATGGGCCTCGGCCTCGTACCCATGGTTGGATCTGTGTTGGTGGGTGCCTGGTATGGGCCGAAAGTCGGCAATGGTGTAGCCCAGCGGGTTGAGGTCGAGGGAGATATGTTCCGATTCTCTGCCGCCGGAACTCGGACGACCATCGACGACAGCGGTGCTCGAGGCACGTCGGGTCTCGGCGAGCTGGGATCTCGAGTGGGTACGAGCCGGATGGAGATTGGCCGAGGAGGATGCTGTCGAAGTCCTGATGGAGTCTGTCCGGGATTGCGACGTGCGTGCAAGCCGGGTGCTTGAGCGGGTGAAGAGCGGCTGGGACCGGGAAATACTCTCACGCGAGCCAGAGACAGGAGGGCCTTGCGGACGATTCGGGGCTCGCGATGCAAGTGCATGGCTGCTATACGATACCGCAGACTTGTAGCTCTGCAGGGGCGGCAACGACGCCATTGGTGCTGGTGCTGGTGCTGGTGGAGATGAGTTTATTATGCACGAAATCAAACGGGGCACTTCAACATGTGGATTGAATGGGGTTGATCGGCCGCTGGCTGAATAACTTTGATCGGTACTCGGACCCAACGAGATCCGCTCGCTGGGGGCCATCAAGCGATTTGGCTCTTTGCCCTCATCCGTTGGGAGTCCTCTTGCCCTGGCTTGCAGGTACTGCATCTGCATCTGCATCTGCATCAAGACTTGCCGACACTGATGCAGCTTGCATGATGGTCCAGATGAATCTGCTGCACGACTGATATCACCCGTACATCTCTAGTATCGCCAGCATCGTTCCCATCGCAACAGGCTGGTGGCGCAGCGCGCTGGGACTCATCTGGCCGGGCCCTGTCACAACCTCCTGTCGCAACCCCCAGTTGCAGCTCTGGCCATCATCTGTCCACCCAGCCATCACGACAGCTTGCACTCGCTCCTGCCATGCCGTCCGTCGCCGAGGCAGCAGCAGCCCCTGACTGGGAAGTGTATGACCGCATCTCGATTGCCCGTCCGCCGTCCGGCGCACCAGCCATCAAGGAAGGATCGCCCAGCTTCATCCTGATTATGGGGTGGATGAACGGCAGCTTCCGATACGTATCCAAATGTAAGTGGCGGCTGGGCAGACCGAGGGTGGGGATGGAAGGGAAGGAGCAAAGGCCGGCTGATGAGATGGCAGGCGGACTGATGAGGCGGCAGGCGGACTGATGAGATGGACTGCGGGTGGCAGATGACCAGGGTGGGCGACATGGCCAGTGGGCCGAGCCAGAGTGCCGAGCCAAAGGCGAAAGAGCGCTGAGCCGACTGAGCCTGAGCCGGAGGACGGCAGCAGCCGGCCAAGGACCACCAGCCGGCACCGAGCATGCTTTTTGACGACTCTGCATCACCCGCACAGATGCACCGTGGTATCTCGAGCGAGGCTATACTGTCGGCATCGTCCTTTCAGAGTCCGAGAACTTTTACATGTCGGAAGCCGACCTGATTGCCAAGTACAAGGGCGTCGTGACGGCGCTGGAGCAGTACGGGCTCCTGAATGGCAGCGAAACGTACACCGGACCCCGCAAGTCCTGCATCATCCATGTGTTTTCCAACGGCGGCGTCAGCGCACTCCACTTTGTCCTTCGGGCCGCGGGCATGCCTCAACCAACGGTGCACTCGGTCCAAACGGGCGAATTTCCAGAGGCCGAGAGGGTGCCTCCATCGCTTGCCATCGCCGGAGTGATTGCCGACTCCTGTCCTGGACACGGCGATTTTGTCCCGACCGTCAAGGCCTTCACCGGCAGCCTGCGCAACCCGGTGGTGTGGGCGATTGGCATTGTCTTGGCGACGGGACTGTTCGTCGGGTATCGCTGCTACGGAGCGCTGACAAAGTCCGGCGACCCGCTCATCTTCTTTGGCTCGCTGTTCTCGAACCCGTCTGTCCTCGAGCCATCGGCCCCGCAGCTCTATCTGCACTCGGCCAAGGACGATTTGGTGCTGGAGAGCCACATCGAAGCGCACCTGGAGCGACTCCAGACCCGCGGGTTTTCGGCCCAAGTTCGCAAGTGGGAGGACTCTGGACACGTCCGCTTGATGAAGGATCACCCCGACGAATATTGGGAGGCGGTCTCGGCATTGCTGGCCAAATGGGCCGCATAATGGGGTGGACCACGATGCAGACCAGAGGACGGATCAGCAGATGGACCGGCAGCAGCGTGAATCCCCCCACGTCTCGAGTAGAATGGGTGCGATGGGGGGGGTTCCATTGGCAAATCAGTGGCAAGGCAGCAGGACGGGACAATATACTTGGGGAATAATTGCTCTGGAACTGGTATCTGCGGCATCCGCGGCATCTGCGGGCACGATGCCGGTGTCGTGATGCTTGCAAAGGCCAGTGTCCCGATGCTTGCAAATACCTCGCTGGCACCGCTTCGACCACCAGTATGATCCGCGGCAGAGCAGCTGAGAACGGTCACGATGGAGGGGCCAAAGGACCCGGTGCATGCCGCCAAGGCATGCGGATGGGTCTGCAGACCGGGCCGGAGCAGACTCGGCTCCCCTCTGCCATGCCCTGTGACGACGGGCGATGCTGGCGGTGCAATGCCTTGGCACGGCCCCAGGCCAGTTCCGGACGGGATGGGCATGGGGGCTATCTGCAGTGACATTATCACAAATGGGATTATTACAAATGGCAGTATCACAAATGGCAGTATCACAAATGGGATTATCACAAATGGGATTATCACAAATGGGATTATCACAATCGTTCTTGACATGTCTGCGGGCGCAACCGACAATTCAGAGGTGGCCGCCATGGCAAGATCGATCAGGACATGAACCCTTTCCGCAATCGGCACCATCGCCACCAGGGCAATCGCAGTTTCTGCCGTGGCCACAGCGTCCCCCCTCACACAGGCACATCCACCCCCCCCCGGCTGCAAACTTGTCCGGTGGGCCGGCGCACCAATCGGCGCACCAATCGGCGCACCAATCGGCGCATCAATCGGCCGGGCCTTGGTTGCAGGCGAACACCTTGTTGGGCGCTGCATGGCGGCGTCGTTGTCCCGGGATGGTTGTGCCGAGGTTGAAGCGGCGCTGGAATGTTGTTAGCGAGCTGGGTGGTTGTTTGCGGACCGGTGGTGTTGGACGGTGCAATCGGCGAGTCGGGATCGCAGGCTTTGCCCTCATGGCTGCAGCGATTGCGCCCGCCCAGCCCGGTGGTGTTGCTTGGCCGTCCCATCCATCCATTCCATCCGATCTCACTCGCGCAGTCCCCGTTGCCGCTGAACGGCCGATCATTGCCGCCGCTTGTCCACGCTTCCCCACTCATCGGACACAGCAGCGCCGGCTGCAGAGTCTGCGGGTGCGATTCCTCCCACAGCGCACAACCAGCGGTGTGAGCAAATGCAATTCCATGCAATTCCATGCAACGCCATTCAATGCAATGCAATTCCATGCAATGCAATTCCATGCAATGCAATTCCATGCAATGCAATTCCATGCATTAACTCCATGTATCAAATGCGACAACAAATGCCATCATCAACAACAAATGCCATCATCATCATCATCATCACCACCACCAGACGGCCTCCATGCCCAACAAGGCCCGTGCGCTTGTTGCTTGCCCCGGCCCACTCCTGCCCGCGGCGGTTGGTGCAGGGCATGACTCCATGTCGCCGCCCACCTGACACCGGCTCTGGTCTCCGTTGCAGTCCTTCGCGGCCGCGATCTGACCCCCCCCCTTTTGAATCCTCTGCTCTGCTGTCTTCTGCTTTCTTCTGCTTTCTTCTGCTTTCTTCTGCTCTGCTCAGCCCTGCTCTGCCAATTCAGCTCTGCCTGCTCTTTCTGCTGCTGCCGCTGACAGCCAGCCTCAGTCGATCTTGTCCGTGTCCGCATCCGCATCCTGCCCACTGGCTTCATCAGTCCGTCGTCCTGCTCGTTCGGCCACCAAATAAAAGCCCGCCGCCCACCCCCTGCTCTCGGCCTCCGGATCGACGTTTTCATACCCGCACCGCCTCCAGACCGACAGCCCGCCTCGCTCTCCCTGGTTCGTCTCAAGTTTGCCTCTCGGCACTTTCAGCATGCTGTCATCCCACGCCTCTCCTCGCTCCCCTCGAGCACATCGCTTCCAGGGGTTGCCTCTGTCGCCTCTGGCCACCACCACCGAGGCCCTGCTGAGCGACATCGATGCCGCCATCAACGACTTGGCCGTCGAGGCCGAGGATATGCGCTCCCCTCTCGACCGCCCCGCTGCCCTGTCGACGGCGGCGCCGCCGAGCCCTATCGAGTCCCGCCGGGTCCTGGAATCCCAGGGCCATCCGCGGCCCAGCCGCCGGCCTTACATCGGTCCGGTCGTTTCGTCCATCATTGGCTCTGGCGATTACTGGGGCTACCTCCAGCGCGCTCGTCCGCACTCCGACCCCATCGTCACCCACAAGCTCTTCTTCCTCCTGCAAAACTACACCCTCTACGTCTACAAGCAGTACCACCCAAACGTCTCTGCCATCGACCACATGGAGCTCACCGCCTTCTCGACCGCCGAGGTCGGCCACGCTGGGCTGTGGGTCGTTGACCTGTCGGAGGATGGCCGTCCCGAGCCTCTCACCCCGCTTTCCCCCCGATTCGAGCGGCTGCCGTCCAAGCGGATATGGTCGCTCCACTGCACCAACCGCGATGAGATGCTGGCCTGGCTCGAGGTCTTTCGCTCGGCCATCTCCCGGCTGCAGAACGGCGCCGAGCCCATTCGCCATCCGTCGCCCCAGCCGTCACCCCAGCCATCCCTGGCCCTTGGTCGCTCACGCTCGCTCTCGGACCGACCTAGAGCCCGCGACTCGCAGAGCCCGCACTCCCCGCAGTCGCCGAGCCGACCACCGCTACCGGATATGCTGAGGCATCCCTCCAACACCTCCGACAGCCTTGAGGCCTTCCGGGTTGGCGGCGCGCGGCGGCCCTCCAATGCCTCGACAGACCTCAGTTCCGGAGGCGATCCTGCCACGCCGGTTCGCCGCACCCCGCCCCTGGGCTCGCTCGATGCCCGCGGCCATCGCCGGACAGGCTCCTCGGCCTCCAACTCGGGTGCCTACTCAACCATGCGCTCGGTGCCGGGCGCTGCCTTTCCTGTCTCTCCTGCCATGGCCGAGGGGCTTCCGCACCCAGGCGGATCTCCTGCATCGTCATTCTCGGGCTCCGTTCAGGTGCCGACCATGGCTGGTTCGTACACCGAGAGCAACACTCACATGGACCATGTCCGCAACTCGGTGCAGCCTCGCCCACAGCGCGGCAGCTCGCTGGACATACCCCGTCCCGGTGTTCCTGTCGACATCCAGGACGGACGTCGTCTGCAACAGGTTCGCATCAAGGACAACATCTTTGCCGGAAAGAGCCGAACAACAACAAAGCCCCCGATGATCAGCATCCTCAACATGACCTCGTTGACAACCGGTGCACTCTGAGGCACCGCGGTCTCGTCCTCTGCGATCTCGTCCTCCGCAATCCCGTCCTCCGCAATCTCGTCCTCCGTGGTCTCGTCCTCCGCGGACTTTCACCTTCCCCTTTTTGCTCTCTGGGATATTATTCTGTCGATCGTGCTTTGCTTCCTCTCCAGCCTGGGCATCTTGGTGTTGCCTGGCGCCTCTCCTTGCCATTGCTCTGCTTGTTTTGGGGCTCTCTTGATTTTGTGTATTGCTTTGACCTGGACTGCAGTCTCGGTTTCGGCCTGCAGTCTCGGCCTGCAGTCTCGGTCTGCAGTCTCGGATAGCGCACCAAGCCAGGCTTTTTTTTTTTTTGTCTGTGCAGCGCTATTGTTCCTGCGCCTAATCCTGGATTATTCGGGGCTCGCTTTCTGGTGGATTTCGTTCTTGTCTATATTTATTGCGCATCCAGCTTCCATCGTTCCTCTTTGAATGGAATATATGCACTGCTATGCATCCGGACAATCGGCACCGCACTGCCCCCATCGCCATGGAGCATGCAGAGCATGCAGCACACGCAGCTTCCCTCATGGAAGCAGATCGAAAGACGCTGTGGCCGCGCCAGCCAATCAGCGAATTGAGAGTGTCGCGCCTGCCCGCTCTCGCCAAATCCGGAAAGCGCGCTCGCATTTAAAGCCCTCGTTTGCAGACCTGCCCCTTGGTCGCCATCTGCCTCCGATCCTCCCGCCAGCCTCCGTCTCGCCCCATCCCCTCGCCTCCACAATGAAGTTGCTGCAGCTCGCCTCGCTCCTGGCCGTGCCCGCCCTGGTCGCCGCCGAGACCTACTTCAAGGAATCCTTCTCCGATGGTAAGGGGTCGTCGTCGCGCTCCCGGCTGCCGCCATGAGAGCGGTCGCAGCGGCTGTCCTGCCAGCCCAACCCAGTTACTCAGCCCACCTCCCGCTTCTTTAGATTCGTGGTCGTCGCGATGGGTCCAGTCCAAGGCCAAGGACGACTACGGTGTCTTTACTGTTTCTTCTGGAAAGTTCTATGCCGACAAGATCGAGAGCCGCGGTAAGTTATCCCCTCCCCTCGCTGCCGAGGTGTGTTGAGCCCGGCGGGTTGAAAGTTTGCGATCGCGCGCCTCCTGGCGGGGAGAGTGTTTGAGAAAGAGCCCGTTGATCTACCGCTCTCAGCCATGCGACCAGAGCCACTGGGCCAGTCTCTAATGCTCGCTCTCCTGCGGTTCCGTTTGCGCCTCTCACAGGTCTCCAGACCTCCCAGGACGCCAAGTTCTACTCCATCGCCGCTCCCTTCGAAAAGACCATCGACAACAAGAACAAGGATCTTGTTATCCAGTACTCTGCCAAGTTTGAGCAGAACATCGGTAGGGACACTTCTGCCGCCTCTGTTGTCTGCTGATCGAGCGAACCCGTCTTCGCGACAAATGGCGGGGTTGGATGTGTGAGCATCGTCGATCCGGTCTGATTCGGTCTGGCCTTCCCATCCGAACAAATGCTGTCCGCGCGCCAACAGACTGCGGCGGTGGCTACGTGAAGGTCCTGCCCCCTGGCTTCGATCCCGAGAACTTCACCGGTGACTCCGAGTACAACATCAGTAAGTTCATACTTGGAGCTCTGTCGACTCTGATGCACTCGAGCGCGACAAGATGCGGCGTTTACAGCCTGTGTTGTCGTCAGGGGACATTGATTTACACGTGGGTGGCCCGGAGCATCCGCCGGCCCTCTCCTTCTCGCGATCGTGTTCCGTACTGATCAGCTCCCTCCATTCCAAATCGCTCCAGTGTTTGGCCCCGATATCTGTGGCTCGTCCAAGCGCGTGCACGTCATCTTCAACCACAAGGGCACCAACCATCTCATCCAGAAGACCATTGAGCCCGGAAGCGATGAGCTCACTCATCTGTACACCCTCATCGTCAAGCCCGACCAGGTACGTATCGCCCTGCTGCTGCCCTTCGCTGCTTTGCAGCGGGCACGATATGTCTTCGACGGCACCCGCCAGCCGATCCACATGCGCCATCTGCTAACTGGCTTCAAAATGCTGCTTTCCCGCGACATGTGTGCACCTCTACAGACCTACCAGGTTCTTGTCGACAACGTCGAAAAGTCCTCCGGCAGCCTGACCGAGGACTGGAGCATTCTCCCTCCCAAGACCATCCCCGATCCTGATGCCAAGAAGCCCGAGGACTGGGTTGATGACGAGCTCATCGACGATCCTAGCGACAAGAAGCCTGCCGACTGGGAAGACGTCCCCGAGTACGTTGCCGATCCCGATGCCGTCAAGCCCGAGGACTGGGACGACGACATGGACGGTGACTGGGAGGCTCCCAAGATCCGCAACCCCGACTACAAGGGCGAGTGGACCCCCAAGAAGATTGCCAACCCCGAGTACAAGGGCCAGTGGGTGCACCCCCTGATTCCCAACCCCGAATACGGTATGTATAATCGATGCCAAGCTCCCATCCACAGTCGCACGCAAACGGCCGAGACCCAGAGCCGGTGCAACGCAGTGCAGCCGTGCTGATTCTATACACTCTATCCAGCCGAGGACTCGTCCCTGGGTCACTACAAGTCTGCTTTCATCGGCTTTGATCTCTGGCAAGTCAAGTCCGGCACCATCTTTGACGACATTATCGTCACCGACTCGATTGAGGAGGCCAAGAAGTTTGCCGAAGAGGGCTTTGAGGTCAAGCAGAAGGCTGAGCTCGAGGCCAAGAAGAAGATTGACGAGGAGGAGGCCAAGAAGGCTGAGGAGGAAGCCAAGAAGGCTGAGGAGGAAGCCAAGAAGGCTGAGGAGGAAGCCAAGGTCGATGCCGAGGAGCCCAAGACTGTCCGTCTCGAGGCTACCGAGGAGACCACCGAGGAGGTCGAGGCTGAGGAAGTTGTTGAAGAGACCAAGGAGACCAAGAAGGAAGAGGCCAAGAAGGAAACCAAGAAGGAAACCAAGAAGGAAGAGGCCAAGAAGGAAACCAAGAAGGAAACCAAGAAGGAAGAGGCCAAGAAGGAAACCAAGAAGGAAACCAAGAAGGAGACCAAGAAGGAGACCAAGGAGCCTAAGGCGACCGAGAAGGTCACCAAGGATGTCCCTGAGCACGAAGAGCTGTAGATATCCCACACCCACCACTCAGCCCTCGGTACCGAATCGATTTTCCCATGAGCTGAGCCTCTCTCTTTGTTGCATGGATCCTCTCCATCCCCTGCCTTTGTGACAGGCAATCAAATATACACAATTTACTTTGACACATGAAGCCAACGAGACACCGCCCTATCCCATACGCCAGCGGATTGCGCGATCGCCTGTGTCTAGCAAAAGGCCATATATATCCCGTTTCGTCTGGGGTGCGCTGTTCGGAATCACATCGAGGAGAGGCCTGGTCGAATGCCGACTTGCAGTGGCGAGTGGTAAATCATGGAGCGAGCGTGTTTGAGACCCAGCACAAGCGACCATTGGCTTCCCAAAGGCAAGGTGGCCTGTCTCCGAGCCACCGTTCTGACACAGTGTGGTTATTGCACCAATCAGGCGGCCCAGGGGGGGGGGTTCGACCTCCAGCTGGCCGACTCGAGGACCTCTTGACGAAAGTCATCTCATCATCCTCCCCCCCAGCACGCGACACAACCCAAATCCCAGCACTTTCACCCAGAGACATGGAGCCGACACAGCTCGCAAAGCCCGAGCCCGTCGATCGCCTCGAAGCCTTCACCAAAGTGGCGGCCGTCATAAAGGGCTGGAATCCTGTCTGGCGCCTGCGTCTGCTCATAGGCTTCCAAATCGTAAGTCATCCCAGGCATTGCTTTGAGCGATGCGCCCAAGCCACGGGCAGGCCCGCAGCGAAAGCCTGCATCGCCGCCCGCACTTCTCATCCTCTATGCCTCTTTGACGGTGTCCACACCCCATCTCACTGACGGAATCATATCCCTCTCCCTCTTCCCCACTGGAATGTGTCCGTGGCTGCGTTTCTCTCACATCTCAAGCCGGCAACGATCATCATCCTGGCCCTGTCACGCGTCAACAGCATCTATGCCGGCAATTTCAATTCAACTTGGTGTTTCGTCGCGCAAATCATCATCCTGCTGCCACTCGTCTTGTTTTCGCTAAAGAAAATCGAGTATACCGACGTCAACCAAAAGCGAAATCTGGTCATCGAGCGCGCTTCGCTCACGGTGCGTTCTTCTGATCCCAAGCTAGGAGTGAATGCGCCAAAGCAGGAGAGGGAAGAGGTCCCCCCCCCGCAGATCCAGGTTCTGGTGGGAGCGCAGATTTCGGCAGGTTGTGCCGCAACAGGGCGTGCGGAACGATAGAGAGTATCGTGGCATTGATTGATCGATGGCGCTTGTATCTCAACGAGACAAGCCGTCGCAAAATCCACCGCGGTGAGCAACAAATTGCCGGCCTTGTGCTCACCATCAATGACGCCAATTTACTCTGCGTCCTCGAATCGCACTTCCATCCACATCCGTACTGCATGCCGCTCTCTGCCCATGGTAGTTCCTCGGCTTTACAATCGTCCTGGGAATGATTGCAACTATCAACTACATGCTGGCCTCAAACGAGCGCGATCTGTGCTTTCGGAACCAACAGCTCAGCGGCCTGGACTGCAGCGCCTATACCACGCCATTGCTTGGGTCAACCTTGGCTTTTGGATTTACACAGGTGCAGTCCCGTCGTGAGTGCGTTGCTCTTTCGTCCTGATCGAGTCGGGGAATCCCACCCAAGCTTTGATTGTGTCTGGCCGCTGCGCTTTGCTGCGGAAGGCTTGCAGCTAATATTCATCTGTCCAACAGGCCATTGGATGCAACCTGGTTGTATCGTTCATCATCGAGATCTGGAAGCTAGGGGACGCACAGAAGAATCCGCAGAGGAGCTCGGTCAGCCAGTCGCAGACAGACGAGAAGCCCATGTCCAAGATGAACATTTCGGCCTAGCGGGCTCTCTTGATCCGAGGGCAGCTCGGCCGATATATACGCATGGACATCTCCCATAAGGAGCAATGTATTCGAAGCCAGTGCTGCTCTCTCTCTCTCCCAAGCATTTCATATCGCGAGGCTGTTGCGGTGGGTGGCAAACCAAGTAATATCATGATGCTGGTCGCCAGGAACAGGACGGCATCTAGTCCTTGTAGCCCTCGATGACGGTGATGAGGCTGGCGGTCTTGTGAGCCTGGCGAAGATGGAGACCGGTCTTGCTGAACAGGCAGCCGTACTCCTCAAGGGTTCGCTCGCGCCCGGTGGTCAGCACCAGCATGTTCAAGTCCATGCATACAGAGTTGGTGGCGCTAGCTTTGCTGCTGGTATCGACAAGGATCTCGAGGACAAAGATGCGGCCGCCTGGAGCCATGGCCTTGTAGACGTTCGACAGGATCTGGATGCACTCGTCATCACTCCAGTCGTGGAGAATGTGCTTGAGGATATACGTGTCGCCAGCAGGAATGTCCTTGAAAAAGTCTCCGGCAACTAGCTCGATGCGATCGCCGAGGCCGAACGGCTCAAGCACGGCCGGTGCGGTCTGGATAACCTCGGGGACTTCCAAGAGGACTCCGCGAAGGTGCTTCCAGCGGCCCAGGATGGACCCAAGCAGCACGCCGTGCGAGCCGCCGACATCGACCACGACCTCGGACTTGTCCAAAGGCAGCACGTCCAGGGTCGGCTCGATCGACAGCGACGAGAGGTGGCTCATGGCGTTGGCAAAGTCCTCGGCCTCCTTGGGGTTGCGCTGGAAGTAAGTAAAGATATCACAGCCCAGTTCGCTGAGGGTTGGAGGGAGGCCGGTCTGGACAGCCTGTTCGACCTGACCCCAGGGGCGCCAGTGGCTGGGAGAGACAGCGGTCAGCAGGTAGTTCCTGAGACTGTTGGGCGAGTCCGAGCGCAAGACATGGCCCAGGTCGGTCAGCTCGAAGGTGTTTGCAGCAGTGTCGTGGCGGAGGATCCCAAAGACCGAGCCGGCTCGCAGCAGGCGGAACAGCGCGGCCTCGTTCAACTGGAGCATCTGGGCGATCTCGCGGGCTGACTTGGGGCCTGCTGCAAGAACATCAGGAACGCCGAGCTTGGCAATGGCGGCGGTGGCTCGGGTTGTCCACATCTGGTTGATCATGGCAAAGATCTGAGCCTGGGGAGGCAGCTGGTCCTGGGGCTCGGAGTGGCCTGACATTTCGGTTGGAGCTGCAGCAGGAGGCGACGGCTGTGGGGTGGGCTGATCGATCGACGGGAGAGCAGGACTGCCGGCAGGGGCTGGCTGGAAGGCACCGATCCATCTCGGAGCCGGGGAGAGGAACCGCGGTGGGGATCGCGGTGGCGCTGTCAAGGGCAGGGCCCAGGGGTTGGGGGGGGGGAATGGCCCAGAGCAGGTCTCGGTTGCGGGCATCTATCCCTCCACGATGACCCTCACGATGTCGATCGGCTACTCCCCAATCGTTTCACAGTGTGTTCTATATTTCGACTCAGATCTCTCAGACACATCCCTCATGATGCTCGACGAAGCCATTGGCAATATCGGCCATGTTGTCACGAAACGAACCATACAATCTTGATATGCGCGCTGCGCATGTGTCGAATCCCAGCGACCATCGAGGACAAGCGCGGGCTTTGCTCGGGAATGGGTCAGGCAGAACAAAAAAAACGGGGCGTGCGACTGCGACGGACTGAGGCAAAACAAGAGGAATATGTGTACCGTGATCCATCTGCACAACTTGCCGGCACTCATCAAAGCCGATAGCTTGTTCGGTGTTTCCTGGGGCCGGGCTTGATGCGATCGAACCTGGTGACGAAAGCGGCCATATCAACGCCCTGAACCCAGCTCCAGCATCCACTGGGGCAACCGGTCCCGTCCGTCAGCAGTACCGGCAAGCCAGACTCACCTTTAGATGGAGAAAAATGGTCGGGTTACTGACAACCGAATACCGGTGCGCCAGCCGAGGTAAGGGTCAGACCCAGCCCGTAACGTGGAGACGGCAGCCAGAGCGATACCGACAAGCGCCTTTACGCTAGATACTCACGCAAGATATCACTTGCATCCATGGATCCTGGTAGGGCCACGCAAAATCCACGGTCTAGCACCTTGAGTGCTCATGGACCAACGCTGCACTCCGGCTGCACAACACATGAAAAGGAAGCTACAAACTAGTTTAGTCATCCGGTCGGCTGGCTCGCTGGTGTTGAATCGACTTTGCTTGCTTGGGCCTGTGGATCGAACAGTGATGCACAAGACGGCAGGAACTTGCGGCTGGCGGCCAGAATCTGCTCTGCTGTTTTGGGATTTCCATATCTGCCTCCAAGACGCTCGACGCTGTATCCACTGGTGTTGGTGCACTGATGTCAGCAGGGCCATTGCTCCGGCTTCCCAAGAACGGTGCGTATGTCGAAAGTGGATTTGCAAGCAGCAGCTTACGTCTTCCAGATGTCGGGGTTGTGCGGGTTCAGTCTCAGACACTCGTGAAGAGCGAGGCGACCTGCTTTGTAGCGCTTGCTCTGGAAAAGCGTCCTTGCGACTCTGTAAAGGCGTGGGCGGCGTGTTAGACATAGCTTCGCTATGAGTCAGAGGCCGGGTATATGCAGACAGGTTATATGCAGACAGGGTATACACAATCGGAGACGTCGACTCGAGTCAAAGGCAGACTCACAGTGAGCAGCGGACCATGTCGGGGTATTTTTGCCGAACAGCCTCGATCAAATCAGCCTGGCGCTCGTCGAGGCTTCCGAGTGAGTCCAGACAGAATTGCAGCAGATGGCACGGTTTGGCGATATCCTGGAGAGCGAACAGCCGAGAGCAACCGCGAGCAATCTCAGTAACCACCACCCCCCGCTCCGCAGTTGCGGCACTTTCGCTGGAGTGCGGCGAGCTTTGCTCGCTCCCTATGGCAGCACAGCGACACAACAGTCAAGACGGGACGACGTATAACCTTGATGGGAACAAGTGCCTGAAAGTCGTGATCCGTATGTGGGCCAGCTTGATCAGGCTGCCCACGGGCCTCAATCTTGGTGTCAGCCATGGCCCGGCCCAGGATGGCGACAGTGGCTTTCCAGTCCGTCAGATAATCGCTGTGGCTGCTGGCGGTACCTTTCTCTGGTGACTTGGAAGCAAACGCAATGTATCTTCCGAACGGTGTAGAGAGAGAGTGTGTGTGGCAGCGATGAGTTCGGGGTAGCGAGCCATCCAATGTACACCAGTGCACAGCGCCGCCTGTGGCTGTGACCCATTCCATATGCGATAAAACCAAAGGAAGAAAGGATCGGCATCATACTCGGTCCAGAGAAGGAGGCGTGAGTCGACGGCCTTGATATGCTCGACAGCAAACTCGTAGGCGAGCGGGATCTCCCTCCGTGGCTCGTCGGGACGCAGCCGAATCGTCATCAGCAGCAGAAAGTTCATCCAGAGCACAACGTCGTGCTTCAGCCTGAGTCGGTCGACGCCAGGGGCGAACTCAGGGAATCCAAGAGTGCTGATCTCGAGCGATAGAGCATGACGATAGAGCTCGATGGCATTGTCGGCCACTTCGGGCAGATCATGGGCGTCCAGGTCGCTTGGGGCCACCTAGATATGTTGTACCAACCATAAGTGGCCAGAACGAGGAGCTGACAGAAAGGGTACTGTAGTGGGCAGCGACAGCGCAAATATCGAGGTGCCAGTTGCTCCTACCAAAGCACAGCCGGCGTATAGGCTGCGAATGCAGTTCACGAGACAGCACACCAACTCGGTCTTGAGTCCTCGTTGGAGCATAGCTTGGGCCTGGCAGTTCCACATCAGCGACGGGACGGATGCGGGCTCACTAAGAAACTGGGGCTTCACGCGGCTAGTAGCGCGATGTTGTCTCTGGCCCTATGCAAAGGGAGCAAGCGCATAGGTGATATTGATATCAGCATCACATTCGCCAGCGTTGCTGCCAGCCGCGCGTTCGTTGGATTTACAAACCTGCAGACTACCCGAATCGTACAGCACTATCCAGATATCGGGGTGCGTTTTGAGCGCTTCTGGAAGTCGGCTCGAAGGATCGGACCGCGAGGCGCTCGGATGTATGGCGCGGAAGCGTCGAATGTTTCGGATTACAAGCGCCAGAAGCGGGATGGATGAAGGCACAGCCTCGCTCCGCGATATTAGCAGATTGAGGATCAGGCTGAAGGCATGCATGATTTTCTGACTTTGACTTCGAGTCAAGGTTGCGTTCCAGTCAAAGACAGGCTGGGTCCGTTTGACAATGTGGCCATAGGGATACGCGTGTAGAAAGTCTCGGTCGATCCGCCCATGGTACAGAAGCCGGATGTATACCAGCCATATGATGACATAGTCCAGATGGTCAAGTTTCTGGTATGCCAGGGTACCTGCGAGCACGCTGCCCTCAAGCTTTGGCAGAGATGTCGCCGGGTCAAACAGAGCAGGGCCGTTTCGGAGTGTCAGGAAATGCTGGAGGCTGTCGGCAGCAGCCTCTTGTTTGTCCTGATCCAGATACCAGCGCGCGCGGGCCACCGCGGCGTTGATGATGGCATGCGATTGAGCTTGGGGGTCTGGATGGACCAGCGACAGACAGTCGTTCGACGAGCACAGGTTAGCGGTACCGATCTCAAACGACGACAAGAGCTTAGTGGCAAGTACTCACCAAGCGCGCCGTTCTCGTTTGCCAGCCACTGACTCAGCATCCGGTTGAGGAGAGCAAGCCTGGCTTCGGCATCAGGCTCCCAGCGGTAGAATCTCCAAAACAGCTCCAGATGCGACGGAGCAAACTTGATGGCCTTTTCCATCACTGAGCGGATGTCTACATCCTTGCCGCGTCGGGTATACAGCTCCAGGTAAAAATGCCACAGATGTGGCGATGTTCGGTTGTTGGTCAAGGCTTTGGAGAGGACGCCAAGGGACTTGTTGAGGTTCCTCGAAGGCTTTGAAAGCGACTCGTAGCTCAGATCAGCGGGCAAACATGCGGCAGCATAGTTGATCCACAGAACAATATTGTGCGGTTCTTTGGCCACGTGCGCTTCATACTCCTCCACATGGGCAAAGCCTTCAAAATAGCGGCTGGGCTTGATGCCCTCGCCATTGAGAAGATTGGCCAGGCCTTTAACGTACACGTGCGGGGTGAAAGGCGGCGAAAAGTCGATAGGAGGTGCATCTGGCTCGTTCCTGATGCCAGCATCAGGGCCACCAGATCCGATATGCTGTTCTCGCTTGTGCTGCGATAGCGGCGTAATGCCATCCGCGAGCGTCCCAGAGAGCTGCGCGTGCGAGGTCAGAACATCGACAAACCCCTCGAGCGGTCGTCGCTCGACACGGCTCTGCAGGAGCTTCTTTCGGAGCGCATCGGTTGTTTGAGGTTGGTTCGATTCTCCCACATACGACAACAAGTCAACCAAAAGATCATCATCTGGACAACAACAGGGTCGCCATGTTAGCGCCATCGGCGGTTGGCATGCAGTCGTCGCTTTGTGCACCAGGAGTTCTGGCATTCCGTGCCCATCCACAACCGCCAAACCTACCTGACATTCCCAAATCCTTGAAGTGCTGGGACGTACAGGCATCGTCGTTGCATTGGCCACCAACGGCCTCAAACCGACAGAGCCTCTCGAGAGGATTCAGTCTGTTGCTGAAGGTCAGACTGGAAACCCCGCCCTTGACCACCGACTTGTACAGCGGATTCATCCTGAACGAACGGAACTGCGACAGCGCGGATTCGTATGGGCGAAACCCAGACTTGGTCGGAGGGTCAGGACTTTGTTCTATCGAGGGTGAGGACTGGGTGCCCAGAGGATCGTAGGGCAAAGGTGTTAGCCGGGTGGAGCGCTTGTTCGACAAGCAGACAGGCGCATGCTAGGCCAGTGAAATGGCGATATGAAACAATCCGCGCTGCGGTTCGTTCAACGAGATTGGAGCTAGATGACGAGGAAGGCTCGACTCACGTTTTGAAGCACGGGGACTGGAGGGTCAACAAAGGCGGTGCTATTCCATCTGCCGTTCAGCTCCCAGGACTGCGAGGAAGTGTGGTCAAGGAGATCGGATGGCTTGAGGATGTCCTTGAGATCCAAGAAATGCTGGCTCAGCATGAATTGGCCGTCGGCCGCCTGGCGCTCCACAATATTGATGCTGAGCAACGGCAAGCGGGCTGCATCTGCACTATCGTCGCCAGGCCACTGGATGGAGGCAAAGTCTTGGGCCTTGGAGTCTGTCCACGTGCGAGTCCGTGCATCGGAGTCGCCCATGTTGCCGAGCTGGACGCGCGCCATGGCTTTTCGACTGCCGGTTTTCAAAAACTCATCAAAGACAGGGAGCTTCATGTATTCGTTCGCTCCAGGCCCGGTCTGAGGAGGCTGTGGCTCCTGCGGGTGTGAGGGCCGTATCCGTGGGGATTTTGGCTGAGACGGCTGCGGCTGGCCGCTTTGAAGCTGAACGGGCTGCGTGCGTTTGGCTGCGGTGGTTTCTCCGACCTTGGGCCGTTTTGGCTGGCTGACAGTGCGTGGCGTACTCGTCCCACTGGTGAGCGGAGAAGAGCCCTCGCCACCTGGGCGTTTGAGAGAAGAGAGCTGGCGAACATGCGTCTCCAGCTCCCGCACTTTCAGGCTCATAAGCTTGGCGTTGCACGCCTTGATCTTCTGGTGGTATACAGTGATTTCGCCCACGCTGACCGCCATTGCTTTCTTGTGGTCGTCGATCTTGGTGGTGATTTCCTTTGAAGACACCTCAAGTTTTTCCTTGTCTAGCTTGGCTTGCCATAGTTCCAACTTGATGCGCTCAAGCTCGGCCTTGGTACGCTCGATCCGAGCCTCGGCATCGGCGAGTTTGGAGTTGGTCTGGATGAGTTCTGCTTTGAGCTGTCTAACATCGGATTCCGACTTGGCAATGTCGCGGTTTCGCTCCGCAATGTGCTTCTCAGCATCGGAGATTGTCTGCTCGAGCTGGTTCTTTGGTTGTTCTCCTTCAGACGAAGGCACCGAGGGCACTGCATCAGATCCCTTGCCTTCAGAGGGAAGGCGCTGAACGACGATACTGGCGATCTTGGGTACGGGATTGGGGGACACCACTCGAGATAGAGATCCCGGGGAGGGTGTTTCGCGAGATGCTGTGTTGTCAGGACTATCGTATGACTCCCGGTGGACAACGACCTGCTCTGGGACATCCAAGTGAGGCGGTGTCGAAGCTGCGGTGCCCGGCGTTGAGACGGTTTGCGCTCTTGCATCGATGGCAGGATCCGCCTGCTTTGCTGAGGCAGCACCCAAAAGCTTGGCCCGCTTCTGCTCCATCTTTTGCTTAAGCAGGTTTTGGAGCATCTCAAGCTCGGCCTCGAGCTTCTGTTGACTGATCTTGGGATCCGTTGTGGTCATGGGCTCCTGGGACTCATCTGACTCCTCATCCGACGAGTCCAGATGGATGACGCAGTCCTTGTCGTTTCCGTCATGCAAAAGATCTGCGTGTCCGTCGGACAGCTGACTTCGGAGACCATAGCCGTTGTTTACCCACTTGGGATTGCCGCCAAATTGTCCGTGGAATGATACAGGTCGGTTCATGTCCGCAGCCAAGGGTCGACGGAACTTGGAAAAGGGCTTGAAGGCGCCGCGATGGCCAGTGTCTGGGACCGACACCAGTGGATCCTTTGGAATGGGCACGATGCTTGAATTCTGGCCGGCCGTATCGTTTGGCTGCGGCTGCATCGAGATCGATGGGGCGGGAAGCGCAGGCGCGGTTTGAGATGTGGGTAAAGCAACCTCTCTACCATCTCTCGACTGAATCACAGGCGCGTGTCCGTGGGTTGCGTTCGATGCCGCGAGTTTCGGAGCGACGCCGTCCGAGTCGCTGTCGATATCCATATCGGCCTCCGAATCAGATGCATTTGCGCTCTTAGTCGTCGAAGAGGTCAGCTGCGATGCGGCGGGGGCGCGAGCAAGGTTGAGTCCTAGACTCTGCAGTACATCTTGTTGAATCGACACAGATGGGGCGCTCTGTCCGCCATCGGGGCTTTGATTACTCGTGCCAAAAGTGTTTGGGCGATAGGGAAGCGAGGCAAGCGCTGATGGGTGTGGCTGTGGAGAGGGCTTCCCTTCCTGAGTATCGTTGCTAACAAAGGACGATGTCACAACTCCAGCCGATGAGCTGCTGCCGGATGGATCCTTAGATTCCTGGTGTGGGTGCGGCAGAGGGGGATAGACCGGCTGGACTTGTGGCGGATGTAGCTCAGACGTGTGTTGCACCGGTACGGCGTATGGGTGGGGGAAGACCGAGCCAGGATGCATCACCGGCTCGATGCCTGATGGCAGAAGCGATGGCGCAAATGCAACGGGAGGCTGGCCGTACTGCTGTAGAAAGGCCAGAATGATTTCTGGCACAAGACCCAGGAACGAGAGGGCCTCGACGGATATCTTGCTGTACGCAGCAGCCTGTAGCCCCTGTCCCAGCCGGTAGGCGAGATCCAAATTTTCCATGACGGCTAAGGAAACGGAGCGGGTGGCGTCAGCGCCGTCTAGCGGAGGTTGATGCTGCGCGGACTTTTGAAAGTCCGTTACAATACTTACTTGCAAATTGACTGCCTTTTGGTAGAGATCCGACGTAGATCACCGAGTCGCCGTTGGGGAGCATCCGCAGACGGTTAATGTCGCTGCGAATGAAAATTTAAGAGAAGGGATATGAGCGCGGGATACAATGGGTCTCGGAGGCAGCTAACTGAGCCGAAGCTTACCTCTGGATGACGGGGCCGGTGCTATAACTGAAGTATGTTGGCTGACCGAACGGATCGATTGTCGCAAGGGGCTGGTCGGGACTGGGTCCGGCGAAGAAGCCAGACACTGTGGGGACGGCCTGGAGCTGCGGTGGAGGCGGCGGTGGTGGCATCGGAGGGGGTTGCGCTGGCGGTGGTGGCAGTGACAGCGCTGGTAGCGACGGGAGTGGTACTGATGGCGATGGGCGGGAATGGACAGCCGAATTCGACTCGCCAGCCGGAGGCTGCGGATTTGATTCCTTGGTCCGAGCCGGCCGTGGCCGTGACGCCGGTGGACGACCAGGATGCGCACGCTGGCGAGGTGCTTTTGGCGTCGGCGCTGACAGACGCCGCACTTCCGACGACTCAGCCTCGGAAAGCTCGCCCTCCTCCTTCTCGTCGGCCTTTGCAGCCGGCGTTGGCTGGAGATCGGACAGATTGGTGCTACCGCTCGGGAGGGCCGTGCCCACATTCTCCTTTGATGCGGACGATGAAGATGAGCGGGACAGCGCCGAAGATTCGCTTGTCTTGGATCCAGCATGGGGCGTGCCGTTCGCTTTTGGAGCGGCGTCGGTGCTGGTTGGCTTTGAGACGGCTGAGGATTCTGCGGTCCTCGTCCGCGAGCCCGCCGCTGGCCGAGCAGCCGGGACGGGCTTTTTCTTTGATTTGAGGGCTGCAGCCCTGAGTGCCTCGAGATCCATTCGTTGCGACAAACAGCGCCAGTAAGGGCCGCAGACGAGGGGCGATGGAATCAATATACGGACACGCTGCAGATGTCTGTGGTTGCTGGACGTCGACAGCGATCGCTGGCAAAAGTGCGAGAGAAAGAGAAGGAAATGAAGGCGCTGGCGAGAGCGAGAATCCGATCCGATTGACACGTGATCAGCACATGTCTCGTGGCTGCGCTCGACCCAAGACGAACAGCATCGACCCCAAGACGAACAGCATCGAACCCAAGCCGAACCACAGCGAATTGGGCACTGTTGTGAGCCAGAGTGGTCGCTGTTTTCTGGATCCTGAATACGCCCCGTGAGGAGCGCTCAGGGACACCCTGTCCACTTTGGTTTGAGGACGCTGTACATTCACAGATATGAAATAAACCCACAAAAAACACTGGCCGTGTTTGAACACAGCGGTTACAGTCAATCCAATAAAAAACGGGACACCCGTGATTTTGACGATTGATCAAATATTTTGCTACCCAATACAATCGCGCGCTGGCCATGACCATTCTGTGATTTGAATCAAGGACGCCATTGTGGGAATCGCTTCCAGCTCAAGATGCGCTGGATGAGCACCACACCAAGTCCCAAGATCACCGGGTTGGCTTCCTTCCTGCAATACATTCACCATGTGTTCGATGGAGACATGCTGGACAAGCAGCTGTACTTCAGCCTGACCCGGCGACGGCGGTTCAAGCGACTCGATCTCTACAGCAAGCGACAGCGCACCGTCCACGAGATGTGCAAGCGAGTCATCGACCAGGCACCAAGGGAGACCGACATTGTGATTGCCTTTGGAAATGCCTCGTGGAAACAGGGGAAGGGATACGCATCCAGTCCCAGGAGACTCAGGTTTGCCAAGTACTTTGAGCAGTTCCACCACCACCACCAGAGACGCCCACCAGACCGATCCGTCTCCAAGATCCATGTGTGCTCGGTGAACGAGTTCAACACGTCCCAGGTGTGCTCACATTGTCGGGAAGCCAAGCGACTCGAGAAGGCTGAGCATCTTGATATCGAGAAACCACACTTTGTCCGGAGCTGTGCAAGCTGCCATACGCTGTGGGATCGAGACATCAATGCAGCCAGGAACATGATCTCGGTATGCCAGTCGATCATCGCCACAGGAGATCGACCAAGTGTATTCAAGACTGTGCTTCCCAAACCAATCAAAACCACTCGATTGCCAACGAAGACAGGAGTGCAATGCCATGGCCTGCCCGCTGGGCCTACAGTCAGTCAGCGGGGTTCAGACATCTGAAACCAGGAAGGAACTGTCCCGTTTCTTTATGGATAGACTGTAAAAGCTCGCTTTCAATAGATGTTGAAATACATAGTGGACACAAGGGAGGGTTTGTTATTCGCCCCTCCATCATAGACAGATTCCGGAGCGCTGCACACCGAACACTGTCCCGGGCGCTACACTTTTTCTCCTTGCTTGGACTGAGCGTCCGCCAGCTTCTGTTGCGGCCATTCAACGACGGCAAGAGACAAGAGCAGACCAAGGATGGCGCACGGGATGGATAGAATGAAGGCCGACTGCAGGCCTTGGACATAGGCGTGCATGGCTTCCATAAGCAGTGACGGATTACTTTGGAGAACCATACGAAGGGCAATTGGAGTTTGCGTGATGAGATCAAGCACATCGCTTGGAATGTGAGCCGAGGCCAAGCTGCTGACAACCTTGTTGTTCAAGACCGACCCGCCGATGGCGATACCGAGAGCACTGAGATATCCCATGGAATTGCCGCAAAGCAAAGGTATAGCGTAAGTCTGCTTGCCCATCCAAATGGGATATTGGCACGAAGGCACTCGGCTGCGCCAGAGACACAAACATGCCTGGTGCTCAGTGCACGACTGGGACACACTCTTGGTATGGCTTTCATCGCACACCCTCAAGCAGCCATCGTACCTGCCCATAACCTGACCAAAGGTTACCAAGGACGTTCCAATACCAATGTGCTGCGGCATGACGCTGTTCTGCATGGCGATGGTCTTGGTTTGCATGAGCATACCACCGCCAAATCCGAGGACGAGCAGAAAGCCGATGCGCTGGGCTGCATTCGAGTTCTCGTCGAGGAGCGAAACAAGTCCAGCTCCGATGGCCGAGAGTGCGAATCCGATCCACAAAATGAATCGATAGCGTCGAATGTATGAGATGAGGATGCCTGTGGTGCAGTAGAGCAATGGTGGAGTTGACGAGGTTGATGAGGAATAGCATTCGTCTCCACTGTTCACATTCAACCCCGGAAGTCTCGCCCAATCCGGCAGCCGAAGCGGGCTGCAAGATCGAGGTTGCTGCCATCAGAGTCATAGCCCATTCTGGCAACGTGTGCACTCTGTCGGCAGTTGCACGGCACCTACCTGAGGCCACAATCACAAAGGTCAAGGGAATGACAAGTGGGAACATGGAAATGCCCGCTTGCATGGCCGTCGCGCCGTTGACAACTTGGAAGTACAACGGAACATACGAGATCACGGTAAAGATGGAGCTGCCAATGAGGAAGGAGCAGATCACCAGGAGGATTGTGCTGCGGTTGGCAAAGACAGCCGTTGGGATCATTGGCTCGCGGGCGTAGGATCGCTCATAGACGACAAAGAGAACGAGGCAGACGCCGCTGGTAACGAAGAGGGCAATGGTTTGCGGAGCATTCCAGTCCCACTTGATACCGCCGTTCTGGATCGGCAGCAGCAGGGAGATTGTTGTGGCAGACATCAGCAGGAAGCCGACAGTGTCGATGCGGCGGATTCGCTCAACGAGAGTGCCTGAGCCAGATGGGGCCTTGAGAAAGACGACGATGATGACGAGGGCGACGACGCCGACAGGAAAGTTGATCCAGAAACACCACCGCCAGGTGAGGCCGTCGGTGACTGCAGAGCAAAGCGGAATCCGAGTCAGCGGGCAAAAGAAGCCGTGCTTGGCGACGACCATGTCGACCCCGCTCAGCTGCTCATCTCAAGCAGCACAGAATGGACTTACAGGCTCCGCCCACAAAGGGCCCGATCACCGAGGCAAATCCAAAGACAGAGCCGATGATTCCTTGGTAGCGACCGCGGGTGGCCAGCGGCGTCATGTCGGCGATGACGATCATGACGAGGCTCATCAAGCCGCCTCCGCCGATGCCGGCGATAGCCCGTCCGGCGATGAGAACGTTCATGTCCTGAGTGCCAGATGGAGAGTGCCGGTCAGAATCATGGCACGGAAGCCTGGTGCCAGTGATGGAGCGCGCACGTGGCTGCTGTCGGCCGACACTCTCCCAACCATGCTTGCTGCATCGGACTCACCATGGCGCCGCCGCTTATGCCGCTTCCGATCAGAAATATCACGATGGCGACAATGATGGTAGGCTTGCGGCCAAAGATATCGGAGAGCTTTCCGTAGACAGGGGTGACAGCGGCGCTGGTCAAGAGGTACGACGTTCCGATCCAGGGGATCATCTGAAAGTTCTGGAACTCATTGCCAATGACGGCAATGGCTGTCGCAACAATCACCTGGTCGATGGCAGCCAGCAGCACCGCCAGCGCCAGGCTGGATCGTCCAGGAGCATGTGTAGCGGAAGCATCATCATGGATATGCAGGACGAGACGGCAAGTGCGAGCAGTCGAGCGAATACAGGGCGGAGACGGCGAGTGTGAGCAATCAGGTGAATACAGGGCCAGACCAAGTCGAGGAACCAAGGGACAGATGAGGGAGGTCCGAAGAAGCACACAATGTCCCCATAAGAGCCGCAGCTCAGAAGGGTGCGCAGAACCAGCTGATGGACTTCGAATAGGGCTCGGCCGAGTGCGGGCCCACCGGAACAGGACAAGCGCCGATGCATCATACCATACCCGATGAAAACCAAAACAAAATGCGATCGGCTCAGCTGGATGGCCGGCTCTGAGCCGAGCGGACGCACGGACGATGTTGCAGACTCCAAGGGAGCGGGACTGTCGGCCTCGCGAATGTCGAGGGTGGAATCGGACTCGTTCTTTGTGGACATTGGGCTGCAAGAGAGGGGAAGGGGGCTAGTGGGTATTGCTGCGAGACGAGCGACCGCCAGGCCGGGACAACCGTGCGCCCGATTTATATCGCCTGGTCTGGTCTGGGCGATTGTGGAGGAGGCCGTTTGCAAGACCCATCGGCCCGAGACGACAAGGCAGCACAACGCGACGCGCCAACGAGCCCAGACCCACCAGCTGCCGGCGATACTGGGCACCGCCAAGCGCCTTGGCCATGACGCTGATACACCCGTTGATCCGGCTCGGCATGGGCGTTGGCAGGTCAAGGGCGGATGCCGAGACCAGGACCCACTGATGAGCCTGAGCGCCAAGGTGCGCAGGGTTCGGCCAGCTGTTCGCCGCGACGGCCTTGCCGGGAGGGGTCTGGGAATTGGGGAGGTGTATTGCGCTGTGTGGGAGTGGGTTCACCCGCCCTGCCAAGGCCGGCCAGGGAATCTGCTCTTGCCGAGGATTCGCACGGCCACTGGCACCGCATGGTGCTTTGGAGGCTCATGGTGATCGCCTCTGCGTCGTGCCCAGGAATTTTGTTGTTGCTCCGTCCCGTCCGCAGCCATCTGCTTACTCGGCCTTCTGTGTCGAGAAGCCGCAGCCGCCAACGTGTCGAAGGTACTTGACCAGCGCCGCTGCAACCCGCTCCGGCACCGGTGGGTCTGAAAACAGCCGCCAGCCCTGCTTGACCATCTCGTGGTTCCACTCTTCGACGACAGACTCCTGCTCTCGGGCGCTAAGCTCCAGATAGAGCGACACCAGCTCGCCATCGATAACAGCCTTGCAGCCGCCACGTATTCGAGACCGAAACTCAGAGTGGCTGTTGCCTGCATCACCGCAGAAACAAGTGTGCAGATCGTTGGTAAGCAGTTGCCCGAGTGCGTCAGCTCGTCCCCAGTCGCCCACGGCGAACGCAACCAAATGTGCACCAGCCATCCACTTACCCATAAGGGGTCGGGTGCTAGGATGCGTCCCGAGAATATCTTGCAGCAGCAGCAGTATGCCAAATGGGCGGCTGCCGACCCGCATAAAGCTGTGGATGTTACCCGTGACCGAACATCCTATCAGCAGCTTGGGTTCGGTCAGCGGGAAGGAAAGGAGCACTGGCGATTTGTCCTTGGAGCCTTGGGTTCTCGTTGGGGCTGGCTTGTCCGCAAACAACGCCGCAACGGCTTCAGACCCGAGCAGTCCCTTGCATTCGGCAGCTTGGTGGGTCTCCGGCGCAAGGCTCTCCGGATCGTCGATGCCTTCGTCGAGGCTCCAGTTGAGGCCAAGGTCACCGGGACCAAAGCCCAGCCACGCTTGCAGCTCGGGAGCACCGAGTAGACTTGTTGTCTCTTGTGGGTTGACCAGACTGCCGACCTTGAGCTTGGTGATGACTTCGCCGACGTTGTAGGAGAGCACCGGCTCAAGGACATGCTCGATTGTCTTCTCTGAAAACAGCATCAGACATGAATCAGAATCTCTGCTGCTGTCCTTGACCACGCACGACCGCATGCCTGCCAGTCCAGCCAGAGCGGATTCGGTTTCTTACTTGAGTAGATCATGGCCGACAGCCCACCGAACTTGTCTGTCGAGACAATCAGCTGTTCGTCAAGCAGGAGGGCATCGGTAACCCATTTGGCATAGCGGTCGCTCTTGCAGTGCTGAAACCGCTTGTATGTCGCATCGTAGACGAATATCGAGACGCCTTCCTTGTTTCCGCCAACACAGATCAGATCTTTCCATGTGCTGATTGACTCGATAGGCCAGCGGAGGTGCTCACTTGCACCCGAGACCAGGCTGCGGAAGAGATGGATGAGTTCAAATGGTTAGCTTCCCAAACAACGCAGTTATACTGGAATCGTGCCCGAAATATGCCCTCGATTGACGATGTCAGCACATCAGCACATCGGCGCATCGGCACATACGTTCGGGTAGCAGCTTCGATTTTGAGATAATGCAGCGCCTTGCCGGCTCCTACAAGTAGATAGCTGAGCCATATCAAGCACATCAGTTTGAAGAACAATGAGTCGTCGATGGCACTGAGTCGTCGATGGCACTGAGTCGTCTCTGTTGGACATACCCCATCTCCCAGTACAGTACAGCTCAGCCCAGCCCACCTGTTTTTGAATGTGCATATTGCGGTCACTCGGTCGGCAAATCGATGCTCTCCCAGCTGGCGTAGCTTGAAGTGCAGCTCCTGCCACGCATTCGCATTCGCATAGATTCGATCGAAATCAAACGCGCAGGGATCGTATGAGTCCCACTGTCGTTGGAATGGCCTCGGAATGGCATTCTAGACCAGCAGTGACGAGGGGTCATTGCTTCGCACATACCTCTCGTCGCTCATGTCCTCGCTCAAACGCCTTGAGACTGTATACGATTACGCGGCCGAGCCGGGAGTTCTCTTGGCTTCCGAGACTCCCTGTTCCCACACAGATATAGCGCTTGCCTTCTTTCACATCCCAGCCTGTGAACGACAGAGTCAGAACTGGGCACGACGCTGCCACCGACCAAACGGCAACACTACGGAGCAGTCCAGTTCCAGGCCCGTCCAGGGCGGTTCGCACAGCATACATACGCGCAAGAGAATATGCCACCTCGCCAATGTCGAGTGTTTCCTTGACATAAACCCTTTTGCTACAGAGCAGTCCGCGATATAATACATGCGTTAGCGTCGCCGGAATAGCGCAATGCGGTACAAACACAGCTGGTCGTTCTAGACACTCACGTTACTGGGTCGATCACCGAGATTTGCGAGATGATGGCGCCATTGGTACTCGATTTGGTCGTGGTCAGAGCAATCAGCTTGCCCGTCGTCGAGTCGAACATGATTCGGCGAGCCATCTGTAGCCACAAAGCAGATCCGACAGAACTTAGAATGACACATGTGGGAGCCCAAGCAATTCTACAACACAGGCGGACCGGTGGCTCTGGGCGGGCGATAGTGCATTCCGCAGCACCGACCTGCCCACACCGCACTACCCACCCCATCCAGCTCCGATACTCGACGGATACGAGTGCCCCTTTCGTCAATCCTAATGAGCGCGGTCCGGTCTGGGCGGATGGCCATGTATGCATTGTGACTGCCATCGTGGTCAAAGGCTGCAACATTGAGAACCTAGAGGGATCAGGGAGTGTGAATGTGGTGCCCCTGGATCGCCGCATCGAAGCCGCACAGCCCACTTGCAAAAACGCGGAGCCGACTTGGCCTTGCAGTACTACAGCCCTATGCTTCCGTCACCTCCGCCAACAGATTCGCTGGCTCGATGCCCGGCCGGCACAGTGCTGCCGTTTGGGGCACAGAACATGTACTGCCGGCAGTTCTTGCGTCGTACCGGATCGCACGACAGTAGCTTCACATAGACATCTCCCTCGGATGAGAGGCCGATTTTCCAGACTCGATCGGTTGCCGCCAAAACAAAGTCGCACGACGCTGCTTCAGACTCAAACGGTGCTGAGTGGCTCCATCGCATCCGTGTCTTGAAGGTAATGGCCCGATGCCCAATCTTATGACAGACGGGCTGCTGCAGCACAACCCTCCGGCCCTCAACTAGGGTCCACGGATACGCATAGAACTGCCCGGCACGGTTGCTGACGAGCAAATACGCCTTCTGGCCGTTCGCCAAGAATGCAATGCTGTTTGGCGTCTCATATCCAAGAGCTGCGCTTGCTGTGGGCCAGATTTGGCAGTCAGCAGAGAGAGCCAAGGCAATCCGTGCATTTTACCACATATAGATTCCAATCGACGTTACCTAATCGCTCGCGATGGAAGCACTCCAATCGCCGGTAGTCACCATATCCATCCAGATACATCAACTCCAGGCCAGGTGCGTGTGTTCCCATGATGACGATATTTGCCGGTAAATATGTCCTGTGGTATGTCAAGCCGTTGCGAGTATCTTAGTCGAACGGCCTGGCACGGTGGGATTATGGGAGCGGCACCACGCAACTATGTGCAATGGTCCATCATACGGACAAGCCTACCTCCGGAGCTCGTTAGACAGCGTCGGGAGCGTGATCAAGCAACTCGGCTCGCATTCAAGCGGCTCGTGGACCATGTCGATGATGGAGGGCGGGCCATCCCTGGATTTCGCGAGGGCGGGAAGCTGCGTCAGCACAATGTCGTGCTGGTCGGTCTCGAGTTAGGAGCTGCCCATTCGAATGCACCACTCACCCGCTATCGGCCATGATTTTCAAAAGTGTTTTGTGGTACGTTTGCCCATTCCTCGTGACAACGATGAGCAGGTCGTCGAATATGGCAGCCTGAACGATCGTTCCGCCTCCGACCGAAGCAGTATCCCAGACTTCTGCTTCGCCTGTCCCAGACCACGAATCGCCCGGGAGGGCACTCTTGGATACCACAACACCATCTGTGTGGGCTTGGACAAAGACGCCGGGGGTTTCCGTGTGACTTGCCAAGACAGTTCGCTTCTCCAGCTCGAAGCCAAGGAATGCGCTGATATCGACTAGCTCCGACTCTGAGTGCGGGCGCAGACTGGGTGTCAAGATGGAGAACGATCATGCGATGCGCGATCTCCCAGCACAGTGCTCGTGCATATCAGAATAGCCCATGCACATCCACTCGCACCGGCTCCTACCATTCAAATGGAGGACTCGCGTTGCGCTGATGGACGAGACAACCAAGACATCGTCCTTTGGCTGACGAGGATCGGACTTGAGGTTCCACATGTCAATCATCCTTTTGAGCGTACAGGGCGCACGGTCAGTTGTATCACCTGCTGTATCTGCGGCATCTACGCCATTGGCGCCATTTGCCTCGATGGTGCCAATTGATTGTACTCAGGGCGCCTCGGAAGCGTGAGTACATATACCTGGCCCACTTACCCGTTCAGCATGCTGGTGGAGTATTCGGTGATCAGCTCGATTCCGTTCCGAGCTGCAAACACAGCGCCATTGGAGTTGATGCCGCTGGATAGAAAAACCGAGTCGCGGCCTTCTTTGTGGAGATCGGCAAGGCCAAAGTCGGTGATGGGCGACCAATCGTAGACGGTTTGTACCTCATATGTCGTGGTTGGACTGGTCTGCCTCGTTCCAGCAGGGATAGATACAGCATCGTTCAGAACTCTGTCCGCTCCATCCACGGCTCTGGGGTGCGCCATCGTCAGGTCGTACTAAACGAGAAATGTTTGCCTTGCATCGGACAGATAGGGCTTACATATATGACGCTGCTGTTGCGCATATCCCCAACGAGCATTAGATAGTGCCCGTGGCCATCTGGAGCGACGCCTAGAACGGGCGAAATGGCCTTCACCGACGGCACTTGGAGCCGGTGTCCAAATTCGACCAGGGGCGCGACCCGGTCTTTGATTACACATCGGATATGGTATAAATGTGATTCGTTGCTGATAGGTGCTGAAATGGTCGCGTAGATGGATTGCTCCAGAGGACCGTCCGAAGCGACAACTGCTTGAGACCTCGTGGTGCAAAAGGAGGCCACGGCCGCCGATACGCAGTAGTCTGGAGTAGGTTTTGCCACCATAGCCGGCGTAAGTACTGGGAACAATGCCGCAGCATTCCCGACGCAGAGCAAGGAGACATCTGTCTCGATATGGGAGATGACTGCGGTATCACAGCTCGGCATCAGTACTCACTACTTTCGATTATCGGGGGATTCAGGTCGAGCTTGTCTGCGATAGATATCCGAGCGACTCCCATCACGCGAGCCGATTTGCTGGACCCGCCCAGGATCCGGTAGACGACAAGCTCGGTCTCCTGTGTCGGCGAGGATACCAGTGAGTCTTCCTACAGCTGGAGGGCTTGTCAGCAGCCAGATCAATCCAGGAGAGGGCGGGTGCCGGATGCCGGATGCCGGATGCCATACCGTTATCAGAGCAAATCCGCACGGGATATCCGGGAGTGAGAGCAAATGAAGTGGAGTACAGCTCTCGTTGGCTGCGTCGACGTCGAGAGATCAAAGCAGTAGCGGTAGAGGTGAGCATCCGGGTACGAATATTGATGAATTGCAATTGCGGGCACGAGGATACGTACAAGTCGAGGTGTGTGGGATCTCTGCGATCCGTCTCATTGTGTTGCGAGGCTCGACTTGCCAATACTCATATACGACAATGTAAAACCTTTGGCTTCTGGAAATTGTACCCCGTTCCCGAGCAGAGTGCAGCGACCAAGAGAAGTGGGTGAGGGTGAGGGCCAGATACGGCAGGATCTGTCTCGCGCCATCCACGGCTCCAGCACCAGAATATGCAGCGGAATTTGACTGTTTTGTCAATTGGCCCTTCCGCCTGACGCTACCAGCAACCTACCGGCATAACGAGAGCACCAGCAGGATCCGGTCGTTCTCGGATGGCGGAGACAAGAACGAGGCATGCAAGATCACGCCAGGCTCGTCGATTTTGAGGTGCTGGAGCCAGAACGAGGAGTTTTGCGGGTAAGTTGACGACCACATCGGGCTGCGACCAGAGCAGGGTGACGGCTGCATACCTGGGCCTCGTTCCAAAAGCTCGATCCTTGATAGAGCTGTGGGGAAAACACCAGCACATCGAACGAGTTTTGAACCGAGGTCACGGCTACCGAGCGAAAGCTGGCGACAGTCCACCGACACAACGTTGGGTTAGCTCATAAGTGCGATCGAGTGCCGAGGAATCGAAAGGAGTATGCCTCGGGTGTCCCTCCTGCTGTCTGTTGGAGGCTGCCTCCCAATTGCAGATGAAGGTGCGGCAAGATTCTGCAAGATCCAAGATCCAACAGCGACATCGTGAACCGATACCGACAAGGGGTCAGCGCAGACCAGGTGGCCCAGCTCCATGTAGTTTGCGTTCGGGGATGCGATGCTGTACTGCATTGGTAGACGAGACCGATATGTCGGCGAGGTGGTTAGCGGCGCAAGCGAACAACGACCGATCCATCGACGAGCCCATGTCAAGCTTGCTGGATTGTCGTCGATTTGGTCTTGCGTCCCACAGCAGCTGCTGTTGTTTCCTGCAGCTTGAGGGGGAGAGGAGGGGAGCTTCATCAAGGCAGCATGAGGGATTCAGATGGGATGAATCGCCGCTTACATGGTGAAGAGGGACGAATCGATACTGGCTCTGCTCGAGATGCGCAATCCCGATGAAACTGAGCTGCCCTGAATCCGAGGTGGCGACGAGGACCGTCGAGTAGAAGGCTCTCTCTGGATGAAGGACATCGGTCGGGTGGGTAGCTGGACAGACGGGACCAAGCTTGCATCCGGGGTCGGCCGAGGTGACGACACCGGGCGAGCCATGAGTCTGGCGATGGCAGATCTGAATGTCCTTGATGGAGCCAAAGATATACTGGGAGGCGAGCAGCACACTTGTGCCCTTCTGCAGGTCGATGAGGGCCAACTGCAGCTGGCTCTCCTTGGCAAGGACAACCATCGGGCATGTCGGCAGGATGTGAGTCGGCGACAGCGGCAGCACCTTTGCAATCGGCCCCAGCCGGAGGGGCACCGATGCGTATACGAGGGGCTGCGAGGAGAGCGTCATGGCGACAGCAAATGAGACTCGGTCAGAGAAGATTGGATTCGGAGGCGGCGAGAGAGCCGAGATGCAGGTCTCTGTGGGGCAGGCGTCGGTCCGAGATCCCCGGTAGCTCAACGGCCGTTGCGGATGGTCTACGAGAGGGAGCAGATCTGAACGGACGACAGATGCGGGCCGATCTTGTTGGGAGCTGCAGGCGCCGTCGCTTTGGAGAAAGACGGTCGGCGTGCGGTTGTGGCAGACGTGGCTGGAGATGGATGCAAAGGCAGGCACCGAGATGCTTTGGGATGGGAGGCGACTCGCCCGAGCCGGATGGACGATGATGGCCAGGGCTCAACAGATCCGCCGATCGAGGCGCCCTTGCTTGAGACCATCGGTGGAGTCAAGACCAGATCGGCGGGGACTGGGCCACAGTCCGCAGACCAGACACTCCGCCGTGCATGAGGCTCGACAGCACCATTGCGGGATCATCGAAGCATGTATCCGATGCGGGTGTGCGATGCATGCATTCGACCCTCTGGACAGCTCCATAATTTCTCGATATCAAGATACTCGGGCGACCCGAGCCGCTCGGCCAGCAGGCGCCACGATTACGCTGCTTGTTCATGACAGGCGATGGGCGGGTGTGTATTCAGGACCTGGAGAAAGCGACAACTCTGACTCCAAACAGGGTGTCCCGTTTCGTTTGTGAGTACGCTGTATACAGTCCGGAGACGGCGCGGCTCTGATCGGGAGGGAGGCGAGGAGGAGGTGCAAAGCGAGGCTGGGCAACGATCGTTCGAGTAACAGAGGACGGCATCGCTCCATGGAAAGACATCGATATCGCCAGACATTTGCAGGCGGGACTGATGAGCAGGGACAGAGTCTCGTCGTTGCTGGAGAAACACAGTGTGGCGGGGAGCGGAATCCAAGGAAGCAGCTCCATAAATGCAGGGTCTTGAGTGGCTGGGTTGATCAGCGACGATCAGGGGAATCTTCGCTGAGGCTAGTGGTCGGTGGATATGCAACAATCGCAGATAAGGCAGCCCAGTCAGCAAGGATGGCTATGAGTGTGGAGGTGTCCAAGCTCGATGCACAAGCAGGTTCAAGGACAGCACGGGATGCCAGTGTCGATCGTCAATCCGTTTCAACGCCGCTTTGGTGAGAAATCAGACGTCATCGGCCAAGTGGATTGATGTGGCTCTCGGAGGCGCTACCAGAGAACCGACATCGAGCCGGACTGCATCCTAATCAGCCGGAACTACCATCCATACTGGTGCCGCAGCAGCGGACTCGGCTATCCTCACTCCAGCCTCGGGAGCTGCACTGCCACATACCTGATAACACCGACAACAACTGTGATGTCATCCATCTTTCCGCCGCGATAGTATAGCCCTTCCTCCATTGCCCGGGTCTGGAAGGGGTTACCGACATGGCGAGAGTCCTCGGCGATTTCGCGAGCGCGCTTGAGAATCTTGGTAGCAATCAGCGAGGGATCGACTTTGACTGTTTGGATCGTTCGGACCGTCGGAGAGACATCATGAGAGGACGTGACGGTTTCTATTACCACCGATTCGGTCTTGGGCACGGCTGTGTCATCCGAGTCCGAGTCCTCAGGAACAAACTCTCCGCCGTCAGGAGTGATTTGAAAAGCCGTTGCTTCGATCGTATGGGTGGAGATGATCTGCTCTGCCTTGACAATCTCGACAATCTCCTCGTCAGTCAAGTTGTCAAAGACGCCATCCGAGCCGACGACCACGATGTCGCCTTCGCGCACATGGACATGATAGCTCTGCGCGTCGCTCGGCAGATCTGTTGAGCCCGTGCCGAGCTGGAAAGGGAAGTTGAAGGAATGCTGCTGCTCCTCGGTTCGGAAGATGGCTTCGTTCTGGCGGATGATGAGCAGGCCACAGTCGCCGATGCTGGTGACTCGGAGTTCGTTGGACTGAGTACGGGTTCGCAGCGCCAAAGCAAGTGAAGTTGGAGGAGACAGTCAGGGGCGATTGAAGCCAGTTCGATGGCATCATTCTGAGTGTGCAAGCAGCGTGCCCGTCGAGGGTGGGTACGGATTAACCAGTCACACCTACCCGGAGTACAACAATCAGCGCTGTGCTGCTTCCGACCAGGAGCTCCTTGGCAGCATCCTCACATATCCGTTTGTAGCTCTCGGTCAAGACATTTTTGGGATCCAGATCCACATATTCTTCGATCGAATACTCAGCGTTGGCAATGTCATCGAACTTGGCAATCTCCATGTTGGCATAATGCATCAGCTTTCTGGAGAACAACGCCGGGTTGGCACCTGGGTACACACAGCAGCGAGAATGCCACCCAGTGAGAAGATGAGATGGAGGGAAGGGTGGGAAAGGACCAAGGTCCAGCTCCGCTCGATATGCGAGGCGGCTCTAAGCGGCAAGAGGTAAAGGGCTCGGGCCTCCTACGTCGCCGGAACGGATTGACTAGACAAGAGGATGGCATTCCCTATCTCCATCTCCATCGATAAGCGCACATCTAGAGTGCATCGAGCTGCGCTGGATTGCCTATCAGATCATTTCGGTTCGTAGTTGAGGTGCCCACCTTTGACCTGGGTCCAACCACCAACACCGTCAGCGACGCCGATGGCATCGTGGCGACTGAAGAATGAATCCTCCCCCGCTTGGGAGGAGGAAAACAACCCGGTCTTGAGCACCTTCAGCCGGGGATTCTTGGGCATGGCGGCGGCGCCTATTGAGAACTGGTAGGTAAGCTCGGTTGTTGGATTGAATCTCTGGAGAGCGGAAGGCCAGGCAAGCGAGGGATAGATGAACAATCAGATCAGAGCGCCAAGCTGCTGCATGAAGAGAGTGCGAGTGAGCAAGTATGCGGTGAAAAGGGCGGTTTCGCGGATGCAGCAGCCGTTGCATATCCGAAACAAGTCTTCCAATATGACGGCGTCCGATGGATATGACTCGCAGCAATCGTTGCTCTAGTCCTGGCTAGTCGCACGCTTGATTGTCATTCCGAGATTGCTTCGAATCAGATCAGATCCTGCAGCATGGGACGATCTGCCCAGCCGCATCTATTTGATTGCGACTCTGGTTCACGGAATTGCCTCGCGGCATTGCCTCCCAGAAGCGCTTCGGTGCTCGTATCTGTCCAGGACTTTGAGAATCGTGTGCAGGGCGATGTGTTCGGCGGCCCAGCGCATTACGAGACACTGAGAAGCTTCCGACGGCCTGGGCATACGATGCAGTGCCATCGCCTCACCTTCTCAAACATATCAAAGACGCTCGGCTTCGTGGCCGAGGTTAGCAGCCGGAGCCACGGCTGTCCGATCTGGGGGCGGTATATCGGCTGGATCTGGCCACAGACTCGACGCAGGATCGGGTATCCACAGGGCTGCATGCGGCAGACGGCGGCCGCTAGCGGGCGACCGAGACCCAGGGCCATCGATAGGTTTGCGATCCGGGGTGGCAGCGGATGGGAGGTGTTTACGAAGATCGGAGCGACCTGGATGGCAGGTTCGATCGAGGGCGCCCGATGGACGTTCGGCGGGACTGGAGACGAGAGCGGCAAAGGCTGAAGATGCAGGCACGGCCAGTCAGGGGAGAGCTGCTTGCAGACACAGGCGGGATGGACAGAAGGCACCAGCGGCGACGGCAGCGGCAGCGACGGCGGCTTTGAGGACCGGCAGATGGTTCTCTGGTGGGCTGGGGGCGGCCTGTGCTGGTTGGAACACCGCTCGTCTGGGGGTGTTTGTGGCAGGCCGCGGTGTTGTTCGGGGCTTGCGGGTGCAGCCGGATCGAGCCGCTGCCGGACAGCCGGATCGAGCCAGCCCCCCAAACAATGTCACGCTGCCCAGTGCCCGTTACGCGTGTGTGTCGCGTCGGCAGCCACGCTGCGGTGCTTGCACGACACTGGCGGTATGCAGGCGCTGTCTGTGTGGCATTGCTGTGCTGCCTGGCCGCGGGTGCAGCCCCACAGAGTCTGCTGTGGCTGTGCTGTGTCGCCAAACGCGCCGCTCCGCTGTGTCACGCACAAGCCCGCTGTCCGCCCGCCGTTGCCTCGCCACTGTCGCCGTTGAGCCCCTCAGCGATGCTTTGGCCTGCCCGCCGCCGGCTTTGCTGGCTCCCAAGCGCCCTGCTCGTCGTCTTGCTGGTCCGCCCTGATCTCATCCGTGCATCTCCATCTGCATCTCCATCTGCATCTCCGTCTCCATATCCGTCCACATCTGCGTCTGCGTCTGCTGCTTCTGCTTCTGCTGTCTCGCCGATCTCGCCTCGCTCCTGTCTGCACACGCAAGCCTGGCTCGCTGAAACACCGCCAAGGAAAAGCATCCCTCCGAGTCGACCAGCAAGCACTCGCCCCTGCCTCGCCGCCAGAATCGCCTCCAGCAGTCGCGCTGTCGTTCTCTGCTCACATATCGATCGCTGCACCCGGCCCGTCCGCATCGCCCGTCGCCCGTCGCCATGAGTCTCCAGAAGCTGCTAGCCTCCGTCCAAACCAACCAGTTGCCCGAGTTTGACGAGCCTGTCTTTTTCCAAAGAGAAAGCATCCCCAAAGACGATCCGCTGCAGTGTGCCATCGCCCTGCACTGCGAAAACCAGCTGGAACGATCATGCCAATACCTCATCCGTTCATCGCTCAGCCGCCATCCCGTGGCAGTGTATCTCCTTGCCATTGCCCTCCGGCACGGCTGGGGGTGCAAGAAGGACGAGGAGCTGGCGGCGGCCCTCCTCGAGTGCTCCATCCAGCTTGTCCTCGGGGCTATGCCCAAAAATGCCACCTACGAAGTTGCCGTGACCTCTCCAACTGGACAGACGGATCATGCCCAGGCGCCAGCGCCGACTCCCATCGATCGACTTGTGAACGGTACGGGGCTTTGGCCAAAGCATCTGCTCGGTGTACTTTGCCCGCACTCTGCTGCAGGTTTGCTTGTATATCATCGGTCAGGCGCTGCCCCGACCTGTCTCGACCTGTCTCGCCCCGATGTGGGCGGACCGAGCTACTTACCGCTTGCCATTGGCACCGCTAGCTTCTCTTGGCTAACATCACGTCTCGATTCCTCGCCCATCAGATTCTGGACACGGCGCCTTGCCAAACCCATCGACTCTTGGGCGTGCGGAGCATGTCCTGACGACCGATCAACTACACGAGGAGCCTTCGGGTCTGGCCGTTATCACCGAGCGGCCCTCGTCGCGCCAGTCCGGCTCGCCACACTCCAGCATGAGCCGCTCCCAGACCATATCCATCTCGCCGATAAGGAGCCGGTCCGCCGGTGGACCCATCGCCGTGCTCAACGGCAATGGTTCTTCCCAAAACGGCACGATCCCGCGGTCGCTGAACGCCCGCGGCTCCATCATCACCCTGGACTCGTTTTCAGGCGTCATCGGAGGAGACGGCCCCGCTGGCGACTCGCACCTGGACTATGAAACCGTGCGCTCGTTCCTGCCGCTGCCGCTGTTTGAGCTGGGAATGTGTTACCACCAGGGCTGGGGCGTGCCCGTGTCGCAGCTGACGGCCGTCTACTACTACCAGCTCGCAGCCCAGCTCGGCGATCCCGATGCCCAGGCCGAGCTGGCCGAGTCCTATCTGAGCGGCATTGGCGTCCGCAAGAACAAAAAGATGGCTGCCAAGTGGTTCCGCAAGGCCGCCGAACGAGGCCTGAGCTTTGTCAACAACTCCTGGATCTGGGAAGACAAGTACAACGACAGCCAGGACCGCATCTCGGCCCCGGCATCGGCCTTGGCATCGGCATCGGCGTCGGTCCACTCCAGACGCAGCAGCAAGCGGAGATCCGATGACGGTCGATAGAGTAGAACCCGTTGCTGCTGCTGCTTGTTGCTGCCATCAACATGTGGCCTCGGCGCCTGGCCGGGGCCATGCCTTTGATGCGACAGAGACAGCAGGGCGGCAGAGACGATACACTCTCATGCACTTTGCTCGTTAGATTGCTGCTCATCGCTATGGGTTTGGAGGAACTGTGTCCGGGCAGCATGCGCTTCCTTCACCTCCATTCTCTCTCTGTTTTCGCTCCTCTTTGGCCTCACTGCAATTGGTACTTTTGTCAGCGAAATTATAATCTATGTTGAATTGCGATCCGCGTTCGCATCTCACGTGTGCTGCTCCTGGGTGGGGCACAGTCAGCCAGCCACATTCTGGCCGGCCGGTTCGCTGGCTGGAACCGCCTTTTTTTTTTCTGTGCGTGGCCCAAAATCCCAAACAGGCTCGGTCTCTTTCCTCCCTCCTTGCGCCGCGATTATACGCATCCATCCGTCAAAGCCGCCTCAGCAATGTCTGATTGGGGTTCGTACCCTTGAGAGAAGGGGAGGGGACGGGTGAGAGGGAAGGCGGTTTCCGAGCCGGGGCAGAGTCGCGATGCATAATCGAGGCTCTGGGTATCGGGTTTCCGAAGGATCGGATGGCTGGACGGATTTGAGGGCACGGTCCTGCCATTCGTGAGGGCACCATGGACATCGGATGGAGGGCCCTTGTTTTGTGTGCTCGATCGTGCTTCTCCTCCTCTCGGAATGTACATATGCAATCTCGGCATTGGCCTCAGAGAGAGGGCATCTCGGTGAGCCCTGCTGCGACGGACAAGCCGGGCAACTTTGCTTGGGGTTCGGACATTGGCTCATCCGGATCGGTTCCTGTCTGTCCCTGACCTATCCACAGAAAACGAAGACGAAGACGTCCAAGTCGCCATCCCCGTTCCATCTGCTGCCAACCGGTGGGACGACGAGGATGCCGAGGAGGAAGATGTCAAGGTAAAGCAGCCGCCCTGACGAAACGGTGGGGGGGGGCGAGGCCGTGGGGAGGGGCAACGATTCCACTTCTCGATCGGCGGCTGTAATCCTTCAGACCGCCACACCAAAGCCGGATTCCAAGCTAGAAAAGGAGGAGAGAGGATATCCACCGTCGCAGCTCAAACTAGAGCGAGGTTGCTGGCGTTACCATGCGATTGAGGCAGCAAGGTCCTCCGTTTACCAAGAACGTCTACAATCAAATGATACGAGTGCACCACCGAAATGTGTGTGGTCCGTAACCCCCCCCCAATGCATCGAACTGACTCTCCCTTCCGACCAACCATGGCTTGGCATCGCAGGACTCTTGGGAGGACGATGAGGAGGAGCTGAAAAAGAAGAAAAAGAAGGAGGAAGAGGAGCGGCTGAAGAAGGAGGCCGAGGCCAAGAAGGCTGCGGCTGCTCCCAAGAAGAAGACCCTCGCCCAGACCCTCAAGGAGAAGGAAGAGGACGAGAAGCGCAAGCGCCTTGCCAAGGTGAGCACACTTGCCCACTGACGGCTCGGCAGCCAGCTCGCAACGTAGCTTCCTCTGCGGATCGATGCATCAAGACTGCATGCCAACGGTGGCTTCGGTCCGACTGGATTATGAGCATGAGTCTCCGCTGCTTGTGCACGGCTGTACTCACTGTGTCCCAAAACATCGTGACGGTTCTTGAACTGCCACATGGCTATACAAACTTCCTGGCGCTGCGACCGGCGATCGACTCGCCACCGACCTCGACACTGGATATCACGTCGACTGTGTGCACTGCTGCATCCTAAACGAATGCCCAACGCAACACAACGCAATCCACGGTATTGCTCGACGACCGCACGATCGATGTGAATCGCACAGGCTGCCGAGCTGGCCATCTCCAACGAGACCGAGGCGGAGAAGCGCGAGCGTGAGCGACGAGAGATTGTCCAAGCCGATTTTGAGAACGCCAAGGAGCTCTTTAGCAGTATTGGTACGCAAACAACGTCGTCGATGAGGCGAATCCGTCTGCGATCTGTGGCCGTAACCAACGTCCATGCTGTGTTGTCCCGTAGCCCCATCGCCAAATGTGCCAAGCGACTCTGTTCTCGAGACTCTGAAGCCCAGCAACCGTGCTGAGTTCGATGCTTACAACAAGGAGCTGCAGACCAAGTTCACGTCGTTCGAGGTGGGGTTAAGCGCATTGCACATTGCCGGGTTGGCCACGCAGCGGCATCGTCTGTGTGGTTTGCCATGACCAACGTCTTCCCATCGCCTTTCTCTCCCCTCCCGTGTGCCTTTGCATCGGAATGTGCTCAGAAATCGGCGCACTATGCCTACTTTGCCGAGAACGTCGTGCGTGACATGTGCGTCAGCCTGAGCGTCGACGATCTGAAGAAGGTTGCGGCGCTGTTGAACGCCATGGCTAGTGAGAAGCTCAAGGCCCAGAAGGAGAAGGACAAGAAGGGCAAGAAGGGCGGCAAGGCCAAGGTCAGCCTCAAGGCCACTCCTGGTGGAATCGATACGACCAACTACGACGATGGTGAGTGGCAGAAGCACATGGGCCGGCTGATTGCGAGAAGCATGGGACAAGCAGCGAGGGATGAGGTCGCATTTGACGGGTCCCACTTTGGATGGGTCGGCCTCGGGTCGGCCTCGGGTCGGCCTCGGGCCGGTCTCGGCGGCAGCAGCAAGCAAGCCCAGCCCAAGCAGCACATCACTACGCAGCGATAGCAAATCGATCCGGGCCGGCTGGGACAAGACCGGAAGGGCGGCGAGAACAGGGAGGGGATCCGGCGAGACAGGAAAGAGCAAGGAGGGGTCATTGTTCAATGGTCGACATAGAAGCCCATATAGCTCGGCCCGTGCAGATGCCACCATGCTGACCGAACCTTGTCTTCTCGCTGTGTTATCTGCGCAGCCTACGATGAATACGAGGACTTTATGTAGGCAGCCGAGCTGACAGTGCCGAGGAATACACTTGATTACCCTGCGAACTCGACAGAAAGGCGCGCGAGTCGAGAAGAGAGATAGGCCGAGACGATTGGTTGGTGTCGGTGTTGGGGAGTGAGTGGGAAACATGCTGGGTGAGCCCTCTGTGTGGTGCGATGCAGCAGCCGGGTGGCTGTGGGTGTCTGGAGCAGGTGGGTGGTGGGTGAGTCTGGATGTTGCCTCGGGGGTGATGCCTCGGGGGTAATGCCTCGGGGCCATGCTGGTCGATACGATGGCGATGGAAATGGCGATGGAAATGGAAATGGAAATGGAAATGGAAATGGAGAGCCAAGGGACACAGGCAGGGAACCGGCCGTGGTGGATCACGGTCTTGCGACAAAGACGCAGCCGCATGCGGGAAAGCCAGAAAGGCCAGGCAAAAAAACGTTACCGATCCGTCATATCCCTGCCATGCAACGCTGTCACATCCCTTTTTTGAGACTGGCACATGCTCCGGCGATAGCGCCAGCCCCCCGCTCAAGGCGACCATGTCCACGAAGACAGCGACAAAGGCCGGCAGGCGAGGCGGATGACGGGCAACGACCACCCGATCATGCTCGGCAGCGCCGGGACTCGGCCAGCGATAGCGATGGCAGGGGTCACGATGAGGCGCCGATTGCGATTCTCGGCGCATGTGAAAGCGGGCAGACCAAGGCACAATCGGAGGAATCCGAGACAGCCGAGACAGCCGCGGGCAGCCAACAGATCGCCGCAGTCGATATGCCGGCGTCGCTCTCGTGGATCGACTCGACGCTGCTCTCGGCGGTGGTCGACGCTGCTGCTCGGCTATCGCCGTTCCCAGTCGATGGCCACCACGGGCACCACGGGCACCACAGGCCCCTCGAGTGCTCCCGGCTCAACAGAGCAGCGCGGCCCCCAACACAATCAGCGGCACAAGGCCTTTCACATGCCAGCGACGGCCCTGTGCCGACGGCGGGGCGGCCGCTCTCGTCCATCCACAAGCGCCGCTCAAGGAAAAAAAGCGATCGCCACACACACACAGGGCCACACACACACGCTTGCAGATAACGAGGCCGAGCGAGGCCGGGCGAGAGCGGGCGAGAGCAGCCGGCAAGGGCGCCGCGGTCTCGCCCGCACACACACACAGAGGCCGAGACCGCTGACACATGCCGGCCAGCCCGCTCTCGGTGCGTGCTCTCGGTGCCGTCTCGGTGCCGTCTCGGTGCCGTCTCGGTGCCGTCTCGGCCCACAGCTCGCTACTTTCCTTCGCTAAAAATAACCGCCCTTTTCCCGGCCGGTCCAGTCGCCATCCAGCCATCGCCGGGTCTTCTGTCGCTCGGTCCTTTGCACCGTCCTCTGACTCCCACTTCGCTCGCTCTCCGACCCGCCCTGCTTGGCTTCTCCAGCTCCACCATCCGGATTAGATCCGATCCGATCAGATCGCATCGTCTGCCTCTGCTCTCCCCGCTCTCTGCTGTCGCCGCCGCCGTCGATCCGGCCTTCCGTTTGCTCGGCTCCCTTGGCTCCGATTCCCTCGGCGTTTGCAGCATCATCCGTCCTCGAATTTCGGCCTCGTCGTCTCTCTGCCAATGGAGACGTCCACATCCTGCACCGACGCCGCCCCGATGGGCCGCCGCGACTCCATCAGCTCTCAGTTCTCGACCACCTCGCAGCGCTCGATGCGAGTACATGATCTGTGTAATCATGGTGAGCAGCGCTGTCTGTCCCACTCTCCATTCTCGCTCTGCGGCTGGACGTTGTCCTGTACCATCGCCGTCTGCGAGTCGTCGGATCAAGCAGCCTCATCCTGCCCCTGCAGCCGCTCACTCAACGAGTGACGGCCGTCCCTGCTGTCGCTCCTCCCGGCCCTTGCATCGCAATCCCTATTCCATGTGTATTCCGCTCCCTCTCTCATACACCTCGATCGGACTGTTTTGCTTCCTCTAGTCAACGAAGATGAGCGCCTTGCTGCCGAGGTGCTCCAGGGTCTGCGAACAAGCGAACCCGGTATGTATCTTTGCTGCTCTGGACCGTCCGTCATCGGCAGTGCCAACACCGGACTGCCGCTGGACTGCAGTCGGCATACCGTACTTATCGATGGCTGCTTCCGCTTCTCTGGTCACGCACCGTGGCGCCCGATCAACCAACGGCCAACCGACTCGTGCCCTGGCCAATCCGTGCCACGGCGCTGCCACCACCTCCGATCCACCCCGATCCACCCCGATCCGCCCGTACACCCGACCTGCTGCCTCCAGCCACCGCCGCCTCGCCCCATTTCCTTCAGCGGGTCACCAGCATGACATCCAGCCTCCCTCTGCTTCGCGGTCCCATGAACTCGATCCGGGCAGCCACCGATGCCGCCACCGATGCCATCAAGGTATAGCAGACCCACCATCATATCATGCTCTGCTTTCTGCGCCATGCGATTCGCAGCGGCAGTGCACTGCCTTTGCGATATCCGTCCACCTCCCCTCTCACACGAACCCCTCTCGATGCTTGTTCGCAGTACGGCGCTGATGCCGTCGAGTCCATGTCCAAGCCGGTGCTGCATATGGTAAGACCTCCCTGACTATATTTTTGCTCGGCGGTGCGAAACCCTGATCGCGGCATGCCGTCTTCGATATGCACTCTTACCGGGCAAGACGCTTTCTCTCCCATTCACAGATCCCCCGCCTCCGCTCCATGCGATCCATTTCGTCGTTTACCTCGGCATTAGAACCTCAGACCGAAGCGACCAAACCCGAAGATTCTGGCGCCGATAACGCCGCCCCGACTGCAGCCTCGCCGTCCGTCGTATTGCCGCCATTGAGCGACGAGCCTGTGTCGCTCGCCGATCCCGAGCTTCATCTTCCCCCCATTGCACCCGACATGCTCCCACGAGCAGCTTCGCCGATGATGCTCCGCAAGAATCGCAACACGTGGCATCAGATGATGGCCGACCTGAGCACCAACTTGAGTGCATGGAAGAACATGGCCATCAGCGAGGAGACCATGCGTGCCCTGCGATATTGTCTCGACTGGCTCAAGGTAACGCACAGTAGCCCCGGTGTCCACAGGACAGCTGCCTGGGCCAGCAGCCTGGGCCAGCAGCCACCTCATATAGCCACGCCTTGATCGACTCTGACGCCTGTCCTCGGTTGATTTTCTCACCCCCTCGCTTCGATATAGTATGCCGCTATGCACATCGAAAATCAAATCAAGGTCCTTCGCGCCTACCTTGCCCGGACATCGTCGCGGCTGATCACTTTCTCGAGGTATGTCGACTGCTCCCGTGGCGGATAGTTCTCCCATCATTGGCACAGCTGTGACTCGCACACTCTTATTCCGATGGCGGCCATCAGCACTCGGACGATCAGCCTGGGTCCGTCACTTTATCGACCGAGCGATGGCCAGGAATGGGCAATTGCATTTTTTTGCAATGCGCCTCTCCGAATCCGTGCGAGCCCACGCCGTTCCAACCATGTCCCACGCTTGCCCACTAACCCAACGGCTCGTCCACCTTCCAGCACGCAGCTGACCCCTCCGCTGTCGCCGCAGAACCAGCACCAGATGGTCGCCTACGAACTCATGCAGACGGCGCTCGTCGCCAAGCGTGAGATTGCCAATACCCTCCGCAAGGTTGTCGATGTCATCTGTCGATATGCGGCCGTCTACATGCCCGCCGTCACTCGTCGTGTCGTGCGTGACTTTATCATGGACCTTCCCATGCGCATCAGCTCCCTCAACGCCTCGGCCCCGGTCCCCATGGGCGCCGACGGTACCCCCAACTACCAGGAGGCCGAGACCATCGAAGCCGAGCGAGTCCTTGTCATCGCCACCGAGTCCAAGGACATGCTCGTCAACCTGGGCAACATTTTCGAGCAGGCCCTGACTGGCGCCGACATTATCCGCCGACGCATGGGCGCCTCTTCGTCCTCGGCCGATGCCATGAGCGTCGGCACTGCCTCGGTTATGGGCGACGACGAGCCTGTTTCGGACAAGATGGCCCTCGATCAGCCCGCTGATTCGGCCGAGCCTGCCGCCCCCTTCGTTGGCCGTCGCCGCCGCGGCGACTCGGCCACGGTGCTGATCCCGAACGACCGCGACAACAAGCTCCCCTTCCTGACCATGACCTCGGAGCCGGCCAGCACCGAGCCCGCTGGCACCAGCAGCATGGACATTGACACCATCTGAGCAATCGTGGTGCATCTTTGTTCGCGAGCCTGAACCTTGCTCGTGCCCACGGCTCGCAGCAGCGTCCCCATCCTCCCTGGGCTGCCTGCGAGACCGCGCGCACGAGCCCGCCGCCGTGATTGATTGCGCCGGCCCGGTAGTGCCCATCTTTTCCCTTTGTCCCAGCCTCCCTCCCTCTCCCCCTCCCTCTGCCTTCGTTTTTGTCTTCCGACGCAGTAGTTGTCTCCCGCTGTCGCCAAGGTGTGCAGCCCTTGAACGCAGATTGGCACAATTCCGGCCTGCGGGCCGAGGCGACACGGCTGCGTCATTCACAAGCTATTTCCTCCGTTGTGCCCCCCCCCCACTTTCGTAATATCTCCTAATCGTGTCTGTCTTCGCCCACCCACACATCTGTTCCTTCCCCCCCCCAAACAATGTTCATGTCAATCGCTACAATTTGCATTCAAGAGTGAGGTATTATGTGGTCCCTGTGTGTCGGCGGCACAATGGCCCTGGCTTGCTTGTGTGTGCCCCCCTTTTGCCAGCGGACCGCAATCACCCAAAACACAATCACCCCGATCAGCGTCGAAGGGGCGGCTGAGACTGCGTTGCTTGTTGCGGTTTTTTTGCGGATGGGCGGCCGCCTGGTAACGCGTGCTCGACAACCCTCGCAGCCAGCCCCTCGGTTGTTGATCCCACCTGCTCTCCATTCCATCGCCGCCGGCCATATAAGCCCACCAGCGTCGGTCGGGCCAGCGGCATCCACCATCCCACGCCCCTCTGTGCGTCCCCCCGACACTCAAAGCCTTAACACGCCCCTCGCCATTGTCTGCGGCCAATCGCTCATCAACGCCAGGCTCTCCTTCCCGTTTCCGCTCCTTGGCCCACTCTCCATCTTGGTGCATCCCTTCTCCTCCCATCCCCACGATCTAGCTATGCTTATCGGTCTGAATCGCCCTCTCGCTGCCAGTGCTGCTTCGATCTGCGGCGAGCTGGCTGCTGCTCCCTCGTTGGCTCAAGCCTCGCGACGCCTCTTCTCCCAAGGTCATGCCTCGGCAAGACCGCTGGCTCTGGGCCAGGTCGTCCTGCCTGGATATGCTCTTCCTGCCCGAGCCGCCACCCAGGGTGCGGCCGTGTTCCTGTATCCCCCGACCTCTCGGTCCTTCCAGACCAGCGCCCTCTGGCGCCAGGGGCTTGACCATTTCAAGGAAGCCCGCGAGGCCCGAAAGAAGGAAAGCTCCGCAGAGACCGTCGCGGCAGCCGCTGGCGAGAAGGACTATTTGCTCAGACACCCGGTCTATACCGACACCCAACTCCAGTCCATCGAGGTGACCCGTCGCGGCAAGCACGGCGTGCGCGACACCCTGGCCTACAACGCTGTCTATCTCATGCGCAAGAGCTTCGACTTGATGACGGGTATGTCCTCCAGCGACCGACACCCGCCACGCCGTTTGTCACTGGCCGGTGGTGGCTGCCTGCTGCGCCGTTGCTCGATGTCTGGCCACGTCATCTGACGCCATGTTCCCGCAACCCCTTGGTTCTGCAGGCTATACCGAAAAACCCGGAGGCATGACCGAGCACCAGTGGCTCAACCGCATGGGTAAGTGGGCACCAGGAGCGATCGTCGCTGCACTCTGTCTGTCGCAGCCGTGTGCATGTCGCCCGCCGTCTTACCTGTTCCCCCTCGATTCGCTAGTGTTCCTGGAGACGGTCGCCGGTGTGCCCGGCATGGTCGGAGGAATGGCTCGCCATCTGCGATCACTGGTAAGGAACTGAGGTGCGATGGTGCAGAGGCGGCTTCTGTGTCTCGATGGATACGCTGAATCTTTCCGAGAGAGTCCCAGCAGTCCTCTCCTCTCAGCGGTGACTGTGCATGTTGCTGACCCCGAGCCTTCTGCCCCAAACTGGATCAACAGCGCTCCATGCGAAGAGACTACGGCTGGGTCCACACTCTCTTGGAAGAGGCCGAGAATGAGAGAATGCATCTTCTGACATTCCTCAAGGTACAGCTCTTCGATCTGTCCGGCGCCAGACTGTGTCAAAATCCGCATTCTCTCTTCGACATCATCTGCCAGCGCCGTTCTAACACGCCAACGACCATCAATCTGCATCCTCCCTCTCCCGCACCCGTTCGTCTCTTGACGATGCACACACGCACTGCCCTGCTGCAGCTCAAGGACCCCGGAATCATGTTCCGTCTTACGGTCATTGTCACCCAAGGCGTCTTCTTCAACCTCTTCTTCCTGACGTACCTCATCAGTCCTCGAACCTGCCACCGCTTCGTCGGATACCTTGAGGAGGAAGCAACACACACCTACACGTGCGCTCTCCGCGAGATTGATTCTGGATCGCTCAAACGATGGTAAGAGGCCCGGTGCGGCTGATGCAAGCGATGCAAGCGATGCAAGCGACGGAAATGATGGAAATGATGGGATCTGTCCCTGCTGGCACAAAGGGCCGATCGAGACATGCGGGTGCACAACAGGCAAGATGCTGTCGGGACAGCTGCCAGTGACCTCCTCAGAGATCCGCCAAGCTCTGACAGCGACAACACTTTGTTCGTGCAATTGCCTCCTCCCCCAGGCAAACTACTCCTGCCCCAAAGATCGCCATCCAGTACTGGAGGCTGAAGGAGGATGCCACTGTCCGCGACGTAATCGCGGCGGTTCGCGCAGACGAAGGTAGGCAATAGAGGGCATGTGCCACCCGATGTTCAGATCGCCATGAGCGACCTCTCTCGCTGCTGATACGCATAGTTGATCGCAGCCATGATGGGGATAGGAGTGGTGTCGATCCGAGAAACATACCTGGGAGGACATTGTCTCTTCCCGCTGCTTGTTTCTGACCAACTGGACTATCCATCTGTCTGCTTGCATCACAGCCGAGCACCGAGATGTCAACCACGGCCTTGGCGACCTGGATATCAACGACCGCAACCCCTTCTAAATGGGGAAAATGCTGCTCGTTTGTCCTGACCGCAGGGTTATCTGCTTGGTTTGCACAAAGCCACCCAAGGATTTCCCCCCCCTTCCTTTCCCCCCTCCTTCCTTTTCCCCCATCCTCCACATCGACGCAATCCGCGCGTCCCATGTCCGATACACGAGCAAGACCAAGCGAATCCCGCTGAAATCCTATGCATGATCCACACCGCTCTACCCCATCCGCTTCTCTCGTTGCTCCTTTCCAGCGTGTGGATAGAATGCAGTTGGGCTGCATCATCGTTGTCTGTGCACAAGAACACATTGAAAATAGAGATCCACACCTCAAACACATCCACAGAGACCACTTGCTGCTCTCCCGCCACCGCCCATCGCCGACCTGTCGTGTGTTCGATCGATCCCAGATCCCGACCAGGAACGTGTGAAACTCCGGGTTGCGAGTCAGCTGCATTTGCTGATTAGTGGCCGTGGCAATGGACAGTCTCGTAGCTCGCCATTCGAGGGCATCGGCGACTGCATCAGCGACTGCATCAGCGACCGCTTCAGAGACTGCATCGCAGCAAACCCGCCGTCCAGCCACAGGATGCCGCCGCACTCGCCACCACGCTGTCCCCAAACACGGGTGGCGATTGCCATGCCGCGCCCTTGCTGCGACACCACCGAGCCCCCCAAGGCCCATCCTCGGATGCACCCCTCGGGCCCAATCTCGACTTGGATTGATTGCTCCCCCGACCAGCGAATCCGCCTGCAAACACCGCCCCTTGTGGAATCAGTCCCTGCACCCAACCCATCCCAGCCAGCTCATCCCGTCCGCTCCTCTCTTTTCACGCTCGCTCTCCCCTCGCGCACCTTCCGCTCACTCGTCACAGTCTTTCCTTCCCTGCATCGTTTCGGGGCCGTCGTTCCTCGATCGCCGGCTCAGCATCGCCTGCCATGGGAGCCAGCCAGACAAAACCGGCATCGCCCACCGATCGTCGTTCGCTAACATCCTTCGCGAGCCGCGATGGCCGAGATCGCTCAAAACCGACCACCCGCACCTCGCGCCTCGTTGAGAGCCAACGACTCATAAACGTAAGGACGCCCGTCGCCATTGCTTGCATTTTGTTGTCCGAAACTGGCATGCAGCCCCGCTTCATAGACCGCCCTTGAGCGGGATGGACCAGGGGATGGACCAAGGGATGGAGCAGAGTCCCACAAGCACGATTCGAGGCTTATCGTCGTTTTATGCTTTTATCCTGATGCCATTGCTCGTGCTCATGTTGCTGCTGCTCGGTGCTCTGCCATCGCCATTCCCTCGAAATACGGGCTCGCCCGTACGGTCGGCTGGCTTTGGAACACAAAATACTGCTTCGCATGGAAAAGTCTCTGGATCCGCCCACTTCAACATCAGCAAAATCCTCCGCAGAGCAGACACCGCCAGTATCGGCGACACCAGCATCGGCAACTTCATCAGCGACAAGGACGATGACAGCAACATCGGCATCGGCATCGACTGCCCCAATATCCAAGCGCGAGTCTGTATCCACTCGGACGGCCAAACCGAATGAGCCCAGCTCGACGCCGTCCAAGGGCCGTCGCGGCCGGCAGACCATTGAAGCCGCTTGTTCGGGTGAGAAGCCCAGCATGGCCAACTCCATCCATGCACCATCGTCGGCGTCGCCGCCACCATCGCTCCATCCCCAGGAGCTCGAGCAGGCGCCCGATACGTCGGACTCGGCTTCAAAACGGGTCTTTCGTTGCCGCAGCTCGTCGGCCACACTGCTTGGTCTCGGACTCGTCGGCATTCGCCCGGCCTATCAGATTCCAGGCATTCCCTTCTACGTCGCTGAACCTGGCTCGCTCGCATCAAGTTGGGAGACCGTCAGCAGCTCATCGCCTTCGGCTGCAGAACCGGCCGACAGAGATGATAGCAACGATCGACACCCGAGCGAGATCCCCAGCTTCCACCGCGGCTGTGATCCATCCGGCGGTCACGCCGACGGTAGTCATGGTCGCTATCTCTATCCCGATCCTGATCTTGATCTTGACGGCGAAGACGCCGAAGGAGGCGAGGCTGTGGATGCCAAACGCCGGGTTCTCCCGAAACCAGACCATGACGCTGTTTCGGAAACAAGCTGCTCCTTCACCTCGGCTCGGTCCAAGTCTTCGCTCGATCTCTCGGCGATGTGGTCGCGGAAGACGCTCGGCCTTGGCACCAACATGCCGAGCAGCGAGTCGTGCTCGGAGAGCATCTACGCAGACTGCCTTGGAGCCCGCAAATCCCTAGGTCGGTTCCCGGCGCGAACGAGGCTGTTCTCAGCCCCGGATGCATCGCGACGAGCGTTGGGCGGCAGTGCTGTCGCCGCTGCTGGTGATTCTGGAATTTGCTCCGCTTGGCTGCTTCAAGGTTTCAGCTTTATCTGCCGGCCTTCGTGCATATTTTGGCCGTCGCACTGGTCGTCTCAGCGCAGGATTCACATTTGAGCTGCTCACACTTTGCATCGTCCCGCTTTCATTCTCACTAGACGATGCAGACCATGCTGCTCAACGGAGTTCGACTCCCTTACCTGAGTCTCATGTGCGGACTCGAGCGCGAGAGACAGCTGCCGCCGTGACCGAGAATGCATCCATCAAGAATACCAGTGGCTCAGGAACAGCGTGGCCGGCCTCCGCGGCATTGGCATTACCTTCGATCAGACCACAACTCGGAGATGGCTCAAGTCACAATGGCGTGCCGGAGACAGCAGAGTCCCGAACCAGCCGCAAGCGGCGGGGGAAGGGCGCACGAAAGTCCGCTGCCGGTATCTCCAAGCCATCAACGGATTTGGTCCCGGAGCCTCAGTGCAGCGTGCAAGCAACAGTCGCCTCGGTCCGGTCCCGGCCAAAAGGACAGCGAGATGCAGATCCACGGTTGCCGGAGCATTCCGGAGGCGAAAAGCCTGGGCTGATAGCCCACAGTACCTGGCCCGCAGGCAGGGCCGACAACATGCCTGCGGAGACCTCGCTAAGCAGTTCGTCTGGCAAACAAATGGCCAAACAGCGACCTGAAGCTTCGTTCTTGGAGCCTCTAGCCGCAACTGCCTCTCGCCTTGAGGCTGATCCAATGCAGGGCTTCCAGAGGCCTGTCAATTCCCTGGCCACGCGCAAGTCCCGCTTCCGGGCCATGCGGCAGCCACAGCCGCAGCAGCAACAGCAACAACAACAGCAGCAGCAGCAGCGACCCGAGGACAACACCAAGGACTGGGTGTGCTTCTTCTGTCAATACGAGATGCTGTTTGTGGGCAACCCCTGGCTCATCAAGCGCCGACGCAAGATCGAGAAGCAGAGAGAGAGGGCTGTCGCTCGAAGTGCCGAAGGCGACTTGGCTCCAGCACGGCATGAATCATATGATCAACGACCGCGGCCGCTCCGTGAGCAGCAACATCCAGCTCCTTCGCTTGGAATGGCCAACCAGGCCACCTCAACGACCGTCCAAGGTCGGCCAAGCGTTTTTCTTACAGCCGGATCTCTGCTGTCGCAAGCTCACGGAGCGGACTCCAGCCGCAGACCGCCGTCACACGAGCACAGGGCAGCAGGTCCGGGCCTGTCATCAACGACCCCAATCTCGAGCAGTATGGCCGACAAATGGCCATCCGGTCCAGTCCCGGATCGGCCCTCTCCAACAGACGACCAAGTACCGTGCTCACAAGCTTGTCCGCCTGTGTCTGTTATGGGTCCCGGCAAGAGCACCAAGAAGCGGCGAACCACGCGAGGCGGCAAAGGGACATCCCGGCGGAAGTGACCTACACCACCCCCGGGCAACTGGATGCGCTGTGCTTGTTCCTGTTCTTCTTTTCTTTTACATTCTGTAGTATGGCTGTATATTCAGGATGATAGGAGGCATGGAGTAGTCCGTGATTGATGGAAATGATGATGACAGGGAAGCGTCCGCCACGGCTCGGCTGGGGTCCTAGTTGCGACGGCGCCATGGTGCGACGAATACAGCTCTTTCAAAATGAAGACGAGCCCTGTTTTCCTTCCCACCTTCGTCCGTTGGGGCCTCCCTTCAGGGAAGGACGATACGAAAGCGATCGACTCCCACACAATAGCCACACTGTTCCGTAAGCTGGCGCCGTAATCCATGAGTGCCGCTGGGAAGTGAGCGACCGATTACCGAGGGCCATCGCATTTTGGGGCAACAGCAGTCGAGCTGCACGAGAATATATTGCAGTACGCATACAGGTTTTGTTGGAAGGGGGGGGAGCGAATAAAACAACTGAAAGGTCAGGGGCACTGCCATGAATGCTCGAGAGTCTCATTCAGGGGTCGAGGTCCATGTCCGTCGGAGCCCGTTGTTGCTGTTGCTGTGGAGGAGGGCGCCCAAATGCGGACGGAGCGGGCTGCTGTTGCTGTTGCCGTTGTTGTTGCTGCTGCTGCTGCTGCTGCTGTTGAGCAAACATTCTTTGGGGCGCTTGCTGCTGTGATTGAGCCCCAAATGTAAACCCGCTCACTTGGTTTGTGTTCGCATTCATGTTCGTATTCGCATTCATGTTCGTGTTCGCATTCGTGTTCGCATTCATGTTCGCATTCGTGTTGGTGTTTGTTTGTGCTGGCCTGCCAAATCCAAAGCCAAACGTCGGTGGTACTTGTTGCGCTTGCTGTGCTTGTGGCGCTTGCCTGGATGCCCCTGAATAGGCGGTGCTGGCTTGCTGGCCAAAGGCGCTGCTGGACACTTGGAAGGCACCCTGCTGCATCTTCTGGATTGGAGCAAATGTTGCCGAGCCAAAGTCGGTATACAGGTTGCGCTGCTGGCCGTGCACATTCGCAACCTTGGTGTAGCTGGACACTGCCGCGCTTGTCCACGACTGGGCCGACATGAGCCGGAGACATCCGTCGAGGTCGCTGAGGAATCCAAGGTAGAGCATCCAGTCTTCGCTGGAGAATTCGCTCGGGGCAGGGAGAGTGTGGTAGACGTCCACGCTGGTCGTCTCTGGGTTCGGGAAGAGGTCGGTTCGGCTGCTGGCAAGACCATACGCAGCGAGCAGGAGCTTGATCAGCTTGTCCCGTGCATCCATGAGCACCTTCTTGCCTTGATTGTGTTGTGCATTGTTTGCGTGCTTCATGGCTTCAGGGAGAGTCAATGCCACAAGAGTCCGACACCGCTGCTTGGCTACAGCGAGGCTGGGTCGTTCGCTGGGCAGCGGGAAGACTGGCGACTGACTGAGACGAATGCGGCAAACAGCAGGCTCATTCAAGCGCTCGATTTTTTCGCCGGTCGATACCCGTTCAAAGGCGCAATCGGCCGACAGGGCAACAACACTGCTCTCGGCTGTGGTTGCGCCATCGGCACTGTCGCTGTCGCTCGCAGGTGTGTGTTCCAACTCGATGAGAATGCTCTTGGACTCTTCGCTGAAGAGATTGGCGATATCGACAGTGATGCCTGTGGGCTTGAAAGGAACGACTCGCTTGCCTGCGTAGATGAACGACTTGATTGCCAGACTCGGGAGGACGGTTCGGACCGAGACGCTCAGGTTCTGGAAGGGCATCGCCTTGATGGCGCCGAGGCAGCCGGCAAAGGCGTCTTGGATGGCATCGTTGTTCGAGATATATGCGTATTCACCACCCTCGGAGAGGCTCTTGAGCAGGGCGGCGTCGTGGGACGATCCATAACCAAAGGTGTAAATCGGGATGCTGAGCGACCTGGACCAATTTTGGATCTCGAGGTACGCTCGTTCGTTGCGGTGGTTGTCGTCACCATCGCTCATGAGCATGACACCCGCGGCTTGGTTCTTGGTCGATCGTTGCGCCAGGAGATTGAAAGCCTCGCTCATGCCGCTGGGAATGACCGTGCCACCGTCGGCACGGAGCGACGCGCAGATCTGTGAGAAGGCTTCACGGTTCTGCTGGTTGGAAAAGATTAGATTGCATCTGCGCGTGGCGGCACTGCTGAAGGTCACGATCGCGATGCGATCCTTGGGTCCGAGGTGGTCGTAGATGTACTGGAGCGTCTGGCGGACATATTCGATCTATGAGGGCATCCGTCAAAGGCAGCGTTAGTGCGAGGAAGGCGGCGGGCATGCCAAGTGGCGAGGGGCCGCTCGGAAGCGGTAGTGGCCGACTCAAGGCGCGAAATCATGATGCGCTTGGCAGCATCAAAGAGTCGGAGCGGAGCAGTGCAGAACAGAGGGGATAGTCCTTGCCGCGAGCGGAAGCCGTGGGAAGCCGCACTAACCTTTTCTCCACACATGGAGCCAGATACGTCGACGACAAGCACCAAGTCGATATCGGTGGATACTTGGGTCTGAGGGGCTTTGACAGTTGCTATGGCATGGAAACTCGCCGGGCCGGTGCCCCTGGCTGGAACAGAAGCATACTCGAGTTCGAGTGCAATTGTTGGTGCAAGCGTTTCGGCAGACCCAGCAGCAACAGCAGTGTTCGCATCAGGAGCACTCTCGACCAACTGTTCCCTTTCAAGGATGTCTTGGGTGTACTGGGGCGGCTGGGGCCTTCCAAAGCTTCCAAAGAGGCCTGGCGTTTTAAAAGTCCCAGATGGCTGGGGGGCTTGAGATGAACCGAAGCCCCCAAATCCACCGAATCCCCCAAAGCCCCCGAACCCTCCAAAGTGTCCGGTGGGAGGCGGGGCAACATTGGCATTGGCATTGGCATTGGCTGGAGCCGCAACCTGGACTTGGACTTGGGCTTGGGCTTGGAGGGGTGGAGCCAGTGGCAAAGCGGCGGCAAGCAGGTTTGCAGCCGATGCTTGAACAGGCACCCGGCAGACGCTGTGAGGCGGAGATGTGGGAATGGGCAAGACAGCGAATGAGTATGGGGTGTGCGGGTCCGGCACAGATCTTGTATCAACACACCTGCAAAGCGGATTGGCGACGCCAGTGTATGTGTTGATGAAGCACTGCAGATGCAGGTGGTGGCCACAACCGGGGTTGATGGTGGGAGGACCGCCAAAGCGGGAGAGCTCCTCGATGCAGATGGGGCACTTGTCGGTGGGCTCGGCGAACATGATGCAAGATGGACTGCCTCCAAAGGACAGGCCGCCGAGCCCGGTATTTGAAGCATGGTGGCTGCAGCAGCCGAGAGCGGCAAAGCATGAGCCGCGTCGGGCGAGAGTGGCAAAGCACGTCTGCGAGAAGGCCTCTTGGCGAGCGAGAGGCGGAGCGAGACCGAACAGAGGGCGCCTGGCATTGGCTGTCTCGTTCGGGGCGATTGACGGCTCCGCGCTGCCCCCATCCAGTGTCTCGTCGCCATTGTCCATCCGGCGTGCTGGTGGCATCCCCGCCAAGCATCTCTTCTTCGGGATCAGCCATCTGCCACAGCGCACCCGTCTTGCAGTCGCCACGCAAACCAAATGGGGCTCAAGCGACCCTGCAGCCCAGAGCCTGCTGCCGATCTCCCCTCCAAGGCGGGGCGGCTGGACTCGCCGCTCGCTGCAGAGCCGCCCGATCTGGGGCTGCAGCAACCCAGCCGTCCCGCCATCGACCCACCACAGACGCAGACTCAGCAGCACCACGCAGCCTCCACTGAGGCACACTCGTCTCTCGATAGCCACGATCTGCTCACCATCTTGGTCTGCAACGATGCCTTTGTCGAGATCATCGATCTGCCAACCCTCAATAAGCTCCCGCGGCTTTCACGTCAATACACACGCATCTTGTCCCTCGTCGCCGACGATCTGTGGAATGATAAGCTCTATATCCATCTGGGAATTGAGTCTATATTTGATGCCGATGGCGAAGCGTACGATGTGGATGGCATCGACATTGACGAGAGGGCTATCCTCGAAGGCGCATGCCATTTCCTCAGCCGCAAGAACCATCTCCCCCGCAGCCATGAAGCATACCAGAAGGAGCTTTCGCTTTGGTGGGCGCTTGCCATGCTGCCCATTTTGAAGTGTGGTGAATTGGGCGAGAGGCTGGATCAAGCTACCGGGAATATGCCCACTCGTCTCTGCGACTGCATCACATACGACGACTCCAAGAAACTCGAAACACCCGATCTCAACGAGCAGTTCCGGCTCCTGGACGCCTCACAGATCATACGAAAGGACCTCTGTGAGGATTGTGAAGCAAGTGTCAACCACGAATCTGTAAACTACCTCTATATTGGACGCTTTGGGAGCAATCCCTTCTACACCGATAGTCAGCTGGCTGCATTACTTCCCCACGAGTACGCTCCGTTGTCAAGTGCGCTGGTGACAAACCTGACCCTCATTGACTGCTCGTTTGCGTCGCTCTCGGGTTGGCCAAACAGACTTGATGGCCTGAGCAGCTTGTGCATCAAAAGGACGTCGCAAGGACCACCGATTGAGAGCCTCGCTGGAATGCCGTCGATACCCAAGCTAAGATCACTCTCGCTCCCTGATACCTTCGCGAGCTGCGAGGATCTACCTCGGAATACGAATGAACTTGCCAATCTCGACATCTCCTCGTGCACCCGTATCACCTCCCTCAACGGGCTTCCCTCATTTCCAAACTTATCAAGCCTGACACTCCCTCCATTCATAGAGAGCCTCGAAAGTCTTCCTCAGGCTCTTGATCAACTCTACTGGCTCGATCTGTCCGCCTGCATTCACCTCAAATCACTCAAGGGACTTCCTCCACTGCCAAGAGTATCACAACTTCGGCTTCCTCCATCCATAGAGAGCCTCGAAGGCCTTCCTCCTGATCTTGATCGACTTCACTCGCTCGATTTTTCCGCCTGCATTCACCTCAGATCGCTCGAGGGACTTCCTCCACTACCAAGAGTATCGCAACTTGAACTTCCTCCATCCATAGAGAGCCTCGAAGGTCTTCCTCAGGTTCTTGATCAACTCCACCACCTCAATCTTTCCGCCTGCATTCACCTCAAATCACTCAGGGGACTTCCTCCACTGCGGAATCTGTTACGCTTCCAATTTCCTCCATCCATAGAGAGCCTCGAAGGCCTTCCTCCTGATCTTGGTCGACTTTACTCGCTCGATCTGTCCACCTGCATTCACCTCAAATCACTCAGGGGACTTCCTCCACTACCAAGTGTATCACAACTCACACTTCCAAAGTTCGGTCGGAACCTGAACGATCTCTCGGGCTGGGTCGACTGGCTCAAGGAGTCCCCAACATGGAATCGCTTGATCGGATCAAGTCAGCGGCTAGAGCGTGCGATTCCTAAACTCCTCGATCTGGACATTGCACTGCCAATCGGTGGATTTGATGCGCTCCGGGGGTCATTCGGGGCTCTCAACTCACTTCGTATCAACGTGGACGGATCCGAGAATGTAATAAGCTCACTGCCGCTCATGCCAAAGCTCACACGGCTGTCGATTGCTGGGACTATAAAGGACATGAGCCAATGGTGCGAGCCAACACGTCCATCTACCGACGACAGTACGAAGCAATGCGACGGGATCGAATCGCCGATGGCCTCGAAAATGCCGAACTTGAATTTTCTGGTTCTTCCGGCGTCAATCGAGTTGCTGGATCAGATCCCGACAGACCTCCATTTGGCTCGTGAGCTGGATCTGTCGGCATGCGAACGGCTGCGATCAGTCGGTGGTCTATCACCGATGAAGAATCTGTGTCGTCTCAAGCTGCCAGCATCGCTCAAAACGCTAAAGTCCATGAAGCGTGAATTGGCTTCGTCTCCGTCCTTGACAATCATCGCGCCTGGGCTCGAGACGGTGGAAGGCATGCCGGCCGCCGGTCTGCTGAGAGACCTCCAACTCAATGCGCCGATTGTGACTCTGGAGGGAATGTATCCGAATTATCCGTCTCTCAGGAGGCTCAGTCTTACCTCTTGTTCGAATCTCAAGTCCCTCACGGGCATGCCTCAGATGCCGATGCTCGAGGTCTTGAGCTTGCCGTACTCGATCGAAACTCTCAGAGGGATGCCAACTGTCCAAGAATCCATTAAAACTTTGTCGCTGAACAGATGCGACAAACTAAAATCTCTGGAAGGTCTTCCGAGCATGCCGCGCCTCGTTGAACTGACCCTTCCCTCGAACCTCGAGAGTCTGGATATCCCCTCAGTCAGTTTGAACCGCTTGGAGCGGCTTCAGATGGCGTCATGTTGTAATTTGACGACGCTTGAGGGGTTTCCGCAAGTGCCACAGCTCAAATTCCTTAGTCTTCCTTCATCCGTCACCAGCTTCAAAGGACTCCCTTTGACGCTTGGGTCGCTCAGAACGTTGATACTCGCGAATATGGAGAGCCTCGCCTCTCTGGATGGGCTTCCGCATATGCCCAAGCTCAACCGAATTGTGACGCCCGAGAAGCTCCGCAGCGCACCTATCGTCGAGACACTCAGGGCCGCGATCAGAGAATACCGGCCAAAAGCTGTTATTGTATGAAGAATTGCCAGAAGCTGCGATGAGCAATTGAAAGATACACTAGTAGGTGGGAGTGACAGGGCTGATGTAGGCAAATCCCTGCTACCACTTGCTTTCATTTCAGGCGCATCATCGATGCTACGCCGGCCTTACCCTAATCTAAGTATCATTCTTGATATGGGTAGCATTCCTGATATGGGTAGCATTCCTGATATGGGTAGCGTTCGTGATCGGTGCGATTCTGCCTGCATGCTCGGCTCGATCTGGCCCCGATGGGAATTGCATTCGGTCCGCTGGCTTTGAAACGGAGCACCGTGATTTGTGGCAGCTCGTGCATAGCATCCCTCTTGCAGCAATACAACGGCCCGTGGGGTCATACGCCGTACCCTTGACCCCGTTGAGACGCAGTGGAGAACACCATCACCACTCACAAGGCGCCTGCTACCAATGTCAAAGGATGTGTCGAATGTATTCGATGCCACGCCGTCAGCACAAGCTCAAAGTGCATTGCATTGGAAACGCTGTATTGAAAGGGAAGACGAAAGGAGAACCGAGGGATGTGCTCTGACCTAAATCCACCAAGCTCGAGAGCTCGAACTAGTCATACGGAGAGCGCAGACGAGACCCCGAGACATTGCCGGCACAAGCGACAGTCGTCCTCTGGTGAAAATACGACGAGGAAAGTTGCGAGAAGAAAGCGAAAGGAGAGAGGGAAACCGAAGCACATTCACGACGGATTTGGCCGAGCGAATGTGCCAAGTCCAGTTGAGCACAAGGGCAGAGGGCAGAGGGCGATGAGAGAGTATGAGATTGTATGAGCGGGCGGCAAGAGGATAGCAAGTTGGGAGAGTACAGGAAAAGAACAGCGATGCAAGCAGATAGCAGCGCCTCGGCGCTACATCTTATAGATGGCCGGTCGTCTACAAGTAAGCCACAAGCATGGAGAATACAGTCAAGCAGCGGCAGCGACCCCGGACGAAGTGGGGCCAGGTGCGTCTTGGCCGAGCACTTGAGCACGGCTAAAACGCACTCTAAACTATAATGGAGGCCTCCCATTCCGCCATGACCACACCGGTGGCCACAACCAAGTCGACCATGTGCTGGGCTTGGGAATACACCTCAAGGGTGCACAGCTTCTCGCCCTTGCCCTTGAACCATGCCTTGACGATGGAGGCAACCTTTTTGTTTCCGTGCATCAGGTCCTTGCCGTTCCGCCAGACGTATTCCTCACGATCGAATCCACGGAACCGTCGCGATGACTGCCACATGTCGGCCGGCTTCTCCAGAGTGGTGGCTTTGCCGTCGGCGCGGCCGCCCTCGCTCTGAGGCGGCTCCATGATGATCAGATCTTGGCTGTTGACGTTCTTGCGGACAACAAAGTCGACGGAGCCATCGGGGCCGTGGCGGCGGATACGGACCACCCAGCCAGCTTGCAGGGTCGACAGGTCCACGGGAAGGGGCATCTCGAGGTGGAAGGCACACGTGCTCAAGTCCTCCAGATAGACCTGGGTGATCTGCAGGCCGGTCCGGTAGACGTGGAGGATGATCGGGGAGCCATCGGGATTGGGAGGTACCACCGGCGGCTTGTCCTCGACGACCTGGGCACGGGTACTGCGTGCGACCGTCTCGACAACAGGACGGCCAGCACGGACAGCGTATTTGGGGACACCGGGAGCTGGAGGCCGCGGGGCGATGGCATCAGGACGCTGGGGCAGGCGAATCACCGGCGGCACGACGGTCTTGAGCAGGGTCAGCGCAGGTGTGTATGGCTGGAGTGAGTCAACCCCGGGATCGTCGAGAGAAAGCGACTCGCACGATTCAGCCACTGGCTTGTTTGAAGGCTCGGTGGCAGCCAAGGGCGAAGGCGACGGTTTTGGAGAAATCGCTCGGGTTGATGAGGCGCTGGCAGAGGGCTCAGTCTCGGACGCCGAATCCAGGTCAGGGGTGGAGAGACCCGAGCCGTCAAGGGCGTTGATGCTCTTGAGGCGATTGTATTCCTTGTGGAAGAAGGCCAAGCGCTCCATCAGCGGCATGCCTTCGAATCTCTGGACAGTCTCGCGAAGTGTCTTGTCGAGGGCAGCGGCCTGCTGCTGGGCCTGGTCGCGCTCGGCGATCAGAGCCTGCACGGCGTCCTCGCCGAAGCTGGTACTGTTCTGGACAGCTTCGAGCTGGTGCTGGAGCTCAGCGTTGCTGGCCTTGAGGTCCTCGTTCTCTTTCAGAAGGCGCTTGATCTCCTTGGCCGAGAGATCGACCGTCAGTTCCAGTGAGGCAATCTTTTTCTTGAGCTCCCGGTTTTCGGCGAGCAGGGGAGCGTTGTGCGAGAGGCCATCGTTGCTGTTGAAGGAGAAGCTGCGCTCGACCTCGACGGGAAGGGGCGAGGCGACCACGCTGTTTGGGCTGGACTCGTTGCTGGTCGAGCGAGTCATACTCAGCTCCGAATTGAGCGCTTTCAGGCGCTGCTTCAGCATGAGGTTTCGGTACTCGGCCTCCTTTCGCTGGAGCTCGGCCTGCAGACGCTGGTTCTCGTCGTCCACATCGGAGAGGCCGGCCGGGACCGTCACGCCGGAAAGCGGACTGGAGATCACCGGCTGAGACTCAACGACGATGGTCTCGACGACAACGGTCTCGATGACTTCGGCGGCCGAGACGTCGCTGAGATCGACGGACGAGCCTTGGTCAGGGATCGGCAGGGAGGTAACCATGGACATGGTGGGTCGAATATGGCCACGGCAGATGTGGTGGCAACGAGCAGGGCTTTGTGGGTGAGTGGCGGAGAAGCCTGCGGATGCGTGGAGGAGGCAGGGACAACTGAGGGGGGGGGCAAGACGGCGCTGAGCCCGGGGGTCGGCCAAGATCAGATTTAAGCAGACGAAGCCGCTGGAAAGCGTTGCTGGGCAGGGCAAAAGCGAGCCGGACGGGGTGGCGCGAGCACAGAGCGTATTCTTAGACTGTGCGACGCCGACACGCCGACCGCGCACGGCCACAGCATCGCCGCTGCTATTTTGAGGGCGGCGCGGATCACGGATGGGACACCTTCACACGCAGATGGCTTGTGGATCGGTTGATGTTGATCGTTCTGGCTGAACGGCTCTGATTTGCACCCAAACCGGCGATATTGGTCTTTGCCCTGTGTCTTCCTCCCTCATTTGAGATCTGTCTTCTTGCTCTGACCTGCGGTGACTGCATCTGCAGCAGCTCGCTGGTTCCGTCGTGTCCACCCACTCCATGCATCTCCCTCACACAGGGAAATGACTCGACCCACTTGAACGGGTGTGTGATATGATCCGGCTACGCCGTGTTTGTCCGAATGAGACGATGTGCCCCATTGCTTCCTCAACTGGTAACATCGCAAGGCAGCGATGCGCAAGTCAAGCAGGGGGGGGGCAATGGCCTGTTGCGAGCCCACAAGCCATTCGGTCGTTGGTCGAATACTCCATTTTCATTGTATTGTCCGTAAGGCTCTAGATACAGTTGCACATCGACCTCATCCAGCCTGTGCTGACATTGTCCCATTTCGTGCTGCGAGCGCTTCATTTTGTAAGCGCCGAGCCAGCTCTGATGTTCGTGGAATCAAGAGTAGCCCAGGTTCGTCTCTTTCAATGGCGCTGTGCCCCTGGCGTTCCTAAGCGGACTTGCTTTTCTTTGCATCTTTCGCGCGTTTCTTCTCCTTGGTCTTGTTCAGTTTCTCCTTCTCGGGCCTCTCACGGTCGCTGGACTTCTTGCTTTCCTTGGATTTGTCTTTGCTCTTCTTGGACTTGTCTTTAGCCTTCTTGGACTTTTCTTTGGACTTGTCACCCGTGGTCGTTTTGGTCTTCTTGGTCTTCTTGGCCTTCTTGGGAGGCTGAGAAGCATCGCTTTCGTCATTTTCTTCCTCGTCGTCTTCGTCGCTCTCGTCTCTCATCCGCTTACCGAGCGACTGGTCGTTTGCGGGGATTTCCTTGCTTGGCTCTGTCTGTTCGTCCATCTTCAAATTTCCGGCCTTGACAAAGCTTCGGAGACCCGTGCCGTTCATAAGCTGGAACGTCGCGAGCGTTGGGGTGGCCGTTGGGGTGGCCGTTGACTGGACAGGCTCGGAAGCACTCTTGGCGCTTCCAAATCCAAGCCCACCAAAGGACGGCTTGTCATCCCAGTCGCTGTCGCGATCATCTTCCTGTATCCGCGCGGTCCTCAGAGACGCCAATCCATTCGAAGCATTGAGTTTTTCTTTCATCTTCGAGGCAAAGTAGTCGTGCACATTTGACCCCTTGATGATGGTCAAATTGGAGTGTGATTTCGGCTCGCGCTCCTGGGCCGAGGTTGAGTCGCTGTCGCCGTCACTGCTTGGGGGCTCGTCCTCGGGCTGCTTTGAGGTCGTCTGGGATGATGCCTTGATGCCAAAAATGGCGTTCAGCGCATGGGAGTCGTAGCCACTCACATTTTTGTTTCGCAAAAACTTTTTTCGGTGGCTGATTCACGATTGCAGTGGACCCGGAGAGAAGGCCAAGATATCCAGGCAGATCATCAGACCATAGATCAGGTTAGCATCAGAGACAGTCGTCAATCCATCCAAACTGGCCGAGGCATTGGGCAAATAGAGACTGGATGACCTACAGCAGACGTCCTCGCGACATCAGCTTGTTGATCTTGTCTTCTGAGGAGACATCAGGCTCCTCAACCGCTCGCTTGCTGCCACTGGCGCTCTCTTCCGAGTTCTCCTTTTCGTCGACATCGCTTTCCTCCGGGGCAGCATTTTCCTGCTTCCTCTGCTTTTTCTTGTCCTTCTTGTCTTTCTTGTCCTTCTTGTCCTTCTTGTCCTTCTTGTCCTTCTTGTCCTTCTTCCCTTTCGTCGTTTTCTTCTGTTTTTCATCCTTCTCACTGCTCTCGCCACCGTCTTCGTCGCTGTCCTCGTCCTGGGTCGCCTGGCTTTGCTCAGACTCGACTTGCTGATTCAGCGATTCTAGCAGCGAAGTGAATGCGTTTGAATGATCGATCCAGTTGTCGATCGTTCGCCGAGTTGCCCCAATGCCTGTTGTAATGGAAAACGATAACACAGTTCAGCTGCCGTTTGGTTGCATCGGCAGGGCAGCCGAATCGGCCAGTCTCGCTCGTAGCCATATGGGACGGCACTGTGGAAAAGTCGCCAGGATGCGCTCTCGGTCGGAAGCAGATGCATACCATGGTTGTTGTTCTTGACTTTGACCTGGATGTGCTCGCGCATACCGTCCTGGTTCGTCCCCAGGCCCTTGTTGGAGTCCCATCCCATTTTCTGCAGCATTTTGAAGCCGAACTTGTCGGTATCTGGACGACAGGAACAGGAACAGGAACAGGGACAGGGACAGGGACAGGAACAGGAACAGGGCAGACACCGATCGATATGTCATAAGCCTTCCATCGCCATTTTAGGGGCTACTCCTTCGCAGTCGAGGCATACCCATTTGCCAGTCTCTCTAATGGAACGAACAACGCACCGTCACTCCAGCTCTTGTTCTGAGGGTCGACCCCAATTCGCTGCTTTCGCCTTGGCTCCGAGAGACCCATGATGGCTGCTGTGATCTGCCGTTCGCGGTATGTCTGTCGCTTCTGCTTGCTCCGTCGTACTCTGTCGTGCCGCTTTGTTCTGGTTCGTGCTGTCCTTTGCAGTCTCCTATGGTCGCTGTGGCCTCCCCGTTGTCGTGGCTATCAACGACGGAGCGCAACTCAGCGGGATGCTGCTGGTGATGGCCTCGGCCCAGCAGAAAAAAAGAAAGTCGCACACGCTTACCTAATTGGGATTCCGACATGCGCAGCCAGAAAAGCAAGGAGGGATGTCGGTGCCGGACCTGGCACTATCAATTTTTTCCGGCCCCTCGTGGCTGCTCATCTCGGTCACCTGAAAGTCACGTTGTATGTGGCGCAGTAAAAGTTGGAATCCGGCCATGGTCTGTTGACGGCATTTGGTACCACCTTGAGCCGATTGATGGTGGTGGTGGGCGATTGGTGTGGAGGAATGACCAATTGTATCATTGTTGGAAGCTCCACTCCGATTGCGGACAAGAACCACCACCATCTGAATCTCTCTGGTTGGAAACCTAGTCAAGCGTGGCTGTGTGTCAGCGAGATGACATGATCGTTTGGCTATCAGGCAAGACTCACCTTGACAAGATGTCTTCCCACGACTGATTGAGCCAGCGATGCGTTTCTGGATCTGAATCAAGGACGCCACTGTGAACAGCATCACTCCCTGCCCAAAAATGCGCTGGATTTGAGGAGATTCTTTCTTCCCCAAGGACAGAACCAGCCATCGTCGCTATTTTCTCGCCAGATGGCTCCCCGCAAGAGAAAGACACCACCCAGGCGACCAAGTGGATCCAGAGCACCCACAAGATCCCTGGTCTGCAGCAATGGATGAGCACCACACCAAGTCCCAAGATCCCTGGGTTGGATCCCTTCCTGCGATACATTCGCCATGTGTTCGATGGAGACATGCTGGACAAACAGCTGTACTTCAGCCTGACCCGGCGACGGCGATTCAAGCGACTCGATCTCCACAGCAAGCGACAGCGCACCGTCCACGAGATGTGCAAGCAAGTCATCGACCAGGCACCAAGGGAGACCGACATTGTGATTGCCTTTGGAAATGCCTCCTGGAAGCAAGGGAAGGGATACGCATCCAGCCCACGGAGACTCAGGTTTGCCAAGTACTTTGAGCAGTTCACCCACCACCAGAGACGCCCACCAGACCCATCCGTCTCCAAGATCCATGTGTGCTCGGTGAACGAGTTCAACACATCCCAGGTGTGCTCACATTGTCGGGAAGCCAAGCGACTCGAGAAGGTCGAGCATCTTGATGTCGAGAAACCACACTTTGTCCGGAGCTGTGCAAGCTGCCATACGTTGTGGGATCGAGACATCAATGCAGCCAGGAACATGATCTCGGTATGCCAGTCGATCATCGCCACAGGAGATCGACCGGGTGTATTCAAGACTGTGCTTCCCAAACCAACCAAAACAAAGCGATTGCCAACGAAGACAGGAGTGCAATCCCATGGCCTACCCGCTGGGCCTACAAGTCAGTCAGCGGGCTTCAGAAGCCAGAAAGTGACTGTCCCGTTTCTTTCTGGATAGACTGTAAGTATCTCGCACTGTTCCTTGAGTATTTCGACAGTGGATGCCGGGTCGCCCATATTCTGGGCAGTCCACTTCGGGGTTGCCATCCCTCTTGGGATGGTGATGGGAGGTGTTTGACTCCCTTGCAAAGTGTGTGTGTGTGTGTGTGTGTGTGTGACGGCGAGAGGCTTCTCGCCAGAGACTGCTCTTCTCGCCGACCGAGGTGGCTCCGAGAGCGCGTTTTTTCGTTCTCGCTCATTTTATTAACATGAAATTTTTTCATAGTGTGGTTGGCGACCTTCCACCCGCATCCGCCTGCATTGGCCCTGACGGTCTGGCTCTGCCGATCGGGCATATCATACGCAATCGCCGGCGTGCCTCCCATCTTTGCGCTTTTGCTGCTTTTGCTTTTAGCCCTCGGCGGCGCTCGCACCAAGCTCTTCGCCACACACCGAGTTTGTCCGGACTTGAGCATCGCGATCACCACCGATAATCAGCAGCCCTGAAATATGCCGTCTGCATTCGACAGGGTCGAGCAGGGCCTGGCCGAGCAGGTCTGGAACATGGTGCTTCCTCTGCAGATATCAGCGGATCCGCAGGAGCTCAAAGCCTTTGGTCCAAACACGGCACCCAGCCCGGCGGTATTCTATGTACGGTATTAGCAACCATGATTCCTCGCCGAAGAAACCAAGGGCGTGCTCGAGTCAGTCTGCCTTGTCTGCTCCGCTGGATATAGCCTCTCGCTCGAATGGCAGAGGACAGCATGGGTTGCTGACTCTTACTTGGCTTCTGCCGGCTCTCGACAGGCGCTCTGCCCACGACATTCATACCTGCCTCTCGTGGCCGCCAACGCCAAGGCCTTCTTCATGGACCTCTTTGAGCTCTCGTCCGATCCAAACGATTCAGAAATATGGTTTTCATACCAAAACGAGCCTTTGAAATGGTACCGCTAGTTGTGCAGATCCCAGGGAGGATATCGACGGAAGTGACAATGCTGTAAAGCTGAGGACATGACCGTTGGAAGCTGCGACAGCATCATCGACAAGCGTCTGCACGAGGGAGGCGCAGCCCCACTATCGGAGCAAGAACACCATCATTGACCGAGATGCATACCTTCGGCGCTCCGCATTTCCCACACGCCGGCACGATATCCAGGCACTTTCCGATAGGGCTTCTCTTTGACATGTTCCAAGCCGCCACTCCTTCGACAGTCCCACCGACACCCTGGAAGATCCATATCCACTTTGGAGGGTTCCCGGCAGACAAGCTCATCAAGTTCCCCAGCAGCGGTACCTTGTTTGACTTTTTTATGTCATCCATCAAAGAGGTGAGTCCCAGCGAACATCGGATGGATGACTCTGCATGATTCGGAATGCGATCGCAGTAAAGGACATATTCGCCTCAAGACATCACAACCACTCTGATGCTCTGTTGGCGGATGAACCACCGTGTCTTGGACTTGTAGGCCGACCATCTGCGCAACGGATCCACAAAGAAGGTCATGGCTCTCTCGAAGGCCGATCAGTTGAGTCTTTGGGATGGATTATGTCAGAGTAAGGCTCGTGCGGCATGTGGGCGCAAGTCAAGGACAAACGATGGCCTTATCTGGCAAAATGTAGACCACAATGAGCAGCAAGAGTGTGACGGTAAAGGCTGTGGGTCGAGGCCTTTGAAGCGCCGAGTTGGCGACCGCCAACTTTGCTCGGCAAAGGCCGGCGAGCGACCCCCATGTCGTTCGGACCAATAACCAGGGCCTCATCTTCGCTCTCAGACGACAGCCAAAAATTCTGGGCCGTCAATCTCAAGCTTGTTGTGATCGAGGATGGCTCAACGCCGCCGCGAGCCATCCCAATGAGAATCTATAGCGAATCAAAAGCTGTCCTGCAAGAGCCTGTGCCGTGTGTCAACAGAGAGACTGGCGCAGACCTGACTCTCGGCGACGTCCTGAACCTGGCCAGTATCGAGACATTCCCTGATCCACAAGCCTACCAGACTCATGTCCCGCTTGTTCATGGGACCATCCCCAAGGCCGAGACGCCGATCCTCTGGCTGAGTCAGAACATGAGTTTTCCAGACGGATTCCTGCATGTTGTGATCCGAAGCCGGGAGTGAGAGCCACTGCGACTCATGAGGACAGCCTGTGTTGTAGAAGAGCCAAGCAACGTAGCAGCCGACGGCAGCTAAAGGATTGGCCCTGTGACCGGCGTCGTTTGTCAGAGGTCAAGACCCATGCAACTACAGCGTTTCCAAAATGAAATGGGACAGCTCGCTTCTAACCAGGACAGTGTTTTTTCTGGAACCTGAATACACCCACCCACTCATCGCATTCATGGCCAAGCAAGTATGTCCAAGGAGACCGACGTGGTGATTGCCTTTGGGAATGCTTCGTGGAAGCAAGGGAAGGGATATGCCTCCAGTCCCAGGAGACTCAGGTTTGCCAAGTACTTTGAGCAATTCCACCACCACCAGAGACGACCACCAGACCGATCCGTCTCCAAGATCCATGTGTGCTCGGTGAACGAGTTCAACACATCCCAGGTGTGCTCACATTGTCGGGAATTCAAGCGACTTGAGTCACCCGAGTATCTTGATATCGAGAAACCACACTTTGTCCGGAGCTGTGCAAGCTGCCATACGCTGTGGGATCGAGACATCAATGCAGCCAGGAACATGATCTCGGTATGCCAGTCGATCATCGCCACAGGAGATCGGCCGGGTGTATTCAAAACTGTGCTTCCCAAACCAATCAAAACCACTCGATTGCCAACCAGGACGGGAGTGCAATGCCATGGCCTACCCGCTGGGCCTACGGATTGCTGGGAGTGACATTCAGGAGCATTGCTCCGTTTCATTCCGAAGAAGTTGTATACAATACTGATATTTTCGTTGTTTGCTTCGTGATATTCTGACAACACAAGAAGCAAGAGGAAGCAAACAGAGACTGAGGCAGGTGGGAGAAGTGGCCGAGGACCATAAATCTGGACAATCACAATAGAGAGAGCATCAAGCACCAGAAGTGGGGAGAGTGAACTAACTGAGAGACGAGCCCGGACACAAGAAAGGAAATATATAGATTCAGAATGTTCACCGATCGCTGCAGAAAGGGTTTCGGGTATGTGTGTAGGAGTCGTAACAGCGCTTCGGTGATGAGAAAGAAGGAGCGATGTGAGTTGTAAATATAGAGGCGTCTCTGGTCGATTGCTCGGACCGCCCTGTGGGAGTCGGAACGAGGCTCACTGCAATTTGGCCGAGTCCACGATCGGCTCCATGACCGACTTCATGGTGCCCAATAATTGCGGGTGTCCGCGGTACGCAGTAGCGATCAACACACAGCCGTAAGCGAACGGGACTGGGGATGCCGTGCAAACATTGGGCCGTCCCGTTATGCGATGATGCAGGAGGTAGCGGGGCTATCGTCGGCCTTGAGTCGAACATGAACCTTGTAATCGTTCGCGTAGGAACCGTCGCGAGTCAGGGTAGCTCGCAGTTCGCCAATGATCCAGCCGTTGCTCTCGATTTGTGACCGAATGAGGGCCAGGGTGTCGTTTTCTTCATGACGAGAGAAGTTGTTGAAGGTCCTGACGTGACAGTCGCACTCGAGCCGGCCCTCAGCAAGTGCCGTATTGATCTGGTCCACCACAGGATTGACCAGCTCAGCCAGTCGGTTGCGGTAGATGGGAAGCGCAGCCTGCTTCCGATTGACCGCATTGATGGGAGGCGGAGCCGTCGCAGATGACACTGGAGAAATCGAGGGCATACAGCAAGGCCAATGGAGTAACGAACAAGTGGGGCCAAAATGCGGCGGGAAGTCAGCGAGGCCACGGGGTCATAGAGTCGGTGCGATGACGGCGAATGATGCAATTGCGCAAGCATGCTATATCGAGATCCACAAATGTGTGATGAATCAACGTGCGTGAAACAGCGAGCAGAGACGAGTTGGAGCGTAGGGGGGTTCACACCGACACCAATGATGGACCAACAAAATGCACCGGGGGCCGAGCGATCGAAAGCCGCAAGCCAGGACAGCGGGGCGCTGTGTCCAGCAGCAGAGACGTACCATAAAACGAGTCGTAGACCATGTTGCTGAGGTGGCGGCGAGAAGAGACCACAAAGAGCGGATGGCCAAACGGCTGGATTGGTGTCGAATGAATTCGGGGATGCCCGAAGCGCTGAACGGGCTTGGAGCCCTTTAAAGGCCTGGTCTTGCAAGAGAGCCGAATGCAACGAGGCTGGTAAATGCAGGAATGGAGCGATAAGGAGAGAGTATGGAATTCTGGTCAGAACAGATGGCAAGGAAGAGTTCCGGTGCTGCCAATTGGCTGTCAGCGTGGGAATGCGCTGTGTGAAAATCGAAGTCCCTCTGGATGGGCGAGAGCAAAACAAGCCGGAGCTAAAAAGACTGCTGGCAATGGATTGACATGGCATTCGCGTGAGAAGAAAGGCCGAGGCCGGTCAGCCGAAGCAAGACCGAAGCGGTGATCGAAAGAGATCGTCGGGCGATACCTACGTCGCAAACAGAGCGTCTGATAAGCCAATCAGACTGCGATAGCCACTGAGATCAAATTCGAGAGCAAGAACAAGGACGGACAAATTGAGGCAAAACTGCGATGCAACGGCCTGGCCGGGTTGGGTGCGAGGCGGCGATAAATGTGCTGAAAGGGTCGGACTCGAAGGAAAGACCGAGATGGTCAGACCCGATGAGGGGACTAAGCGAGAGAGACTGAGTCGAACTCTGGATTAACAATGAAGCGAGGATCGAAGCGAATGGGAAGGCGCCTGCACGCTCGAGATGGCTCGGCGAGGTTGACCGAAACGACAAAGGGTTATATGGGAAGCGAGGGGCCGGTGATGGGTGGCAGATGGAGGATGGCGGATAACGGATGCCGTGGGAAAGAGCTGTGCCTCCCTCTCCCCTCTCCTCTGGCCCCTGCCGACGAACAGGCATATCGATAGATGCGTCGATCACGGCATCCCTGCTGACCGCAATCGGCCAGCAGACCGCCCTCGCAGCGCGGCCCACCACCGGCGCCCACGACGACGACGAGGGGGGGGGAGCCGTTTGCAACCCGCCGGAGCGAGGAGCAGTCGTCGTGGCGGAGTGTCCTCTGGGCAGTTTCTGCGCCGCACCCAAATGGAGGATGCCGATTGGGCTGGCCAGCACGATATCGAAGCGATTCGCTCTTCAAGAAGACATAATCGCCTGACGAGCCCACGCCTTCCAATTCGGGCGGGAGACGACAGTCCTGCGGGAAGCCCTTTGCCGGCACTGGCAGGACCTCGGGGAGCCTCTCGGAGAGCTGGCGGTCTCGGTCGAGGAGAGCCCAGAGGAGCGGTGTGTCCAAAACGACGTCGCTCTCTCGAGCGGGAAAGTGCTCTCGATCAAGCGTATCCTGTCGGCCAGCGATCTCGCGAGGCCAAGCCCTCGAGAGCTCGCCCGGGCAATTATCTGGCGCTGGGCGCCTGATTGCGCTCCGATCTGGGCAAATATAGCTCAAATCTCAATCGACGCGGAGCCGGAGCCAAAGGCGGTCGGCTGGCCGAGTATCAGGACGCTGTGGCCATCCAATGTCAGTGTCGCCATCCAATGTCAGTGTCGCTATCCAAGCCACAACTACTCACACCCGTATCTGCCCAGCCAATATCTTCACTCGAGTCTGTGGCAGCCAATCCGGACTCGGCATGCCCTGCGACTTGCCTCGCCTGCATCATCGGCAGTATAGGCGACCTGCATCGCTTCATCAGACCCATGTCGCCAGTCCAATTACGCGCCCAGTCGCCAATCATGCGCTTGGCAGAGACAAGATTTGTCAGACTGCCCAAGGCATCTCTCAATCAGAGCCGCAGGGCCTCTGAGCCGCCTGGCTTGAGAATAGTCCGAGGCAGCGCCAGCAGACCAGGTTCCTTCTGGGTCATCTCCAACACCAACACACATTCCCACGGCCGCCTCCACTCCCACCACAGCACAAGCATCAACGGCGTCCGCCAAGCCGTCACCGTATCCCCACGCTACAGCTCACAATCTGCGTATAGACCGTTTCCGCATCGTTTGCAGCTCCTGTGTTCCTGACCCAGTCCGATCCGCTCGACGATCCTGCACTACGCTACATCATCCTACGCCCCACCACCACACGCCAAGATGTGTGCCATGGCGGTTGCCCAAAGCGACTACTACAAAGTCTTGGATCTCGATCGCTCGGCCAGCGACGAGGAAATCAGGAGAGCCTATCGAAAGATGGCTCTGAAGGTCAGCGACGCGCTTTCTCCCTCGATATCGGTGCACGCGACGATCAATGTGGCTCTGATCGTTCGCTTGTGGTTGCTGGACGGAGCGACATCGGCATCCATCCCCGGGCCGGTGCATGCCCGCACACTAGCATTCTGATTGCGATTCCGCCATTTCTGGTTGGGGAATTCAGTTCCATCCAGAGAAAAACAAATCCCCCGAAGCCATCGACTTGTTCTACAGGATCGCCGAGAGCTATGATGTTCTCAGTAACGGTGCGGGCATTTCATCGATCACCAGGATGGCACACTCGCTGCTCAAGCAGAGTAGCACAATCCCTTCAATCTCTCTCGGTGCGCTGACCATCCTGCTTTCAACTCCACGGTTTTGGCAACCCCTTATCCGGCCATATTGACCGTGTCTATCCAGCCCAACGAAGGGCCATCTACGACCAGTATGGTCCGGACGGACTCACGAACGGCATCCCAACACGTGAAGGTACGATTGGATCCTGCATCATCTTGGATAACAACCGGTGACGATGAGAGGAGGAGGTGGCGGATATCTCGGACGAATCCGCGTTGGTCCGACACCATGAGGTTACCTGGGCGGCACCGATGCAGCGTCGAGGCACGGCTCCTCCAGAGAGCGGACGCAATCAATGCACAGTCTGAATCCGCACCGTTGCCTAGAACCGCTTGTGCGGAAGCCGACGGGGGTCTGGGATCGCTTGCATTCATTCCAAACACCGGAAACCCCGCTAATGCGCTTGTCTCGACTCGCGCATCAGGCTTCGATGGATATCCCGGCGGATATCAGCCGCCGACCGACCCTCTGGTCGTTTTCTCAAGCTTCTTTGGAGGCACCAACCCGTTCTCGGACTTTTTCTCGATCCACACGGATCCTGCACGCCCGCTCACAACGTCCAACATCAAGAATCCGCCCGAGAGCAGCGACAAACTTGGGCGCCTGTTTGGGCAAAAGTTTGGCGGTCTACATGGCATGAACAAAGGATCGGTTGGCCTTGGAGCCGGACCGGTGCAAGCGCCGCCAATCGAGTCCTTTTTGGATGTGACCCTCGAGGAGCTGTATACGGGAGCCGTCAAGCGTGTCAAGATCAAGCGCAAGGTATGATTTCGGAGATATGGTTCGTTCGTGCAGCAAACGACCGACGGATGGGCATGTGCCATGGATGACAGAGCCGGAGGGTTCAGTCCGTCCGGCCTGCTGGCCAGTGCGACAAGCGACTCTCGTCTCGATGAACGATTGATAGTAAATTGAAACCGCTGCACATATACCGTGGCCTGGTAGGTGCTTAACGACGATGGCATGACGACGCGCGTAGAGGAGAAGCTGTTGAGTATCGGGATCGAAAAAGGCCTCAAAAACGGTACACGTGTGGCATTCCCCCAGCTTGGAGACCAGGGTGGAAACATGATTCCAGGTAAAGCCAGACGCGGAACTGTGATTGTGGCTCTAGAAGCCAATCGCACCGGAAGAGAGCGAAGCTCCAAACCCACGAGCAATCGGCACTGGAGAGTGCGAAAGCATACATACTGAGTTCCTGTGGCTGCACCTCACATACACACCGCTGTCGTGGCTTGGATATGATGAAGCCGATTTGGTGTTCATCATCCGCGAGAAACCCCATCCGGTATTCACCCGCAACGGAGACAACCTCGAATACACCTCGGACATCCCCTTGATCAAAGCTTTGATTGGATCTGTGGTCGAAATCAAGACACTCGATAAGCGGATACTGAAGATTCCCATTACTCAGGTTGTCAGGTACGGGAACAATGGACAACACGGACGCATGGAAATGGGGCTTCTTGGTACTACGGATCCACTCAAACACTACATCTTGACCCGGAGGGTAGCTACTTGTTTGCGATGGCGCTCATGACGAGCGCCTGTGTGAACATTTCCGAAGGAGGCCCACGCTCTATTCGATTGCGTGGTGACCAAACATTTGCCATCGCCTGACTCGACCCTCCTCTATCATTTGACCACAACCGAGCTAGCCCTGAGAGTGTCATCGAAGTCTCGAAAGAGGGCATGCCCATCTACAAGTCCGTTTCGGAGGAGCAGGGCAAGCTGCTGATCAAGTTCAAGATCACGTTTCCGACCTATTTTTCGGAAAGCCAAAAGAAACTGCTCCATCAGGCCTTCGTGCAGCAGTAAACACTCTCTCAGCGAATACTGAGTGCCCGACGGCAGCAATTGACAATGAAACGAGGATCTCGATGGGACAGGGCGACGGAACGGCATCATGACCGCATAGGAGACCGCGATGCCTGAAGAGGACGCGGCAGACACAGTGAAGCTGAACAATGATAGATTTCGTCGCATTCATACGGCTTGCACAACTCAAGCGAGAGCGATATGCGGGCGGAAGATGAAACTCTCATCGGGCGTCAGTTGGGTTGGCTGTAAGCCGCGGAGGCGATTCCGGAACTTCATCTGGCAGATTGTCGAGGCGGTCCAGGAACGAATCTAGGGCCGTGCTGCCGTCCTGATCGTCAGCAGCATTACCCGACCCAATCCCAATTCCAGCTCCAGCAGTGGTGATGCTTTCAAGCGGACGGAGGTCGCTGGGAGCTGGGTCATCGCCAACAGAGTCGTTGTTGCACAGCTCCGAAGGGGCAGTGGTCTTGGGTCGCTTGTTCGACCGAGCGTGGGCAAGGAGCTGATCAAACTCGCTATGGTACCTGAGCAGTGAAGGAGATTCCAGGCAGCATCCACAAACAGAGTCAAGCACAAATATACAACATATACTGCACCGTGCACTGAGTTCGCATCAGATTGAGGTTGTTCGGCGAGCGTATTCGATACGGCTCGCGATCGACCTCCTCGGATCACACTCCCAAGAAACCCACAATGCATGAAAAGGATATGATGCTGCTGCTTTTCGTTTTCGATTTCGGTGTTGGTGGCATGGTCAGCCGTCATGGTCAGAGCAGTCGAGGAGGCTGTTAGCTTGGTTTTCTTGGCCTCAGATGCCTCCCAGTGGTCCAGATCACGAAGCAGCTGGGCAGTAGATTTCTTCTTGGAGGCATCTTGGTTGGCATTGTAGAGGACTAAATACTGCTTGTGGCGCCGGATCATGCCTTGTCGGTCGCCGTGAGACGAGATTCCTTCGCTCTGTGTCAAGAGACGTGAGATAATGGCGCTCAGTCGACGCTCCAAGCGGCGCGGCTGACGACCCAATATCGGTAATTCTGACCTTGAGCAGCTGCCGTAGCTTGGCCTCTCCCAAGCCGCTGTAGACGACCGATTTCTTGTACTTTTGAGGTGTCGCGCGGGAGGCGCCCCTTGGCGAACTGGTGAGGAGAGTCCAAGACGGCATGGCAGCATGTCATGACGATGGGTTTGGATAAGCTCGCCGCGATACGGATGAAACACACAGATCCGGACACGCAGAAAGACAAAGCCCAAAGAACGGGCAGTCAGTGCCGCTCTCGGATGAACGAGGGCCATGGTGCCTCAGAAGATCAGATCCGTGGAGTGGCTGGCAAATGTCAGGGCTGCGACGAGAACAGGAGAGTCACCAACCTCGTTGACGTCGTCGATATGACTGATCGACGGTCTCGTACATTCGGCATAAACTCAGAGTCTTGGCCATCGTCATCATCATCGAGCACGATCGGCGAAGGCTCCTTCTCCACATGCAGCTGGCAGTTGTGATCCATGTGGCTGTTGAGCTTGGCCATCTTGACTCGACAGGCGCACAACGGACACTCGACCACCTGGCCCGCTAGGAAGTCAAAGTGCCGAGCAGAGTAGATCAGATCGGATCGGATCGGATCGGATCAAATCAGGTCAGATCGGAGCGAGCCGCAAGGCTGTCGGGTATGCACAGATGATAACGCTCGAGTCGTTCCTTGGAGAATATGGATGCTGAACTTTACCGGCGGGCTGGATTGATGCAGAGGGGTCGCTGAGCGGTGGCTGGCTAGCCCGCGACGGAGGCGTTGACAGTGACAGCTGCTCCAGCTTGCGCTTGTTGCGGGTGTTTGCCGATGGTGCCGACGAGGGGTCAGTGCGGTGGAGGAACTGGGGTTCAGATTCAGATTCGGGTAGCGGGACATGGATGGTTTGAACTTGGGCGTGGGCGGTTGTCGGGGACTGCTTTTGGGTTTGCTCGAGGGCCGGGATATATGTGCGACAGGACTTCCAAGCCAATATGAGATCCTCGATCACTACAACAAAGCAGCAGATTTGACAGCAGATCGGGTGAGCGTCAGCGGCGATGATCGCTGCCGATGTCCTTGCCCAAGAGCGTCGAGTATCACTCCAGCGCAGACCGCACGGTGTGCGGCACGGCAGTTCAGGCGTGCACCAGTCGTACATCGATTGGGCTTGAGTTGCTGTGAGTCGGACGGCACTCGACAGGAAGGACACGACTGGGTTTCTTGCAAATGCGAGCGGATGCACCTGGAGCAGTGGTTGTGGGAGCAGCCAAGCAGCATCATGGGGGTGTCAAAGAACTCGCTGCAGATCCCGCACCGCAGCAGCTGGTCGATCTCCTGGAACTGGCGAAAGCGCTGGGGCCAATCGGAAGGAAATGTGATATCGGCTTCGTTCATGGCAGCAGCAGCGGCGCTTTGCGGGCAGATCATCGGTCGGGTCTCGGGATGGCCAAGAGCCAGAGATTTGAGCGCCGCATCAGGACTGCGAGGGCGGCAAGCGCGACACGTGACAATGGGGCTGAAATCCAGGCCACGCGCGAAATCGAGCCTCGGGTTTGGACAGACGATTGAGCCTCGGGTTTAGACAGACGATCGGCCCAAAGACACGATGGCAGAAAGCAAATACGGTAAGTCTACGTGGCGGGGGGGGGAGAAATGCGGTCCGACGGAAGCGCACTCGCAAATATGCCGGGGCTTTCTGCTACTGACCGGCTCCTACAATGTCGCCACGACCGATCCGCCGACAACCCAGAAACCGTGCGCGTTTCTGGCAACACCGACGAGAATCCGTTCGAGGCCATCGGTCTCACGAACGCCGTGGAGGTGAGGAATGTTCGGGCAGCCGTGGTTTCCTGGCGACAGCCATGTAGCGATGCGGCGTGAACGGCCGAGACAATGTCGCTAACCGAGACTGCCGCCGCGACGCTTGTTGTGAGCATAGGATCTCGTTCAGGCCGAACGGCACCACGTCACCAGCATGAACAAAGCCCAGCTCCATTCACTGCCTCTGCGATCTTATCTCGATCAGACCCTGATTCCAGTACTTTCAGAGGGCATGAAGGCGATCGCAAAAGAGCGGTAAGGACAGGGCCACCAGCCAATGAGCGATACATGGTGCTCGGGGATATGCTGCTTACAGCCGGCGGTGATGTTTGTTGCGCAGGCCGCCAAATCCATGCGAATACCTGGCCCTATTTCTGCTCCGCAACGGGCCCAAATAGCGTCGCATACTTGACGAACCCGACGCCAGATGGCGCTTTGGTTCGATATCGCAAGCAGCGACGATATCTCATCCCAGGCGCGAGCTACCCAAACACTCTGATACACTCGGATCACTCGCGAGGACCACATGGTGCTAGAGCTGCAGCAATAAACAACATAGCAATTAATGCCGGACGGCCGCTTCCCAGGGGTGAGCAACAAGGGGAGACCACGAAGAATCAAAAACGGCCAAGCATTGTATTCCATATCGACTGCAGTGATCAACACTGAGATTGCCAGTGTCATGGCGCCCAACTTGGCCAGACCGGTTTTGGGACGTGCTGTAAGCCCACATGGCCCAGGAGGGAAATTGATCTAAAGGCGATTGGTTTTGAAGGTTCGCTGGATTGGGCGACCAAAGTCGCTGAATCCCAGATATGAGCTCGAGGTGCGGCGGCGGACATGCGCAGGCTTGGCCCGAGTGCCCAGAGCAGACGCTGGCGTCGCCGTCGTTATCTGTGTTGGTGGTGATGGTGCTGACTTTGAGGCTGCCGCCAATATTGGGGTCGATGGGAGTCGCTGGATCGAATTGCCGCCCGAAATTGAGAGCTTCTCCCAATGGCGCGGCTTTCGCACAGCCTTGATCCGCGGCGGCTTGAGGAACGAATGGACAGCGGCACGGTCCCACCCCAGCTTGTTGCGGCCGATCAGTTCTGAAAGCGGGCGAGCACTCATCGATGGCGAGTCCCAAGGTGCGGGTGAGATGTCGCTGTCGCTGTCACTGTCACTGCCAGCATCGCGTGGATCCTGGGAAACAATGTCCATGGATTCCTCTGTCCAGAACGACCCGAACGATGTGGCATCACGTAGGGCGCACGCAAAAGGCGGCAAAATGCGCAGGTCTGACAGGATGTTCTCGTCCGACTCTGTCGATTCGGAATGCACAGACACGCTTGGGAGCGATATCAGATCGATAGGGATGCGACGAGTTGAGGATCCGGCGAACGAGGACTCGGATGATGAGCGAGCAAGTTGCAAAGACGTCTCGTTGGCGGCCTGGACGCCGTCTGCCTGGGCCATATCGACGTCGGCGAGGTCGGCGGTGCAGTTTGTTTGGCCTGCCAGTGGCAGCGACACCACCCGTTTGAGACGCTGGCCGACATGTGTAATGACGATATAGTTGGCCTGCTGTGGCTGTGGGTCTGGTTCAGGTTCAGGCCCAGGTTCAGGCTCGTCCGAGGTGGTGGAACCCGTCGCATCGTGGTCGATAGCTGTGTGGACTGAGCTTGTCCCCTCGGTACTTTCGATACAGGTCGCTGGCTCGATGTTGGCCGATTTGAGAAACCGAGGGGATCGTCGTAGAGGCAGCGGTGTAGCAGGAGCGACGGGAGCGGCTGCCGGAACGAGCGGCGATCCTGCAGGCGAGGACGTGAATGCACCCTGGCTGGAGGACTGTCGATCGAGGGGATCTGGGGGAATCATATAGATGCTGCTTGGGCTGTCCGTTGGTGCAAATGCCAGGGTATCCGTGCTGTCGATCGTCGTGTGGGCGACATGAAGGACACTCGCGTCGCTGAGGACGAGTGCGCCGTGTGGTGCGTCATCGGGCCTGGTGCTCGAAGGTTCGCTGGGGCTCAAGGCAGTTGCACTTGACGGTGTGGCTACTGGTGCGCTGGTCTCGTTGGAGGCGATGGAGGGTATCTGCTCCTCCGGGGCATCGGTGGGGCAGCATGGATCCGGCTGTGCCTTTGCTGGCCGGAAAGGTCTGGATTGGGGCTCAGCCACCTTGGGACGCACACTCCGCGCGCGGATGGCTGGGGGGTCGGGCCGCTCACCCTCTTCTCTGGAGGCAATTGTCTTGGTGGCGTTGGATGGGCTTGGAGGCGACCGAGCAGCCTCCTGGAGGTGCGAGCGATAGACTTGCTCCCAGCCCGGCGACAGCGTCGGGTATGGACGGGGCTGGGACTTGCGGCCGTAGGTGCGGATGACTCGAGGAGTGGACATGGTGTGGTGACGGAGAAAGACGACTGGAGTCGACAGCCGGCGAAGGCAGAGACGCTGGTGGTGGCAACGACACTGGAGAAGGCGGTGGTGGCAAAGACGCTGGTGGTGGGGAGGTGATGCCACTGGGGATCCGGGTATATATCGGGCGCGCCTGCTTTGGGCGACTGCGCAGCCGCCTTCCCCTTCAAATACCGCGCTGCGTTCGCGAAGCAATCCTCGCTGCGTCTCCTCCCCCCCGATCTGCCTCCGCTGCCCTCCCCGCGTCCATGACTTCCGATAGCCCCGTCGACCTCCTTGGCCCAAGCCTGCTGGCCGTCGACACCAGCAAGCCCGTCCCTGCCGATGCTTCCCATGTTTGGGAGGGTGTCGGTTGCGACGGCTGCTCTGCCACACCCATCGAGGGCCGCCGCTTCAAGTGCAGCGACTGCAACAACTATGACCTATGCGAAGCGTGCCATTCCAATGCCGCCACGGTCCATCCCGACCACACCTTCGACGAAGTCAAGATCCCGGAGGCGTTTGAAACCAAGACAGTTTCGACCCAGGAGGCGCTCGCCGGCAAGTACATTGGCCTGTACTTCAGTGCCCACTGGTGAGTGCCCTCTGCAATCCATATCTGATTTCGATCATGTCTGGGGGCCTGTGCCAGGGCTCGCGTTGGTCTCGCGCCGACTCGGGACTGATGCGATCTGACCGATATAGAAGATGTGATCTGATGTAATCTGATATGGCATGTTCTCCTCGCAGGTGTCCTCCCTGTAAGATGTTTACCCCGAGGCTGGCAGAGTACTACAACTCCATGGTTGCTAAGGGCACGGTAAGCTTGCGAGAGAAGGGCGCCGGCTCCCGAAGAAATGTGCTGTTCCAGGGCCTGGTCGCTCGCCAGGAAACGAACGCTGACTTGGGCTCTTGTGCTCTGTCTAGCCCTTTGAAATCGTCTTTGTGAGCTCGGACTCGGATCAAAAGTCGTTCGACGAGTATTTCTCGCAGATGCCCTGGTAGGTGACCCCACAGCAGGCCGTTCTGGTCGACCATTTGAGTTTAGCACAGTCTCGCCGTTGATCTCCCCCCCCCAAAAGCCGTCTTCCCGCTCGATCATTTGCCTTGGGTTATCACAGCTTCAGCCCCTGCCCATCTGACTCCTTTTGCCGCCCTCATCGTGTCTGTCTTGACCTGTCGGCCAGGCTTGCTCTGCCATACGAGAACAGGGATACCAAGAACGCTCTTAGCCGCAAGTACAAAGTTGAAGGCATCCCCACGCTCGTGATCTTGGACGAGCACGGCAATTCCATCACAAAGGATGCCCGCTCCAAGGTCATGGGCGATCCCGAGGGTCTCGGCTTTCCCTATGCTCCTCGCCCGCTGAGCGAAATGCTCGGCAACGTCTTTGTGAACCGCGAGGGCGAAAAGTTCGACCGCTCTGACATTGACGGCAAGATTCTGGGCCTGTATTTCTCGGCCTCGTGGTGCGGCCCGTGCCGAAGATGTACCCCTCTCCTCGCAACACTCTATGAAAAGCTCAAGGCCAAGCAGACCAACTTTGAGATTGTCTTTTTGTCTGGCGACAAAGATGAAGAAGCGTTTACGGGTGAGCAACGCTGACGCAGCCTGCTGTGGGCCCTATGGCTCTCGAGAGAGTAGCGTGCGCTCGGCACATCTGGGCAGACTGGAGCGAAACTTGATATTCGGCAGACTCGCCATGCTCGTCTCTGATGCTGATAGCCTTCTCGTCACTTGTGTCTGAGCAGAGTACATCAAGGAGATGCCTTGGCTTGCGCTGCCCTTCAAGCATGCCAAGAGTGCTTATGAGGAGCTTAGGTAGCTACACCGCTGACGTACTCAAAGCCCCTCGGTCCAGGCGATGGTGCGGACCTGTTCCTATGCTGATGTATTGCTGACACTATCGCCATCTTTGTCTCTACCCATTTCTCTTGCTCTGCGCACCAGTGATTTTTATGGTGTGGATGGTATCCCCTCCTTGGTGATCCTCGACGAAAACCGAAAGATCATCAACAAGGACGCTGCTAGTGTCGCGATGAACGACAAGGACGGAGTCGACTTCCCTTGGGCCCCCAAGAACGTCGTGGACCTCGCTGAGGTGAGAAGCAGGGCGGTCGGTCTGGTTGCATGTTTGGCCATGCCGTCGTAGCTACGATACTGACTGCGGCATTTTGCGGAACAGGGTATCGAGTCGGCTGGCTTTAGCATCAACGAAAAGCCCGCGCTGGTTGCGTTTTTCCCGAACGAGTCCGAGGTGAGACCGTCGTCCCGGGGAGATCCGGGAGGTGTCGATGGGACGAGCTGTTGGTTGTGGATGATGCCCAACCAGTCGCTCTTGTGGCTGTATCTATGCATCTAAACGTTACGATTTGCACTCGTTCAGGACGAGAAAACTCGCATTCGGGGCGTCGTGCAGACCCTGGCCAATCAACGCAGCACCAAGGTCGTGTGCACTGGAGACACCTGCACCATGGAGTCGGTTGAGCCCGACACAATCTTCTTCACTGTCAAAGAGACTTCCGGCATGAGCGAGAGGGTTGCCAGCATTTGCAGCATCTCGGAGGAAGAGCTCGGCAGCCCCTTTGTGCTCATCTTGGATGTGCCCCAGCGTCAGTTCCACATCTACCGAGGCAGTATTGAAGTGGTGAGTGATGCTTGGACATGGCGAGTTTGGTATACCGATGTCTCTCTTGCAGCGGAAGGTGTGAGATTCGTGGCGCCGGCTGCGTGCTTGATGGAAGTCGAAACAAAGTCTGACGCCGTTCTCGGCGGACTTGCAGAACACGCTTGCCGACCTTATCAGCCAGTACAACTCGGGAAGCCTTGAAACCACCGGCTTTTAAGGAGCCGACACTCCGACAAGATGCGTTGCTCTTGAAGGCCAACCCCGACACTGTTGATGTGTGTCGCCAAGGCTCGTGTCAAACCTGCAATCAACGAAGCGACGCACTCGTTTGAATAAGTAGCCAGTCGGCGGTAATTATTTGTTATCTCCATGTTTTTGTTGTACCAAGCAGTTTGCAGTGCCAGGTAGCCGTGCGATGTTCTGTGGACTGGACTGAACCGCACCGCATCGCTCGGCAAAATATATTCCCGTTTGTGAATCAATCGGCGGCGTATTTTTCATCGCATTGGCAGAGAGAGCAAAGAACAGGCGTTCAGCGTGGGGTACAAGGTGACGGGAGAAGAGTGCGTGATGTATGGGTTTTGGACAGGATCGACCTGGCTTGGGCCAAGAATTTCGGCTGATGCTGCAGCGGAGCAAGTGCATCGCCATCGGCATTGCCATCGACATTGATATTGATATTGCCACATCCTGGAAGAGAACAGAGCTGACCGAGCAGACCCGCTTGTGCAGACCCGCTTGTGCAGACCCGCTTTGGCTGCCAGACTGGTGTGATTTCGCCGAATCTGCACATCTCCCGAGCACTGGGGTTTTAATCTCTCGACATCTCGGGCAGCGGGCCAAGACGTCCTCGAACTGATTCGACCAGGGCATCCAAGCCCTGGTTGGAGTCGCCCATGCAGCGGACAACGAGAACCGAGCGTGCCAAGGGGTCGAACTGCTCCTGAAGAACCTGCGGCGAACAACCAGCCAAGCGAGAGGGTGCCGACGGCTGTGCGTCCTGTCGAGTCCAGTTGAGAACGGCTCCGCCGGCCTCGCGGACAATGACGCTGGCCGCACAAATATCCCAGATGTGGATGCCGGCTTCCCAGTAGAGATCGCAGCTGCCACGGGCGACAAAGCACATATTGATGGCGGCACTGCCAAAGGAGCGGAACCCGCGAGATGGGGCGGCCATGATCCGGTGGATGGTTTCGACCTTGGAGGACAGAACGGAGGCAGATCGATCGGAGCCGTACTCGCTGATGACAAGGGCCTCAGCCAGCGATTCCAGCGGGCGCGGAGGATCAAAGAGCGGCAGCTGCTTGCCGTTCCAGAAGGAGCCCTGACCAGCGATGCCAGTGTATAGATCGCCCAGGATCGGATTGAAGACCACGCCGAGAACAGCGGTTTTGTTGACCGTCAGGCCGATGCAGATGGCCACGAAGGGCAGGCCGTGGACCTAAGAGAGCGAGACAGATGAGGATGGGCATGGTGCAGCGAGGCAGCGAGGCAGCTGGAATCGATCGGATGGCGAGCCCTGGAGCGCTCGGCACCAGCAACATAGCCGACAAGGCCAGAATGAAGTAGATGCCGAGGATTGGATGTGCCGGGGAGGGTTGCGATACCTACAAAGTTGGTGGTGCCGTCGATGGGATCGACGATCCAGGTGGGGCGGTCCGAGAGCCCGCAGCTGGAGTCGGTGCTCTGGGCCATGGTTTCCTCGCCCACAAAGGCGTGGTCGGGGAAGTTGCTCCGGAGCTCGGAGAAGATGAGTTGCTCCACGGCCATATCTGTAGCTGTGACGAGATCGACGGGGTTGCCGCCCTTGGTGGCGACTTTGATGTCGGCAGCAGCAGCAAGAGAATCGGACTGGCGAGAGCGGCTGTGGAAGGCATCGACGATGAGCGGGGCGGCTTTCTCTGCGATCGAGACTGCGGTCTGGAGAAGGCGTGGATAGTCTTCGGGAGAGACCATGGCGGCGGATTGAGACGTTGGTGGATGGTGATGGTGGTGGTGGATGGTGATGGTGGATTGAGATGGTGATGGTGGATGGTGATGTTGGTGGTGGATGGTGATCGACCAGGGCATGACTGGCTCGATCCGACAATCCGCCCGTCACGTGCAGCAATCCACTCCGCCAACGCGTTCCGGAACCGTCTCCCGGGCACGTCGGCTTGACCAGACGCAGGCGCAAGTCGAGCCGGCCACAACGAAGCACCGCAGCCAGTCACAGCGCCGGCAGTGGCTATGAGAATGAACTATATTTGCACTTCGGCCGAGTGGCCGCAAACCCAAAACACCAGAGAGACCAGATCTATTGACAACCAGGAGGAGGCAATTTAACCGGAGCCGCCGGAGTAGGCCTTGCCGAACATGATGAGCTGGAGCTGATCGTAGCCAGAGATGGCACCGGCACCGGCGATGGCACGGAGGATGTTGGCACCAGCACCCTTGAAGAAGGACGAGAAGCCCTCGTTCTTGAGGATCTGGCCAGCGCAGTCCAGGGCGGATCTGTACTTGGTTCCGGTACCAGCAGTCATCATCATACGACGGCGGATAGTGTCAACGGGGTAGGCGAGCAGGGAGGCAACGTTGGTAACACCGAAACCGAGGATGAAGGAGCCGAGGAAAGAGTTCTTCATATCGCCAGTGAGGACCAGGGGCTTGATCGAGTCGTACATGCCGAAGTAGAGACCACGGTAGATGATGATACCAACGAGGGAAATGCCGAAACCACGGTAGAGACCAGCAACACCATCGGTGGCAATGGTTTGCTTGTAGACATCAACGAGGCCAGCGTACTGACGAGCACCGCCCTTCTTGGCAGACTTGTTGTCGTTGGCAAGACGGGTACGGGCAAAGTCCAGGGAGTAGACAACCGAGAGAGAGAGGGCACCGGCGGCGGAACCGGCGGCGATGTTGCCGGCAACGCTGGAAGACGAGGGAGGCGTATGCTATGTTTAGTGTCTCGTTGGCGGCCACGGCAGCCCGACCCAGGGCGGCATGCAGTCCTATTTATGCTTACAAGGCGGCGTAGTTCTCCTTCTTCTGGCCGAAGAGCTGCTTGAAGTAATCCTTGAAAGCAAAGTTCAAGGCCTGGGTGGGGAAGTAGCGGATGACGTTGGCAAGGTTACCACGCCACAGGGAGCCGGCACCCTCCTCCTTGATGACACGACCGAAGCAGTCGACGATGCCCTTGTAAGGAGTAGCAAGACGGCCGCTCTTGATCATCTCATCTTGGTTCTACAGATGTATGGCAAAGTGCGGGATTAGCGACGGTGGTCAAGGACTCAGCAGTCGGGGAATGCGCTGACGAAGAAGGCGGGGAGGACCGCAAGCCATGCTCAGGGGGAAGGAAACCAAGCAAATCTGCAGTTTGTTTCCGATCACCAGGCGACCGAATACAGAGTGCGGTAGCGGGCACTCTCGTCTGGACTGGGACAGGTGGGGGGGCAGAGGCGAAGACAGGCAGCTGCCGCAGCGAACAGTGCTCACCTGGATGAGGAGCTTGACACGCTCGATGGGAGCAGCAATGGTCTTGGAGACAGCGGCGGCAACACCACCGAGGAGGAAATCGGTGGCGAACTCGGCGGGAGTCTTGGTCTTCTTCTTGACAGGGGCACCAGACATTTTTTCGAATCGGATCTCGTAAAACGAAAGGAAAAAGGGTGAGGAGGAAAGCGGCGTGCCGGGCCTGTCGCGGGCTTTATATCTATCCGCCGCCGGTCCGCAGCGATGAATGAAAATTTTTGCGTTTGCGTTCTTCGTTCGCCCTCGCCGAGACGGGGCTGGAGCGATCTCGGCATCTCCCGGCGAGAGCGCCATCGTGTGGCTGGCAGCACGCCTCGCTACTGTCTCGCTGCTGCCTGGCGCTCTCGGTCTGCTCCCTGCATCCTCTCTCTGCGCCGTCGGCGAGGACGGGCGAGGAACGCGTGTGGCGTGTGTGGCGCAGGCGGCCATTGTCTGGCCTGTTTGCAGAAGCCCGCCGACGCGATTGCGTTGCAGATTTTTTTTTTTCGAGGGGAAGCCACAAGGGAGGAAACGCAGGGCCATTGGCTGGCGTGGGGCGGGCTGCGCACGGCGTTGCACTGCCGCTCGGGCGGCTGCGTGTGCGACGGTCGCGATTGTGTTGCGCATTGTGTCTCTGAACCACACAACACAACACAACACAACACAACACAACACAACACAACACAACACAACACAACACTGCGCTGTGTAATGCCGCACCGCGCCGCCGCCCTATCTTTGTGGCCGTGCCTGCGGACGGCTGCGACGCGTCGGTCTCCCCGACAAGCCCGGCCAATCAGCTCGGGCGAGTCTGCCGCGAGCCGACCCGGCTCGGTCATGTGAAAGCCACACCCAGCCAGCCCGAAATGGGCAACGCGGACAGCCTGGAGCAGCATCCAAACGATCATGTCCAAACGATCATGTCGGAAAGCAGTGGGACGCATCGCCTCGTCAGACAAAAGCGGTATCGCATCTTACGCTCGGCCAGGGGTGTCCAAGTGGGTGAACCTGGGATGGGGAGGAAGACGCAGGGCAAAGAGCAAAATCGCTACAAGACCTCGGCGAGAAGATGATCCAGGGGTTCGGCTGCCGTCAGATTCACACATCCCACACAAGCCACGCAAGCCATCCGTGTGTGAGCATGTCTAGTTTCAGAAAAAGTTTGTTGTATTCGCGGTGATTGGCACGGCAGCACTCACTCCACTCGGACCGTCGCCACCGGTTGTGTACCACTGGCACGGCTTACGATGCATGCATCCGGACGTCGGTATCCAGCGGCTCTGAACCAAGGCCCAAGCAAGACCTGACTCTTGGCCCAGCGCATCCTACATCATGCGCACATAGTTGGCCGGGAACTGACCCTGCCGCTCGCCAATCCGGCCCGTCCACCAATCCTGAACGTTGCCGGACGACTCGGTAATCGTGATGATATCGCCCTTCTTGAAGCCGAGATCGCCCTCTTGTTCGGGATCATAGTCAAAGAGGGCCATCGCTCGTGGCTGGCTGGACTGGAGCGTCCCAGTGCGCGGTGGAAGTGCAGGAGTATAGGCTGGCATGGGCTCAGAGCCAGGGCTGGTTGCCGACTTGGCGTCGTACTCGGACGACAGGCGATCGTCATGAGCAGATCCGTAGCTAGGACCACCGAAGGATTGTGACGGCGAAGCCTGTGCGCCCTGTTGAGCACCTTTGGCTGTGAAGCTCCGGCCGAGCTGGGCGTACGCCTTGATGCCGCGAGCGGACGGTGCCAGGACTCTTTCCTCGCCGAAGCGGCGGTTGAGCGCGCGGTAGAGCGGGTCGGCCATCGCAGGCGGCTCGATCGTCCCATTTGCCAGATCCAGAGGATTCACCGCGCGGTTGTAGAATCGAGAGTTGGCTTCGTTGCGCGCGACGATGGCGGAGCCTTCCAGTGAAAGACCAGCAAACAAACCCTTGGACTTTGAATACGAATAGATCGGGGCCAAGCTGAGACCCGTGGCAGCAGCCTCGGTCGATCGGCCTGGGGTAGATTGCGAACATTGACAGGGTCAGAGCAGAGACCACGCACCTCAACGAGAGAACTCTGACAACGCATTGGTGGTAGCCTCGATCGTCACCATGGGTTCGTCAATGCAAGCTTTGAATTCCGAGCTGCAAGCCCCTGGCGACTCTCGCACCAGAAACCCAGAATCCACAACCGCCACTTCCGATTCTTGATTCCGGCAGGCATTTCCGGACCAACGATCCGGGCGACGGCGTCGTGTCCTTCCTGACACTTCCTGGCTCTCCTCAGCGTAGCACGTCACCTACCGACTGGGCCAGCTGCGATGGAGAGATTGCCACCAAAGGTCAAGTTGCCCTTCTGGAAAAATGCTCGAACAGCATCGTCGGTGTTCAGGATAAAGACACAGTCCGTGATCTGGGCTCCGATCTGGGCTCCAAAGCCAGCGCCGCCAGCCGCAATCGCAGATGGCGCTGTGTCGAGAATGATGGCAGATCCGAGAGGCTGGTCAGCACAAACTCCAGATCGAACACTTCGGGACGAGTACCCTGGCATGTCCATCGAATTCTCATCGTGGGCGCCACCAAGCCAAGCCTGAGCGACTCGACACAAAATGTCGTTACGTCAGTCTCTGAGCAGTGCCAGTATCGGACCATTTCTTACCAGACCAACGGCCATCAGGCAACCGAGCAACGACCAACCCAGCGCCGCCACGGCCAGACCATACAAAGCCGGCCTTGACTGGTAGATGCCGCCAAGGTCGGGGCAAATGACACGAGCGCAGCGTTAGCGAACGATCAAGGCCGAGCGTACGATGCTGGGCGGCACGCCAGCACAGACGGATGAGCACGTCGACCGGATGGCAAGGGATGGGCCTTCCTACCAATCGTAAGCACGGCAACGCCGCGGGCGTTTTCGAGCACACTCATGGGGATGAGGTGTGCATCAATTTCATTGTTGCGAGGAATAAACTGCTCTAGGATCGAGGCAGCCTGAGGGTCCACGACAAAGATCCAGGATGGGAGTGTCGATTCAATAGCAGCCAGGAGATCCAAGATTCGGCGGTGCCGGATTCGAGGTTGGCGACCGTATCCAGGATAGGTTGCGACAGTCAAAAGATGCAGAAGACAGAGGACAGGACAGACGGCAGAGGAATGGACGCAGACCGCACCCGGAAGTTGCCAATGCGGGCCGTCAGTGAGATGAAGGGGCAGTATTAAATGGTTGGTGAGCCAGTATCCGCAACTTCGGCAGGGCTCGACGGACTGAAAGGATTGCAGAGCCACAACCAGCCAGACAGAGCATGCCTCTGCAGCAGTGTGATATGTGTGGCTGTCCTTTGCAATAGCTGGGCCGAATCTGATGGATCCGCAGTGCTCGGCCCTCGCAACACTGGGCGGTTGGCGGCGGATGATGCGGGAAATAGCCTGAGCACGGAGCCGGACATACCTTTCGGCACTCTTCCTCCAGACTTTCGGGGAGGGGTGTGTGCAGCGTCGTCGAGACGGCAGTGAGGCCGTTGCGGACGTTATCTTTCAACTTTTGCATTTCGATTTTGCTCGATGATTGCGAGGAGCAGCGCAGACAAGATGGACAAGACGAGAGACTGGATGAGGGCAAGGAGAAGCGAGGGGGGCCCTGGGCGAGCGAACCCGCCTTGGCGGGCATGCGCTCCACAAGGCTCCACCAGCCAAGACGACCCCGCCCAAACCTGGGCCTTGGCGAGCCTGCGGCTGAATGGCCAGAGCATTCCACGGTGGCGAAATGCCCAAGCAGCAGCTGGGACACACGAAATGCATGGGAGGCAGTCCCGGACTTGCAGGATCGCTATCCGTGGCAATGGCTGGCCCGCCTGCAGTAACCAAGTCTCTGACTTTACCAATGGCCGCTGTTGCAGATCGGGGCCATCTCGGAGCTTGAGTATGCATACTCCCCCCCCAGCCAGATGTCGTGCTTGGGAAGAGATTGGTATCTATTGGGCAGCTGTCATCAACGGAGGCCACAGAGAGCCATTGCACTGCCGTTGTTGTCACCGGTGGCTGCTAGCAAGGTCGTCATGGTCGAATGTCCAAGGGCTCTCTGTATTTCATAGCCCTTATAAACCAATTCCCGCGAGCGGTGATCCACCTACTGGCTGCGCAAATGCGGGAATCGGCGGATCGTGATGGGCAAACTCCATCCGCTACAGCATGAGTATCTTCGGACGGATATACGTTGGTTCCATGTGTGGGTGGTTGGTACTTTTAGACAAACCGCGGACATGGATCTTCACATCTAGAACAGGTGGACAGTCAGCTTTCCGCTACCGAGTGATTCGCCCATTTTGCGCACTGCGATCGCCCACGGAACACAGGTATTTGACATCGATGTTCACTGGGCCGGATTCGGGATGGGCCTACCAAGCTAAGCACCCTCATAGAGCGGGTTGTCATGAAGGCCGCCGGGTGACTGATAGAGCGGATTCATCTGGCCCGAGAAGGGATTGCCAGTCATGGCGTTCGTCAAGATATTGGAACGAATGAAGTTGGTTCGATAAAAGAAGATTGCTGCTCCTGCGGCCCCCACGGCAGCAACGCCTCCGGCAACGGTTGCAGCAATGATAGTGGTGCTTGTGGCAATTGGCGGCTCCTGGACGGTCTCAAAGGGCAGGCAGCCCTGGAAGGGGGCGCTTTCGATCGAAATATACGACGGTAGGTCGGTATCAGAAACGAGCGAAACTTCCCTCACAAACATGCTGCCATTGAGTCGACCGGCAAATCGGGTCAGCGTCGCCGACGGAGCGAGAACCATTCCGAATAGGCTGGTGTTGCCACTGAAGGCCACAGTCGTGGCATTGGCAAAATTGAGCACCAAGTGTGTTTGGTAAGGAGAGAGCCCCGACATGTCGAGGTTGCTGACTTGGATGTCGCCGGCTTCTTCGATATTGAGAATCAGGGTAAGCGTTTGGTTGCAACTCTGGCTTGGTAGACTGTCCAGTACGAGACGAGTACACCTTGACAGGTCGCCAGCAGCGATGGTCACTATGGCGATGACATCTTCGGGAGAGCTTTGGCCGATTGAGATTTGACTATTGTTGAGCTCGTAGCGCGCATTGTCGGCAGTGGCCAAAAGTGCACTAGAGACCTTGGATAGATACTGAAAGGTGAGGGAGAGATCCGAGGCGTTCTATTTGAGGCATTAATCGAGTTCTAGTTAATGGTCGAACAAGTAGCAACAGAAGCGCAAGCAAAAGGCGCTGACGGCATCGCAAAGATGGGAAGCCGAAGGATGCAGCGAGATACCCACAGGATACGACACACATCCACTTGTCATGAGCGTCACTGACTGGGGATAGGAAGTGTTTGCCCCGTAAAAGTCGCCAAAATAGACTTGTAGTGCAGCCGAGGCGAGGGAGCCTTGATTAGTGACGTTGCCATTGACGACCGCAGCACCCAATAGAGAGATGGGACTGCCGCTTTGATTCAGATACATGGATATGTTGTCGCAGGATGAGAGCTTGGCACTGTAGAGGGAAGCACCTATTTGAAGTCCACTGGAGGAGAGATTGCCTCCTACAGCAATGCGTCCGGTGATCGCTTGTTGCAAGATCAAATAAATGCTGTGTAAGAGGTGGTTACAAACAGCTGGCAACTATCAGCGGGGTGAAAGATGACAACGGGTTCGACCGGACTTTACCTCCTTGATCGACATTGACACTATCCCGAGCCATTAGCGCATATGAATTGAATGGAAGGCCATCAACAGGACCCCACAACGGTTGTCCACATAAGAAGCCAGAGAGAATACGGCAACTTGAAGTTGGGAGCGATTGTGATGGTGACGATGATGGTGATGGAGATGGGGATGGTGATGGCGATGGCGATGGAGATTGTGATGGGGATGGGGATGGGGATGGTGATGGTGATGGTGATGGCGATTGTGATGGGGATGGGGATGGTGATGGTGATGGTGGTGGGGATGGAGATGGAGATTGTGATGGTGATGGCGATGGCGATGGCGATGGAGATTGTGATGGTGATGGCGATGGTGATGGCGATGGCGATGGAGATTGTGATGGTGATGGCGATGGTGATGGTGATGGTGATGGTGATGGTGATGGAGGTGGTGATGGGAATGGAGATGGGGATGGGGATGGTGATGGTGATGGTGATGGTGATGGGAATGGAGATGGGGATGGAGATGGCGATGGCGATGGCGATGGGGATGGTGATGGAGATGGTGATGGTGATGGAGATGGTGATGGCGATTGTGATGGTGATGGGGATGGGGATGGTGATGGTGATGGTGATGGTGATGGTGATGGTGATGGTGATGGTGATGGTGATGGTGATGGTGATGGTGATGGTGATGGTGATGGTGATGGTGATGGTGATGGTGATGGTGATGGTGATGGTGATGGTGATGGGGATGGTGATGGTGATGGCGATGGCGATGGCGATGGAGATTGTGATGGCGATTGTGATGGTGATGGTGATGGTGATGGTGATGGTGATGGTGATGGTGATGGTGATGGTGATGGTGATGGGAATGGAGATGGGGATGGAGATGGCGATGGCGATGGCGATGGGGATGGTGATGGAGATGGTGATGGTGATGGAGATGGTGATGGCGATTGTGATGGTGATGGGGATGGAGATGGGGATGGGGATGGCGATGGCGATGGTGATGGTGAAGACGTAGTCGTGGTGTTATCTGTTCCCGTCGAAGGCAAGGTATAGACCAAGGTTAGAAACCAGTCACTTGAATTCGTCCTCTGGGTGGATTCTAACGTTTACAATTACCCAAGCTTATAACTCACCAGGAACAGTCATACATATGACAGAATGCACCACTGTATCAAGCACAGTCGTGGCAAATGCCAAAATCGTGATGTTAGCATGTGCTGCGCCACAAATGCTTGGGAGCCGACGGCTCTGGACCCATGCTATCCAAAGTACCATATTCGCCAAAGCATTGATAAAAGGCTCCATGAGAGATCAAATTATACACATCACTCGGTTTTTTTTGCCCATCCCCCCTGCTCTTTGTCTCTGATGCTCACCTTGATCGAAAAAGTTGCTGGTGTAGAACGACCCGGACATTGTAGCATTGCCGGAGGCACAAAAGTCTTGGAGGGCATATGTTCGAAGATATCCATTGCCCTGGAGTACGAGAGCTTGCAACGATTGAGCGAGCCCACTGCCCTGCAGATTTTGCAAGGTCCGAGCCGAATCAAACCCGGTGTAGTCGTCATTCTCGGCACTGTCTCCTGGATTTCCGTACTGGGCCAGGGATGTATGGATGGTGCTTTGGGCAGGTGGTGGACTTGTTGACGACGCCAGGGTGTTATAGTAGGCGTTGTGCGAATCAAAAGTGCTTTGGGGCCCATATATATTGGCATTGAAGTCGCTCTTGATCAGGATGGACACCAGAGCCTGACTGCTCAGGATGGCGTTGGCCGTGGCGGCGATTTCGGCGTAGGCCACATCAGCCAAGACGATGGGCTCGGGCGAATTGCGATAGATCTGGTTTTGTCTAGACGATTTGTAGTATATGCTTGGAGAAAAAGTTGGCTCGAACTGATATGTCGAGTACGGCGGGTACGATTTTGGACACCGCCGCGAATCTAAAAGTGAAGTTGGTGATTGGGTGAACCCATGGTACATTAATATGGCCCTTGCATCGCAAAAGGTAGCCAACGGCAATCGATGTCCTTATCTTGAACATGAACCAGCAGTTGTTTCCCCTCGCACCGGAAAGACGCACCAACAAGGGTGGTTGCACAGGCATAGGCCGAAGCATTTTGACCGGCGAGGGTATATTTACTGCAGCGATAATGGCCATGGAGAGCGACGAGGCTTGATTAGATCATTCGCACCGCTTCTGCACGCATCATGACAGAACAACGCAAGGCATTGAAGACAGCGTGTCGCCACCTGGGCAAAGGCACCAAGGTTATGACTTTTTGCTGTAACCTACGCGAGGAGCGGAAGATCGCTGTCTTCATCGGTGACCAGGATGATCTGCTTTTGGCTGGCTGGATTCCATTGAAGCGAGCAGTCCTGACTGGTGGTAAAGTCTGACTGCAAGGTGCGCAGGACACACAATTGGCCGCACGGCGAGTGGAAAGCACAGTCGCGAGGTCAGCCGCTGACTTTGCACGGCTTCAAGCTAGCCACTGACTCTGGATAACTCCAAGGCTGCCCTCACGAGCGGCCACAGTACGAATGTGCCGGGGGGCCGTTGGTAAGGGTTCATCGGTGTGCTGCGACCAGGAATGCTTACCATGCACGTTTGGGCCAAGTCTGCGGGGTTGGTTAGCACCACCCTGATGGCTTCCAGTCCTGGTGCGATTTGGGAAATCCACCGTTCAGATTTATGCGTAGCAAGTGAAAGGGAGAAGGGTGGGAAGGAAGAGGAAGAGGAGGAGGAGGAAGGCGAGAATGTCCAGTCAGATCCAGTGGTTGGGCAGCGTTCGACAGCTGCATAATATTTGATGCGCACTGCATCGAGGGCAATCGGGAGGCATACCGGCTTCCTGAGCCAAGCCCGAGCAGCCGACAGCGCGCAGGGCACTCTGGGTCACATTCCCGTCCATCTGGAAGTGACGTGGCACCCATGGAGCGGCAGAAGTACCCGACGAGTCGGATCGACGAAGCGAGAAGCAGACATGAGAGAGTCAGCACGGCTTTGCTAATAAAAAGATCCAGACCAAGGCTCTGACCTCATCGTCAGACCATCACGATGGCTCCGCAGGCCGAGCAAGCTCGTGGGAACCGATGGAGCTGCCCTGTGTGGTGCGACGGTGCGGCTCACCGTAAATGGGAGGTAGATGGATGGCAGTCCGCCAAAGGTCACGATGCCGAAGCGGGCGTTAACGCTGCGGTCGGCGAGATTCTGAACAAAGGTCGACAGGCCGTCGGCAATGGCGAGTTGGTAGGGACACATGCTCGGAGAAATGTCGATGAGGAACAAAAAGTCGGACGCGAACTGAACCCGGTTGATGGTGGTTGTGTTTTGGCACACAATGGCCGCCAAGACCCGATGAAGTCCCAGGGAGCTGACGAAGAGCCAGACGAGAAGCCACCATGGCGGAGTAAACATGGTCGTGCAGAAGCAGTGTTGATGAGAAGCCTGTCCAGGGAGGACCCGCGACAGAAGCTGGGGTGTGAAGCAGGGATGCGTCGGGGCTGTAATTGCGACGGTTGTGGATGTCAGGCCGATGGCGACCAAGGACAACGCAGCAGAGTAGCTCGATGCGCAAACGGCAAGAAACGAGGGGAGAAGGCCCAAGTCGGAAGATATAGCTGGCATGCTCAGAAGGAGGCAGAAGCGGGAGCAGCATTAATATCAGCACTGGCATCAGCAAGCGCGGACTGATTGGCGATTGGATCGAGGCCAGCCGATCACTGGCCATTGGAGCAAAGTGGCCGATTTCGGAGTCAGACAGGAATACACCAAACTCACTCCGAAGCGGGACACTTTCACACACTCGGATGGCGTTATAATCCGGTCTGCTAGCAATTTGACTCTCTAGCCCTGCATCTTCTTGGTCTGACCTGTGGTGACTGCATCCATGGCAGCGAATCCCGACCCAGCCATGCCAGATGCCCCTCTGGGTCATAGATAGGGAGGGGTGTGTATTGCAACCCACAAGAACGGCATGGATTGCCCTGCTGACGGACGAAACACTCCGGACCAGTTCAAGCCGATACGAAATAAAAAGAAACTGTAAAAAGGTTTATTCCATTCGATTAAGAGGTTCACAAAGGGGGCTTAGGGGGAATGGGCCGAGTTCACATTCCAGAGCAGAGAGAGGGGGTCACGGATCCGCTATAGAAGTTTGACATCAGTGGGAGAGGGAGGCAGGGGAGGAGGAAAGAGAAGGGAGGCAAGCTTGGTTAAAAGGGAAATTGCAACAGCCAATATGATGTTATTCACAAAACATAAACCTTTTATTATAAAAAGCAGAGAAATAATAAAATACAATCATGTCCTGTGAAGCTAACATCCATACTTTTATACGGATTGGGGATACAGAAGATGATGGCACATTGCAATTTCTATGAACTGTAAAATTCAGGGGAGCATCTTGGCAAAAAGGGAAAATGAAGGAAGAAACGGTCAACTCACTTCGAGGGAGCTAACCATTTAGTAGTAGCCGGGGGTGGAGGTGGGGGTGGCGGTAGCCGAGGGAGCGGCGGAGGAGTAGACGGGGGTGGTGGAGGGGGTGACGGAGGGAGTGGCGGAGGCCGAGGAGTAGACGGGGGAGTAGCCCGAAGAGCAGGGGTTGGTGGGGGTGGCGGTGCCAGAGGGAGCAGCCGAGGAGTAGACGGGGGTGGTGGAGGGGGTGACGGAGGGAGTGGCGGTGGCCGAGGAGTAGACGGGGGTGTAGCCCGAAGAGCAGGGGTTGGTGGTGGGGGTGGCAGTGCCGGTGGGGGCAACCGAGGAGGAACCGTAGACGGGGGTGGTGGCAGAGCCGGTGGGAGCGGCAGAGGAAGAGCCGTAGACGGGGACGGACGAGGGGGTGACGGTGCCGGTGGGGGCAACGGAGGAAGAGCCGTAGACGGGGGTGGTGGCAGTGGGCTTGGCAGAGGAGGAGACCTCAGCAGTGCAGGGGGTGGTGGTAGGGGTGGCGGTGGCGGTGGGGGCAACCGAGGAGGAACCGTAGACGGGGACCGAGGCAGTGGTGGTAGCAGTGCCAGTGGGGGCAACGGAAGAAGAGCCGTAGACGGGGGTGGTGGCGGTGGCCTTGGCGGAGGAGGAAACCTCAGCAGTGCAGGGGGTGGAGGTAGGGGTGGCGGTGGCGGTGGGGGCAACCGAGGAGGAACCGTAGACGGGGACCGAGGCAGTGGTGGTAGCAGTGCCAGTGGGGGCAACGGAAGAAGAGCCGTAGACGGGGGTGGTGGCGGTGGCCTTGGCGGAGGAGGAAACCTCAGCAGTGCAGGGGGTGGAGGTAGGGGTGGCGGTGGCGGTGGGGGCAACCGAGGAGGAACCGTAGACGGGGACCGAGGCAGTGGTGGTAGCAGTGCCAGTGGGGGCAACGGAAGAAGAGCCGTAGACGGGGGTGGTGGCGGTGGCCTTGGCGGAGGAGGAAACCTCAGCAGTGCAGGGGGTGGAGGTGGGGGTGGCGGTAACGGTGGCAGCCAGGGAGGAGGTGGCAGAGGGAGTACCGTAGACGGGGGTGGTGAGGGTAGCCTTGGCGGAGGAGGAGACCGAGGGGGTGCCGTAGACGGGGACAGTGCCAGTGGGGGTGGCGGTAACGGTGGCAGCCAGGGAAGAGGTGGCAGAGGGAGTACCGTAGACGGGGGTGGTGACGGTGGCCTTGGCGGAGGAGGAGACCGAGGGGGTGCCGTAGGTGGGGGTAGCGGTGCCGGTGGGGGCAACGGAGGAGCTGGCCTTCTTGGAGCACTTCTTCTTGGTGGCGGTGGTGGTGCCGGTGGGAGTAGCAGTGCCGGTGGGCTTGGCCGAGGAGATGGCGGAGGGAGTGCCGTACGAGGGGGTGGTGGTGGCGGTAACGGTGGCAGCCAGGGAGGAGGTGGCAGAGGGAGTGCCGTAGGCGGGGACCGAAGCGGGGGTGGTGGCAGTGGGCTTGGCCGAGGAGACGGCAGAGGGAGTGCCGTACGAGGGGATGGTGGGGGTGGCAGTGGCGGTGGGAGCGGCCGAAGAGGCAGCAGAGGGCTGGCCGTAGACGGGGAGGGTAGGGGTGGAGGTGGCGGTGGGAGCAGCAGACGAGACGGCGGAGGGAGTGCCGTAGACGGGGGGGACTGGGAGAAAGAATAGAAAGCATATTTAGTCAGGAGCGAGTCAGGCCAACGAGGAGCGAGCACCTAGTCGCAGCTTCGCCCTCTCATGAGAAGCCCTGCAGGAAAGTGGTCTTCCGCAGGTTGCAGCACGAGCGAGCTGGTTTGCTGTCGTCGCTTGGAGATGGCCCAGCAAATTCGTCATCGCTGATGCCGCTCCCGCTGCTTCTCTGATTCAGTTTCAGTTTCAGTTTCTGGCTCCGGGATAAGACCTACCGTAGGCAGCCTGAGCCGAGACGGCAACAGAGGCGATGACAGCAGCAGAGATGAGGGCGGACTTCATTTCGTCTAGATTGGTCTGGAAGAGCAAGAGGGCGAGAGGTTCTAGCGGTGGTGCTGAGACGTCTAGTGTGGCAGACTGCTGTAGCGTTCGGTGAGGTGCAAGAGGGGACGGGCGGGAGGCACGATTTAAATATCTTCTGCGAGGCGGGAGCCAGGAGGAGGGCGAGCCGCGAGGCCTTTCCGGAAATGGCATCCGGCCGTGACACGGTGTGACCGGCGCGGATTACATAACGCGTGCCATGGAACACGTGCTGCATGTCCCACGCTTCCGGCAGCCAGCGCCCAAACAATGAGCGCACGAACCGCGGCTCCCGGAAGCGGGCGTACGAGGCAAGGGCCAATGGCAGCCGCGCAAATGCACCCACTTGCACGGAGCTGGTCAAGGGGCGTGCGGTGGCGGCAAGGCGGCGGAGCGCGTGTGCTGAGCAGCCCACAGAGACAGCGCAGGGGCAACAGACATGGACACGCGGCAAGGGCCCTTGCTGCCACGCCTTGCTGCGTCGGGGCTGTGGCCGCAGCAAGGCAGGCAGCAGACCGCGTGGCGACAAGAGGCTGCTGGGCAGAAACGCAGCGCAACGCGGCCCCCCCCCTCTCACCCGCGGGCACAGAGCGTGTTGCAGACACGGTTGCCCGCACTGCACAGTGGCCCCACAGTGCCGGCCATGCTGCTGCAGCCACACGGCCTGTGGCGGCTGGCGCCTCCTCGCGGCCCCGGACGCGTCCGCGCGCGAGCCGAGCCCGATGTCCAGAGTGGGCTGGCGCGCCGACCTGAAACGAGCAGCCCGACGCGGCAAACCCAGCGTGCCCGGCAACAAGGGCGTATCCAACCAGCACGACCCGTCTGTGCGGCCAAGCAATGCAGGCGAGCTGCTCAGCGCCTGCACCAATCGCAGGCCGTGCTGCCGGAGCGCGCACATATCGCTGCTATCCATCGGCCCACCCTTGGCCGACACAGCACCGCCTTGCTCGCTGGCTGAGAGATGCACCCGCCCACGCGCCGGGTGTCTGCTGCGACAGGCTCGAAGGAGACGAGGGCACGCCAAGGGCTCGCCGAGGGCCAGCCAGCGCAAAACGCATCTCGCACTCGCCGACGATATCTCCACAAACATCTCCACAAACACCTCCGCGAACACCTCGGTCTCCTCCCCGGGTGCCAGGGCAAGCGGCATCGGCCGCATCAGCAACGTGCTGCATGTGCGTCTGGCATGCCTTGCCGGCTCGACCACGAGCAGCGCGTGTTGCCGCTGCCCCGTTGAGCCGCCGGCCATGACCGCCACAGCGACAACGCCGCCGTCTTTCCCCGCACCAGCGGCTCTCCCCCTCCCTCCTCGGCTTGCATGGGGCCCTCGTTGCAGGTGCGGCACGCCGTCTCGGCAAACGCATTCCCCTTGCCCTCTGTGCCCGCACCGAGCTTGCTGCCCAGGCCATGTGCGACTTGCCTCTGGGAGTCCATGCGTCATGCTCCAACACAACGTGGTTACCAGGATGCGCATGATGTCCTTTGCGCCGTCTCCTGGCATGCCTGGCGCTTGCTGGATCGCTCGATGGATTGCTGGCTGCGTCGCTCTGGGCCGCCTCGCTTGTCGCCCTGTCCGTTGCGTCGCTTGTTGCTGGTTCTGGCCAGTCGCCCCCCCCCACCCATCGCTCTGGTCCACGCCTCGCTTTCCCACTCGCGCTGCTTGGTCTTGCCGCTTTTTCGTCTTGTTGGGTCTGCCCTGGATCCTCGTCCACCAACAAAGCCCGTGTTGGGTCATCGCCGCCATGGCTGCGATCTCGGCTCGGCCATGGCCCTGTCGCGGCCCGTCATGCATGCGCGCCTGCCTCGCTCGCCATACTGGCTCGCTCCAAGGAGGCTCTCGCAGCGTGCTGCTTTGCGAATGCTGAAAGCGCCGTGTGGTTACTCCCTGCACGGCGGCTGCTCCTCTCTTCTCCGCTCCGTCTGCTCTGCCCTGCTTGACCAACGCTTTGGCTGCTTGATCGACGCCTCCAGCTGACTCACTCGACCCCATTCAACCTGCTCAGCCGATTGATTACCCTCCCTTTCTCGGCAGGCTTTGGGTCCTCGCTCCTCATGAGCCAGCCGCTCATGTGCCCAACTCTGTGCTGGCCCCCCCCCTGCCCCTGCTGTCGTCTGTGCTGTCCCGCTCTTCGCTGGCTGCCCTCCCCTCGCCTTCGCCTTCAGAGTCTGTTCCTCCTTCGGCAGCACCAAATGGCGTCTCGCCCAGCATCAAATTTGGCTGGCTCCCACGCCCTTGTCACGCCCCACTCCCTGTCCGTTCCATGACCGCCGTCGCTGTTGCTCAGGCTCGTTTCATGCACCAGCAGACCCTGCCCCACAATCGCACACGGGCATCTGAGTTTGCACACCTTGCCAGCCAAGCTTGCTCATGGCGGTCGAGGCCAGGCTGTGCCGTGCCATGCCCGATCGCCCAGCGATTCATGCTCGCCAAGCGCAATCAGCCCAGGGCAACCTCCAGCGGTCACCACTGTCTGTATCCACCCGCCAGAGACGCATCTCCATCCCCATCCTGTCCAATGTCGTTAGTTCATTTGTCGTTCTATCGGCCATTTGGCTCTCTGCCATGCTCCATGTCGCCGCCAAAGCATCGGGCCGGCCTGGGCCCCACTCGGGTCGCATAACCCAACCCAGTTCAGCCCATCTTTGTTCGCTTCTTGGCTTTTGGGTCGTGCTGGAGGTTGTGCTGGAGGTTGTGCTGGAGGTTGTGCTGCTGGCCAGTCCTATCACGATCGATTGGTCTGGCCGGCCTGTCTCGTTTGCCAGTCCGTCTCGCCATCTTGTCAGTCCGTTGCGACTTCATACTGATCTGTCCTTTTGTTGAAACCAGAGACAGCGTGATTCTCAACCAGTACCCTCTCGATGGCCCGTGGGGGTGCTGCCTTTCCATCCCCCAGTCGGTGTCTCCCTTTCACTTGGAGCTTTGCGTCGAGGATGCGATCGACGGGCGTTGTGATCGATGGAAATGGGATTCCCATCCGGAAGCGTCCACAGCCGGCACTTTGTTTCGCCATCTCCGAAATGCACATCGACCAGCGAGGCCTCCCACCTTCGACACAATCCGCACCCGCTGTTGCTCCCTGCTCTGCGCACCAGGCTTGTGCTTGGTGTGCTGTCTTGTCCTCTCGCCCTCCCTCTCCAGGCCGGCTGGCTGGCTGGCTGGCTGGCAGCCGGACCTCCCAAAGGGTCTGTTGGGCGGAGCTTGCTTCCGCAGCCTTGCGCCGTCCGATACCATTCGATACCATCCGAGACCATTCAATGCCGTTCGAGGCGGGCGAAACTCCGTCCGGCGGTTGCTGTCCAGCCGCTGCCCTGGGGATCCTCAGACGATGAACCCGCGAGCCGATCTGGGATCGTCATACACAGCAGCCACACTATGCCGCGATAGGATCGATGTCGTCGTCTGGGATGTGGGTATATCCTCAAGCGCCTCTTGTCTGCCAGAGTAGCAGCATCCTCTTGCTGCATCTTCCTGCTGCATCTTGCTGCGGCGCCTTGCTGCACTCTCTCGATCTCGTCCGATCTCGTTGTCTGTGCCATGTGCCCTTGCACCTCTGGCTGCTGAGCCCACCAACTTCCGTCCCGAGTGTCCGTCTCTCAAACGGGAGACTGCTGTCCAGGACACCGACCGAACACCACCATCCTCATGCCCACTTGCTGGCCTCCCTCTCGTCTGAGAAAGGGAGCATTGCTTTTGGTGGTCCAATTGCCCGGCCAGCTCAACTCCACCGCTGCTGGCGGCCGCCTCTGCCCAGTCATAAAGCCCTCTCGCCGCCGTTCGCCCGCCCTTTTCTCTCCCTCCTCGAGACCGCCTTTTGAGCTTCCTTTGCTTGCCCGCCTGCCCGTCGATCGTTGGCCTCTGTTTATCGCTCGTCCTCCGCCGGATTGTCTCTTGGATTCCTTTCGAGTCGCCCTCCTCCTTCGCCTGTTGCTACGATCAGCCTTGGTTATTTTTCCGGCTCCCGACTGGCTCCAGTTCCTGTGTCATCCAAAGGCGGCGCATTGACCTTCCCGCTGCCCTCTGTTTTATCCTCTATTCTCTTGTCTGCATCGTCGCCGATCGTCTGGTTCAGTCCAGCCAAGCCCAGTCCACCCCCAGCATATCGTCTCCAGCTCTTGCGTCTGTTCTCGACACCACTGCCATGCCCCGATCAGAGTCCGGATCTTCCCCGAGCTCTACTTGCATCTCTGCCATTTTTTCGACAGACTCTCCATTCGCCTTGCCTCAGTGGAGCCATTTGCCCAACAGTCTCACCCCAAACGACTCGCAAAGCCTCCGGTCCCACCATAGCGACGACCTGCTGACCGCAGAGTCTCTCGATCCCAGCGACGACGACTTTGAGTGCACTGACATGACCGAGATTGCCGAGATTGCCAAAAAGACTGCCGAAAGCGTCCTGGGATCGTCGCCTTCGAGAGGCTGTCGATACAACCCGGGCCCACCGTCTCGCTCGCTCGGCCTGACCAGGCCTCCTATCGGCAAGCTCGCCCGCTCGCCGGATGACCTCTACGAAAGCCCTCCGCGCTCGCCCCTGTGGCCGTCGTCAGAAGGTTGTGCTTGAACCCTGGCTCTGTCGCTCCTCTTGTCTTGCACATCTCTCAGCCCAGCTCTCTGGCCTTGGCCTTGGTCTCGGGCTGTGTCTGTCGCTGCTCTGGTCTGGTCTGGTCTGGTCTGGGCTGTGCTCATGAAGGGCTCCTCCCGCGCTCGCTCGCTCATGGCCCTCGTGTTGGTGCTGTCCTGTCATCACCATCGGCTCCCGGCATCGGGCAGCCCACAGCCGCCTGAGACAAGACACCCGGGTCGGTGCTGCCGCCACCGGACCTATTTTGCCGTCCTAACCTCGTCTGCGTCCTTCCCTCACCCTCGCTCTCGCTCTCACTCTCCCCGCAGCCGCGGCCGATCCCTGGCTCTCGTCCGCCACCGGCCTGTCCAAGAACAGCCGCGAGCCTCCAACCCCCGGCAGTCACGTGCCTCATGTCTCTGGCATGTCCTTTCCAGCCCCGGCCTTTGGCTCTGTCACCCAAGGCCCCTTTGGCTTCGGCGGCGCCTGTGGCAATCTCAACCCCAGCAAGACTCATCCCAGTATCGGCCTGGACATCACCGGTGGCCTTGGGGCCAGTGCTGGCCCTGCCAACCCAAACCTGCAACTGCTCCCACAACCACAGCCACAGCCACAGCCACAACAACCACTCCCGCAACAACCACTTCCACAACCGCAGCCGCACTCACAACACCGCAAGCCGTCGCCACTCGTCCAGGCCAGCGGCTTCAACACCTTTCCGCTCGCTTATGGAAAGTCCTCCACTCGACAGAGCCCTCTCATCATGAGACACGACTCTCCACCCTGTCCCAATGATCGAGTCAGCCCCAAGCCCAATAGTTTTGGTTTCGTGGCGACGCAGGGTTCGTCACAGCCGTCTACCCAGGCATTCCATCCCACCTTGCCACAGCACAACTTCACCGGATACCCCAACCCGACCCTCAAGCAAACTCCAGTGTCATTTCCCTCTGGTGAGTCGCTGGTGAGCGGCAATAGCATTGGCCGCCGGACCCCTCCTTCCTACTACGTCACCAAGCAGTCCCCCTCGGCCTTGACGACGTCGGCGTACCAGCCCACGGGGATTTCCTTTGACCACCCCAAGCCCAGCTCTGCTGCGAAGAAAAACGACGGCTGGGGTGGGCCGGCGCTACCAGAGGTGTATCCCCAGAATCGGCGCACTGGGGCGTTCACGGTCGGCCGTTCGCACGGATTGCGGCCAAACCCAGTGCCCCAACGATCCAGCACTCTGCACGGGGCTTTCTGCCACAGTGCCAGCCCATACTCAAGCGAAAACCAGCCCTCCGCGGAAACGGGCTATCCGGGAATGTTCCCTCCATCTGATGCTGCAGCACAGAGGACTCGTAGATCCGTCATGGATCCTTCGTTTTGGAAGGCAACTACTGTAAGTGCACCCCCCCCCCTAGGTCTTGTCCCGCACCTTTGCGTATGCTCTCGTCCTGAGCCCTGGCTGTGGGATTCACAGGAGGTGAACGAAATCGGCATTCATTTGGCTGCCAGTGGAAGATATGTCCTGCTTACGAAGCCTATCATCGTTCCATCGGCATCCTCTCGGCAATTCTACAACAGGGAACTTATTGAACCCACCATGGAATGAGGGCCTTTGTCCAGCGCATTTTACACCCTCCATCCGACTCGAGCCCGCCCCATTCAGGCAGACCTAAGTTCGTCATCCAACAAGCCGTGGTTTCCCCTGCCCTCCCCTTAATGGCTACTTCCCCACCCATCCCATCCCGTCCCGTCCCACTACGTTCTCTCTCTCTCTCCGTGATGGAGAAGGGTGGAATTCCCTTGGCCGTAGAGATAGTAAGTTACCTCGTAACCCATCCCTGTCTAACTGTCCTGATCGTAATCAAGCATCATGTCTATTTCTCGGTTGCGTCTTCTGGGCCTTTCACCGTCATTTTGCCCCTCTCCCTTTTGATTTCCTTTTACTCCTACTTTGCTTCCTTCAAAGCTCGTTTCGGGCTCCGTTAGGGTCGCTCTTCGGCGCCACTGCCCCTCTTGCATTCCCAGCCCTTGTGCCACTACCCGTCCTGCCAACATCGGTTTACTGTTCATATGCTTGTGTACTCTCCTTGTTTATCGTCGGCTTTCTCCAAACCATGCCCGAACCATGCTCGCCTTTATTTTGCCTTGAACAATCCTCAAGTTCACCATCTCCACATTCGATTGCTGCACAGTGCTTTACTTTGACTTGCTTATCGTTGTCCTTGACTCCTCCTGCCCTGCATGTACACGTATTTTGGGACATTGGTCCTCACCTTGCCACCCTCCCCCTCTCTCTCGGATCGGCTGCAGCACGGGTGCCACCACCAGTCCGTGCTCTCGCCTCGCCATCAGCCGAGTCTCGACATGTGTTGATTTGAATACACCTTATTCAGGGGGGAAATGAGACACTGGCCCATAATCCATATGTTGGTGTGGTATGTGATGGGCTTGCGTTCAATGAAGCCATGCAATTCAACAGATCACCTCCGAGTGAAGACCGCCGGTCGCTCTCCGGTCTCCACAATCGACCTGAACTGGTCTTGGAGTGCCAGCGGTGAGTGGGACTCATGGACACACTGGCGAATGGTCATGGCCAGCGCGCATTGGCCTTGATACCAAATTATTCGGTCAATGACCAAAGATTCGGGTGTCCCGTTGCTGTGTGCATATGAACATCTGCATGTGAGCATCTGCATGTGAGTATCTGCATATGAGTATCTGCATATGAGTATCTGCATGTGAGCATCTGCATGTGAGCAAGAGTGCACCGGCACCACGGTCCCAGCCGCTTCCAGCCGGCTCGAGCCGGCGTGCCAGCCCCAAACAAATCGGGCTGTGCTCTTGGTGCCTTTGACCCGCCTCGCCCCTCTCCACCTCCTTCCGTCCTCCTTCCGTCCTCCCGCCGTCCTCTCCTCCAGGATCTCTGCTTGGGCTGCGATTCCTGGCTCCTCCTTCTTTGCGTTGCAGTTGGCCCACCAGCTCCTCAGAGCCTTCCCCAGTTCATTTGCCCGCCTGCTGTCGAGCTTTCGCCCGCCCCCCCCCTTGGCAGTCCACTGTCTCCCCCTCTCCTTTTCTCTCCGTCGCCATGGCATTCAAGGACAAAGTTGCCTCACTCTTTGCCACCTTTCGCATCAAGTATCTCCGGCACTTCCTCGCCGTCCTGGCTGGCATCGGGACCGTCCTGCTGATCAGCGTCTTTGTGACAGGCATGCTCGCCAATCTCTATGTCGACTTCGGCCTGAACCCGGACCCAACCGAGCCTCGTCGATGGGCTCTGGGCCGGTTCGGGCCGCCGTACATCATCGTCCACGCGGGCCTGGCCGGCGGTCTCATCTTTGTCCTCGTCGTCGCCTTGATCTTTTCGATAATGACCCTGAGCCTGTGGACCATCATCCCGGCCGCCATCTTCAACGTCGGTGTCATCATGGGCCACATTTACGGCTTCAGCTTTATCGACTCGAACGGCAACGACGCAGGCTCATCCCTCAATATGTCCATCAGCTTCTTGGTCACCTTCCTGGGTTTGCTCGCTTACTGGGCGTTGGCTGTTGCGCCGCAGTACCAGCTCCCTCTGCGCTACACCTGGATCAAGCCCACGACCTCCATCCCGACCCAGGGCATCCTCCTGGAAGACCAGCCAACCCAACAGACCCAAGTTTGAGCCTCCCTCCCGTCCTCCTCTCCCCAACCCACACCCACGACGGAGGCAAGGCCCACCACTTATCCTCTCTTCCCTAGACCCTCCCAATCGTCTCTATTTCTACATGCGGCCAGCCATGACACAGACAAGCTCCTGGGCTCGCTGCGTCTGCTGTCATTGGCTCCGTCGATCCACCAAACCCCCCCCCTGACTGTCTCTCCCTTACCCTTTCTTCCCCTCTCCGCCTCTCTTCTCTCTCCCTTCTCCCTTTCCTCCTACCTCTGACTATGCGAACCTGTACATACCATTCGCCTCTCCAGGCTCTCCAACGCCAAATCAATCTGACGGTGCCATTCTCTGTGTCCGGCCTTTGTTTTGCTCTCGCTCTCTCCGGGCCACCCTCCTTCCTTTCCGTCCCTTGTCCATCCCATCTTTCCAACTAGCGGATCGGCGGTCGACTCGATTGCTCATGGGTGCCTCGAGTATGTCTTTATGGGGGCGAGGCCAGACGAAGCCAAATCAAAACCAAACGAGACAAGACGAGCCAAGCCGAAGCTGCATGGACTTGCCTATGCCTCCTCCTCAAGTTTCGATGACCTGAATTGCTCGTTTCGGGATTCCCCTGCACGCGCACACACATCAGCTATTTACAGCCAATCCAATAAAAAGCAGGTTTTGGTCGTCGATGAATGTTATCACACAACACATCGCGTGCTGGTCATGATCATTCAGTGATGTGTTTCTGGATCTGAATCAAGGACGCTTTCTCGCTCAGATGACGCCCCGCAAGCGAAAGGCACCACCCAGGCAATGGTGATTCAAGCGACTCCAAGTGTGCTCACAGTGCCGGGAAGCCAAGCGACTCGAGAAACCATGGAGCAGTCCAGAGGGTCGAGTGAATGCACCACACTCCCACATCGAGTGGATGCACCACACTCCCACATCGAGTGGATGCACCACACCTCCACATCGAGTGAATGCACCACACTCCTACACCGACACAGGGGATCGACCGAGTGTATTCAGGGTGAGGCTCCTGAAACCAAAAACAAAGGACAAAAAAAACGATTGCCAACGAAGACTGGAAGCAATCGCACGGCTTGCCCACCAGGGCCAGCGCAAGTTCAGCAGGCTTGAATCGCTTATGCCATAAAAGGGACTTTGTCCCGCTATTTCATGGAATGATTGTGGTGGGGAGGGTATTGTCACAGAGTCTTCGCCCCTCGGTTCTTCTTGGGGGAGAAGGGGCCGTTTGCTGGCTTGAATGTGGTCTCCAAAGTGGACACAGAGCGCCAAGAGCCTTGATTGATCTTGTATCGTTGCCGGGAGATTTGAGAGAATATCGACGAGTGCGTTGTCCTACAGCTCTGCACTGGCCTCGGCATCCTCCCGGGCCCTGAGGTATTCACGAATCTCCTCGAGATGCAGGAATCGCACGGGTTTGCCTCGTGGTACGCCATGCCAGAGCTCTGCCGATCCCGTTGCCAGAAGGACCTTCCGGGCGAGCTCGCAGGAGGCGTACTTTTCATAGGCCGCAGCTTTCATGACCTCATCCTTGATCGAGTCCCAGTGCTGGATCTGGGCCGAGTCCAGAAAGGCAACCTGTCGATTCTGCTGGGCAATGACGCCGTCTCCAAGCCCGATCTCGGTGCCGCTCTCGACTGTGAACCTGAAGGCGAGCTCCGGGTTGGCCAGCCTGATCTTGGCCGCCTGGAAGGCGTGCTCGATCGAGTTGAAGGTGAATCCGTCGTATACGAACGGCGCGATATGAAAGTTGCTCAGGACCCGACGCCAGTCCGGGATGGCCTGCAGGCTCTCATAAAGCCCTGGATCTGTGATCCACTCGTTCACCCCGCGACCAGGGCGGACGTCCTTACTGCGGGAATAGAAGAAGAATTTGTCGGGCCGCATTGCTGATGACGAAGCGGTGTTGGAATGGGAGGGTTGCGTCGAGGAGGACGAGGAGCAAGGGATGAAGGGAGCGGGAGTACCGTCTGATTCCAAAAGAGAACGGCGTTGTTTTATCTTACTGCAGATGGGAAGCGAGGCCACAGAAATCCGCGGCACCATGGGCACCGGGACTTTCAAATATACCATGCTGAGACCAAATCCCAAGCAGGTCGAAGGGCGCGGGGGGGTGCAACATGCGAAGGCGGCCGACGTGGGTGGCAAAGCAAGTTGCTGTGCCTTTGGAGCTGGGCCAGTCCGCAGCAGCGGTCGTCGCTTGCAACCAGCGGGGCCTCCAGACGAGGTTTGGGCGAGAGAGGATGGATACCCAGCAGGGACCGGGCGTTGGCGGTGCCAAGACGGCCCAGGGAATGTCGTGGAAGCCGGTGGCTTCTGATCCTGCGTTCCCGCTTGCGCGTTGGCGTCGACTCCTCGCTGCAGTGCACCAGCCAAACAGGCCATCGCAAATGACGGATCCCTTGCGTCGATGCTGTCGCTGGGACCATGGTACATGGCACATGTGCGATTGTATCTGCAGTGGCAATCTGGTACCGGCCATGCCATAACCACACCCACGCAGCAATCCCCCGCTCCTCGAGGCCTCCATAATCAGCCGACGCAGTCTCTCGCGGCCCGTGCGATGGACTGGCTGTGTAGCTTGCTCCATTATCCAAGCAATGTTGTGCCTCAGCGATATTGCTCCCAGCTGTCATCTTGGCGGGATAAACTCCAATCGCCATCCATATATCTCTCTATCTATCGCCCATCCATCAAGGTCCACGAGAGCCTTTCCTAGAGCATCGCTGATGGTTTTCTTGTAGATGCGCGGTACCAAGTGTGCGGTGAGGGAAGACTGCGGGCTTGGCCTGTTTGCAATCTCGGCAAATGCAGGTCTATATGGACCCGTACTCTCCTTTTTTCCTCATATCGATTCGCTCTCGGCGCTCCCGGTCTTCTTTCTCGAGGATAGCCTGGGGCTTGGTGTACTGGAGGTACGGAATCACCAACGATGGTCAGAAGAGGGATAGGCAGGTTGGGCTTGCCCCACTCACCCATGCCAGCTGCGACTTACCGCAATAACCAAAGTATTGGCTCCCCAATCGTGTTTGACCGAGCTTTGGTCTAGGGAGATTCCGGCTCGTCGCATGTCGGGCATGGCCAGACGCACATAGTATCTGCTCGAGTGCAGGGGCGTCAGGCATCAGACGTCGGGTATGAGACGAAGAACCAGATCGGCGGAGGCAAGACACGGCTGTGTGAATTGCTGGGGATTTCAATGACAGTGCCGGCCAAGGACTCTGGCAACGGCTCTGGCCAGCCAGGAAGCTTCAGTAGAGCACTCACTTCTTGTTGGTTGTTCGAACGACAACTTCGCTGGTTGCCTGGTCGACGCCGATCACATAAGTGTCCTTGGGATAGGGCAGGTTCCGGATCCGCCAAGAAAACAGCAAACGAGTATCTCGGCGGTGCACCACGGGCGTCTGTGACGATTCTCGGATCGGGGCGTCGTCGCTGAGGGTGGCCGTGCGTTGGGCCAGAGGCGGTTCCCCGACCTCGTAGGTCCAAGGCAGCTCGCGGCCGATCAGGGACTTTGATCGAGTCTTGCGCACTGTGACGGGCGGGAAAACGAGGTGCTGTGTCAGCGCTGCTCTATCGATGCTCGAAGCCACGACGCCGAGATCCGATTCACATCCTGGCAAACACGGACAGAGAAGATCGTCGGACGCGTTCGAGTACTCCTCGACCATCTCGAGACCCGAGGGAAAGTGGGTGTGGACGGCCAGCTTGTCGCTTGAATTGAAATATGAGCGCACTGGCTCGATCGCCGCGGCGGCTGCTTTCTTGGCCTCCTCGTCACGCGTGGGGCGGGCAGAGGACTTGCTGGAGAGCATCTTGCTATCTTGCTATCTTGCTATCTTGCTATCTTGCTATCTTGCTATCTTGCTATCTTGCTCAGACCGCGATTGTGCTGGTGGTGCGAATGCTGGTCGAGCCTCGAAAAGATCTGCAGAGATGCCTGCGGTTGAACTCGCTCTCAAATGTCAACCCCTGCGGTTGAGCTCGCTCTCAAACGTCGACCCCCCACACTTCTCTCCGGAGCGCGGGAAAAGTAGCCAGTGCCCGGGCGTGGGAGCGAGCCGCCCTGACCGATTTGGCTGGCGGCCGGACCGGTTGGGCGGGTTGGACTGCCCGAGGCGCAGCGGCGGTGCGTGATGCCCACATGACCGAGACGGGCAACGCGGCTTCTCGTCTGTGCCAGGCATCCGCATCCGTTCCACCGCGATCGCCTTGACGCCGAGCGCCAATACAGACGCAGAAGCAGACACCGGGCTGGAAGCAGCGCTGGAAGCAGAGGCAGAGCAGAAGCAAAAGAAGAAGACGAAGAAAAGTAAAAGTAGAGGCAGAGGTAGAACCTGTAGATCGATCGAGCCTCCCATATTCCTAGCCACACGCACACAGATTCCGAGACTCGAGCATCGGCCATGGCGGACACCCACCACGACAAGCCCGAGCAGGACAGCAGCGACTCGCTCTGGAGGAGTCTTATACCCTGCTCAGGGACGACCCTGGCGCTGCTCGGCACGGCGGCGTTTTGCCTCCCGTCGCTATCGTCAACGTACTTCAAGTCCTTTGGCATGAGCCAGCCGCCACTCGATCGAACCTTTGTCCTGCGGAACTTTTTCTTCGTCTACGAAGCCCAGCCCCGCTTCCGCCTGCTCTCACCCAGCCACTCTTGGATCACCCACATGTTCCATCACCACGACATCTTCCATTTCGTCGGCAACATGTACGCCGTCTTCTCGTCGGGATGGTTCCTCGATCTGGGCTTTCTCCCAACGCTGTCGCTCTTCCTGGGTGGCGGAATAGCCGGTGCTGCCACCCACATCCTGGAATGGGCCGTGCTCAAGCGAACAGACCGACCGATGCTCGACTCCTTGCACCAAGTCGCCAGAGAGATCTCGGGATACGGCCACCCATCCATCCCGTCGCTCTCGACCGAAGTTGAGATCATGGACTGGGTGCGTCGCCAGCTCAAGACCGCCAAGGAAGCCGTCACCGCTCCGCTACGAGGACGCACGTTTGCGCTGTGTGGCGCCAGCGCCGGTGCCTATGCGCTGATGGGTGCAGAGCTGTGCTCGATCATCTCGGATCTGCGGCGTTGCTACCGCCGATACAAGCAAGCGCCTCGAGGATCGTACAGCCGCGATGTACACCGATCCAAGCTCTGGACCCTCATCGGCATAGCCATCGGTCGGATCGTGGCTCTGATTCCTCAGATCCTGGCTGTGCTAGAAACCGGGAACTCTGGCAGCTTCGGCATCTGGGGCTTCCAGACGCAAGCCGACATGGTCGGCTTCTCGGCACATCTCGGCGGGTTTGCCTTTGGAGTCGCTTGGATGTACGTGTGGAAGGCGCTCTAAAGGCCACATCACCATTCTGATCCACAGACGGGTGATATGTATGGAGCATCCACAAGCGCTCTGGAACTTGAAAGTGTCTCCCATCGCCCCAGCGAGCCGTCACCACGGAGCGCTCAAGGCTCAGGGGATCCTGCATCAGATCAGCACAGTTCCTGGGCAGACCTTGACGGTTGGATACGACAACTACTGGCATATCGGCTGCAGCTCGCGGCACACCCGCAGCTGCCGCCGAAAGCCTGTGGCCGATGCAACATGTATCTTTGCAGCTTGCGTGCTGCGAATATTTCAAGAAAGCAACATGACAAGCACTGTTTTTTCCCTTGATATCCATCGCGAGCAGTGACAGGGCAGTTTGTCACTGCGATGGGATCGGTCTGGCGGAGCGATGGAGTGATGGAGTGATAGAGTGATGGACTGGTGGAGTGGTGGAGTCGGGAGACGAGGCACATGTACCAATCCAGGTTGCTCCAACGCCAGCTGTCAAACGATGCTATCGATTGGTCTATCACCGTACGCATGCAGGTCTGTTTTGGGTTGTCCCATTCCAGTTTGGATGCGACACGACAGCGTGGCCAAAATCCAAGCCGGGCCCGTATCGACCAAGCCGCCATTTTTCGTGGGCTGTCCCCACGGAGGTTTGCCCGGGACTTCGGCATCCACGATTCAAATGGAGTTTAGGCCCTTTGGCCGAGAATGTATCGCTCGAGTCTGTGGCTGGGTATCGAGACGGCCGAGCCTGGCACTGGCTCCTCTCGGCCGCCCATGTGATGGGGGCCTGTCAACACAGTGACCATGAATGAGTCGTCGCCGGATGTGGTCGCTGCAAGTCGGGGCAAGAGCGACCGTCTGCGGAGGAAGCAGGCCATCGGGCGAAGGGCAGCCGGTCGAACCACTCCACAGAGCGGCTCTCATGCGTAGTGCAGCGACCGAATCCTGCATACGTGGCCGACAGCGTTGCATTTCATATCCGTACTCGGGAGGGGGTGTCCCATTCCAGATCCAAAGACTCAACCGCTTCGTTGTCTGTCCAGAACGCGTCATCTCCATGTTTGCTTTCGGCTGAGAGCGGCGCCGGGCAAGCGCCAGCCCGGTCCTGAAAAGCCAGCCGCCCCGCTGCCGATCCGGATCTTCCGCCCATCTCCCATCGCCCCGTCGATCGTCGCAACCTACTATTCCCTCGCCTGCCCTTCCTGCACCCGTCGAAGCATGCCTCTGTTTCCTCGAGTCTTGACGCCTCTGCGCTTCCGCCTTCCTCTGGGCCGGTCCGTCTCGACCCTGACCTTCCAGCCCCAGCCTGCCCTCGACGGCGGATTCACCCATGCGATCAACTCTTCGACAGCCTTTGCACCGCAGCCGGCTATTATTGTCCTCCAGGAATGGTGGGGCATCAACGACCAGATCAAGGATCACGCCCAGCGTCTCGCAAACGGTGAGTTCATGTCGAGACAGCAAACCCTTGGCCGATCTCGGACATGATCGCCGTGTCGGTTGGCATATCCGGCCAAGTAGATCAACTGCTTGGAGATGGATCGCGGCCTGGTTGGAGATGTGTTTACGGATAAGTACCTCCACGACACATCTCTGCAAGAGACCACCATCGGACTCATGCTTGATTCAATCTTGATTCGATCTTGGTCCAGAAACGGGTGCCACGGCAATCATCCCCGATCTCTACAACGGCAAGAGCACGCTTGATGCTGAGGTGAGCTTGTCTACCAATTGTACCAGCCGCGGACTCTGCTCCGAAGAACTTGGCTGATTGCTTGGCCCAGGTCTTTGTTTGCTCCTGCACCGGTGGAGGCCTAATGCTATCGTACTCTATCGGACAACCCATCGTTGGTACTGTAGGAAGCATCGCACCTCATGAGCAACCTGGACTGGACCAAGGCGCTCGGCGAGCTTGAAGAACTTGTGGTTGATCTCCGCAAAGGCGAGAACGCCGAGAGAAAGATCGGCGCCGTCGGTTTCTGGTATGCACCAGCGAGCAGCAGATGCGTGGGAGGGGCTGGAATGATTGCGGCCACCAGACCGAATCCAGCCATCGAGCTGCTGCGTTTGTTCGCTGGAGTCGCTGTCCCTGGGGGCTTGATTCTGTTGATCTAATGTCCTGTACTGGCTCGCCCGACTTGGGTTGATTTCTCGAACAGCATGGGCGGCGCCCTTTCACTGGCCCTCGCCTCCAAGCTCTCCAAGTCGCCTCACCCACTTAATGGTAATGCTGACAATAGTCGATGCCGCAGAGTGCTGGCCAAGGGCAAGGCGATGCTGACCAAGGGCAAGCCGATGCTGACTCTCTCCACTCCATTCACTCTCCCAATCATGCGTTTATTGCGCGGCCTGCAACAATCCCATGATCACGGCTGATCATGGGTCAAGCTGTGTCATCATTCTACGGCACTCCCTCTGCCGAGCACTTTGACATCGGAAGCATTCCCATTGTGACTCCCTGCCAGGCTCACTTTGGTGAGAAGGACGAGTTTGCCGGCTTCAGCGACGTGGAAACGGCCAAGAAGCTCGAGAAGGCCTGGACCGAGGCCATCAAGACCCATGGTGGCTTCCACGCCAAGGGCCTGCACAAGCTGGAGGCCAATGTCTATATTTACCCAGGCCAAGGGGTGAGTCGATGCGACTACGTTGTGCTGTGGCGACACCAGGGGAATGGCTCGGAGAGCAGAGAGCGCAACATTGAATCGCAGATCAGTCGGGCCATCGCTGCCGCTCCGGGCTGTTCCCAGTATTGTGTGAGACTGGGTCTGTGCTGAAAGCCTCGCGCGAGTAGCTGCTGTTGCTGTCCAGAGTCATCTAATCGGTCGATGCCCTCCATTTTCAGCACGCCTTCATGAATAACCTTAGCTGGGCTATCGCCAAGCGATCCGAGCTCGGCTTTGTCGGGGGCTTCGATCCCGACCTGGTCAACACCGCCTGGAGACGCACCTTCCACTTTTTCATCGAGCATCTGAAGACGCTCTGAAGACGCTCTGAGCGCGCTGTCGCTGTTCACGCCAGATGAGCAATATAGCACATTTCGTATTGCGCTGTCCACCGTGGCTGGCAGCACAGCAGTAGATGCCTGAATAGCGGATTGCAGCACACCAGCCCCACACACCGAGCGGCTATGTCATAGTGCTGTTGTGCAGGCTGGACGGCCAGTGGCGCAGGCCGGCAACCATGCGGCCACGTGGACAAGCTCCTGGCTTTCCACCGCGACCGCCCGAAACCAAAGGCGAGCAGAGCCAGCGTAGAGTCGAACCCGATCGTGCTCGCCGTCTCGCCATGCCACAGCCGACGCTGATCCTGCTTGACCGCCTTTCCCAGAGGGTCTCCTTTCACGATGTACCCACCCGGCGCTATCCGTACGGCGAGAACAGGCAGGATGCTGGCCGCCCGCTGCCGTACAAGGTCCCTGACAGGGTGATCAGAACCCTGGCAAAGTTCGTTGCTCCGTCGGACCTGCAGTGGGTCCTGCCGCTCATCAACCGGGACTTTTATGCCGTTGTGCGCTCCGCCCCGCGGGTGGTGCTTCTCAAAATTGTTCTCTCGTCATTTGCGTCTGGGGGACACATCGCCGTTGCTCCGAGTGATGCAGTAGGATCTGAAGACGCAGCCCAAAGCAGCGACCCGACCGGTGCTGGCGAGCCAACCGCCCTCGACGCCGTGCAGCTGCACGGCAAGATTGCCAAGCCGCTGCTGACGACGTCGTTCTGCGCCCTCCCAGCCGAGTCGGTTCAGATCACCGGCGCCCACCGGTCGTGCGAGGCAGCGACCGTTCTGGTCGACTTCAAATCCGTTCCCGACACCTCAATGGGACTCACGATGCTGATCCAGAATCTGCATCAGGTTCTCCGCAAGATGCTGCCGACCGCCGAGGCCCAGGGCCAGATATTCAGCAAGCGCACTCGCACTGACGAGCTTACTCCTGGATGCATGTTCTTGCTGCCCTGGGAAGTAACCTTCCAGGTGCCCCCAGACGCACACCAAAACTTTGCCGACCAACAGCATCTCTTTCGTGTGTTGAACCTGCTGAACCCGCCCGTGGTCAACATCAGCAATCCACCTCCTGCCGTCTTCAAGATCCTGCCAAAGAATCTCAGGGTCTGCCGCATCACCGGCATTGCCGCCAAGCTCGACTTTGCTCCTCTGGCCAACTTGCAGAAGCTGTCGATGCTGCACCTCGATGGTCATGTCGAGCACGCCTTGGATGAGCTGATCGTCCCCAGCGACCTCGCACCCATCACGCACCTTCCCTTGCGCGAGCTCGCTCTCGGCCGATGGCTGCCGCTGAGCGACTATGGTCAGCTATGCGAGGCCGTCTTGGCCAAGCTGGACGGACTCTTGTCCCTCACGATCCGCGGCCTCTTCCAAGGTAGTGTTCTCGGCATTCACTGCTGCATCCGAGTCCTATGTTTGATGCGGCGCCGGGCTGTTGCGGCCTTGGTATCTACGCCACATGCGCTTGATGGCTGCGGACTCTGCTCTGCGACGGATCTGGGGACTGGCTGGCTCCGGCTTTGCTGACATGGTCTTTACCTGATACATATCTCCCCCCCCCGTTTTGGGTGAATCAAAGGCGACCAAACACCACAGCTGCTCGCCGATACCGTCTCTGCACTCAAGTCCCTCGTGTACCTCGACCGACTCGTGGATGTTGACGACGAATTCTGGGACATTTTCGACACCCGCGAGCCCAATCGGTCCATCACGACGATCACCGTCGAGCTTTCCGAGGCGCCGATCCAAGGCTTCCGCTCTCTGCTCAACGGCTTCTACAAGGCATTCCCCAACGTTACTGTAGTCCGTGTCCAGTTCCGAGATCTTGAGGAAAGCGAAGGGGAGGCTCACGACAGCATGACGCTCGAAATCCTGTCAGCCCTTGAGGGGTTCCGAGAGCATCACTCGACGGCTGTTCGGATGTTCCGGCTGGAGGGTCTCCAGCCTGGGGCTGATGCACTAGTCCGATGGCTGGCCTTCAATTCTTACGAGGGGACGGGGAAGCACTTCCGCCTCTCCTTGGGCCGCTGAAGGCGGGCGGTTGCTGCTTGAGAGTTTGCTGGAGTTCACTTTTGTGATAGAAAACAGCCTTTTCGGGAGGACAGTCTTGAATACACTTGGTCGATCTCCTGTGGCGAGGACCGACCTGCATTGATGCCGCAATGTGGGAATGCGGTGCATGTACTCGATCATCTGGCGGGCTCCATGGTTTCTCGATCGAGATACTCGGGCGATTCGAGTCGCCGAGCTTCCAGTTTCTTTGGACAGCATTTGGTCATGGCGGGGGCGTATTCAAGATCCAGAAAATAGCGACAACTCTTGACCAGATAAGGTGTCCCCATTTCGCTGGGTGCGCTGTAAACAGGGACTGTGCGCACATGCGCTCTTTCGCACTGGCTATTGGTGGTTTGGAGCACAGTGTCGAGATGCAGTGGCCATTCGATCATCCGGACAGCCCTGTGATTTCCCAGCGTCAAGACAGCCAGGTTGCATTCTTCCGTTGCACGTGCTGCTCCGTTTTCTCATGCAACCTCTGCGACCAGGCGCCTGCGTTTTCGACCTGGTCCATCCCCCGGCATCGCGAATCCCAGAACCCATCGACAGACGGGCTTGCATCAGGGCCGCAGGTGCACTCGACTCCCAACATCCCATCGTCTCTGCTATGAGCCAGGATCCCCCCGAGTTCTGGCGAGAGGGCATGGCGGCCAACGCAACCCAGTCGCGCCCCATCAACACCCAGCGTAGGCATCCGACCGAGGGCCATCCGTACCCGAAGACAAGTGCGTCTGCCCTTCGGTCCCTTTCGAGCCTCTGGCTGGGCTCACTGCCGGCAGCGGCGCCCTTGTGGATCATGCGGGTAGCGCAGCTGGATGCAGACGTGCTGGATAGCGAGCTAATAGGCACGCTCAAGGATAACTTGATGCAAGTGCTTGCACCATGGAAGGTATGCAGCGTCGAGACTCGAGTCGAAAGCCGGCAGCCTCTGCAATCGTCATGTATCTGCTGGACGAGCAACCTACCGTAGCAGAGAAGGACGGGCTGATGATCCTTGGACTTACACTGGCTCTGTACTGTCCTCTTCGAATGTCTCCGGATCTCGCACCTCGTATCCCGGAAACTGCGATTGGCGCACCAGTCATCCTGGACGGATCGCCTGGAGCCAGAGATCAACGCCGTGCTGGAATCTCTTATCTATGGCTTAGCCATGTCCACTTTTGGATCGAGCTACGGCGAGGCTCTCGAGAATCTCAAGTATCGCAACGAGCTCAAGCACGCTGCTGCCAGTAAGAGCGAGTTTGTGCTGGCGGCTGCATCCAAACGCTGTGGTACCTGTCCCTTCATGCTCGATGGTGCTCATGCTCTTGCCCCGGTATCGACAGACGAGCATCTTCCGATCGATGCAAGGCTCTCGCGGCTCCAGATTGTGTTGCGTGGTCTCTTGACAATCGGCGGACACTGGGCTTGGACTCGGCTCACTCGCTACACCACAACTCAAGAATGGAGCCAGCGGGACGAGGTTCGTTGCAAGCGATCATGCACTCTACGGTCCTGGGCGAGTCTCCTCTGGCCAATCTGATGACTCTTGCTTCAACACACAGAGCGATATCCGTTTTAGACTCTGGGGCTGGATGCAGAGCTGTGAGGTTCTGTTCAAGGCGGTGTCCCTCGTCAACTTTTTGGCATTTCTCTATGGCGGCAGGTTCGATAGCTCCCGGAAACCACAACGAATGACACCGGGCTCCGAGAGTCTGAAACCGGCGCTCGGCAAACACTGTCGCCTCTCTAACCGAATCTGCTCACTAGATACCGAACGGTCGTTGACCGTCTGCTCGGCGCGCGGCTGGTCTACCGCCAGCGGGAAATGACCCGAAGGGTTGATTTTGACACCATGAACGGCCAATTGATATGGCAAACACTTGGGGTGGGTAGCGCCCAGCCGGCTGCTTGGATTTTCTGCTGGCTTGTCTGTGCGATCACGGCAGGGCTGCTCAGGCCGCGACTGATCACATCCTGCTCGATGATCCAGGACTTTCTGCTGTTCTTGGTGCCGTTCGTAAATCTCCAGAAGCTCAAAAACAAACTCGCTCGGGCACTCTTCCGAGAGCCCGCTGTCCAATTGCCCGATCACATGTGCGCTATCTGTCATTCGCTCAACCGCACATCCAGTGCCATCCATACGCCATTTGTCACAAACTGTGGCCACGTCTACTGCTACTACTGCATCAAGTGAGTTCCTTTGAGTCTGTCGCAGAGGATTGCTTGTGGTAGATCCAAAGTCGTTGTTGTCGATTGGAGGGATCTTGCGGCTGCCTGTCAAGCTAACGATCCATGTTCGGCGTGCTAGATCCAGTATCCTCTCGGACTCGTCCTATCCGTGTCCTCGCTGCGGAGCTACTGTGGTTTCCATCAAGCCACAAATCGTTCTCGGCTCAGGACGTGATACCACCGAATCGTCGCAGTAGGACAGAGTTGCAGCCATGAGATACAACTGTGTAGCGGCACAAGGCAGCGCATGTTGTGACGACGGGAGTATCGGATGAGTGTATTGTCTCAATGACCAGGCTTCTGGACTTCACTGTTGGCGATGTGGCACTGGGCAATAAGCTTATTTTGTCTTGGCGATGCGGAGCTTGCCGGGGACATACTGGCGAGCAGTTAAGATCGAGCAAAGTATCAGTGAGACAGACCGAAACGAGGCGCGACTCTGATACAGCGACGCCGCTTGCACCGCTGCAGCCGCAGTCCCATGTAGCCTTGCTTTGGCGATGGACGAATGCGATTCCAGGGTCCGAACGACTGCTCTCCGTTATCGCATAGTTCACCTTGTAGTTTTCGGCATAAGACTTGATGCGGAAGTGGGCCTGCTTGGGCTCATCGATCCAGTAGTCGTAGCCGTGTCGCTCGGCAAATCGGATGGCGTCCTCCTTGGAGCGGAAGTTGTTCAGCGTAGCCAGGCCCTGGCAGGGATCGGCGCTACACGACACAGCAACGGGCAGAGTCAGTCTCACGGGCGCTCGTTCTCGGAGAGAGCCGGATGCCTTGCTACAGCCCGAGCGTTGTGCTGCCACGGTCCGAGTCGCCCTCTTGGTTTCAGATCCCACCTGCTCTGCCAGCCCATCAGCGGATTCTCCCATCGGTCCAAGGTATCAAAGTCGATTCTCCAGTTGTTGGTCTTGTTGGTTCCGGACTGCATGGCGGTCTTGGCGGGAGCATAGATGCGGACAGAGCGACGGCTGATTTCGGGAGGGCATCCTGCCAGGATACGAAGGCGGACTGCCGTCAGATCATACATGCCGATCGAGTGCCACGCCACTTGGCAGTAGATGTGCTCGAGTCTCCTCGATGATCTCCACGAAAGTGCTGCCAGTCGGACAGGCCCCGTCTTTGAGGCAGCGCCGATCGAGGGGCTGGGAGAAATCAACACGCCAGCGACCATCGGTACTTGAGGACCATTCCTGCCCATGAATGCGCGCCATTCGTCGTGCGGACAGGTTCGACGAAGCTAGGACCTCGAACGCATCCGTGAAGTGCAGTACTGTGTCTTCGCGATCAACGTTACCATTCAGCGCATCGACCTCGAAGATTTCGCTGCCGGTGGTGGATTCAGCCGACGGAATGACCTTGGTGTTGCCACTCATGGAGCGGGCCAGCAGCGAGCGGCTCACCGAGGGGGCGGCGACAGCAGCGACTCGCTTGTAGAGCATGGCGGACATGGCTGATGGGAGCGGGGGGGGAGGCAGGCGGCAGACGCAGGGATATCAAGGCGGATGCGCTCGGCAGATGAGGGGCAAATGCGTGAGCATCAGCCAGGCCGTGATGGCCGTGTGCAGCCAACAGGCGCTCGATCAAAAGAAAAGCCCCAAATCGGGCAGGCTTCATTACGCGGTATTAATTTAATAGGCGCAACGCGCCAGCGACGCTTCGTTCCCACGCCTGCAGCGAGCCCTGGTGCTGCTCGACTGACATCCTGCTCGTCCGCATCGACACCGCGAGCACACCACAGCAATGGCCAAGAAGGGAAAGAAGGGAAAGAAGGGTGGAGAGGCTAAAACGGAGGCCCAGCTCCTGAAGGAAGAGGAACAGCGCAAGCGGGTCATGGAAGTCATCAAGGAGAAGGCCAAGGTGCGCGGCGGAAGCGTTTCTGGCGGCCGGATGCGTGGAGCTGACGATGGCCGCTTGGGTCGAGGTCGAGGTCGAGGTCGGAGGTTGAGCGCCTGTTGCGGCCGAAATGGCTGCTTTCGCAACGCTGGGTGCTTTCCTTCGATCCGCCTTCCTCGGCCGACCGCGCCAGGACTTCCCAGACACATGGAAGCGGAGAGGCGTCGGTGCAAGGACGAAGCGTTCTGTTGATATGCGATAGCATACGCGAGATGTTCATTCGCAAAACTGATATTGGATGCAGGAGCGTCAGGCTCTGGAGGAAAAGAACGCCAAAATCAATATGCTCAAGATCAATAACATGTGGAGGGAAATCATGAAAATCGGTGAGCCCGCACGACGGACGTCATGTTGCAGAACGTGCATCCAGAGCCAGACTACCGAAGAAACGACACTGACAGAGATTCCGTTCTCGCAGCCAAGACTCGTGAGATGTCGCATCAAACGCAAGTCCTCAAGAGCGTGCACGAGCGCCAAGTCGACAGAAAGACTGTGGGGATACTGAACCTGGGCCAGAGTCTCTTCGAGGCCGAGGAACAGTTCGAGACTGCTCTGAAGGCACATTGCATCAACGTCGATACGCTGATAGACCTGCAGAGAAGCCGCCTGGACTTTTTGATGAGCCAGTTCGAGAGCGACCTCGGCACCCTTGATACCGAGTTCAACAGCGAGAGGTACGCGCGCTTTGGCCGATCGCTTGGCTCAGATATGCGCTTAGGCAGCCATTGGGGCACTCGAGCCCTTGGTGGCCGCGGTGGCACCCGTCTGATCACATATCGAATTGGAAGAGCACGGATACAGATGCAGCATGCAAAGGACAAGGCAGATCTTGTGGGAATCATGACTCGGATGGACCAGGAGTTTCAAGAAACCGAAGGCGATGCCAAGCACGAGTACTCCAGTTTGAAGGACGACATCAAAAACAAGGTGAGTTTCTCCGCTTCTGAGCGAGCAGCAGAGGGACTGCTCTTTGCACCTGGACCTCGCCGTCTCACATATTCGGGCTGTCCCTTACTCCATCGGTCCAACCAGAATCTCGAAGAGAAGCATAGTCTGAGAATCCAGCTCGAGGGCACCGTCGAAGATCTGTGGAAACAGTTTCAGGCCGTGAGTCTGGCCAGAGGCATTGTCGTTCAGCATTTGGCTGCCAGCGCCCCTGCTGCTTTAGCACATCATCCGATGAACCGCTCAGGTGACCAACTCTGGTGCTGACTGAAGTTGCGGTGGCGCCCCAGGCCTTGAACCAATACAACACTGGCACCGAGGAGCGGAAGAAGCAGTTTGAGGAACTCAAGCAAAAAGACCAAAAGAATGCCAAGGAGATCGAACAGCAGATGAAGAAACTCGTCAAACTGCAAGAGACCATCGCGGGCTTGAAAACCAAGCTGTCCAATAACGCGCGCGAGTTTGAGCAGCAGAACAAGATCCTACGGGAGGAGAAGGAGCTCATCCAGGGGCGGTTCCAGGCTCTCAAGCGCCGGATGAACTCCTTCCGGGACGACGAGCGCAAGAAACTCACCGATCTGACCATCACCTCCAACCGCGTCCTGAAGGATCTGCAGGAGAAAGTGCAGAAGGCCGAGAAGATCATCAAACTTGCCGAGATGAACCGCAAACTCGAGGTCGAGGAGGAGAAGATTGTGCCATTCTACAAGGACTCGATTGAAGGGACCCGATACGAGGTACGCTCGCGGTGAAGTTTAGCCGGCAAGGAGTGGGAATATCTGCGGCTTGGCTCACTCACCAACCGACCATGCACAGGCGATGGACATCTCGGCCGAAAGTGGCATCAAGCTGCCCAAGGAGTTTGAGGCCATGGAGCAGTTCCACAAGCGCTTCAACAAGGTGCATCTGGACAAACTCGGGCTGGAAAAGCAGCACAAGACGCTGCAAGAGGAGAATGCCCACTTGCGATCCATTCTGAAGCAGTATCTTGATGGCATCAGCGTGACCGAGACGGTGCTGTCGCAGCTCAATCCGCTGATCGTGGTCAACGGTAAGCCAGTGGATGTGTTACCTTGGATGTGTTGCCTTGGATGTGTTGCCTTGGATGTGTTGCCTTGGATGTGTTGCCTTGGATGTGCTGCCGACTGATGCCTGAACTCTGTTTGCAGGCCGAACGAATGCTCCGCTGGATCATCCTCAAAGTCAGATGAATCTGACCTACGTTGAAGCCCGCCACCAGCTTGAGGCGCAAAAAATGAATGCCGTTGGTGATGTCGTCCCGCACCGGAGCTGGACAAGCTTTGTGCCATAACATCCTCCGCGTTTCGCAACATCCAGCCAGGACTCATTGCTGGCTTCTGGATCTAAATACACACGCCTATCCCGATCCGATTGGTCCGGCCGCGGCTCCAACACAGATAGTCCTCCAACGCTCTATCGATCCGACGTTGCTGTTGAAAAGGATGTATATTGTGGTGCCTCTTCAAGCAAATGCATCATCGCGGTCCGCGTCGACTCCGGCGCCAACCGTGCCCAGGCCAGAGTCCTCGATCTTGCTAAAGTTGAGGAAATGGCTCGGCCGATGGACCTCGTGATAGAATTCCTGCAGAGGGACAATGGCGTGAGTGGGATGTCGTATTGCAAAGCTCTACCACACAACAACGAGAGGCGGATGCCTCGCAAGCCTCACAGGCTGGCACGCATACCTTTGGCACATCGATCGTGAGGGTGTACTTCATATCCGGCTTGTGTTTGGTTCCCATGAAGTTGTAGTTCCAGACGCCGTCGTCTTCAGGCACCATGAAGAAGCCCAGGAAACGATCCGACAGAAGCATCTGCACCTTCTCGTAGAAGGTGGGCATGTAGCCGGGTGCGTTGGCGCTCATGTCCTTGTTGGACTTGCCCCAGTCAAAGCCCGCAGGCGTCAGCTTGTAGGCGGTCAGGGAGCACGAGCCGGGTGTGAACGAGCAGGTCACAATCACAGTCTTGTCGCCATCCCAGACGCCCTTGTTTTCGCGCATGATTTGGGCGTGCATGGTCACATCAAGCGGCGAGAGTTGAGGGAGCTCGTTTGGCTGGGTGTGGATCCAGCCCAAGGGCTCATAGTCCCTCAGATACTCGTGATCCGGGAGCATGTGGGGAAGATGTACTTGCTGTGGTCGGGGGGCGAGTGTGTGGTCGGAGGGCGAGTGCCGGTTAGATCAAGCAGAGCAAGGGGTGAGTCGCTCCATGCATTGGCTGTGCGGAATCAACCACTTGTGCTAGCGCGCTCGCCCGCAGTCTTACCTGGTGAGTGCCCCACTGGGGAACCACGACAATCGCCCGAATCTCCTTGACCTGCGGGTTGTCATGCGGGCTGACACCGTACAGATAGCCGGCAACCTGGGTTCGCAGATCCGAGATGCAGATGAAGCGCTTGAGGATGTTCTTTGGGAAGACATAGGTGTAGCCCGCCTCTTTGATGTCGTCGGAGTTGACATAAATGTGGTTGGTACGCAGATGCAAGTTCGTGGACGAGATGGCACGGATGCGCCACTCTGTCTTCGAGGAGAACGTCTGCGTCTCGTATCCAGAGTGCGTGGTCGTGGTGATTTCGTCGCCGTGGATGTTGTGGCTGACAGTCGTCACGGCGGTGAGCTGAGATTGGTCCTTGGCCTGCTTCTCGATCTCGGCAATCTCCTGGCGCTGGATCGAGGGTGCCGAAATTTCCATACCGAGGATGATGTCGCGGATCTCCGAGGTTGTGAGCGAGGCAACATTGACATTGTTCTTTTTGCCATAGTCCGCCAAGATCAGATCCTTCAGCGAGCCTTCGATCTTGATCCACTCTTCGTCCGTCAGAGTTGGCCAAATATGATGCGGCTCGGTGATGACAGATTTGTCCGGGCGCAGAATCACTTTGGTCTTCTCGTTGTTGACGTGGAGGGCCCTCAGAATCAGCACAAGACGGGTGAATGCTGTGTAGCTCGAAATGGATTTGAGCCAGTCATCAAACAAGTTGAAGAGCACCATCTGCGGCTCGGTAGCCTTGAGAATCAGGTCGCCAAACTTTTCAATCTTGAGACACGCCTGGAAGGGCAGCTGAAGCTCGGAACCCTTGATGATGATGTTGGGGAAATCAAGCAAATGGACTTCCAGAGGGTCAAGCATACCCTTGCGCGTCACAATGATCTGCTTGGGCTGCTCCTCAACGGGGAGAGATCGAATCAAGGCGGCGACTTCTTCAGCAGTCTTCCACTTGGCCAGCTGGCCGAGACGCTTCTGGCCGGCCCAGACAGAGGTGTGGATGATCTTGAGGAAGAGCTGGCCTGTGCGCGGATTGAAGATGAAGATGGCGCCGTTGATAGGCTTGGTCGTCAAGTTGCCTTCAAAGGTCTTGTGGATCGTGACTCGGTAGACATTGGTGTCGTCGACAAACCAGATGATTTGCGAGGAGAACAGCTCGCCATCTGAGGAGAGTTCAGCGCACAGTTAGCGATGGGGCGAGCTGGCACGCGACGGGGGGCGTTTGATTGGCCAAACGATTCAAAGCGGGCCTGACTTACAGTTGCGTGAGGACAAATACGGCTCGGTCGGCTCGGACGAGTACAGTTGTAGACCCTTGCGGATGCGCTCACGCAGAACGTAGAGGGCAGGGTTCGCTTTGATGATCTTGGCCATGGCTTGCTGCATCAAAGGCTTCATGCCCGGGAACCAGTTGCCGAAGGCACTGTGCAGGTTGCTTTGGACAGGAAGGATATCAAGGATATCATGTGAGCGGGTGTCGTAGAGGCGGCTGTTGAGCGGAGCCGGACGGCTCAGCCGGTCAAGGAGAAACAGAAGACGGGAGTAGCACGGTCTGCGACGGCAGCACGACAGCAGGGCAGCAAAGGCGCCAGGAGCGACCCTGAAACACCAAAGTCCAACAGGAGGCTGTACTTACTATGCCAGGTCAATGCCGATCATGGCACCCGTGGGCGAGGGGTAGATGGACATACTATCGGTCGTGTAGTCGAGGAACTTGGCACGTGTGTAACGCTCAATGTCATGCGAGTCAAAGTCGCCCCACCGGAGCTGAACGTCAACCCAGTACTTTTGGGTGGTAGCGCCGTCGAAGGAATCCTTGCTGTCGTTCAGCAGCGAGGGCTTGGACACGTTCCACTTGAACTGGGCAAAGAGCAGAATGTCTGCGCAACTGCTGTTCATCTTGTACGACTTGCGTGGATGGATCGTCTCCTTCTGGACCGTCTCGATTTCCAAGGCCTCGAGCTCCTGATCAAAGACTTGGCACCTGTGCGCAGGGAACTGGATGTTAGCGACGGAAGCTGACGATGCCGACTGATGACAACCATGGCACGTTCGTGTGCTTCAGCAATCGACAGAAAATACATACAAATCCATGACAACACTCTCGTGAATCTTTTGCCACAAGTGCGCGCGGAAGATCTGGATCAGCGAGATCTTGAGCGTCGGGATCTTGCCGTGCATGAAGATGCCTGTGAGATCCAGCTGGACCTGGAAACCAACATAGACGTTGGCACGGTTGATGGTGGGAGACCACCACAGCGTGAAGCGACGGTTGGGGATTTGATTGAGACCGGAGCGCTGGGCATTGGTCAGCTTCTTGAACTTCATCGATTCCTCGAATCCAGATGCTCGTTCCCAGAAGAGACCCTCCCAGGTGGGGAAGTACGTGCCCTTGAATAGGGTGTGTTCGAGAATGCCCTCGACACCGCCGAGCGCCTGGATCATGTCGGTTCGATAGTTGTTTCTGAGGGACGGAGAAAAGGTCAGCCCGGGCTCGCATGGGAAACGGCAAACTGTCGCCGGCTGAACAACCAAACACGCTCCACCACGTGAGAGGATCAGAAAGAGCATTGATGAACTTACAAGTTCCAGAGCTTGCCATCGTGGCGGGCGTGAGTCCACCAGAAGGGGTTGTTTTTCAATAGCTGGTACTGCTTGAAATCCGTCCGCACTCGCCATCCCTTGTCGTACGCAAGGGTGTGGCGATCTTTCTGGAACAGGGTGTTGATTCTGGGGATACCGCGATCCCAGCTGTCTTCCAAATCCAGGAGAGTCAGCCGACGATTCTGGGCACTGGCCTCCTGGCGCTTCAGAGCGTATTCGGCCCAGACACGCTGAGAGTCAATAAACTCTGACTCCCACGGCTGGATATAGCGGTACAAGTTGGGAATAGTTTGATCCTCATCGTGGGACATGCCAGATCGGAAATGGGTGATGCCCGTATCGGTCTGCTTAGACCACCGGAGATCGGACTGAGGAATCAGCACATGGCCCATCGAAAGCATGCCGAGGCCGCCGAGCTCCTTGGGGGTATAGAAGACCACTGGCGGGAAACGGGAAGGCATTTTGGAGTTGAGGCCGATCTTGACACGGGTCTGGATCTTATTTTCGGCCTTGACAAGCAGGTCGAGGAGTTCGCGCGTATGGATGACGGCCTCTCGATAGTATGTCATCAGTCCGATCAATGCGGTGTTCCATTTGCTGTTGCGGGTGGGGGGGGGGAAGCCACAAGAGTGCCATGTGAGTGTTGCCGTTCGTGGGATTCGGCTTGCCCCTCGATCTGCGTCCACAAGCAGCAGCATCAGGTTTCGATACAGCGAGATCAAACTACTCACTTGACAATCTTGGTGAACGTGGTGCTACCACTGGCCATCAGGATCTGACGGATGCGGTTGTGGAACTTTTGCATGCTCTCCTCGTCGACGCGAAGATACGCTTGCGCGGTCCGCTCCTTGGTCTGTTCGTTGATCAGGTTCCAAACGCTCTCGTTGATGCTGAACTCCTCGTGGACGGCGCGGATCTTGGGCAAAATGCGGATTTCAAAGCCGCACATGTCAAACAACAGATTTGGATTGTCCTTGGAGAAGACAGAGACAAAGGACTCTTCCCACTCGATCGTGGTCAGGGATCGAGGCAATCTGTTCTTGATGTCCCAGAAAACTGCACGGCCCAGATTGACGTCGTGTTTCATCAGACGCATGCGACAGTCGCGGGGCCAGCACTTTTTGTTGTTGTATCCGACAATGTTCTCGTTGTTGGGATCGGGATGCTCGGTCAGATAGCGCTGGATAAGATCGCGGGCCTCCTCTTGCGTGAAGCGGAAAAATATGTGAATCCGGTCGATATAGCGCGAGTAGAGGCGGATCGGGTGGCGAACCTCGGTGGCAACGTCGCGGAACTGCAAAAAGTCGTTGGGCAGTGTGGGAGGGCCAGACATCTCACTGGCGCGCTGTAGGCCCAGGATCAACAGGTCCAATACCAGGCCATAGTACTGGAAAACAAACGAGGCAAACTGCAGACCGCGGATAAGACCGTACGCATTGATGTGATTCATGTCCTTGTAGTTCAGGACAACGTTGTTCTTGGAGGTGACATAGTCAGCAATATTGTGGTCCACAATCAGACGCATGAGACGGTTGAGGAGCGTCAGATCGACCTTCTCGTAGACTTTGCTGAGCTTGGTCTGCATCATGACGTTGCACTGGCCATCACTCGTTTCCCATATGTCGACCATGTTATTGATTCCCTGGCACCACTTGTAGACCAGGAGCGGCGGAGGCTCTGAATCGGCGGGTTTGATCCAGGCAGGGAACAAATGGCGCTTGTCTGCTTCGTACCAGAGATACTGGTCCAAGTAGGCATCGGTGATTTTCTCGAGCTGGATGAACATGCCGGCGTTAGCACCATTCTGGAGCCCCATCCAGAAAATATCCACAGGCGCTGCGAGCTGCTTGTGAATTTAGGCTGCGGAGCGCCATAGCACCGTGGCAGCGGGATATTGCACGGCAGGCCATTGACTTACAGGCTCAACATCGTAGACCGGAATAAGATGGCTGTAGAGGTCCATAAACTCGATTCCGACTTCTTTGAAAGCACGTTGAGTGAGGAGCAGACGCTTGATACGACTGAGGCACTCGTGCGGCTGGAACAGAGGACGACAGAGCCAATTGGTAAGCTTTGCATCGGGATAGCAAACGCGGAGATACAACGCAACCTGCAGCCGGGTGATGTCAAAGCGGTAGCACCTACGTTGTCATAGGCCTGCTCAATCAGACCCAGTTCTTCTCTTTGGCTTTGGTTCAGTCGACCCTGGACAGAGTAGGCCTCCTTGAGCCGCTCCAGGGCAAGGATCAGCAGCTTGGTGTCATGCTTGTATGACAGGGGAGGGAACGGAATCGGCGAGAAGCGGCGAGACTCGAGCCAATGGACAGTCGATGTGTAGATAGCCACGGCCTCTTCGGCAGTGATGTAGGGGCCATCTTTGAGATAGTTGTGCTGTCGCTCCTGCTCGGCCTTGAGCCAGAGACGAGTCAGACGACCCAAGTTCTGTAACAAATGCAGACATTCGGCGGTCAGTTGATGCAGGGGAGACAAGTAGGTGAGGAGGCAAGTGGATGAGCCCATCGACTATTGGAGAAGAGCCTCTTTGTCGAATCAGGGGGCAGGCAACTGGCGTTGATGTTCCGCTGGTCAACAAGGCCGTGCATGGGGATGGCACTGCGGAAACAAGACAGCTCGGCCCAAGCTTAAAGTAGCGAGTCATACCTTCTTGCAGACCGTCTTATCGACCGTGGCACCACGGCGAATGCGCTCGCGGTTGTAGTGGGCCACACTGGTCCACCAATCTGCCTTGGACTTGACATATCTCAGGATCATGTTTTCGATCGGGGTCGGCATACCCGGCACCTTCCAAGGAATATTGGCTTTCCAGCATCGCCATGCCTCACTGAGATGCTGCAAGATGGTTCGCGACTTGTTGGCCTTGATACCCTCGGGCATCATATCCAGGATGTCATGCATAACGGCAGCACGCAGCTCCAGGTCGTAGTGTGACTCGACGCGCTGCTTAGTGACTGTCTTGGCCATGCCCTTCGACTGGCGACCTTCGAAATGGCGCGCAAGCAGGTTGCCAAGCCAGCGCTCAAGCAACGGAACAATTCCTCGCATGAAGAAGAGCCACACGCGCCAACCAGGAGCCCAGAAGCCGCATCCGGGGCCCTTTCCGACGGGGCCAGTGTTGAAACGATAGTAGATCAGGTGCTTCACTGGGTAACAGCGAGAGGAAGAGCAAGAGAGGGTAAGGACGGTGCTATCGGCGTTTTAAGAGTGTCATTCACACTATATCCCCGGCGGCCAGTCGGCGGATACTCAGAGTATTGCCCTCGATCGACATATCCCAACATGCCTTTCGCATACTGCAAACCTGCGTCCCAGCACAAAGAGTCGCAGTCTCGCTATCAACCTACAGTCTTTGCACATTCGAATCTGTCGCATCAGTCTGTACTTGTATCGGTACATGCCCGTGAGCTGACCCACATGCGCGAAAATGTACTGGAGGCCATCGGCAAGCTGGAAGGCATCAACATTGCCGAGGCGGTACTGCACGTGCGAGTCGACAACAAGCTTGGTCAGGCGCAGGATTTCACGGCAGAGATGGAATGCGTTGCCGAAGCGGGACTTTTTGCGTTCCTTGGTGGTCAGCGTCTTGACCGGCTTCAGGTTGAAGTTGTAGTCCAGATGGAGGTAGTTGAGGTTTTTACGGTGGATGAGCAGGTTCAGCATGTTGTAGCCTTGGCGACAGACCTGTAGACCCGCCTCAACCCAGTCAAGCTCGGTTGTCTGGAAAAATTTGGTCGCCTTCAGTTGCCGGAACAGGTACTTTTTGTTCAGCGCCTTGGGCGGACGATGCTTGAGCTCGTTGATGATATAGCATTTCTGGACGGAGGTGGATGGTAGCAACATCAGTCAAGAGCCGGAGAGGAGAGTGCGCGACCAGACACGGATATACTGCCCAAACAGGAACACACACACCCGCCAGAGCGTGCATCATGCCAACGAGCCGTCAACCTACCAAGAGCTTCTGGTAGGAAACTCGGACTTTGACTGGCTGGTTGGGTGGGCAGTGTTCAAGATACCAGTTCTTGACCAGCGGAATGTCGATTGCACGGCGTGTGACACCGCTTCTCTTGTTGAAAGGATGGGGGGCCCAGTAGAGTGCGATGGCATTGGCGGTATTGTCGGTGTACAAGGGCACATCTTCGCAAAAGGGCGTGACGCTCTCGGGAAGAACAAAGTCCTCGTCTTCGTCAGAGTCGCCAAAGATCAGATCCTCGTGGGAGACCTTGGCAGTCGATTGGAGATTGCGCGACGAAATCGGGTTGACGATAGGATCAAAGTAGAAGGCCGGAAGATCGGGGTCCTCGGCCTTGACGTACACAACAGTGGGGTAATGGTACCACGAGACGTGAACGGCCCTCGGCAAGGAGTTGTACAGGAATGGGAAGGCAATCTTATACTCTGTGCGGACGGGTTGGCGGATGATGATTTTGTTGATGTCGTTGAACTCGTTCCAGTCCTCATCGTTGGTATCGATGTCACGGAACAACGGCTCGAATTTCGGGCCACCGGGAATGGCCATGTTGAGGGCCTTGGACGTAAACATGGCCTCCTTGTCGAACAGATAGTAGTAGTTCCTGTCGGTCAAGTCCGAGAGCAGCTGGTTTGCGAGGCGATAGAGAGTCGACATGATCGGCAAGTCGAGCTTCCACTTGCGGTAGGTGGCACCGTTGATGAACTTGGTGTCGACCAGGGGGCGATGGTCGTAGAACCACTCGTGAACGGCGGCGTCTTCTTCCTCGTCCAGATCCATCTGGATGGCCTCCAAGGGCTCTACGTCGATGATGTTGTCGCCATAGTCGAGCGGGGGCTCTTCGTCGTCAAAGGGCGGGAATCTCATTCGCTTGAAGTGGCGACGATCACGCTTTTCTCTTCTCATCATGATCCACATCGTGCCCCACTGGGCGATGTAGATGGGCTCGACGACCCAGGGGATTTCGTTCACGAAAGTGATGGCGCCGGTAATGTGGTAGAGCACCGGTACCTCACGCACCTGAGCGGGAAGGCAGTGTTGCGATCAGGGATGTGCACGGGCAGTCGCGCGTTTGGACAACATGCTAGAAACTCGAATCGTCTGCTGCTGACCATCTGCTGTCGAGCGCCGCAACCCAGAGCGATCACCATTCAGCAACAATCAGCTGGGCACTCACCTGCTCCCAAGGCATCGGCATGTTCTCCAGCAGCTTCAACACAGCATGCGGCACGTATTTGAGTGCGCCGAGGTAGATGCGCTTGTCATGACGGAACTTTTTGCTAGACATGTCGCCGTGGTCCTTGATGATTTTTCTGTCCGCCGCGATGCAGGTGAATTCGGAGGGGGGGGGAATAAATGGTTTGTGGCGAGTTAGCAACAGCTCCGGAGTGCTCCTGCTGCTCGTCGAGATCACACTCCACAGAGACCAGGGATGGTTCTTGGTTTAGATTACTGCAGATGCCCGACAGTCACCTAAGATGCTCGGGGGGCATGTTTTCCTTTTGATGCTCAACATAGCCGAACTTGCGCTTCTCGCCATAGCGCTTCGAGTTGATCTGCGCCCACTTCTTTGCCTTTTCCTGCAGCTGCTCCGGAGAGAGCTCAGGTGCAGTCGCCGGAAGCGGCGGCTGAAATCCGGGCGGCACGGCAAACTGCCCGTGCGGCGCCGGCGGCGGAGGGGGATAGGCGAAGGGAGGATAGGGAGGGAAGCCCGACATTGGATCAGCCCTCGATATCGACAGGTGTTCGTGTAGATCGGATGCAGTGTCGGCCTCTGGACTCGTGCTGGTCGCCCGTGCTGATCGTCCGTTCTGGTCGTCCTTCTTGGCGCAGGTTCTCTACGGGCCGGCAGGAGTGGTCGGCGCTGACGCAGGAGCTCGCACGGGTTGGGCGATCTCGAGGAACAAGCAGAGATCTCGCTGGCGGCATCGGTGCTGGCTGTCCGTTTTTTATGCGGCTCGATCCGGCTGTTGCTGCTGGGCCGCTGGATCGAGCCGGCTGGTTGTGCGTCACACGTGACACGCCATTCAAATCACCGCCGGTGCTGCGAAGGATCGATCGGGCGCTCTGAGCAAGATGGCTGCGAAAACCAGCGAGACCCCAACATGGCATCTCGCAGAGAGCGAGCCTCTGAGCGACCCGCCAGAGGGCGATCGGGCGACCAAGAATAACGAGGAACACCTGCCAAAGCCAGAGCCAGAACCAAAGCCAGAGTTGCCGTTGTCGTTCTTGGATTTCCTCGACAAGCAAGGTCTCTCTCCAGCAGAGTATATTCTCGACAAAGACCATCCGATTCTGCGGTCGATCAGGTAGAGCGGCAAGCGAGTAGGGCCATCCAGCGAGCAGTCTCTCGAGCCCGATCGTCCATCGGCCAAGCAAGGATTCCCACCGCATCCCATGGTTTGCTCGGCCGCCGTCACCTCTCAGTTAATTGCTTGTACACGAACTCTCGACCTGCAGAGTCAATCCCAGAACAGCAAGTGATCTGACGCAAAGTCAGCTCGAAGCATGTCTCGGGACTGCTGTTGTTCCTGTGGCATGGCTGCCTGGATTCTATCAGTTTGATCCGAGCATCAAAATAGCACACTTGCCGCTTTACAAGGAAGGTCGGTCGAATCGAAGGCATATCACGCTGCTGTGTGAGAGGCGCATGGATCGGGCAGACTTGGACTGAGTGCGATCGCTGCCGAATGCCGGCGGCTGCTAACTCACTGGCCGACTCGACGCATTTCACAGGCAAGATATATGGCATCGATGTCTCCAGTGGAGTTGCCGTGCACGCTCTTGATATCAAGCCTACCGACCAGGTTCTTGATTTATGGTGCGTTTGACAGAAGCGAGGCCGCTACCGATGGTTTGATGGGCCTGCGCTATCGATTGACCAGTGGTTTTCAAGTGACAGCATCGTTGCCCACAACAACATCGCCAGTTTATGTCTCTGAGTTGACCACAAGTACGATGGCAGCGGATTGGTCAAGCTCAGTCAAGCTACTCACCCACTCCTGCCGAATTTCCAACTTCCGTGCCCAGTTGCGCCCCTGGTGGCAAGCTTTGCTTTATTGCTGATCTACAGGGTACTGGACCCGGGACAGTGACCGGGGTCGACATCGAGGCACACCGGCTTGCGACATGTCGGAGTCTCACCAAGAAGCATAAGCTCGAGCGGGTGAGGCTGTTTCTGGCTGGTAAGGCAGTGTCAGCTACGGGGGCTCATGTCGAAGGAGCTCAAGCCCCGAGCGTTTTGCTGAGAGCTCGAACTCGAACTCCAGGCATCATGGTTGACCGAGACACTCTTCGTACCAACATCTGGATCGCCCAGACGGCACGACATTCAACGTGCATGCACCATCTGCAGTCGGCAAGCATCGTATCTACAAAGAAGTGGAGCCAGTCATGCCACGAAAGAGGCCATGGACTGAAGACGATCCTGAAGCCAAGGTCGCTCCGACAAACGAAAATCTCACCAAGCGAGTCAAACCCTTCCACGCTACACGCCTGCTCCGATCCGATCCCCAGCTCCAGCATCCCGATCTGCTCTATGACAAAGTTTTGGTTGACGCCGAGTGTTCTCACGAAGGCTCTATCTTCCATATCCAAAAGTTTGATCGCGTTGGATGGGACAACTTTGAGACCAAGTTCAACAATCCCGAGCGCATCCGCACTCTCGAGAGTCTGCAGGTGAGCAGATTGTGGGCATTTGGGGTCGATCGCTGACATGATCATTCCAGATCCAGTCTGGACAATGTTCTATCGCTGCGACAGCCCCTGACTGGTCTCCGATGGCCCCACCTAAGCGCAGTGCAGTTGCCGTCAGTCTCTCCGACTCTGTGGGATGAAGTGGCTTCCAAAGACCTGACCTGCGCTCCACCCTGACTCATCTGCCCCAATACCTCTTTGCTCCAGCAAGGGCTAATATCAAATGGTGAGTTGCGAAACAGGTCCACTCTGTAGCTGTTTTCATGGATCTAACCCTGACCCCCGTTGTACCGACAGGATTCAAAATGTGAGTCAACATACTGCCAGACTTGGATTCTACAGGTGTCGGATTTCACAATATCTCGCTTGGTGCATGCTTACGAACTGCTTCGGACTACATCCCCAATCCCCCTGTTGTTGGATATTAAGGCTCAAGCCCGGCGGCATCATGGTCTACAGGTGAGGTGAGGCTGGATTGGAGCTCGATGTATGTGGCTCGACACCCATTTACTAACACATTCTCTATCGTCACCAGCACATGTAGGTGAGTAATTGGAGCTTTGATTCAACCCGATGGCTCGTCTTCCTGTTTGTCACGCACGGCCGATCGACAGCAGCTCACCGTCAATTCTCTGGCGTCGGCAGTTTTGCCTGTCAGCAAAACGAATCTATCGTCGCCTGGCTTCTCGAGCAATGTCCGGATGCTATTCTGGAGGCCATACCTGGTGTCGACAAACTTCCAGTCGCGCCGACGCTGGCTGCCAAGTTCAAGAACGTCGACTTGCGCCACGTTGTTCGCTTTAGCCCCAGATGCTCCCAGACGAGCGGCTTCTTTGCAGCCAGAATACGGAAGAGGGCGCCTAGTGGTGACCAAGCCAGCGGCGACCAGGCCAGCCACGACCAGTCTGGTGACGATCGGCCGGGTGTACCATCCCGAATCCGCTCAAGCGGCGCGGGTTATCCGGAGGCCATACAACCAACATCTGCGAAATGAACGGATTGCTCCCGTTTTGAGCCCAAAGTTCGCCTTTTTCTGTTTGGGTGTTGAATACATCTGCTGATCCGGTAGTCCCAAATGCATCGCCATGCGTTGCTTGGAAACCAGGCCCAGGATTATGTCAGTCAGGCATCGCCTGCGGCCTTTCCAATAGCTCACGCAGTTTCGTCGCTATCAGAGCCAGGGCAACATGCATGCCCAAACAGGGGGCGGGCTCAAGGACACACTATCCGAGTGAGCTGTTCATAGCTGTGGACAGTGGAACACGGCGCAGAATCGCATCACCATCGTCGCCAAGGGCGTGGCCGGAGTGCAAGTTCACACCAATCGATATCGGCCACGCATCAAGACTGTGCTCTCGCAAACCGAGCACGCCGTTGAAGAATGATGATGACCGAGCGGCGATGATGAGTGGTCTATGTCATTGGAAACTGGTTGCTAAATGCGAACGCTGTCTTCTGAAGCAGCGCACGACTCTGGTTATAGTATCGCATCGTGTTCCGCTGCATTGTCCAGAGCTACAGTGCATTGCAAGCTGCTGTGTAGATATGCTCGATTCAAACAACTGTCGACTCGTACCCCAAATCCAATCCTTGATAACTTTTACAGATAGAGAGTACCAAGCTACAAGCGTTGCTTGTCGAACAACGATCGGATTGCGCCCATAAAATCGAATCCAGGCACAAGCTCGCCCGTTTCTATTACCTGCATTTGATGCTCATCGATCTGAAGCCGAAACTCCAGAGTTTTATCTTCGCTGAGCATCTGGTCGAGCATAAGTCCAACGGCCTCCTCCGGGCTCCTGGCAGTCTCCAGGAGCGATGGCGAATCAGCCGGGCGATGGTCTGGCGAGTGCATGGAATACTTTTGAGGGAGTGGAAACCAGCGGCAGTCGTACGCAACCACATCCGCTTCCTCAGAGCGCTTGTATCTGATCTTCCCTCTGTCGAGAGCCCCGAGGACGTGTGCTTCGACAATGACCTTGGTCTGGGTGGTTTGGAGAACAAGACTGCGTGTCCCCATACGCAAACCCAGGGCGGGCTTCTCGAGTGGTTCCGGTTGTGCGGCTGTCTGAAGAGTTGCTGCTTGAGGTGACTTGCGTGTGTGCTCCACAACCGCAAATCGGCTATGAGCCTTGGTCGAAGACAGTCCGGGCTCGGTCGGCGATGCGTAGCTGTAGCTGGACACGCCAACAGCCTTGAGTCGAGTCTTTGACGGTGAGCATAGGACTCTCTCGGGATTCTCGGTGGTGGCACTGCGTGGTGTGAACATGGCGTGGTCCTGTGTGGGAGCTTCGAACAGATTGAGGTCGGTATTGACTGCAAGCTTGCGGGTCTCTGTCGGAGCGTTGACTGTTGTAGCCGTGGTCGAAGCGGGAGCCGATGTCGAAGCGGCCACTCGCTTGGCCTCGGGTTCACGGGTTGTCCAGTGGGATTCGATACTCTCCTCGGTGTCTTCAGTATCTTCCTGAATCTCTTGCAGCGCTGTGTGTGCGATAGGCTCCTCGATATCCATCCCTGCTGGCTCCGGACCGGCCAGGGATTGCTCTGGAGCATGCTTTGGGACTTTCCATGCTCTTTCCAACTCGCTGACCGGGGCTTTGCCCTGCTCGAGCCTGCGCATTACGAGCCAGAACTTTGCGGATGCATAGCTGGGCTCCTGTTTCCCAAGTGCCTCGATTACGCTGGCGGAGGGAAGCCCTAGCCGCTCGAGCTCGGCAAGCGCTGCCGCCTCCATTTCCTCGTCTGGCTGGATCGGGGGGTTATACTCGATATCAGGGAGCCGTGCACCATCGGTTACCCATGTATGGCTTCGAATCTGATCCAAGGTCATGCGGTGGCCAGTGTTGACGTTCAAAATCGATCTGAGCATATCTGCGAGCTCTGATTGCTCGCCCACGGCGAGCGGCGTCATAATTCGATTGCATGTTTAAGCCCGGGCTCGTCGTGATGATCAGGGCCCTCAGTACGTCCGGTTCCACCAAAGCAGGAAAGCGCCAAAGTACTCACCAGGGCTCAGGTGCTCCGGGATGGTGTACTTTCCAGTCATGATGTGGAGATACATCCGAGACATGTTGCGGTCGTCAAAGGGCAGATGCCCGCATACCATAACAAAGAGGATCACACCGAGCGACCAAACATCGACTTCGCGGCCTGTATATTTCTTGCCCGCCAGCATTTCTATGCAACCACAAGTCAGCCACACTATTCTTCCTGCCTGTTCGCTGTCTGCGGGCTGGTCTGGGACTAAGCACGCTGCCACCGAAGCTACAAAGCCAGCACATCCTCACCTGGGGCTGCATAGGCTGGACTTCCGCAAAAGGTCTCCAAGAGTTCGCCGTTTGATTCGGCAGCATTGGTGAATCCAAAGTCGATGATCTTGATGTTTCCATGGGTATCAAAGAGGACTGCAGTTCGTGCCAGAGTCAAGATGCGGAATAACGGATGCTCAGCCAGATCCCACGGCCATCCGCGCCACAGTGCGGGGCTTCCATATCTTTTATGGGCTACCCTAGACAATGTCGAGCCACACTGCTGTCATGCCGGCTATGCTTACCGTTTTCGGGCTTCAAGTCTCGATGGACAACGTCCCGCTGATGACAGTATCCGACCCCAGATACCATCTGGCGAAAGATGACTCGGGCCACTGGCTCGGAGAGCTTGCCGTGCTTGACCACATACTCAAAGAGCTCGCCGCCAGGGGCATACTCAAGCACCAGAAAGATCATCGAGGATGTCTCGAACACCTGGAGAAGCTTGGCGATGTTGGGGTGGTTCAAGCTGCCCATCACAAGGATCTCCCGTAGGATGCGCTCTGTTGCGCCTGGTGCCTTGAGATTCTCTTTCGGGAGACACTTGATTGCCACCTAAGTCAGGGCCAGGCAAGCAGGGAGAGTTCAGTCACGAATTGCATACTATGCTTGTGCTCCTGTGTGCGTCAACACAAGCGCACCTTTTCTCCAGTGAGGCCGCAGGTTCCAAGCTTGACCTTGCCGAAGCCGCCCTCGCCAATGATCTTTGAGATGCCGTAGTCTCCGATTCGGTCGACTTGGAACTGAATCTTGCTCTTGAGATGGATGGCTCGCTTTTTACTCTCACCCCCAGCAGTCGTCGAGCCGGCATCCGGCTCGGGGCTGATTCGTCCTTGATCAGCCCCGCCGATGGCTTCAGGCACCTCACTGCTCGCACGCCGAGTGACACTCAGCCGCTTCAGCACGGCACTGAGAAGCTTGCCTGCCTCCCGCTCGTTTTCTTCCAGAGCAGCAGAAGGGTTATCTGGATCGCGCTTGCGGTTTGTATAAAACTGCGGAACCTGCACCGGGGTACTTGGAGTTCTGGGAGTCCTGGGAGTTCTCGGGGTCCTGGGAGTGCGCGGGGCTGATAAGGCCCTGGCGACGTCGAGGGGCTTGGCCTCGTCGCTCTCGCCCGGCTTGAGCTGGTCCTTGAGAAGGCTAATCGGTGCAGGTAGATCTTTCATACTGGTGCGGTGGAATACGTGATGGGCAAAGGATGTCAACCCAAGAAGCGCAAGGCAGACGCACTGGGCGCCATCGGAGGAGAGGATATCGGCGAAGCTTGCGTTGCGCCAACCAATCAACCAATCCTGGCCGCTCCCGCTCAACACAATGCTTGGCGGTTCATGCGTTGGTGGAGGCGGGCAAGCGTGCGAGCGGGCTTCGAGAACCACAGGCGGTGCACAGCTCGCAAGATGATTTGCGGTTGGTGGTGGCCCCGAGGTATTCTTGAGGAACCTGTGCTGGTTTGTTCGTGCCGCCCGAGTGTGAGAAACATGGGCTGGTCCAGCAAAGCAGTCAAGCAGCCAAGCAGCAGAGCAGTCAAGTAGCCAAGTAGCCAAGTAGCCAAGCAGCGGAGAGCCACCGCCAGATTTGCCTCCGTCTCCACTCCTCCGTGCGGGAGAGCCTTGGTCCGTCGTCGACACCGATCGGCTCGGGCTGGACGACGCCAGCATCCCAAGGTTGTCACGACCGCTCGTCTCGTGTCGCGGCAGGTTTTCTTCTTGTCCTGGATCTGACTGCTGGAGATCGCTCTGCTGCCTCGCTCATCTCGCCCGCCATGGCCTCCCCGTTTGAACAGATCTGCACGGCTCTGCAGTACGCAGCCTCTCCCGAACCGCTGGTGCGCAAGCCTGCCGACGACCAGCTTGCTCAGTGGGAAGTCGTTCCCGGATTCTACTCAACACTGCAGGTTGGTTTCTTTCTTCCTGAGATGCTGCTCACCCGATCCGGATGCCGAGCCATGCCGAGCCATGCCATCGCCGAGCTGGGGTGTTGGCAGACGTGCTGACCGGTTCGTCAACCAGGAAATCTATTTGAATCGATCCGTCGATCCCAAGATCCGAACCCTGGCCATCATCTATCTCAAGAATGGCATCGAGAAATACTGGCGCAAGACGGCCAAAAAGTACCAACGCATCGCCCGAGCGTCCGCTTGGCTCTGTTTCGCCTGCAGCGTTCTATCGCGGAGACTGGCGAATGAGTCGCTAACTCATATTCTTTCTACTGCATGTGCTGGACAGCCCCATCGCTGCTGACGAAAAGTCCCTCATTCGATCGCGGCTCCTGGGCAGCTTTGACGAGCCCACCAAGCAGGTACTGGTCGCTTCCTCGGGTCCCGGAGCAACGATGCATCGCACCTGCATATCACAGTCGAATGTCCCGATCCTGGAATCGGTTGCTGCTGCTTCTAATGCCGGGATTGTCTAGATGTCTGCTCAGGCGGCACTTGTCATGGCCAAGGTTGCCCGGCATGACTTTCCGAACGACTGGTGGGTGGCACTGCACTCTCTCTGCCCCTGCCCATCCTGATGGACAAAAGTCCATCAAAGATAGCCATGTATGCATTACCCTTCGTATCCTCACCACCGAGGCTGACTGCTCGCTCGATTTCAGGCCCGATCTGCTGCATGTCCTGATGGGCACAGTCCAGGCCGCCGTCGCTGAGAAGCCAGCCCCCGGTCTCGATGCCAGCCGCATTCGGCTGATTCAACAGAGCGCACTGTATCATCTACATCAAGTAATCAAGGCCCTCTCCACAAAAACGCTTATCGCCAGCCGGCAAAAGTTTGAGCAGGTGCGATCCTATGCGGCGGCATCCTGTCCGACATGCCCAAGTGTCTGATCTGCTTGGCGATTCCCGGGTTTGCTTGCCATTCTCTCACCCATTGATCCCTCTTCCAACCCGACAGCTGGCCCCAGAGATGCTTCGCTACACTGTATCGCTTTTCTATGACCGGGCCAACTATTTCCTCGCTGGGGTCGCAAACTGGATCCACGGCCAGCAGGTCGACCCCGACGATCTCGAAGGTGCCCTGCAGCTGGCCATCCTCGCATTCAAGTCCATCCGACGCCTTGTTTGCTATGGATACAAGACGTTCTACACCGATCCAGATGGCCTGGTAGGCCTCGGTGCTCACTGCATTCGATGGCTATATCCCGTCGCAGCCACTTTGGGCAACCGGTTGCATTTTTCGCTGCGGCGATGAGTCGAACTGACAGTACAATTCATCGTCGACCGCAGCAATTCTTCCAATACTCCATCGAATATCTGCGCAAGTTTACGGCACTGAGTATGCAGCTTTCTTTATCAGTAACTGTCGTTGGCGAGCGACGGGCGCTCGGACGGCCCTCTGCACACTTTATTGCGCATGATATCTTGCAACCGCTCTATGGCTCCGCATCAGTTGGCTCTGTCACTGCGAGTGTCTTTCTTGAATCCACCAGCCGCATCGCAGACAAGAGCTTGTGCCTTAACCTGGCGTGTGCTACCCAGACTCGCTAGATTGCTCGGGCCATCTCCAACTCGGCGTCGATATGCTTACCACCCTGTCGAATCTGCTCCTCTAGAGTCGACTCTGGCCAATGCTACCAAAGGCATCTTCGACGGCATCAATAAGATCATCTTGCACCACGGCAAATTTTACCTGGAGCTCCAAAAGGTTCGCTTTCTCAGCTTTGTGCTGGCTCCAGGATCCATCGCCGTGGCCCAGTTTTACTGGGGGGAGATCGAGAAGTACGCCCAGTCAAAGGATGCCTTTCTTGGTACGCATCTGTTTCCGGTAGCTCGCAGCCACCAGACATAAGATAGAGCCCGCGACTCCACACCCACTCCGGTTTGCTCATCGGACCATCGCCATGTGCCGTGTGGAATATCGATGTCCTAGTCCTCATCGTGACCCCCACACCGATGCCTCTATCCACACCGGGTCTGTATTTATATCCCTGCTATCTCACTGACGAATGCAACAGCGGATCCATCGAATGAGCGATTTATTGTTCAGGCGCTTCAAATCCTCAAGAATCTCAACAAGAACAGCGAGTTCCATGTCAGGTCGCCCGCTGAGGCGGTGGCCCAAGATATTGCCCAGTCTCGCAAAGTGCTCTCCGAGCAGCTCTTTGTACCTGCGACCCTGACCAAGATGTGTCAGGTTCTTATCGCTCAATGCCTCGTTCTCGGGCCGGATGAACTGCAAAGCTGGGAAGACGATCCCGAGTCCTTTGTTTCCGAGGAGGAGGCCGACCACTGGGAATACAGCATTCGGGTGAGTTTGCGGCTGTAGTAGTGTCTGCACTCCATCAGTCGGGCCTTGAACTGAGCTCTGTGGACCGCGCCATCCTAATCTAACCGAGTGTGTTGCTCTTCAGCGCTGCGCCGAGAAGCTGCTTACCGAACTCGTTGTCGAGCACCGTGCTCTGTTGACTCCGGTTCTGGTCGGCATGCTCCAGGAGGTGTATGGTACGTACCTGAGACGGACAGCCGGCGCCGAAACACGGGAATGGCGCTTGGAGACGAACACACGCTAGGGACCAGGGCTTGGAAGTCATGAAAGGCATTTCGCATTTGCTACAGCTCCTTGCGTTTCTCACATGTCGGCATTCAGCGCGGGGAAGCGCTTCCAGTCTCCATGATATCATTTTGAAGGATGCCGTCTATGCAGCTATTGGGCTTTGCGCGCATGATCTGTACGATCAAATCTCCTTCGATACGTGGTTCCAGAGTAATCTCCGAGCCGAGGCGCTCAGCAACGATTCTAGGTATGTTGTCCACGCTTTGCTCCCCCGTGAAGCCGCATGGATAAACTGTCGGCTGTGATTGCTCATTGCTCCGTTGGGCATGATGCCACGCCAGCATGCGTATTGTCAAGCGCCGAATTGCCGAGCTGTGTGGCAACTGGATCGAAATCAACTGCTCGGCCGATGTGCAGCTGGAGGTCTACCGGACCCTGTTTGTGCTCATGCAGAAGGATCAAGACATGGTCGTTCGCCTGACCGCGGCTATGAATCTCAAGAGCTGCATCGACCAGTGGAACTTTGATTCGAGCGCGTTCGTTCCGCTGCTCCCCATGTGCATTTCGCTCTCAATCGATGTGATGAAAGACTCTGATGAATTCGATACGAAGATGAAGCTCCTGAACTGCCTCGCTGTTGTTGTCGAGCGCATGGAGGGCCATGTAAGCCGCGCTCGCTTTTTCTGTGAGCCATGCATCCCTCGCCAGGTCGGCGCTTGCTCACATTTGTACTTGGTACGTAGGTAGCGGCATACGCCCCGAGTATCGTCCAGATTTTGCCCGAGCTTTGGGAGTTCTCTGAAGATCAGAATCTCTTCCGTGCTTCGATCTTGGTTGTTTTGACCCGACTCGTTGCGGTAAGGATGTGCCAATCTCGAGCTGCTCCGTCACGGCATCGCACATATATCTGCATTGGCTACTCTGCCTAATAGCGGTGTCGCTTCATCGTGTCCATTTTCGAATTGCGTAGTCCCTACGCGAGAACTCGCCCTCTATCCACAGCTTTGTCACTCCGCTGATCCGATTCAGCGTCGACACCGCGGAGCCTGCACATGTGTACTTGCTGGAGGACGCCATCGACCTTTGGCTTGTGACAATGCAAAACTGCGTCCAGTCGTCGGACGAGCTCGCAAGTTTGTTCCCAAGCGCTCTTGCTCTCCTCGAGTACGGCGGTGAAAGCACAAAAAAGATCCTCAAGATCATCGAGGCCTACGTTTTGTTGGATACCGTTCGTGTGCTGCAGGTATGCTCGCTTCGTGTACTGGCTCGGTAGAGCCATTCGCAGTGCGAGCACAACAGACGACTGGGCTGAGGCTGGGCTGAAGCTTGGCACATCGGCATTTGGCATTTGGCATCGAGTGGGTCAATGCTCAATTGGCGCTGCCCTCACACAACCTCAACTTCAATACCGACTCAGACGTATGCCAGAGATATTCTGGATGTAATCGCGCGTCTCGTCGGCAACATCAAACCCGATGCCGCGCACAGCATCTTGCGCTGCGTCGATATCATGCTCCAGACGTGCCACATCGCCAACTGCTTCCCAGCCATCGGCGAAGTCCTTGTTGGATCCGGATTGCTTGCCAATCTTGCCAAGACCGTGATCGAGAACATCGAGCTGCACGTCGTGATTGTCAAGTACATCTCGATCTTGTCTCGAATGGCACTCTACGACCCCGAGCTGTTTGTCCGATCGATTGTGTCGGTTGGCGGCGAGGCCGCACTGCCTGCGCTTATTGACGCTTGGTGCGATAAGGTTGGTAGTGATCTGAAATCGGATGCCCAGCTCGATGCCGTGCTATTGCGGTGTGAATCGGATTGCAGCTGCTAACGCGGTAACGCTAAATGTCGATGATGCACCTGCCTCACGTTCGTTCTGAAGTACGACAACATTTCGCATCCAAAGCAACGGAAGCTTTGTGCCTTGGGCTTGGCGACCCTCCTCCGCAGCAACAGCCACCTGGTTTACCCGAAGATCGAGGCCATCCTCAACGTTGTCACCAGCGCTTCGAATGAGCTGAAGGAGAGCGATGCTGCCGAGTGAGTTGCCGCGTATTTCGACCAGATCGTGGCCACATTGCACTGATCGCCACCCGTACATCGAGCATACCCAAGACTGACATGCCTTATCCCTGTCTCTATCCGATTCGTGTGCAGTCCGCTCATGCGCTTCTATGAGGCCCGCGATGACGATGACGACGAGGCAAGCCCGGATGGCAAGCGACGAGCAGAGCTCGCAAACCGCGACCCTGTTGTTGCTACTCAACTCGTCCCGTACATGAAGTCTGTGGTCTCGCAGTGTGCTGCCACAATGGGTGCCCAAAACTGGGAGCAGCTGTGTCGACAAATCAGCCCCCATATTCTCAGCGAATGGACCAAGGTGTCGGAGTAGGCTTGCCTACATGCACAATTTCGCGGATGACCATGGTGCATCGTCCTGTGCTCATTTGGCATCCGCTAGTCACTTGGCGCATTTCATTGCAAAGGCGATGGACTGGAAGAAATATACTTTTACTCGTCCGGAGAGTCGATCAAGTTGAGCACAAGAGGCAGTGGATCATATGCATCGGCACTGGGGTATGGAAGACACCTCATGGGAACGGCGGATTCGGGATACAGGGCATCTCTTGAGGGCCTGGTGATGGCTCTCTCAAACGAGATAAATGAAAAAAGCTGTATTTTTTGAATCCAAGAGCAAGCCAGCCTCGAGAACGGCACTGATGACAATTCCAAGAACACACCCAGTTGGCAACAATCACAACAACTACGACAATACAGCTACTACAGCAATACAGCAACTACAACAATACCGCTACTACGACAACTACAGCAGGTACGACACAGAGAACACAGATACTCTTGTCGGATCGATAGGCAATTCGATTTGCAGCGCGCCCAAACTGAAGCAGGACGACACTGTTTCGACCCAGGAGTGTTACTTCCACTCAGAAGGTCTGGGGCACCCAGCGTTGCAATGTCCCACTTTGTCAGGAGCTGCAGGAATGACAGCTACCAGACAGTCGGTGGGGCATTCAGAGCTTGTACTGGGTCAAGCCCACGATCTCGCAGCTGCAGTTCCACAAATTCTTCTGGCTGTGTTCATCACGGGCATCGGCACTGGGAGTGTCCCACTCGCCGAATTGGTTCATGTACTTGGCAGACTGGCCGTGTGCCTCCTTGGTGAAGGCAGCCTTGACAAGGACACTCGAGCCTTGATCCTCGGTGCGAATTCTGGGGAGGATCCAGGGGAAAACGTAGCGCATGAGGAGCTGCATGATGTAAGGAGAGTCGCGGGTAAACTCGGTAGTGGGAACCCAGCCCGGGGTGAGGGCAGTGACCGAGAGCTGCTCGGGCAGAACCTTGCGGTGGACTTCCAGGAACTTGGCCAACTGCAAGGTGAACAGCACATTGGCGACCTTGGAGGAGGAGTAGGCGGCAAGTCCCACGTATTTCTCGCGGAAGGGGTACTGGGCAGAGAATGATTCGACGGTGGCTGTTTTGAAGTCGAAGTTTGGGCACGGCACCTGGGCGTGGTCTCGCTCTTGGGCATTGAGATGCAACTCACTGCACGAGTGCGAGTGAGTGAGTGAGTGAGTGGGTGGGTGGGTGTAAGTTGTGAGTTGTGAGTGGTCAAGTTCTGCCCTGGGGCCGCTATCAGGCCCTCGATTTCAAATCCGCCCGCCAGGCCCACCAATTTCGAATCCCCCTTTCCTGGTGGCGGGAGCGAGCGGCGCCTCGCTTCGCACCAGCAGCAGCGACAGCAGCATCGGTATTCGCATGGCACGGAATGGCGAGAGGTCGGCAGTGAGCCGGAGGGCTACCTGGATACGTTGACGATGCGCGCGCCTGGGCCGGCGGCAATCAGTTTATCGAGAAGCAGCATGGTGAGCAGGAAATGGCCAAAGTGATTGGTGCCAAGCGTGATCTCCAGGCCGTCCTTGGTAGTGGCATAGGCGGACACGGCCAAGCCGGCATTGTTCAGGAGCTAGACGGCCGTTGTCCCGGAAACAAGCCCAGTCGATCGGTAGCCGGCATATGCAAGGGATAGAGAACCAATACACCATGATCAGCTATCGGAAAGAACACCGCGGCAACGGTTGCGTCGTCACAAGCACTGCAAAGCGAAATTGCGCGACTTACGATATTGAGTGGGATGTTCTTCTCCAGGAACCATTTGGCAAATGCTCGCACGGACTCCAAAGAGCCAAGGTCAAGGATGCCGTATTCGATGATGAAGGACTTTGTTCTCTCCTGACTGGCAGCCAGCTCGGTCAGCTTGCGCACCGCAGCCTCGGCCTTGTCTTTATTGCGGCAGGCCAAGATGAGGTGGAAGGGCTTTGCGCCGTCCTCGACGGCCTTGGAGACGGGCTTGGTCAGATGGACCTCGTTCTTGATCAGCAGCTCGGCACAGTGGTATCCGAGGCCGGTGTTGGAGCCGGTGATGATGGCGACGGTGTGGGTGTGGGCGGATGGGGCGGTCATTGCGCTGGGGTTGATGGGGGTGCGGGATGGGTCCTGGTCTAAGCGCAGGCGGAGGCACCTTCAAGACCCTTGGCGCTCGGGCGAATGCGGTGCAGCACCCGTGACCGCCCGAGCGAGCGGAGTTTCGCCGTCGCACCCCGTGTGGCTTGCGCTCACTTTTTTTTTTTGCGCCGTTGCTGGCGGCCTCGCGGCGGCTGTTTCCGTCTGACGCAGCGAACTCAGCCAGCAGATCGTCTCGACTGCTCCCCCTGTCCGTCTTCTGAGCCCGGCCAGCACCAGCCCTCTGTCTGCATTGCAGTACCCGCGCTCGCCATGTCGAATCTGCAACGAAAAAAACTCGACTCCCGAATCCCCGCCCTCATTCAGAATGGCGTCCAGAAGAACCACAGATCGTTTTTCGTCGTCGTCGGCGATAGAGGCAAGGACCAGGTGGTCACTCTCCACTTTCTTCTGAGCAAAGCCCGAGTGTCGGCTCGGCCCAATGTGCTCTGGTGCTACAAGAAGGATCTTGGCTTCAGCAGGTGAGGGCCGATGCGTCTCACCGACCGGGCCATCAGCGTCTCGCTGCCGATGATCTCTGTCGGCAAGTTCGCAGCAAGTTCGCAGCATGTCGCACAGTACGAAACGGAGACCATCTGTGTCCCGCTCATTGCATGTATCGAGCTCACCATGTTCTTCCCGATGGCTGTGCAACCAACTGGGCATGTCCAGCCATCGCCAGAAGCGAATGAAGCAGATCAAGAGCCAGATTGCGCGAGGTATCAAAGATCCCGACCAGGATGATCCCTTTGAACTCTTTGTGTCCTCGACTTCCATCCGTTATGCCTACTACAAGGAAACAGAAAAGATTCTCGGCAACACCTACGGAATGTGTATTCTTCAGGACTTTGAGGCCATCACACCCAATTTGCTCGCTCGCACCATCGAGACCGTCGAGGGCGGCGGCATCGTCGTCCTGCTGCTTAGAACCATGACCTCCCTCAAGCAACTGTACACCCTTACGATGGTGAGAGATTCTCAGCACCTCAGCGCAGGAATGCGTCTGGCATATTATCAGCCCTGGGCAGTCGTTTCTAGGCAGCGATTTTTGCAGCTTGCCGAGTCTGGATGAGCGCATGTCAGAACCGGACCGTCAGTCGATATCGCGGGGGTTGGCTGACTGAAATCGGCTACATCACTTTTAGGATGTCCACAGCCGTTACCGCACCGAGTCGCAGCACGAGACTGTCGCTCGCTTCAACGAAAGATTCATTCTTTCCTTGGCCACTTGCGACACCTGCCTGGTTGTCGACGATGAGCTGAACGTCCTTCCGTTGAGTGCTGGAAAGCACGTCAAGCCCCTTCCGCGTCGCGAGGTGAGGTCTATGCCTTGCAGCCCGAGTCCAGTTTCGGACCTGATACCGTTCAATAAATGTTTTGGCTGCCCGTCCGCTGCTCGATCTCAGCCCCTCGTTGACGGCTCGGTCCCGCTGGATTCTCTTGAGACGAACGTTACTTAGCATCGATTTCTTTTGCGGCCAGGAGGAGCAGCTGACCCCGGAGCAGCAGGAACTCAAGGAGCTGAAGGCCTCCCTCGCGGACACACAGCCCGTTGGCTCCCTCGTTGGTGCAGCCAAAACACTGGACCAGGCCAAAGCCATCCTTACCTTTGTCGAGGCCATCGCCGAAAAGACACTGCGCTCGACGGTGACTCTGACGGCGTCGCGTGGTCGCGGCAAATCTGCTGCCCTTGGTCTCTCGATTGCTGCAGCGATTGCATACGGCTACAGCAACATCTTCATCACAAGTCCCAGTCCCGAGAACCTAAAGACCCTCTTCGAGTTTGTGTTCAAGGGGTTTGATGCGCTGGGCTATGAGGAGCATCTGGATTATGACATTATCCAGAGTACCAACCCTGAGTTCCAGAAGGCGGTCGTCCGTGTCAATGTCTTCAAGGATCATCGACAGACCATCCAGGTAAGTTTGGCAGTATTCCGTGGCGGCGCTGGACACAGACAGGACCTCTGGATTGGGTTGTCGGAAAGATTCTCGATTTCGGCCGATGCCTTAGCGAGACAATGTGGTCTAACATGCATGCATCCGCACACAACAACCGATAGTATATCCAACCCACGGACCACAACGTTCTGTCGCAAGCTGAGCTTGTCATCATCGATGAAGCGGCTGCGATCCCGCTGCCTTTGGTCAAGAATCTTTTGGGTCCCTACCTTGTTTTCATGGCTTCGACCATCAACGGATACGAGGGAACCGGAAGATCGCTCTCTCTCAAGCTTATCCAGCAGCTCCGAGAGCAAAGCCGCGGCTTCTCTGAAGCGGGCGAGAACGGTGTGGTCGTCGGACGAGATGGGAAGCAGAAGAAGGAGACTGGCCCCAACGCCGCTGCGGCCACGGCCTCGGCAGGTGGTCGATCGCTCCGAGAGATCAAATTGGATGAGCCTATCCGATACAGTTCTGGCGACTCAGTCGAGTCCTGGCTCAACAAGCTCCTCTGTCTGGATTGCAGCACCCCTTCCACCGGCCAAGCTACTCGGGTCGGCGGCTGCCCGCACCCCAGCAAATGCGAGTTGTACTATGTCAACCGCGACACCCTCTTCAGCTATCACCCTGTTAGCGAAGCATTCTTGCAGAGAATGATGAGTCTCTATGTTGCCAGCCACTACAAAAACAGTCCAAACGATCTGCAGCTCTTGAGGTACGGCTTTGTGATATGGCTCTTGGTCTTTGTGTCTCGAGTGTGGCGCGCCACTAACGATGCTGGCATGAATCCCTTCCAGCGACGCACCCGCCCATCACCTCTTTGTCTTGCTGCCCCCCATCGACGAGGGAAAGACCACGACGCTTCCGGAGCCGCTCTGTGTCATCCAAGTGTGTCTTGAAGGCAACATCGCCAAGGGCACGGCCTTATCATCGCTGGCTCGCGGAGTCCGCCAGTCCGGCGACCTGATTCCCTGGGTTGTTGCCCAGCAGTTCCAAGACGACGACTTTGCCTCCCTCAGCGGCGCTCGTGTCGTTCGTGTTGCCACTCACCCTGACTACACCAGCATGGGCTACGGAGGCCGTGCGCTAGAGCTACTGGAAAAGTACTACCGTGGCGAGGTCCAAAGTTTGGACGAAGACGCCGATATGGACTCTCTCGAGATCACCCGAGTGTCCGAAGCAGAGCTCCAGAATGCAACGTTGCAGACTGACGAGATCAGGGTCCGCGATCCCGCCACCATGCCGCCGCTGCTACTGACCCTATCACAGCGCCCGCCCAAAGAGCACCTCCACTGGCTGGGTGTTTCCTATGGCGTAACTGCCTCACTTCACAAGTTCTGGAAGCGCTGCGGATTCTCGCCCGTGTACCTTCGACAAACTGCGAACGACTTGACCGGCGAGCACACCTGTATCATGCTCAAGACAATCCACCGGGCTGGCAGCAGTCTCGACGACGTCATGGTCGAACGAAACGATTGGCTTGGCCAATTTACCTGGGACTTCCGCAAGCGCTTCCTGGAGCTCCTCAGCTACCAGTTCCGAAAGTTCTCACCCGTTATGGTCATGGGTGTTCTTGAGAGTGCGCAGACGGGCGATGTCAAGCGAGGCTCTGGGGCCGATGCGGGTAAGCGAGTGCGCCGTGGCTAGTATTGACCGTCACCGAGCTGATGCCGAGAGGGATAGTGACCGCCAGCAGCACAATGATGCTCAACCGCAAAGTCGCTTGCCCTCGCTTGCCTTGCTTGCCCTCGTTAAAAAAGATTGAACCTGTTGATGCGACTTCACGTTGCCTGGGCCAAGTGCCGCCGTTGCCGAAATACTGATCGCAACTCACCGAATGTCTACAGCTCTCATCCGAAGCCAAGGCGAGCTGTACAGACACTTTACGCCCTTTGATCTGAAGCGTCTCGACTCGTATGCACAAAACCTGCTCGATTACCACGTCATCCTCGACATGTTGCATGCGATTGCCAAGCAGTACTTCCTTGGACAGCTCAATGCCGATTTGACTGTTGGCGTATCCGAGGACTACGTGAATACCACACAGGCTTTCAAAGATGAAGCCACCCGTGGAGTGAAGCTCTCTGCCGTGCAGTCTGCTATTCTCGTGGGTATGGGTTTGCAAAAGAAAACTGTCGAGGACCTGGAGGCTGAGATCAGCCTCCCTGTCAGCCAGATCCTGGCGCTGTTCGCCAAGATCATCCGTAAAGTTAGCGCTTACTACCGAGGTGTTCTGGAACGCGATGCCGAGGAAGAAGTCGAAGCCATTGTGGGTCAGAAGCCCAAGCGGGACAATGTAGCCACCAATGCCAAGAGGCGAGACGTCACTGACGAGGCTGCCTGGGACCCGACCCAAGTGACCCTTGGCGATGATCTGGAGACTGCGGGCAACGAAGCCATGGAAAAGTTCAAAGCCAAGCAGAAGGAAATCATCAACGGCATCGATCTTGCCCAGTAAGCACACACTGTGGTTGATGGTTGATGGTTGATGGTTGATGGCTGATGGTTGATGGTTGATGGTTGATGGTTGATGGTTGATGGTTGATGGTTGATGGTTGATGGTTGATGGTTGATGGTTGATGGTGGATGGTGGATGGTGGATGGCGCAATGTATGAGACAGCTTCTGATCGCCATGTCGTTTGCTCCTCTCCCTCCCTGTCGCTTCTTTGGACAACGGTGGTTACTTTTCAATCATAGGTACGCTATCGGAGGTACGGATGAAGAATGGTCGAGCGTCAAGGTTGGGTCGGGGTCCGGCATCGTTTCGATCAAGAATCCCGAGTCAACCAAGAAAAGAAAGCTGACCTCCGGCACGGCCTCGGAGATGGCTTCCAAGGTCAAAGGCGAGAAGACAGGCATCTATGACCCCAAGAATCTGATGGCCAAGGGCAAGAACAAGGTCAAAGGGCGTGGAAAGTAGGCCTTTGCAAAGTGACGAGACACTGGCGTTTGGCAACCGCATCCAAGCAACACAGGCGCAGGTGTCCGGCGCTGGGCAATTCAGCGCTTGGGCAGCTGAGGCAGTCCGCCCTGTAGAGCACCTGGTGACTGCTCTCGATCGTGAATATACACGTACGCTCCCTGTACCCATTGAGCACAGTCGTCCAATCATCGCATTCTGAGCCGGCCGGTTGTAGTGGATGACCTTCCCCCCCCCAATCGTATATTCAGGAGTATGCTGCCAAGAAGATGAACATGCCACCGCTGATGGACAGCGCAGTGGCGGTGGATGGCGAATCGAAGCGTGTTACTACAGCTTGTTTGGAACGAAATGAGACGGTGTGTCCCTGAGAGTCTCTCGGTGATCTGTAGTCCCCGGTAGACAGGCCGTGTGATTGCTTCCGGTCCTGGTTCAGGAAGGATCGTCTTGAATGCACCCGGTCGATCTCCTATGGCGGTGATCGACTAGCGTTACTGTCTCGATGCGGGAGTGTGATGGATGCATTCGACGCCTTGGACAGCTCCGTGGTTTCTCGATATCAAGACACTCGGGCGACTCGAATCGTTTGAGGTTCAGACAATGTGAGTTCCGTTTGGTGTGTATTCAAACCCCGGCAAACAGTGGCAACGCTGACTCAGTAGTAAGGTGTCCCGTTTCGCTTTCAGAAAGCTGCAAATGAGCGCCAGACAATGAGTATCAACTTCAACCCCAAAGCCACGGTCACGTCGTGTTTGTCTGAGGAGATTTATGCCTGATGCGCCTGGCATGTCGCAGCTATTCTCTCGCCGATCGATTGGTATCGCTGTCGTGGCAGTCGGAACGCTCGCGAGCTGCCCATTCCTGGGCTTTGTCGGCCCGCGAGAGTCGGTGGTACGCGTGAACAAAACAGCGGTACGAGATTCCTTCGGGACGATGAAACTCTCGCAAGCACGGTGCCGTCAAGGACGCCGATGTTGGGTCGCTGGGCGATGTATCAGTCAGCGAGCCAGCATCCGTGCGATCGTGCTCCAAAGGCCCGAGATGGGCGGTGGCATTGTGTTGACGACCGGGTGATCGTCCCGATGGCGAGGGCCTGAGCGCATCGGTCGCGGAGACGAGCGATTCGGGGTTCTGCCTTATGTGTGGAGCAAGGGGCAGTCCCATGCTGTCCTTCCAAACTTCCTCGGCGATTTCAACACAGCCCGAGACACAGAGCTGGTGGATCAGCCGAGAAAAGTCTCTGAGGGCCAGCGTCAGCGGCTTGGGCCGAATCGGAGCGAACTGCAGATTGGAAAAATAGTATGGAGTGATTCTGCGGGCAACAACTTCGTTCAGGAGACTCGAGCGGGTTTGCTTGACCAGATGGCTCAGCAGGGCCCGGTCGACTTGGCCGAAGATGTATGCTCTCCAGAGCTGGCGGAAGCTGTCGGCAAGGCGACGGTTGGCCTTTTGGTCATCCTTGCTGGCTTGTAGCGCATGAACATACCCCATCAACATGGCCACGTAAAGCTTTCCGTCCGGACGCACATGCTGTCGCAGCATCCGGTCAAAGTAGTACTCCATACTCTCGATTTGCGCGTTGAAAGAAAAGTAGTTGATGAGGATATGGTACGAGAGCACAGTGGGGTACATGCCACTTTCGATCATTTGGTCAAAGTAGCTGATGGCTTTTTGCGGGTTGTGGTCCAGCAGCGCCATCTTCATCATCGTGTTTGTCGTTTGGATATTCATGGTTTTGGAGGACGACACCGGGAGCTCCAAAACGCGGTCCATGTGTTTGAACATCCCCAGCTTGCTGAATCCAGACAGGAGTACTGCCTGGGTGCTCTTGGTAATGGCCTTGCGCTGTCCCTGGGATAGATAGAGGTCGACGACTTCGAAGGCCCGGTGGGCGAGCAGTGGAATAGTGAAGATCTGGGCCAGGAACATTTTCCATTCCTTCTCACGCAAGCGGAGCCCCGAGTTCCAGCCGTCTCGGAAGATTTCAAAAGCGAGCTCGGGGCGGGTGCTCTTCAAGAGGCCGACGAGGATCGTTCCAAAAGTGTCAGACCGAGCCACCGACGCTGCCGAGTCCTTGGTGAGGTAGCTTGCTCGAAAGAGCGACAGGGCTTTGTCGATCTGTCCCGATCGGATATGCTGCTGGAGAAGGATGTTTTCGGTAACCCGGTCGGATTCGATGCCACAGCGGCCCATCTCTTCAAGAAGGGCAAAGCCTTGGTCGACCAGACCCCGCTTCCACAGTGCGGCGATAACCGTGTTGAAGGACTCGACCTTGATAAGATCTTGGCGCTCGCGCTCGCGATAGTAGGACTTCATATACTCGAACGTGTAGAGCAGCCCGTCCACATGCGACTCTTGGTCGTACATAATGAAGAGCTGGTGAAAGACCTCTGGGGGGATGATGCCGTTGAGATGTATTCGACGGGCAACCTCCAAGCACTTCCCGTAGCTACGTTGGCTCATAAAATGCTTCAGCACCGCCACGGTGACGATCACTGACGAGGCATTGTCCTTTCTGAGAGGAGCGAGGTCGACGAGGGCCAGAATGGTGTTGAGTTGATCGTTCTTGGTGAAATGTATGACAAGATTGGCGAGCGTCTTGGTCGGCAGAGGCCCATATCGATCGGTGATGAGTTTGAAGACGGGTGCAATTTCGTCGAGATCGAGGGTCCGGCTGACCAGGATCATCAGCACTCGAATGCTGTCTCGCATCGAAACGGCGCCCGGCCCAAAGAGCTGCTCAAGATGACTGAACCAGCCGATGATCATCTGGGTGGATGTCAGATCAGAGGTGGCAATCCAAAACTCCATAATTCCTGCATTTGGAGGGACACGGACGAGCGACATGTCTCGCAGCACCATCGAGATGATCCGGTGAAAATCGGAGCTGCTGGAGAGCTGGGTGCTGGTGTAGGCGCACTTGAGGAGGCGGAAAAAGTGGTTGACAGAGAGTTGGGCAAGGCGGCCGGCGTAGCCCGAGATGTGCTTTGCGTAAAACGACAACAGGTGCGAGTCGCTCGAGGTATGATGCTGGAGCTGGAATACAAAATACTTGGCGTGGAAGTCGCGCTCGGAAATGTCTGGATTGCTTTCGAGCAGGCCACGACGGCCGGCATCGTCTTGCACGAGATCCATCAGCAGTGTCCGCAGCGCTGGCTGGACCGAGTCCATGGACATGGACAGCGCGGCCTCTCGACGCAGCGGCGACGCATGAAAGTGGTGCCGGGCGATTGCGAGTGGCACGCAGGATGGATTTCCGCAGAGCCTGGAATACGACGTCGCAGCAGTCCTGAGGACCATTCGCCTTGAATTCGGACAGCCTTGGGCAAGTGCGATCAGCGGTGGATAGTGCTTCATCATGTCGGGCTGGGCATGTCAGAGTTGTGCTGGGTGACGGTAGCCGATCTGGAGCTTCTCGCTGCGACTGGTTGGATACGGGATGCAGCAGCGACGACGATGGCGATGGCGATGCCTGGGCTATTGGCGGTGTGATCTTGGCCGATGCAGGGGACGAGCACTGGGCCAGGACGAATGCCGGACGAATGCACGACGAATGCACGACGAATGCACGACGAATGCACGACGAATGCACGACGAATGCACGACGAATGCAGGAGAGAGCAGCAACAGTCCGGTGCTGGAGCCCCGGGATGTTCCTGCAGGAGCCGTCCCAAAAAAGCAAAGAAAATGTGAGTAACGCTGAATGCGGGATGGTGCGCAGCGGGCAGACGGGCCGACAGCACCGCAAGCAACAGCACCGCAATCGACAGCATGGACAGACAACCCACAGGACAGATGCCAAAGGCGACCAACGGCGACGAGATCGATCAACGGCAGCGGGACCGATCAGTGGCAGCGGGACTGCCCCTCCCCCCTGTACCGATATCTGTCGGCCACGGGCACTTGGCCAGCTGCTGCCTCGGCGGGTGTCGGCGTGTCGCCAAAGCCGGGAGCGATCACCAGGCCAGCAAATGAATTTCATTCCGCTGTGCCTCGCTCTTTGCGCCTCCTCGGTCGCCGCGGCTCCCTGGCGCTCTCTCTCCATCGCATCCATCGCCAGACACCCGGACGCCCACCCCGACCGATGGCGGACTCCTTCTTTGGGTTCAACACGACCCTCCCTCCGGATGGCCCACGGGCAGCAAAGTCCTCGGGTCCCAAGCGCCCGTCGCGCCAGGACCGCTTTGGCGATGCCCAGGCCGCACAGCGCAAGCCATCCAAGCCTGCTTATGGCGCTCTCAACAGCACCGAAGACCCTGCGCTCTGGGACGACCCGGAAGATGCGCTCTTGTCGATCGACGAGAAAATGGAGCGAAAGTTTCGCCAAATGGAACTCGAAGCCGCCCGTGCCCTCGACGATGGCGGCCGATCGGATGTGGATGAGCGCCAGGACGGCCTCCCGCTCGAGGAGCAAGGGGATCTGAATCTCGAAACCTTTGGCCATATCGACTCGGCAAACATGGGTGCGTTGATGTGTATGCCTCACGGGTACTTAATGGAGCCGCGAGAGTGTGCTCGCCTCGACACCTATCTCCAGCCGCCTGCTGGATGGAACCTCGGTGTCCCAGCTCACACTTTCGAATCGAGTCATCGTCGCTGGGCTGTCGATGGGTCTCCTGTCATGCAGAGCCAAGTGTGGACGTATCCGATCCAACTGCGGCGCACCGATGGAGTATTGTTCCTCTGGGTGCGCTGGGTCTTCACTGACCGATTATTTTTCTTGTTACTCTGGTCGTTTTGCTTATTGTCGGAATTCGTCGCTGTGGCTCTATGTTCTGGCCCTGCAGGAAAGGATTTTGATTTCCAGGCCGGGAATGCCTTCTTCAGCGATGAAATCGAAAACTCAAGAGAGGACTATTTGTCCTACCCTCACAGGAGTAAGCCCCCTCCCTGCGCGATTGCTCCGCGCGCCCGCCATCCCAACCAGGACAATCTGTGGATTCGCTACATCCGGCGACCAAGGCGACCACACGCTCGTCGGCCCGCGTCCGATTCGATCATGGCACTCATAGAGCTTTGCTTGTACCATCGACTCGAACAGAGCCGAGCGAACAGCCCCAGCCTTCTGTGCAGTCGACCGCGGGCTCTGGAATCGATCAGCCTCTTCCTCGCCAGCAAGCTCGTCCTGACCCCCTCAAGTCACTTTGGGAAGATCCCAAACTCGAGACCGGACCGAGCAAGGTCAGCGGGGTGTGAATCGCTGACTTTTGCCAGCATGTGTCGTTGCAAGCTGCATAGATCTGTGGCTGCGCGGCCAGTGCACTGTTCCTGGAAACTCATAGCGGCGTCATCCCTTCCATCCCACCGCCGAAAGGCCTGGTCAGCTTCAGCTTCAGCGACGGCTCCGCCTGCAAAGAGTGAGTTGGCATTTCACGATCGCTTTTTCGCATCTTCCCTGTCCTTGTCCTGTGTCTGTCACCATCACGGACTCGCTGTTCTAGATCGTCTCTCCCCTCCCCTTACTGCGCCGCTGGCCCGCCTCAGCCTTCTCACTCCATTGCAACATCCCCCTCCCTCCGCCAGGAACTCCAATGACTCTCGCCGAAGTGGAAGAGCAAATGATCCGAGGCAGTAGCCCTGCTGCTCCTCCTGCGTCTCGTCGGGTTCTTACTCTCGAAGAGGTCGAAGGCAATCTCTATGGAGCCCCTTCAGCCCAGAGCCGCTACTCTGAGGAGCTGGAAGCCCAGCGATCCATCCAGGCGCCTTTGACGCAGCCTGTTCAGGCTTCTCGCTCTCATGATGCCGTCGCGGCCCAGCGATTGCAGTATATGATGCAGCAGGGTCTGATCCCCGAGCATCTTCGAGAAACCGTCCGCCAAGCTCTTCAGCAGGGTGTACCTTTTGAGGAAATCGAGCGATTCGTGCGTCGGTCCCAGCAAAATATGCCCCCGGCTGGCCATGCTCCGCATCCGGGCTCGCCACACTATCCCGGTGCCCATATCCAACCAGGGTTTCCCGCCGGTCAGCCTCACCACGGGCTTTCCCAGCAGCAGCAGCAGCAACAACAACAGCAACAACAACAGCAACAGCAACAACAACAGCAGCAGCAGATGCGTCTCCGCCTCCAACAAGTCGAGGAGCTTATCCGCGTTCTTGCCCATCAAAACGGGCAACATCCTGATGAGTTTCAGACAGCATGGACGGTACATGCGATCCAGCAAGGCCTACGTCCTGAAAACGCTGATGCCGCCTTCCTGAACTATATGCTTCAGCTTCTGGACAGCCTGCAGAGTCAAGAGCAGAGCATCGGAACATCTCCCCCTTCTAACCCGTCCGCCGCCTCCGTGCGTGTCGATCAAGGACAGGGCCAGCCATACCCGGGATACTACGGTCCTACCCATCCTCACCCATCGCAGCAACGACCGCAGTATCAGCAGCCCCAGGCACCTCGCAACTTCGAGCGAGAGGCTGAGTACTCGAGTTCTCGAATGCCAAGTCACCCATCTGGCGGCGAGATAGGAGGTGGACCGAACTTCGGCCCTCGGAATCAGCCGCGTAGTGGCGGTGGATACGGACAGCGCGGTAACCAAAACCAGGGAGCGGGCTCTGGCCAGCGACAGAACCGCCAAGGAGGCAACAACACCAGCCGCGATCGGAACGACGACCGCAGCCGTCCCGACATCTATGACGAATCCAAGCCCCACCATGTATGCCCATGAGCAACGATGCTGCAACGGCATCGCTTTGCTTCTCTGTTGGTGTTTTTTTTCTACTTGTGGGCTCCTGGGTGACCCACTTGATCCGTAGGCACTCGATTACCTCGACAACACTCTTGCACGCTGTGGCAGGTCTGGTAGGGAGACCCGTGGCTTCTAGCTCGTCTGTTTCTGAGACTCTGCCCTTCACCCCTTCAGGAACGCTTTAAGGGCATCATGACTCAATATGAGAAAGAGCTGATTGCCAAAATCCAGATCTCTCAGCTCGTAACCGATGATCCCTACACCGACGATTTTTACTACAAGGTCTTCAGCCTTTTGAACGGCAAAGGCGGTGCTGGAACGCCTGTCAGCAGCACGACCAGCAGTCGTGGCGGTCTGAATTGGCAGCAATCGATGCTGATGACTCAGAAGGAGGGCGGAAGGAGTGGCACTCTCAACATCTCGACGCACATGCAGAATCAGATGCAGCGTCTGATCGAAGGCCGCAAGCAGAAGCCTAAAGGCACAAGCTGTAGGTGCTCCTCACGTTCTCCGTGCTCTCTCAGAGTCATCAGCGTCGCTCTGTATCTCTTTGGCTCTCGATCCGTTGGCCTGGCTGACATATGCGTTGCCGTGGGCTTGTTTGTAATATCTTGAAGTGGCCCTCGAAGGTGCGCTTGGAAAAATCTCGCTGACGTCCGTCAAGAACCCCAAGCAGCTCATCCAAATCCAGGCCGTCCAGCATCCGAAGGTAACCATCCGGCCCATTCGTTCTACCGACGCTCTCGGCATCGAGCTTTCCACCCGGTCGTGTTGCTGACGATATTATATGATGCTGATTTGATGCGGGTTGGTGCTGTATCCAGGAGCACAGTGTGCCCTCGTTTGCCCATCTGTCGCAGAAGAAGGTTCTGAGAACTATCGAAGATGCCTATGTGATTGTTCTGAATCTGGAGCAGCTCAAGAGAAAGCCGCCGGCCGATGATGAAGTCGAGAAATGGTAACGTCCTTGGATCTTCAGCCTGCCTTCGGAGGACGTGATGAGCATCAACAAGCATCGATTTACTGACGGCTCATACCCGCTGTACCGCTGTTACTCTTGCTGGTGTAGGAACCAAGACTTTGATGAAAACTCAAAGCAGCTCTGGAGCCTCCTGGGTCTTTCCGAGCCCGTGGCTTACAAGTATGGAAATCATGGCGCTGGCCGGCACGACGAGCAAGAGCCCTGTGCAATCATATCTGTGTGCCAAGGCACTTTTGTTTGCTGTGCTTACACCTTCCATCCGTCCGCTCTCTCTGTCTAGCATGCCCCACCCGCTGGCATACTTCCTGTCGTATCCAAAGGGCAAGCGCATCTTCCCGCGAGTTACGCGGTTCCTGCTGCTTGACCAGATGATCGTGCTGTTTACCGCACTGCTCAGCCGCCTCGAGAGCCTGGATGTCTGCAATCTCCCATGCACTGCCAACGGCGAGAAGCCTCACGAAGAAGTGGAGATCTTCATGACCAACTGCCTCCCTCCCCTCGTTGGCCTCGTCTCGGAGCTCCCGATGCATATCCTCAATAGCTGTATGCGGCTGCTGCTTGAGCGCCACAACATGGTCTGGCTGGCAAAGAGTAAAGTGGGTCTGGCCATTCTGACCATGTTCCTCAGTCGAGCCGAGATTCTGAAGCAAGGAGGCGCCCAGCAAGGTGTTCCACACCCAACCGAGTCTGATCTTGCTGTCTGGTAGGGCACACCTGACTGCACGTTATCCCGGTGATACCGACCGGCTGTCATTTGTGGATTGAAGCTCAGTCCGTGGCTGCTTGACTGAAAAACTCGTGAATAGTCGCTGTGTAGAATGCTGTCGCTATGAGTTTCGTTGGTAGTTCAAAGCTAATCCGATGCGTCGTCGGCCTCTGACCGCTCGCTTCCCCCCCCCAGGACGGACTACTATAACTTCCTGTTTGGCTCCTTGCACACGCATTTTGCCTCAATCTTCCCCAAGACAGACCCGGCATCAGCCCCTGTCCAGAGCAGCGTCGAGTCTGCCTCAACGGCCTCTCCGCAGGGCCGACAGACACCCGGCCAGTCCACAGCTTCCTCGGACGAAGTCTACTTGTGGCAATTCCTGGCTGCCCTTGCGGTTGGGGCTACCACGGTTGATCATCAGAAGGTGCTGGTGTCCGAAGTCCGGTATGTTGCAGGATTAGATGCGGGGCGCACATTCGGGCCCAGTGATTGTTGCACGCTGCACATTCTTGCCTGGAGGCAGTTGCGTGGTCCGTCGATCACGCGGGGGCAGTTGCACGGTCCATCGATCACGCTGGCCTAACACATCTCTTGTGCCTCGGCTCTCCACAGCGAGAAAGTGATCGAGACTTCGAAGCGAAACGACAACCCCAAGGCCATCGCCAATGTCAACCTGTTCCTCAACGCGCTTGGTCTTGGCATCGATGCAGCCCAGTTGGCCGCCATGCCCTGAGCTACATGCTGACTGCAACGCCTCCAATCCATCCTGTTGATGGTGCAAGCCCGACGTGGTCCGCAGGCCTCCGTACTGTTGTCAACCATCTGGCGTCCCTCCCCCGCAGCCCGGGCTTGTCCTTTTCGTATCGTATGTTGCGGGGGGAGGTTTGTGACTTGGCCAATACGATCACACGTTTGCCTATTGCCTTTGGCCGTCACTCTAGCTTGCCTGGCGCCCTCCTTCTCTGTCATACCGTTTCGACATGTACTTCCCCTCCACCGCTTGCTTTTACAACTCCCGTGCTCTATTTGTGATGACAGGGTCGCTCCGATCATGCGAGCTCGCCGGCACAACACGACTTGATTGATGGCCGTGTTTACTTGATAACGAGGGCCGCGACAGTCGCATGTTCTTGACTTTCTTTTTGCAGCAGATAAACAAGCGTCAGTGACAATGTCGCACTGGACAGCTGCCGGGAGCAAACTCATGCCTTTGGACTGATCGGTGGGAGGACTCGGGGTCGAACGATGTTGCCTGGCTGCGACCCACCGAGACTAGCGAGTGAGCCGCGGAGACCCGAGACCGCTTGCAATCCTGACGCCGAGCCGTCAGGACTGATCTTAGCCAGTGAGCTGCGTGAGACTCGCGGCGGGGGCTCGTCTTCGGAGGCGTTGGGCAGGCTGTGGCCATCGGAGGAGTCTTTTGCGGGATTCAGGGGATCCTCGGCAGAAACAGCCGGCAGTGTCTCTGGGGCCACCTTGCGGGCTCGCCGGGCAGCAACAGACGACGGCCTGGACGACAGCCGTGCGAGTGAGCCGCTGAGAAAGCCTGGTGCCGCCCGGCGGTCATCGGGTCTTTGAGACTCAGTTACTTGGACCGAGTGCGGCTCAGATCGGGAGCTGGCGAGGGCGCTGTCGGCGAGCTGTGGATGGAGGGGCTGAAGACCGAGCACATGTGCACCAGCTGCCTGGTAGTCGGATCCATCGCTGCCACCCTTGCTGGCCGAAGCCTGTGGATGAGTCGGGGACAAAGTCGCTGACGGCTCCGGGGGCTCCTCTGGGCAAATCAGGGTCTCTGTGGGAGAAACCACGGCGTGGACTGGATCGAGCCCGGGCGATGGCTTTTCGGGGGACAGAGGAGAGCCGGGATGATCCTGCTCGTGCTCCTTCTCTTGGCGTTGCTCTTGGGTCTGGGCAATCCGCCGCTGCTGCTCAAGCTTCTGGATTTGATACAGCTGCTGCTGTGCAGCAACATCGATCTGGATCCGTGGGCGGAGCTCATCGATATCCCTGGCAATCTTGCCAACGAGCCATTTGAGCCCTGCAACGCCAAAGGTGAGCAGGTATCCCGCAGTGGTCGCCCGAGCGCAGTACAGATGCGGGAATGACATTTGACGCTTCTGCCGGCAGTGCATGGGATATCCGTCACTCACCAGCATGGATGGACTTGTCTGCTCTTGGGCCTGTGGCTTGACTGCACACGGCCGTACAGAACTGAATATGGACGTTGCTCTCGCGCGACGGCCGGGGATGATAGGCAAAGTCGGGCCCAAGTGTGTTCATTTTGAGCAAATGGTAAAGCTGCAGAGCCTGCAGCGGATGAGGCTGGAGGTCGGATTTGTTGGCGAGACTGGAGGAGGGCACGATTGGGACGTCGGGTGTGTGAGCCAGTATTTGCTTGAAGCCCCGGCGGCGATCAAACAGAGGGCCTCCATCAGCTCGGGTGAGCGTATTCCTCAACCTACATCAGCACCGGCTTTCCCACCATTCGAGGATCTGTGTAGACCTGACTGATGACCCGAGTGACTTCATCGATGCGGGCGAGGTCTGAGGAGTCGACGACAAAGATGGATCCATGACACTGCCCGCACAAAGCGAATCAGCATGAGCTTTTGCGCGATCGTGAGAACGATGATGGCCAGGCGATTGAATCGAAATGCATCCGTCGCTCGACGAACCAGTCAGTCTCTAAACGAGAGCTGTGCTGCGAGGCGGCATTTCGCGAACAAACAGAGCTGGTACCTCGGCGTAGTAGTTGGACCAGATGCCTCGGATCCGAGGACCACCTCCGACATCGTAAAAGTTGACGTTCTGAAAGCGACAGAGACCGTGCTTCACAGGCACTGTGTCGGATGAAAACCCCCATGTTGTTTTGGCGACGGCATGCGGCGGATCTGAGCGTCCGGCAAACGGACCACGCGGACCGGGATTAGCGAGTCGCTTGACCATCATGCGCGTGCCACTCATCGATCCCGGCCACAGGAGATGCAAGGGTGCTGACCTCGGCGGATACGCATCAGCACGGTCGTTTTGCCGGACCGGTCGAGGCCCAGCAGCACGACGACAAGGTTCTCGGCAGAACGCGTGGGAAAGCAGCATGCCATGGCTCGGGTTGCTTGTGGAGGGATATGCTGGCATGAAGCAGACCATGGCTGGACGGGGAGCGATAGGCGCTCGCTCTTGCTCCCGCTCGTGCCGGAAGGGCGGGCAGTCCGTCCAATCAGGTCGACACTTTATTCAGAAAGAAATGGGACGCCACATCCGCTTCCATGAACATGTAGTATGTGATGGCTTGCGTCCAACTGAGCCACACGCAATTCAACAGAACACCTCCGAGTGAACACCACCGGTCGCTCTCCGGTCTCCGGTCTCGACATGCGCACTGGTCTGGGAGTGCCAGCGGTGAGTGCTGCTCTTGGACACACTGAGCATGGATGCAACGTTTCTCAGGCTATGGATGACAGTAGCACCGCATCACAGAATGGTCATGGTCGGCGCGCGATGGTATTGGGATCGTCGTTCTGGCGAAGCGATCCATCAGAAGGGATGTGTAGCGAGACTTGGCCAGGGCGAATGTGCATCTCACATGTACATGCACATGCATGCGCATAGCATACCGCAGCACCACCCACAGAACCGGCGCAGACCACTCCCCGCGAACAGACACCCTCGATCGCGGGCGGCCTTCGTCCCTCGCCGGCCCTGCTCATGGACACATGGACCATCATCGCACAGGTCGGCTCGCCAGGGTCAACCACGCCAGCAACGACGGCCCAATCGAAATTGTGCGCAGCTGTGCTCGCCGGCTGCGCGCCCATCGCGCAGTGCCAAGCCACTCGCTCTGGACACGCCCTGCGCATCGCTGATGGTGCACGGGTGATCCTTGTCGAGTCACCCCCAGCCAGAGTGCACTGAGGGCGCCGCGCTGCATTCGGCAAAACGGCCCCCGAGTCCAGGTTTTATAGCCAGACCTCCTTCGCCTGCTCGCCGTTTGCCCGACCAGCATCAGAGAAGAAGGTGCGTATGGCGGCCCCGCCTGGCCGGGCATTAATCACCTGGGCAGAGCAAACAAGCGGTCTCTGCCCGACTCGCTGTTGGGACCGCCGTGCTGACCCCGGGATCGCCCTGTCTCCTCGCCGCTTCCCCCTTCCCCGAATTCCCCGAATTCGTGCGGCCTCGCATGCGATCGGCTCGGTCGGCCCTTTCCCTGCTCGCTGCCGTGTGTGTCTCTGGCCGAACGACGCTCTTCCTGCGACTGCATTGCGCCGACTGACCCTGCAAAACCCGCTTGGCTCCGCACCAGTGCTGCTGCATCCGCCGGCCACGACTCCACCCCACCCCCAACTGCAAACAGATTTTTGGCATCTGGAAACATGGAGTTCATCCTCGAAGCCGCCGACCACTACGTCTTCAACCAGGCATATGCCCAGCTCAACGGCATCAAGTTCCTGGAGCCCTACATCCAGATCCACCACCCAGCCCGGGAGTTTTTCACCCTCTTCATCATCACCCTGATCGGCGGATATATCCTGTACTTTGCCTTTGCCTCGATCGACTACTATTTCTTCTTTGACAAGTCCGTCAAGAATGATCCAAAGTACCTCAAGAACCAAATTTCCAAGGAGATCTTCATGGCCACCTGGTCGATTCCCATCATGGTCGGCCTCACAGTCCCGTGGTGGTGGCTCGAGATTCACGGATACTCCAGGATCTACCACAACGTCGACGATTACGGAGTGGGCTACATGGTCTTTTCGATCCTTGCCTTCTTGTTCTTCACCGACATGCTGATTTACTTTATCCATCGTGCCGAGCACCATCCCTCCGTGTACTGGTGGCTCCACAAGCCCCACCACCTGTGGAAGGTCTCCACGCCCTTTGCCTCGCACGCCTTCCACCCCCTGGTAAGTGCTTGCTGTTTTTTCGGGCGTCGACGGCGGCAATGGCGGGCGATTCTGGACAATCGCACGGGCCGGCTATCCAACGAATCGGTCGATGATTTGTTGAGCCTTTTTCTGGCTTCATCACAGCCAGCTCGGGCTTGCAAAGGCGCTAGCGCAGCTGCGCGATGGTACTAGTCGAGTCACTGACATTCTATCGTCTCTCAAATTTGTGGCTTCAGGACGGATACGCTCAGTCGGTACCGTACCACCTGTTTGTCTTTTGCTTCCCCATGCACTCGACCCTCTATCTTGTCATGTTTGCCCTGGTGAACTTCTGGACCATCAGCATCCACGACCGGTATGTACGGCCATACGAGCCGCGAGCCGCCCCAGGCTTGACACTGAGCTCGTCGCCGCGCTCGGCAACGCTGCGAAACGACATCTCACTCGCTCGAGTCTCATTGGACTGTTTCTTGCCAGGCAACGCTGGCTGTTGTTCTGTCTCTAACCGATGCCACCACTCACTTTCATCTCCATCTCAGAATCTATCTTACCAAGGCCTCTTTCTTCAACGGCGCTGCCCATCACACCGTTCACCACTCAGACTTTAACTACAACTACGGACAATACTTTACTTTCTGGTGAGAGACCCATTTTCTGGACTTTGGTGCTCTGGCGGGTGCCTCGTCCGGATGGCTGTTTGGTGGCTCATGCGCGACCAAAGTGCCCAAAGACTCGCCACCCATACGGGGCCAGCCATCGATGATCCAAGTCAAGCGTGGTGTGGTCGCCGATAAAGCCCATCCGATATGCGGCATCCGGAGAGGCACTTGATCGGTCCCGTCAAAGCCCAACCCCGAACAGGATCGATGCTGACTCGCCTCTGCTCCCTCAGGGACCAGCTCTGTGGATCGTACCGATATCCCAAGAAGGAGTTTGAAAACGACATGTACTTCTCCAAGAACAAGTCCACTGTTGCTCCCAAGAAGGCCGATTAAGTTGGGAAGTCTGTCGGCCATTCATTCCTGTCATGGTGTTTTGCGCAGGAACCAAGATAGATAGCGGCGCTGACCTCCCGAGTACATGCTCACTGTGTGCATTTGTGCGATTTTGTTGTGACTGTGAATAGCAGCAGCGTGAATACATATTTTCTCCAACTTGACTCCGACTGAGCCTCCTCCGGCAGAATGTTGGTCTCTAGCGTGCCCTTACAGTGTATCCAATTAAAAACGGGACACCCGTGTTTGACCATTCATCGAATATTTTGTTACCCAATGTTATCGCGCGCTGGCCATGACCATTCGCCAGACGGTGTGGAATCGCGACGTCAATGCGGCGTGCAACATGATCACAGTGTGCAGGTCGATTGTGGAGACCGGTGATGTTCACTCGGAGGCTGCCAAAGTGATCTGTTATATTTTTATGGCTTTGCTTGACGCAAGCACATCACATACCACATGTTCATGGAAACGGCTGTGTTGTCCCGTTTTTTTTTTTTTCTGAATAAAGTGTACAACGTTTCCAAAATGAAATGTGACACCCCCGTTTAACCATGACTTTGTGCTTTTCTGGAACCTGAATATACCCACCCACTCATCGCATTCATGGCCAAGCAAGTATGTCCAAGGAGACCGAAGTGGTAATTGCCTTTGGGAATGCCTCCTGGAAACAGGGGAAGGGATATGCATCCAGTCCCAGGAGACTCAGGTTCGCCAAGTACTTTGAGCAGTTCATCCACCACCAGAGACGCCCACCAGACCAAAACATGTGTGCTCGGCGAGTGAGTTCAAAACATCACAAGTATGCTCACACTGTCGGGAAGCCAAGCGACTCGAGAAGGCCGAGCATCTTGATATCGATACACCACACTTTGTCCGGAGCTGTGCAAGCTGCCATACGCTGTGGGATCGAGACATCAATGCCTCAAGGAACATGATCTCGGTATGCCAGTCGATCATCGCCACAGGAGATCGACCGAGTGTATTCAAGACCATGCTTCCCAAACCAACCAAAACAAAGGGATTGCCAACCAAGACGGGAAACAATATCACGGCCTGCCCGCTGGGGCCTACACTTAGTCAGCGGGCTTCAGACATCTGAAACCAGGAAGGAACTGTCCCGTTTTCTGGATAGACTGTAACAGCCACCAACAGCAGCGCTCGTATCCGGTCCGGTGTCATGCTCGGCCGAGAACGACCAAGTAGGCCACATCATTTTCCTGACTTTCCGTCCGATGGAGTTGGTCCAAGACTCCAATGTCTCATCATTCAGCCAGATCGATCAACCACATTCTATCCATCCGGGTGTTGGAGTGTTTCGTTTCAATGTGGTGCCGGTCTCTCAATCGTGTTGCACAATGCGGCATTGTTCGAGCCGTGCAAGCCAGCATCCTCATCCCCGATTTTGCAAGCCTCCTCTTGGCCCTCTGTCCCCTCTTGGATTGCCAGGCTCTGGCTTTCGACAACCCGATCCATCGCAGCCGCCCGGATCCTGACACATCTAACAGCGCCTGGCCCCGAATGCTTGTCGCTCGCGTACTTGCATGGCAGCTTCGTCGCTGCTCCCATAATGCATCCATCGGCTCGGTGATCCGCTCAGTCTGTGATCTATCACAGCATCATCCATGTCCCATCCTTCGGCGGATTTCCCGCCGCCCATCCTGCATGCTGGTTCCGGACGGTACGGCATTCGCTCTTCGACCTCGCCGACGCTCGTTTGTCCAGGCTCTTGCTCGTTCCAAGCCTCTTCCCAAGACAAAACCCCGGATGCCTGCATCGAAACCCAAGGCAAAATCCAAGTCCAAACTCAAACCCAAGTCCAAGTCCAAACGGAGAGTTATATCAAAGCCGAAGCCTGCATCGGAGTCGAGTGACCCATCCAAGGGAGATTCCGAGCGCCGGAAACCCCCAGACTCGGCGTCAAGGACTGGCGGTCGAGTTGAGGCAAAGGTCAATGTCGGCTCCATGGCTCCGGCAAGTGTGCCCGCTGGGCCAAAGCCGACGCCCGGCATTCATCCATTTCCCGTATCCGGGACCGAGACTGCTCTCGGACCCAAAGCCGTATCGCATCCGGCCCTCAAGCCCAGAGACCTGTACCTTGAGCGTATTCGTCTGGTCCTCGATGATGCCCCTCCAACTTCTGCTCTGCCTTCGGCTGACCAAGTCTTCCAGGCCGTGGAGTATCTTTCCCACCCCAGTCGAATGGCCAACCTCAATGTCCTCGGACAACAAGACTGGAAGCGGATAGTGGCACACATCCTGCAGCCGAACGGCCCAAACCTCGAGCAGCAACGACATGCTCTCGCGGCCATGTTGGTGCAGCGATACATCGATGCAAAGAGCACGCCAGAAGATGTCCAGGATGTTGTTCGTCTCTTTGGCGACACCGCAAACCCGGCTGAGATCCTGGCTCCCAGCCTCCTGACCTCGCTCCTTTTCGAGCTTGCATCGCGGCGACAGCTGGATATCCTGAATCGCCTCGAACTGAACCCTGGCTCTCACCACGACGAACAAACTGCGGCCCGGCTGGAGTCTGTCGTTGCCGGCTATCTTGCCGCCGGAGATCTCGTGCTGGCGGAGGCGGCATTTGTGGACTACACCACTCACGACCACTCGGCATCGCTCACGACGCAGATACGCTGGATCCGCTCGACGTTCCGCCAAGACGGTTTGTTCTCCTTGCGATGGCTCGAGGTCTTTTGCTGCGTCACCGGCACCGAGGCTGCGCCCGAGGCCGTTCTCAAACAGCTGTCGGACCGGATAGAGCAGAAGCTTACCCTGGATATGGCCCACTATCTCATCGACGAGTGGATGCCCACGGCCGACCCGAAGGCAGCAGCCGTTTTGTGCAGTGGCCTTTTGAAAGCCCTGGTGGATGGGCAGCACGATGCATTGGCAGCCAAGACTCTGTGCCGCATCGACGATTTGCAGATCCCATACGATAGTGCGCTGCTCTCGTCAAGAATCCACTTTGCAAAGTCACAGACCACCCACGATCATCTGACAAAGATCCTGGATCTCATGGAGCAGTCCAGCCAGCCCTTTGCGTTGGACTGCTATGCCGAGATGCTCAGTGAGCTGTTCGCCCGGAACGACCTGAACTCAACCCAGAGACTGATGGCGATCGTTTCCAGCCGAGGAGGCGCACTCGACGGCACCTGGGGCTGCCACGTTGCCAATATCCAGGTTGCCAACGGTCAAATCGCCGAGGCCCGCGCGATGCTTACGGCCATATACGAGGGCCCGCTGACAACTGTTTCGCGCGAGCCGTTCAACGCACTCATCGCCCACTACCTCAAGGCCAACGACTACCCAGAAGCCCTGAAGATCTTTGAGACAATGAAGACGAGGAAGGGCGCCGAGCCCACAACCGAGACGCTTGGGCTGCTCGTTCGTTTCCAGCTGAGCCACCGACAGAGCCAGGCCGCACTCCAACTGTACGAGGAAATGACCGGCCCTGAATATGGACTCAAGCCCGACAGCCGCCTCGTCGGGCTCTTCATCGCCCACCATTCTCGCCACCTCCAGTACGCCGAGCTCCTGCGCTGGGTCAAGATCGCCGAGGCCCACAAGATTCGGCTGGAGCATCGGTGCTACACATTGCTGATCCAGTATTACTGCTCGACCGGCGGCGATGTCAAGTCTGCCGAGCGGCTCCTTACCTCAATGCAACAGTCTGGATACCGGCCCAATCTGTTCGACTACCTGCCGCTGATGCAGTACTATGCCAAAACCGAGCGCAACGTCCCCATGGTCAACAAGTACCGGAGGCTGCTGCGGCCGCTACAGTGGCAGGACAGCAGGGTGCGGTCCCGCGAGATCCGGGCCTTGATTGCCTGTGGCCAGCTCAAAGAAGCCAAGCAGGTGGTTCGCACGACGCCCCCAGGCGAAAAGAATCTCAGCTGGTATCTTGCCGTGATTGCACTCCACGGCGCACAAAAGAAAATCAGGTCGATGGAAGACACCTTTGCCGAGATGCAGCGTGTCCACAACCTCGGCCCCGGCGACAACTACGGACACCCGGATCTCATATACGGATACATTATTTCGGGCCGCAGGTCTTGCCTCGACAAGGCCAAGGCGATCTGGCAGCGCAACTGGAAGCCGCCGATCGAGGGCACGGCCCAGTGGCGGCTCAAAGCCCGGTTGTGTCACTCCAATGTCGACGATCTTACCACCCGAGTCTTTGGGGTCGATGCTCCGACGGTTGCGCTTGCAATTGACCTCTACCGCAACTGCAACGACATTGGTGCGGTGCGGGCACTGTTCAAGGAGCTGCGAGAGGCTGGGTTCCCACTCAACTCGAACCACTACACAAGCTATCTGGAGGCCCTGCTGGTGCTGGGCCAGCCCGGCGAAGCGCTGCAAGTCTTTACGACGATGCAGGCCGACGGGGTGCGGCCGAACGTCAAGATCTTCTCCAATGCCGTCTGGTTTGCCAAAAAGACCCTCAGCAACCCGGAGAGGTTTCTGGAACAGCTCGACCATGTGCTCGGGCGCTATCCGGACCTGAAGAAGAGCCTCACGAGCTTACACAAGCGTCAGCAGCGACAGCCGCCGCGCAAGATATCGATGGTCGAGTATGTTCCTGAGCCAAACTAGCAGCTACCCGCGATTACGGACACTGCGACCCCTTGCACGGCACCACCGCTGAGATACCGCGGACCCTCGTTCACCAGTCTAGCTATCGACTTCATCGCTGCCGCGGACTGTGTTTCCTTGCCTCAAATGGCTTGACCTCATGCCATTCTCATCTTTATTTTTGCTCACTTGTCTGATTCGACTGACTGGATAACGGGTGCCCTTGAGGCGCAGTTCACTTCCGGTGACTTCTATGGTTTGGCTGTCATGCACAATACACACAACTCCAAGATCACGGCTGGGCTGCACGCTTGGCGGAGGCTAAACCGGGGCTACGATTATCTCCGACACAGCGGGATCGGAGAGCAGCGGGAGTGTTGGGTGAGTCGCTTCGTCGTCAAAGGTGGCCATCGATCCGGGTCAGAGAAGATGCCAAGAGATGAAACAGCTACAGCCTCCGATATTTGGAGAATCATTCGCGACGCTGAGGCTACAGAAATGCGCTGGACATTGTTCGTCATCGGGTCGGGTGCCATCAGCCCATATCTCGTCGGTGGCTGCCGGATCACGAGCCATTCCGATCAAAGGCAGCAAATTCAGCTTTGGATGAACAAGCCATGGTCGGATCCCACGAACAACTCGAATATCGGCGAGGCCACAGGCTGGATCAGATTGCGTTTGATGACCCGTATTCGATGCTGAGTTGGCGCGGAATGGCTCCCGTTCTCGAAGCCGCCGGTTTCGCTGCGGCTCGAGAGAGTTTCGGATGAGTCCAGGACTGTGCCGCCGATGAAATGAAGCTGGTAGTTGGGAGTGAAGGCCCAGGTTGTGCCAAGCGCGGACCTGAAGTCGATCGACTCGCTCATCGTGTTACTGAGGGCCTTATCCTCGCCAAAGTGGATGATGTGGTTGACCGTCTAGGGAGTTGATATGACAGGTCAGCGCAGTGTCCATTCCAGGCAAAGGTCACTTTCTTTGAGGATTGCGCATGGGCCATACCACCGCTGCCATGTGGCCGGACTGGACAAGATCCCTCAGCATATTGGCAGTTGTCTGCAAGAGAACGTGTCCTAGAGATACAAAACGTAACAAATGAGCGAATAGCGCCGTTCGGTTTCGTCGGGATCGGATCCAAGTGGCCATGCTGTTGCTATCGCGCTTGCGAAGGTGCCTGGTGGTGAGATACCCGGGTTCCGCCGAGGTCGACCATCTTACCCTGGACGTCCTTCTGGAAATCCAGCATTGGCGAGAGTATGGAGGCAACCGAGTCGATCACGAGTAGGCCGATGGAAGTGCGCGATGGAACGGACGGGGACGATGCAGGCGGACACGAACAGGCTTCATAAACAGCCTCCAGGACCGACACAAGCTCAAATGCATCGTGGCATGGGATGCATCTGAATCTGGCGACAAGTCTCTCGATAGTCTACCAGCCAGCAAGACCAAGGGTTGTTGTGGTAAGTGGTTGGGAGCGATCGGTTTCGGGTAAGTCTCGGATATGATGGGCAGAGAATCGAGAGTGATTGCAGCCGGGTGCGAGGACTGGGTCCGTACTGGGTCCGTACCATGCCCTGCTCGTGAAAGCGGTTGAAGGAGCTGCTGCATTCGAACAGCTGCCGAAATCGATCCAGAGAAAACGAGTTGCCAGAGTCGAGATAGATCACCGTAGCGTCCGGGAGATGACACAGCGCCGAGAGAGCGACAAAGAGGGCCATCTGCAGAATCGATGACACATCATTGTCAGGCGACCGAAAATGCATAGGGGAGATCCAGAGACAGAGTGGCGGACCGGCGGACTGGGGAATCGCCGTCAACGGCATGATCGATGGATGCGGCAGAGCGCACCTGGGTCTTGCCCGTGGCGGGTCCGCCGACAAACTCATAGATTTTGCCAGTTTGAAAGCCGCCATCGAGTTCCTGGTCCAGTCTACAAAGGGACGCATGTTTGAGCCGATGCGACGCCCAATCGAGGGGACATGTGGCGGCAGGAACCGAGGGTCAGCGACCGATCGCGAGGGAGTCGGTGCGCATGTCGGTGCGCATGTCGGTGCGCATGTCGGTGCGTATGTCGGTGCGTATGTCGGTGCGTATGTCGGTGCGTATGTCGGTGCGTATGCATATACAGAAAGGGTGATTGCCGTGGATGTGGATGTGGATGTGGATGTGGATGTGGATGTGGATGTGGATGTGGATGTGGATGTGGATGTGGATGTGGGGATTCAGCAAGACTCACCCAAGGAAACCAGTTGGGATGCAAAAGGCCCTCGATTCTTCCTCAGCCGCCAGATCCGAAGCAAGGGAGTGCGGGACGACCAGGGTCTCAGCCAGCCGAGCTTTGATGAGCTTGAGGGTCTGTGTTCGTGGATGTTGTGGATGTTGTGGATGGTTGCGGTGAGTTGAGTGACAGGCAAGCCGATGGCCACGGGCGGAACCAAGACTTACGCTGGGGCTGATCTTTGCCCTCTGGACGATGACGTGATCGTCGGCAATGAACAGGTCGCGATCTTGGGGAGCAACACACCATGAAGCTGGAGGGTCAGGACAGCGACGGCGAAGCGACGAGGGCGGGGGGCGAGCAGCAGCCGAAACGCACCGGTGTGGAAGCCGGCGCTGCCCAGCGAGGCAAGGGCAGCGTGGATGTGGGCGCTGTCGGGCAGCCGGTTGAGCAACAAGTCCAGGGGAGGCATCAGGATCGAGCAGACCAAACGGGGACGAGCAGACCAAGCGAGATCGGCTTTGTGCACACCAAAACGGGCGGCATGGGCAGGGGGATGGCCAGACGGGCGAGTGCGCGCACAGATGGCTGAGCAGAGCCTGGCAGAGCGCGACTGGTGCGGCCACGCCCCTGGACGACGGGACAGCGGGCTGGCAGGGTGTCGGTGATGGCGAGCTCCAAAGACCGAGGCGAAGACCGAGGCGAAGACCGAGGCGAAGAGTGAGGCCAAGACCGAGGCCAAGATTGAAGGCAGGATCCAAGTCGACAGGTAGATATATATCCCACCGCTGATTCACCGCTGATTCACCGCTGATTCATCGCTGATCTCTGATTCATCTCTGATTCACCCAAGTTTGTATCAGCGGACACCCCGGCCGCCACCGCACACGCCCCGCCGCAACGCGTCCGCGGCGCCGCCCCCCCCCGCGCAATCCACGCGGCGCGCACGTTCTGCGCATCGGCGCTGCGCGGACGCCCATTGGCCGGCGCGCTCTCGCCGAGCTCTCGCGGTGCTCTCGCCGCCTCCTCGCGGCGCTCTCGCTCCCCGCCGCCGCGGCTTGCTGCGCGCAATCCTCCTGACCCGGCCGCATATATAACCATGTGCATCGCCCGTTTCTCACCGCCCACATCGACCAGCGCGGGTTTCGCTTCTCTCCTGCCTCGGCCGCATTCTCCTCTCCGGTCCTCAGCCGCCGCCCAAGCGCATCCGTCCAAATCATAGAAGTAGACACATTATGAAACACACCGTCGCACACCGCCCTCGGTCGTTCCGGTGTCTTTCCATAATGTTCTGCCTCTATTGTTTTGAAGCCCGCCGCCTTGGCCGATCAAATGCGTCCATCTCTTGTTCCCATTGTCGGCATGAGTGTGTCCATCTTGTTCTTTATGCACCGTAGCTTGCATGCAAACGTCCTCTCGATCCCAGCCCTCGCCGGGAATGGCCGCTATTGCCAAGTTTTCCTACCCACCCCTCACAGCTCCGTAGCGAAAGCCGCTTCAGTGTCTGTGTCGGGTTTCCTTCCCGCAGACACTCGCTGGCCCTGATCCCAGACTTCTGTCAGAAACATGCCGATCCGGGCTTTGGGGATGGTTCGCGGGGATTGTTCCGTTGCTGGAATGCATGGCCGATTGGTCTTCCCAGATGGCGCTCCCTTGGCCGTCACAGACTACGCTGACATGGGATCGTGAGGGTGTCCTGTGTAAAGTGTGTACAATATGCGGATATCAGAGGAAGGTGAGGGAACTGGTTGGTAAATACACATTGACCCGACCCACTTTGAGTTGCGGATGAGAGAATTCTGGGCCGTCTTGGATGGATCCGATACGACAGACACCGCTGCCGCTCATCCGGACTGCAGACCGACGTCGGTGTGGATGACGGTGCTGGTCTATCGCGGCGCATGGAATGATACGATTCAGGCGTTTCTCGATCGCTCTGTCTGCTGCTGCTGGTGGTGCTCCTTGCATTGCAGCCCAGTATCCATTTCGGCCCCACAGGCCGCAGGACAGGCCGTCTGGTCCAGCCTCCCAAACGCGTCTGCCTTTGGCCTTCCTCCTCCTCCTCACCCAGCCGCCCGCTCGCCATCAACTGCCCGCCATCGTCGGCAGTGCAATCCCTCTGGCCGTCCGCGATATGCCGATGCCGTCGCTTCCCGAAACAGATAGCCCGCCGCTGTCGCTCTCCGAGCTGCTCGAGAGCTCCGTTGTCATTGTGCTCTCGCAGGTGCTCTTCTTTGCCATCGGCTGGGCCTTCTTTATGGGCACCCTCTTCCGCGACTACGACGTCCGCAATAAGCTCGTTCGCCTGCTCTTCTCGGCCACGTTCTCGGGGGCGTGCACGCTCTTCGAGCTCGTCATCTTCGAGATCCTCAATATCACAAACGCCAGGTACGGCCGAGGGCGTAATCGCTCGCTGGGAGAAGGGAAGGGGGTGGGATCTATCCATGTCTCTCATTCCGCAGGTGCCTGCCAGCCTCGGTTGGCTCTGGGCTGCAGGCTTCAATTGCCGGCATCGACCCTGTCCATATTCATGGGGTGCTCAATTTCTTGCGCTGTCGCCTCTCACCCACCTCTCGACAACGACAATCGGCAGAGCACGATGGATCCACTGGAAGTTCACGCTCTATGCCATGCTCGTGGACGTTGTCGTTGTCCTGCCATTCTACCAGTTTTATCTGGTCTTTGCCGAACGCAAGAGTGAGTGGTCCCGAATCTGATTATCCGTCCAAACGTGCGACCCATTGGGCCGTCAGCCGTATTGCCGCTTGCGCTCGGCGATGCATCCCGCCTATGCCGAGTGCCCACGGTAGCCTCCAACTCATCATAGCCACCTCATCCTCGTGCTTGATCCTCAGAGTGGGCGCCGTATCGCTGGATCCTGGCGTTCATCGGGTGGTTGATCTACGCCCTGTTGTTTTGGAAGGTCGGCGACCAGTTCCCGCTCAGTCGGCCCCGGACACAGTTCTCGCTGACCTCTCTCGAGCCATTCATGGGCCGGGTCGGTGTCATTGGCGTCACCATGATGGCCATCCTGTCCGGCTTTGGTGCCGTCAACAGCCCCTACACAACGCTGTTCATATTTCTGAGGTAGGTTAGGCCAGAGGGCCAGGGCTCCGTACTGACGTACGAGCTCTCCTCATCGTGTCTCTGTAGATGCAGATGCAAAAAAGGTTGCTGAAAGTGCCAGGGATTGCCTCGACGCTTATTCAATCGTGCCGACATGCCAAGCTCACGCCGTTTCTTGCCTACCCGCCTCCAGAAACGTGAGCGAAGGCGATGTCCAGGAGGCACAACGCCGACTGATGCAAAACTATCAGCGCATCCTGACCAAGAAGAAAAAGCTCGCCTTGGATATGTACAAGCGACGCGAGGAAGGCCCGGTGAGGAGCGTCTGTCTGCGATGTGTCTTTGCGTTGCTACCGACTCTGGATGCTGTCTCTTCTCGGCACCGATCCGGCCGCTGACCTCTCCACGCTCTGCTCCGGCAACGCCGCATCTGGATCTGCAGAAGGGAAGCTATGGAATCAGCGGCCTGTTGCGCCGAGCATACCATAATGTCTCGAGTATCAGCTCTGGGAGGGAGAGTAGGTTATCGACGATTGCCTCGCCTCAAGCAGCCTTTCATATCGCTTGCTGTGCCGTGCGCGACACCCACTGCATAACCGCAAAGCAACGGCAGGGACTGATGCTGATCGTATTGCAAGGCCTCGACACACAGATGAGCAGCATCGAGGCCCTCGAAAGTGTGTGCCAGCAAATGTTCCTGGAGCTCGATGAAATGAACGCCGAGCGGGTATGCATCCCATTCAGCTATCCACCGAGTCGTCCACCGACTCATACATCGACTCGTCCACCGACTCGCCCGTCAATCCATCGTTCATCCTTCACTAAATTTACCGAGCATGTCTCTCTCCGACTCTCCGACTCTCCGACTCTCCCCATATAGGATAAGCTAGCGCAAGCTCAGACGGCCCAAGGAAAACTGCTCAATGTCCTTGGTTACGGGTTCTCAATCTATTGCTTCTGGAAAGTGCTCACGGTAAGCCCGAATGCGGTGTTGCTGCTCAAGAGAATGGCCCTGGAATCGCAACGGATGCCGTTCACCAAATGTGAATCGAGCATACTGCACATGTGGGGGAGTCTTGTCGACAGCCCTACTCAGGGATCCTCAGCATGCGCACCCACGAACTGCCCCTGCCATCTTACGATTGACGGATCAACGCCATCGGGGCCTCCCAACAGGCATCCATCAATGTGCTTTTCAATCGGCGCGGCACCGTCGACCCGGTCACACATGGTCTCAATCTTGGCGTACACTACCTGGGCATCTCGATCGACATTGAGTTCTGGTCGCAGCAGCTGAGCTTTGTGCTCGTTGGTATCATGGTCGTGGTATCGATCCGTGGCCTGCTGATCCAGTTTACCAAGGTGGGTGGCCGCACGGCCTAGATCTTTGATGTTGAATGGGCATGTGCTATTGCTGTTGCTCGCACTCTCTCGCTGCCAGTACTCGACTCTGCGCAAAGGAACCAACCATGCTGATGCAACTATGTTCGCTCCTGCAGTGGTTTAGGACATTCTCAAGCTCGGTGTCTCCAAACAACATCACCATCTTCCTGGCACACATCATGGGCATATACTTTCTCAGCACCGTCCTGATGCTCCGAATGAATCTGCCGCCACAGTACAGGTACAGTGACACCACATTTGCGCCTGCGGCAATGCCATGGCAATCATTAATGTCCCTCTTTGCGTCGCCATCGCAGAACCATCATCAGCAACGTGCTCGGCCAAATCGAGTTTGATTTCTACAACCACTGGTTCGACGTGATCTTTATCGTCTCGGCCGTGGTATCGATGCTCTTTATCTATCTGATCACGCAGCTCCAGAAGCGGAGGGAGAGCGACTATGGTCTGAACACGAGGTCGATGGGCGGTGGCGGTGGCGGCCTGCTGGATAAGGATCCGATGCTGGATGAATACAGCTTGGACCAGAGCTAGCGAGACTCTGGAATGTCCACGGGCCCCTGAGGCCGATCGCCCCTGATCTCGCCCCCGATCTTGACTGTGATTCCGACATGAGATTCCGACTTGAGGCGCCGCCTTCCACATCTCCTCCACGTCACGGCCAATCGCGTCGCGGCAGCCCCTGGACCAATCGTGTGGCTCGGAGACCGGTGCGCAGCCCACTTCCAGCTCACAGGTCCGCATCAGGACCGCTTCTGCGTCATGGATATAGCCGCCCAACAGCGGCCAGCGGCCCAGTCCTGCAAGTTCGCCGCCGCTCCAGACCACGACCACGATGCTGCTGGGAACGATCCTGCCATACGACATTGAGCTCGCCATTATCGCGCTGCTGCCGCTCGAGTCGCTCCTCAAGCTCAAGGCCACCTGCCGTCGACATTACCACTCCACCAACTTCGAGAAGGGCTCTCTCAACGACCACATCCTGCAGCACAGCCTTCGTCAGGCACCCACCATCCCGCTGCTCTGGGCCGTCGACATCCACAGCGGGGTCCTGTGTCACCTCCTGCTCACCGCCGGGGTCTCGGAGCACTTTCCCCAGGTCGTTGTGGACGAATACAACCTGGTGCTGACCCTGGAGCATGCCATCTGGAAGCGCAGCGCGCGGGTCTTTGAGGCCGTCTGCACCAGCGAGCGCTTTGCCCAGGAGGTAACATGTGCGCAACTGTCGCCGCTGCTGGACCGGCTGCTGGCTGCGAACCTGCCCGATGCCGAGGGTTGCGTTCGGGGCCTGTTGCGTGCCTGCGAGCTCAAGCGTATATCGCCCCGACCGCGAGCTTGCAGCATGCCTCAGCCATCGCTGTCGTTGGTACCGGCGCCAATGGTGGTCCTGGAAACGCCCGAGTTCCCGGCGGCTTCTGGGAACGAGCCGAACGACTCGGAAGCCGGCGGCGTCGATGAGATTCCCACGGGCCTGATCCCGATCGCAATGGCACCAGGCAGCAGCAGTGCGATGCAGCAGCAACAGGAGCAACAGTCACCAGCACCACCACCAGCACCACAGCAAACCGAGATTGTTGTTGCCACAAACGTGCCACCTCTTCCTCCGTATCCGCCTCATGACCAGCCGGCCGAAGAATATGCAGGATCGATGCATGCTCTGCTGTCCCCATCGACCGCCTCATCGGTGCATCTTTCACCACCGACAACACCTCCCCCATCGCCGCAGATAGATCATCACGATATTCACCAAGACACCGACAAGAGCGACCTGGCGGATTGCACCGAGTTCGAGATCGAGAGCGACAACGCTTACCCTGTTCGCCATCACCAGCACGACCTCTGCAACGGACACATGGCCGCGATCAAGGAGGCCGCCATGCGTTTCGACTGGCAAACGGCACACCTCATCTTCCACCATCTTGACATGATTGAGTGCTCCGGTTGCAGCTATGGTTGCAGCTGCGGTTCATATTGCTGTTCCTCTTGTTCCCCGTTGCCACCTTTGTCGCCCATGGCCGCCGCGGCTACTGTCGGCAAAACTCGAGGACTCGGTCGCAATGGCTTTGGCGTTGGTGGTGGTGGTGGATACTTGGTTCTGTGGCGACAGACAGCACGCTCCGGCATCTTGCTCTGGAATGGTCTCTTTGGATGGCCGCTGCGGATCATGACTTGTTGCCTTGGATGCACCGGGATCCTGCTGCGGCGGACACAGAGCTGGCTCGGAGGCATGCTCCGGAGAATGACACGACGCATGTTCCTGCAGCCCGCGACATATTACCTAAACCTGCGGCTGATTGGCTAAAGAGCCGGCAGATTTGTGACGAGCATGCATCCCGACCGGGTGCAGCCGGATGAGCAGCTCTTTCTGCATGTGAAGGAGGTCAATATAGCTGCCATCGCATAGACAATGCCGCGACCACGACTGAATGTCAGCGCAGAGATAATGAGAAGGGGGACACATGCCACATGCTCGGGAGAAAGGGCTGCAGGGCAAGCCGGAGAGTGGAGAGGCCAGAGACGAGCGTCCAATAGAGAGAAGATCCATTATAAAGACGAGCCCAGTTGCAGGTATGCGGCGACCCGGCTGAGGGGCTCGTGTTTAATAATGGTGTCTTCTTCTATGAGAACATGTCTGGCAGGGGGAAGCGGGCAGGTAGAGTGTGAGGCTGGGGCTGTGGAGTTGCTGGAGTTGCTGTGAGCAGCGCCAGGTCGATGGTGTTGAGGAGACTGGGCATCCCACGGCGTATTTATAGCCGAGATGGTGCCAGGGCCAGGACGGAGAGAGGGGCAAAAAAAAAAGTGATGCCAGGAAACGTGGTGGGCCTGGTGGTGGGTCATGCGGCGACCACTCTGCAAGTGATCGATCCAGCAAAGACAGCGGCCAAGAACGGCGCGCGCCATGAAACGTGCGCTTGGAAGCAATGGGCGGCCGCAGCCGGCAAGGTGCGGCAAGTGCAGGAGGGGGGCGTGCACGGCGGCCACGCAGGAACGGGCCGCAGAGAGGCAACGGGAATGGGAATGGGAACGGATAGACGGGAATAGATGGGTGGGAGCCAAGTCGGATGGGTGGGAACCAAGTCGGATGGGTGGGAACCAAGTCGAGTGGATGGGGAGACGCAGCAACCCAACAACAACCCGATATCGATGCACGCGGATGCGGCCGGCCCGAGCAGCGAGATCGGGCTTGCGAGCGAGACACCAGAACAAAGATCCGAGCGGCGAGACCAACGGAAGCACAACCGCCGCAGAGCAATCCCACGCATGGCCGCGGGAATGTGCGCGGCGGGTGGGAAAGCAAGGGATGGGGGGGGGAACACGTGGTCAGCCACGTGGGAGGCACAATCACACCATCGATCCATCAACCCACACTCGACCCACACTCGACCCACACTCGACCCACTCACTCGACCCACACTCGACCCACACTCGACCCACACTCGATCCATCCACCGCGCCACACGCACCGCCGCATTCCAGCGAGGAGCGAGAGCGTCCCTCGCCGCCTCTCGCCGCCTCTCGCCGCCCCTCGCTGCTCTCGCCTGCCACACCGCAGAACGCCTTCAGAGTCTTCTCTGCCCGTTCTCCTTCCATCCCATCCCATCCCGCTCTTGCTGCTCGTCTCCTCGCACGCCGCTTCTCCCGGCATCGTCACTTGCAAAGCCACAAAGCCCCCCTGTCTCTCTGCGTCTGTCGCAACCGAGCTTTCTCAGAGTCATGGGTATGTCATTTGCCCTAAATGCTCCACATGTATTCCCCTCTGCTTCCCGTCGCTGTTGCCCGCCAATGCGCTCCATTCCCCCCTCCTGCCTGCACTGTCAGCCAGTGCACCTCATTGGCCCTGCCTCTGCTCCGCACGATGCCGCATGCACTGTCGCTATCCTTCGATCAACATGTCTGACACCCGTTGCTGCTCGTCCAGGTTGCTTCGAGTCGAAGCCGCAGCAGCCCCAAGCTGCCGGGACTCGGTCTGATGAGGAGATTGCCGAGGAGCTCCAGCTCCAACTGGTCCTGCAAGAGTCGGCGGAGGATGCCTTGGCTCCGAAGCGGGTGAGTCTTTTCTGTACCAGCACCAGCACCAGCAACAACAGCAACCACAATCACAATCACACCTGCAGCACCAGCAACAACACCAGCACCAGCAACAACACCAGCAGCAGAGCCGGCTGAAATATCACCGTTGTTCATGTCCCCTGAATGGCAAGCGGGCGGGGAGCCCCATCCTTGGGTCGTGCTTGTGCGGTCCTTTTCTAACCTCGCCCGCACGCCCTCTTGACCTCAGATTGTTGCCCCTGAGCGATTCGCCGTCATCGAGGACATATCGCCCATGCATCCGCCCTACGACCTTCCCCCGCTGCGGGGGCACCCTCACAACTCGACCAGCGAGTCCATCCCCGTCTATTACTCCCATACTCTCAGCCAAGATCCCCAAACGTCCTATCATCCCAGCCCTGTGTCCCCTAAGCCTTCGACCCTCCAGACCACCCCGTATGTCATCGAGCCCGTGAAGCCACCACCACGCCACGTCCCTGTGGTACTTCCCGTCGTCGCCAACCCGTTCGAGACCGTGGCGACCGATCACCCACCCGTCAACTCCGAAGATGGCGGAACCATCGTCTGCGGTATTTGTCAGGACTCTTCACGGATGGCCTACAGCGTTGTGCTGCGATGTGCGCACTCGTTTTGCGAGGAGTGCATGACCCAGCACGTCCGCCACGCCATTCTCAACCGCGAGATTCCGATCCCATGTCCCTCGTGCAAGGCCTCACAGACAAGCACGGATCTGGACGAGTCTGTCATCAAGCAGTGCTCCGACGCGGAGCTCTTCAAAAAGTACGGCGAAGTCTGCATCCAGCGTGCCCTCGCCACCGATCCAAACGCTGTGCAGTGCATTGGCGAAGACTGCTCGACCTACTTCTTGGTCGACTCGGGAGAACGCAACTTTATGCAGTGCCCCACCTGCCTGCTGACTTGGTGCTCCCAATGCAAGCTGAGGCGCTGGCACGTCGGCATGTCCTGCGAGGCGGCCTTGTGTGATCAAACCGCAAACGGAGGCCAAGTTCCTGCCAACGACACCGCTCTGGACGACCTGATCTTGCAGGACAAACGCTTCACCAAGTGTCCGAGCTGCGCGACCCCGATAGAGAAATCGGAGGGATGCAACCACATGGAGTGCCCGATTTGCCGGACCCACTTTTGTCTCTTGGTAAGCCAACGTGCTCCTGTCCACCGAGGCGACGGCCGTAGCACTTGTCTGACGAGCGAATCGGTGCCAATCGAATCAGTTCTGGACGCGCTGGCTTGGAGTGATCCGATATCGCCTGGATTGGCGGCGTCGTTTGAGGACCGCGTGCCATTTGCTCCCTCTGCGTCAAAGAACGGGTGTGGCGGTACTCTCAGCCAACGACCCCAGCCTTGGGCAACGATCTAACCCTGCCCTATCTGCTCTGTCTCCCTGGCCTCACCCCTCAGTGCCAACAAACCCTCAAGAACGATCCCAACAACCCCGAGGGTCTGTACCAGCACTACAACGACAAGTCGACGCCGTGCTACAACAAGACCTTTGCCAATCCGAACAAACTGGAAGAAGACGAATAGACAAGAGGCTACCCTTCGCAAAGCCATGTACATGCCATGCTATGTCATCGCCCCCTGTAATAGCCGCTGCAGCCAGTATCATCCCACCTCTCCACCGCATTTGTGGACAACACGAGTCCATCTCGGTATCAAAGTTCCCTTGCTCTCTTCTATCGCTGGCTTACAATGCAGCGTGATGCAATACGCCCCCTCTGCTCCCCATTCGAGGCACAAGTGACTTTGTCCTCACGCGATCATATCTCGCCGCCCATTCTCTTCCCCGCACCGACACATGTCCATTCGAAACTCTTGTACTCACCGAAACTAATCCGACCATGTCCGGTCCAGCTGTTTCTCCACGACCTTTGGTGTGCAGACGATGTATCATCTCCCCCCCCCGATTCTTCTATTTTTTGTGCTTGAGACTCTTCTTCAATTTCTGGATCATGAATACACTCGTGTTGTTTTCCAGCGCATCCGCTGCCTGAGGCCATCCACATGGACATCCACCGATCTGACGGGACTTGTCGTTCGAGGTTCACCACAACCCTCCCCCTCGAGGCTGACGGAAATCTGTGACAGCGCCTGTGTCTATCTGAAAGGAGTAGTATTGAGAGACTCTGGGCAGGAACAACAGCAAGCCACCTCTGCAGAAATCGGTGGGATGCTTGGCTGCCCCTGAAACGAGTCATAATCGCCCGGCAGTATCAGCAAAGCAGATGTTCCAACAGGGCATGAAAGCAGCAACACCAGATCTAGATGGAGGAGGGAGCGGTCCCCCCTCCAAGTCTATGGACGATCCAAACGGACAACAGAAACAAAGATATGCGCGTGAAGAAAGAACAAGAGTGCCGCTCGTCTCGTCTAACAGAACGAAATGCACTCTGTTTCCCCACAACTTCGTTCAGGGATGGACTTGAGGAAGCGACCCGCAAGGCTGCGTGTGTGGTCGAGGGGGGGGGAGAGAGATACCGTCATGGTAATCTCGTCCTGTACATGCGCGCTTGAGCGATAAGGGTGCAGAAAAGCTGAGCAAACAAAAGATGCATGGCGGGAGAAGCACTGAGGGATGTGGGAATCGGAAAAAATCACAAAATGAGGCCAAAAAATAGGGGGGGGAGATGAGATCCGAAAAACACAAAACGACACCAACAGGTACAACGACCGCAACAGCAGCAACGACGGCAAAGCAACAACGACAAAGCAACAACGACAAAGCAAACACTATGACCACGGAGGTATCGGTATTAGCGTGATGGAGGTATCTTCCGTGACCAGGCCAGCGCATCGGCAGAGAGAAGAGGGGGAAGAGTAGTGTGCAAACTGGCTGGCAGCGAGCATCGGGAGCAGAGTCGTGCGAGCGACTGTTGGGCACGGGGTGCCCTTCAATCTTCCCATTCGGCAGGCTCGCCTTCGCTCCAGACGCCGCCGCCAAACCGTGACTCAGGGATCCAGCTTCCATCGTCCTCATCGTTGAGGTTGTCATCGGCTTCGACTAGGCATTCGGCCACCAGCCAAACGTGCGGCTGATACGGATAGCACCAGTTCTGCGGCGATCCATCGAGCACGCCGCCGCGGCTGGACGAGGCTTTCGAGGCTATCTTCTGGACGTGGAGGCCGGAATGCCCGTCAACGAGCATCTTGCTGTCAGCTCTGGCTGTGCTTTGGTCCGTGGACGAGGCCGGACTGGCGCCGGTGCCTTGGGCCTGGGCGGCTCGGAGACGCTCGACAGATTCGACCAGGGCCTTGACGAGCCTCCAGCTGCGGCGGTCGCCCATGCTAGTGAAGGCCATCGAGTTCATAACGTACGAAAAGGCGACGCCGGTTTCGTGGTTCCACCAGACCATGCTGCCGCCGGCACCTCCCCAGCCAGTCCAAACGCCGGGTGCACCAGGGAACGTGACATGCACGCCCCAGCCGCCGGTCGCAAATGTCACATTGCGCAGGGCCACGGCGTCCATCTGGGTTGGGAGGGCCTGCAGCGCTCGCTTGATGGTTGACGGGCGAATCAACTGGGTCTTTCCAAGGGTGCCATGGTTCGACATCATGGCTGCGAGCCGGACGAGCTGGTGACAACGCAACGGAAGGGGTCAGTAGCGATGCCAGTCGCATACGTGCGCCTATGGGGACCAAGCAACAGGTCTCGGCAGTAGCAAGCGCATGGCTCTCGCTCGGCTTGGCCTGGCTCGGCTCGGCTCGGCTCTACCGGGAGGCTGGAGGCTGGGAGATCAGGCACATGGGACTTACCGATCGCACGTTGGTGATGCCGCTGAAGCTTGGCCCTTCGCTGGCCCAGATCTCACGGCGGTTGTGGCTGTGGGGCCACGGACGGATCTGCCTTGGGTTGCTTCCAGCGATCGCGCGATAGCTGACGCTCTTGCGGTTGAAAAGGGCGCTTTTCAAGAACGGCGGCGGCGGGTTTCTCTGCATGCGATTCGGAACGACAATCTTGGCGATCGCTCGCAAGGTCGGGTATCCGATCAAGGGCGACACCCGCGCCTCCTTGTCTCGCGGCAAGCCGAGGTAGAACTCAATGTCGAGGGCCGGCATGATTTCTTCCCGGATGATCTGGCCGATGGTGCGGTGCTTGGGGTCGACTCGGCGCGCGACCTCGTTCAGATACCAGCCGCGAGTGACCTGCAGATCGACCAAGGGAATGCAGATTGTATGCGCGTCAGCCAAAGCCTCGCTTGCTTCCTGCTGCCAATGTCAGCTGTGTTGGGCTCTCGGACGGCGGTATACATACAGCGTGATAACCCTGCACCTCGGAGCCGTCAAAGTTGTGTGGCTGCGAGGCCAAGAGAGTGGCCATGCGATCGAGGTCCGAGAGCTCCTTCAGGGTCGGCTGGCGGTCGAGGTAGGCGACACCGCCCCGATGGCCAAGGAGGGCTCTGAGCGTCACATTCTCCTTGTTGCCCTGGGCAAACTCGGGCCAGTACTTGGATATGCGGTCGTCAAAGTCGATCCAGCCCTGGTCAACGAGATAGGTCATGACGACGCCCTCCTGTGAGAGCACAGTGCGGTGTATCAGCCATAGTCAATACCAGCGGATCAATAGGGCCAGGGCAACGTGGCAATTTGGCGATATGGCAACGTGGCAGGTGACGAGGCTGCGATGCGCTTACCATGACCTTGGAGCTGGAAAAGACGAGCTGCAGACTGGTGTTGTCGTACTGTCTCTTGTAGCGACGATCGTGGAACCCGCCGTAGAGCTCCACAACAGGCTCGCCGTCAACTGGATCATACGGAGACCGGCCAAACGGGAGAACAAAGACGTGGCTGTCAGCAAAGAGACACATCGTAACGAGACACGCGGCATAACGGGGTACAGAGCGAACGGTGCAGGGCAGGAATGGTGCCGACTCTGAATGGGAGGACGCAATCACAGGCTCCATTCCAATACGGACAGATGCGATTGATGCATCAACACAGCCGATGCACCGTGCGTCTCCTCCCGCTGGCCCGGGGCTGCACGTAAACAGAACAGCACCATCTCGGAAGGGAGTGATAGAAGCCGAGTTGCGCCAACGACGCCAGCGCAGATGCAAAGCAGACGGAGATATAGGGAGCCGACGTTGGTGTCGGGTGGAGGCGTAGGTGGAGATGGAGGTGCAAATGACGATGGAAGCAACCGAGGCCGAGAAACTCGCCTCCTCCGAAACGCACGCATGGCCTACCATATGCTGCAAAGCTTGCGCCGACCTCCCAGCCTTCTTCAAAGTTTTTCTTGAACATCTCGAGCACGGACTCGTAGCCTTCCGCAATCGAGCCCTGGATCGGCCAGACGGGGCAGTTCCACGAAAACAGGTTGCAGGTCAGCGGCACCTGTGGACGGCCTGCCCAGTAACGGTAGTTGACAAGCGCGATCAAGACGATCCAGAGGGCAAGTCGACGCAGCCGTCGGACCCAGCGGAACCGTAGCGAGTGCAGGCGGTTGTATCGGCGGGTGTTGTCCGGGGACGTTGGCGACTGCGGCGAGAGAGGTGTCACACTGATGGAACGAGGACGGGCTGCCAGAGGCGAGCCGGGCGGTCCAAATGAAAGTGATGTTGCTGTTGCAAGCGGGTCCGGGTCCGGCTGCGAGAGGGCTGAGGGAGGGAGCGGCGGCAGCGACGAGAGCGAGAGCTGCTGCTGCAGGTCCGTCTGGGAAGGATGCAGGGAACGGGAGTGGAAGGACCGGGGCGAGTTCTGCAGCGACGCCAGGGGTGAAGATGGTGTGGAATGAAGTGATTCGGCGGAAAACAGGGACGCCAGGGACGACGCCGAGTGAAAGGTTGGCAGCGACATGCTCGAAACCGAGATATGCGGAGATGCAGCTGCCGAGGGCGGCAACTGAGAAGATGACGAGAACGTCGAGGCTGGGGTCGGAGCAGGCGAAGAAGGGGCGGCTGCCGACGCAGATGAGGACTTGAGGAGTTTGTGGATGGATTTCAGCATTGTTGGAGATGATAAACGAACGAGGTCTATTGATGCGGCGATAAATAGGATGATGGATGGGCGGGAGGGAGCAGTCCTGCAATGAGCAGAGAGTCCTGGAGGAGGCGGCACTGGCAAAGACTGGTGCAAGCGGGAGCCGACCGGGGCTTGTCCAGAGAGGCGAAGGTGATAGGAGATGAGGTCCTTGGCTGAGCGGATTGCTCCAACAATCAGCAGCGAGGATGAGCCGGCTTGACGAGGGCAGAAAGCGAGATGTCGAGAGACAGACAAGCGCTTTAAATGGACGGGGTCCGATATGAGCTCGGCGGCGACTCAAGAGGCCTGGACAGGACGGTGCGGGCTGGCGATGCGACGGGTTGATGGGAGGAAGAGGCAAGGGCTGTTCGGGCTGTTCGGGCCTGGCGTTGACTTGGCCAGCCATCCACGGCAGCTGACCACCACCGCCCCACACCCACCAGGCGCCGAGCGGACTGCCCAGCGACATGTACTCAGCGAATCACCGGCTATGGAGGACCCAGGAGGGCCGGCGGACCTGGCCTGAGGATCGAAAAGACAGGACCCGGACGGTGCATCCGTCTGGTTTATTGGTCTCGGTCCGGATCGTCGCAGCAGGACTGCTATCGAGGTGGGAAAGGTGGGGGGAGCGCAAAGCTCATCGACCAGCAGCGAGTCGGTGAACAGCGGGAAGAGTCCGCTGCATGCCCGTTCAGCATCCGCCGGTCTGTTCGGGCTGAACTTGGATCTGGTCGCCATCCTCCATCTCGAGCTGGGTGTATCATGCCCGTGAATCAAGCCAGAGGAGATCGGCGTCAGTTTGCGGGGGCATGAGCGAGGGACCGCCTGTAACTCAAAAGAGTCCGATTGCGTTTCAAATAAAAGGCCGCGAGCATCTCGATGACCCATAGCGGATTCATCCGCAGGCTGGATGCAGCCAACAACGTCACTCACCGACTCGGGAGTATCCTCAGGAGAAATGCGGGTGCCGTCGTATGAGAAGCGGATCGAGTTGGGGGCCTGTGGGAGACCAGCAATCGGCCGAGTGAGTCAACCAGGTTTAGATGAACCTGGACACTGGTGGACGTAGCGACAAGACGTCCGGAATCGAGGCCATCCCATCCCATCCATACGAAGGTTTCGTGCATGTGGCTGCTGGTATTGTCCTGACAGTGTGATCGCTGGTCGTGTGATCGCCGAGGGCACCGACGAGACTTGAATACACGACTCTCGCAAGCATGTATCAGCGACTCACCTTGCCGGTCTTGGAGGTGTAGGTGTCCATGAGCTTTTTCAGCAGAGTGTTCTTCTTGATTTTGAATGCTTAAGCAGAGATAAAGTCGGGAACGCCACTGAGTCGCCAGTCCAAAGCCACCGAGAAGATAACGCCCGCCGGCTGGTTTCATCGCGCTAGTGGCTCCCGATACGCACTGGCTCGATCGCTTCGGATCGTATCCCAAATAGAGAGAGGAAGAGTCGCGGACGGTCTGCATGCGTTCTGATGGCCGAGACTTACCGATTTCGGCGCCGTCAGCGTCGACGACCTTGAGGGTGATTTGCTCGACCTTGGTACAAATTCAGCGGAACGGGGGAGACGAGCCACGACAAGGAGAAGAATGGCCGATCAGAGGCAGTGCACAGGGAAAGTTAGCGTTTGGTAGACAATATCAGTTCATGGCGGTTACGGACCAATGCCGGTGTTTGGTCGAGTCCAGACGACAGGTTCGGCATCGAGACAGCCAGTCTGGTCTCAGGACGGCTGTCGGGTTCGTCTCTTGGCGAGTCTGGCATCGAGTCTAGATCTACAGGGTTGGATCGACGACGAGGCTGTCGCCAGCGGATGGATTCTTGGACAAGCGCCCGGGCGAACTCGAGAGGACCATGTCGCCCGAATAGCTACCGTCTAGACGAGCACGGGTCAGAGGAAGCAGGCCCGCGAGCATCCGTACCTTTCGTTCTTCGGACATGGCGGCGGCGGCGGTGGTGGTAGTGGTGGTAGTGATGGAGGCAAAGCGGGTCAGAGCGAGCGGAACGGGAGAAAGCTGATTTGGGCAAATGCGGACTGGCACAGCGGACGGCTCAATATGGCGAAAGTGGGCATCCGCTCTCGCCGGGCTCTCGGTTCGCTCTCGGCCTCTCGGCGAGAAACGCAGCATGTCCGTGTGGGATGGACTTGCACTGTATTTGCATTCGCATTTGCACTCGGGGTCTGCTCTGCAGGAGAGAGTCAATACCAGCAGTCCGGGATCGTCCGCGGCGGTCATCAGTGTGGCCTTGATATGACCGAGTGTGTGTCCAGGCTCTCGCCCAGACCCGAACAGGCAGTCATGGCGATTCGCCCGTCCGCTGCGCCGGTGCTGCGTCGCGGCACTCCCAGTCGAAGCAAACTGCAGTCAAGAGACAGCGCACTCGGCGGAATATGGCTGTCCTCGAGCCCATCGATCACTTTTCTGCACATTTGAAGCAGCAAAGGCGCTTGGAGCTACTGGGCTCCGAATGAATTGCCATCTATTCATCCATCCCCTCCTCTCTGGCTCATCGACAGTCAGTGAGATCCCGCAACCGACGTCTCTTTGGCGCACCTCTGGATTTTGGTTCAATTAAATGTATTTACACATTCGGCCGATGGCGTTGCCAATGGTAGACAGAGCGGCGCAGCCGGCGTGTTCATCCTCAAGGATCACCGATCAGAGACTGGCTTTCATAGATGATGAGGCTGTTCGAGAAACGTTCAAAACTGGAGCAAAAAAGATTGCAGGACGAGAGACATGTCCATCCGTCGCGTCTTGCCGTCTGGATTGGTGCCGTCAGCACAGGGATCAGGGGGAATGGGAGTCGGCAGGGGAGTGTTGAGAAGCCCACAGGAAGTGTCCGTGAGAGCGTCTACTTTCGGCTCTGGGGGTGGAGCCAGTAGAAGCGCCGGTCGGTGGTGATGTACTTGGTCTCGGAGTAGATCATGTCTGGGTGGGATAGACAGCGACAAACATGTCAGTCATTTGGTGATGCAGAGCGAGTAATCGCTCAGAGTGTACAGCGGCCCTTTCTACAACCCTGCCGTCCTCTCGCTCGCCGGTTGCGGGGGCCGCCAATGCAGCAGAGATCGAGACGGAGTCGATACGTTACAGAGAGAGCCGATGGCAGCGAGACCAAGGATGCCGTAGACAGGGACGGGAGTGACGACGCGAAGACCGGCCATTGTTCTGGATTGGATGGGGTTTGCAGGAAAAGGCTGGGAGGAGTGCTTGTGGTGCAATACACAAAAGCCGGGGCGAGACTTGGAGGTTCTGATGCTGGGTGATGATCTCAGCCGGAAGCAGGCGACTGCATCGAGGTATTTATCTCGGCTAACCGCCCGGTGAGTCACGATCGACGGGGCGATGGTGGGAACCGGAGGCAGGAGACATGAATCATCGGTGCGCATGGGTGCGAAAGAATGACTCGCCGCCTTGTTTCGTCGCGTCGGTCGGGGTCGTACAGAGGGGCGAGGGGCAGAAGCGCGTCGGTGTGGTCGCGCCGTGGCCTCGCCTGGCTCGGGTTTGATGGCTGCTGACCCCGCCGTTTCATTCACACGATCGTTCTGGGATGTGAAGCTTGCAAGCAGATGTGTCGGCTCCGGCTCTGTCCTTTGCCCTCTGTCCTCTGTCTCGACCATCGGCGATGGACGGAGCGACTTGGGAGATTGTCCTGTGCCCAATGGATGCACATCGCAATCTGGAATCGAAGCGTCTGGATCCTGTGGGCCAGAAATTGCGGCAGCTGCAGCCAGGACCACCAACGAAATTGGCCGAGACCACGGATTGGGACGGGAAGAGCGCGCGCTGCCCCCGCAGCCTGGGAGACGCAGGTATGGTACAGCCGCCGGGGTCTCCCAGGGGGAGGGCATCGACAGGCCATTTGCATCGACTGTTGCACTCCATCGCGACGAGCGAGCCACTGATTCTCCAGTTCGAAAATGTACCGATTGAGCAACATCAGTCGGTGGTCTTCCACTGAGGCACCGTTCTGTCCTTGCTGTCGCTGGCGATTGGTGGCGGCTTTACATCAACGAAGCGGGATCCGTCCCATCAACCTCCGCCATCAACACAGTGATATGCAGGCCACCGCGGACAAGCCATGCGATTGTTTCAGGGTCGATTTTCTCGTTTGCGGGAACACAGCATGTTGATACAGTGGATATTCGAGCATCTGTACGAGTCGAGCGAATCACTTGTGCGTTCTGGTTCTTGAGTGTCTCGGGCGGTGGATGGGTGAAGCTATGTGCATTCACGGTCCATAACAGAGCGATGCCTCCAAATCAAGCACAAGCCTCCAGCTTCGTCTGGGTGCGCTCCATCTCGAGCGGCATGGCTCGCCCCGCCTTGACTTCCAAACGCACACGCCCGAAACCGTGGCGGATGGCCGCTCCGCCCCGGTTGATCCACGTGGCAGCACGTGGCATGCACCGCCACGCGCCATGCGTCCACAGAACACGCGGCGCCACCGCGCTCCGGCACAGAACAGACCGATCCGCCCCTTCTGCGATATCGCTCGTCCGTCCGTTCTTTCTCGTCTCCTTTGGTCGCTCTCCTCGGCTTCAGGTCCGTTCTGCCAACGCCGAACGCCGTCCCTCTGCTCCCTCCTCTGCTCCAGCGCCAGCCGGCTAGTCAGCCGCAAGTCTCTGAGCATGCCTGATCAGCTGCCTCCCCTCGCCTCATTCGAGCCCGTTCGCTCGACGGTCATCAGCGTCCCGAGCGACAAAGATGTCCCGGACGTTCCTTTTGCAGCGCCCCCTGTGCTCGAGCTCGCGAACGGCCCGTCGCATACGGTGCAGTTTACTTCGAGCCAGTACTCCCAGGCAACGCCCTCGGCCTGTACAATCCTGGCAACCGAGGCTGCCTTGCGGATTCTCTACATGACCGAAACCGTCAGCAAGGCCGAGCTCCCTGATCGAGTCGACTCGAGCTGGGGCGACAGCGTCATTGCCGCCGCCTCCCGGTATACTTCCTCGACCCATCTCGACTTTGAGACGCTTCACGAAAAGGTACAGCGCTACCGCCGCAACCTGGTTGTCGAGAAAATGATCCAGTGTCCCGTCACCAACCTCCGGGCGGAGCTCCAGACAATCCTCAGCCAGCACAACAACTCGACCTCCCGCAGCCGACCCCTGGCCTTCGTCATCACCAAGCCTCCCGAAACCATCTCGGCCGTGTTCGTGCCTGTTCCCTACTACCGCCCCGCGGGCAACGCCCGTCGAAAGCGAGACAAGGGCAAGAAGCGCGCTGTCATCGACTCCAAGCCAGCTCCGCCTCTTAGAACAACCTCTATCACCTACGACCGCAAGTTTGCCCTCTTTGACTCGCATCCCCGCCCTCCTCTGCTGCAGTCAAGCTACGTTCAATTCGATCAAAGTTTCGACGCCTTCACAAATGCTCTCGAGCGATTGTTCACCCCAGTCGAAAGCATCGCGGGTCTGACGGCCTACGAGCGGCATCAGCTCGAGCTCATGAGCATCGCCCAGGTCAACGTTATGCATCTGTCGCCCGAGGCCCATGATGCCATTCAAAGAGGGGTCTTCCACTTTGATGCCAACACCGACGCCTCGCTCATCAACGACATTGAGAGCCTTAGCCGATGGGGATAAGTGTGCCAGCCTCGCTCTGGCACGGCTTCCAGGGCCCGATGGCTTTGCCGCCAGCTGCACCAGCATTGTTCGGGCATGCTCCGAGGATATGAGCCTGGGTCCTCCATCTGTTGCTTTGATGCTTTGATGCTTTGATGCTTTGATGCTTGCTTGAATTCCATCCCTTGTGAATCGACCTCCTCAGCTGTCCCTGTGATTGCTGCTCGGATCCTCATTCTTTTTATCGTTTTGTCGTTGTTGTAACTCGAATCCGCTCTGCTTACTTGGCTTTGCTCCTTGAACACATCCTGCTGTCGACTTTGCCGTGTCCATGGGCCATCTAGAATGAATAAATGCAGCGCAGCTATCTTTGCCATGTCTCTGCGGCGGCGACGGCGGTAGTGGTAGTGGTAGTGGTGGTGGTGGTGGCTGTTCAGAGGAAGACATGGCCCAGAGGCCGGTTGAATTGGATGCCAGGCCGCGGGTGCACCAGACAGTAATATTGATCATTTGTCTTGCCTTCAGGGAGAAAATTGACGATGGGTGCCCGCAGACTCGAGTCCGCCTCGACCAGGACCTGACATCCTGTCTCGCATCCGCGATCGGACATCAGGCATTCGAGATCCAGAATGCGCTCCGAGCGCCGACTGGTCAACAGAAAGGGACATGATGTCCCGCAGGAGCCGATGCGTGTGCCGATGATGGCCTCGAGTTCCTGACCCCTGCATGCTCTTGGCTGTTTGGTGTTGGATCAGACGAAGCGTGTGCTTCTGCCTCGCGTGCTTTTGGGGAGGCTGTGTCGGAGAGGGGAGTTGCAACCTTCGTCCCGCAATTCCGTGCTCCCCTGGTGCCTGTGCACCCGTGGGGTGATGTTTGGATATCGCATGCATTCGCTGCCTCTGCTGCTCCAGGCACGCAGACGCTATGCTGGGCTGCTCACTCCCTCTCCCCTTGCGCTCCGCCTCCTCGCTGCCCATCTCCTGCGCGGGCTGCTGGTCCGGCTCCCATCCGCGGGCAAAACTCAATGCGGCCATCGACGAGATCTTGCGCCAAGTCGCCGTCATCGTTAGCCTGTCCTTGCACCGGCCCTTGCGTCGAGTCGCCGCTCTTTGACGGTTGTCCTTTCCCATCCGACAAAGGCCAGGAAATCCTCCCCGCCCAGCCGCCCGCCTCACGCACGAACAAGCCTGGCGATGGAGGACCGTTTTGTCGCATGGCAACAGGGCCAGAGCCACTCGGGCCTATACACACGGATTGCTGGGAGCAGATGCCCCCGCCGAGGCCGCGACCACCGCCGCGCTATCGCGGCGCTGTGGATCGCCAGCGCATGGACGAGCTCCTCCCCGACCTCCACGGACACAAGTGGGGGTGATGGGTGGAATCGGAGCAGCGGGTCCGTGGATCCGCACGTCCTGGCGTGCAAGCGACGAGCCGCAGCGGCAAACGGCCGGGGCCGCTGCTCGTTGGGCCGATCGCAGATCCGGACGAGACGTGCTTGCATGCGACCTGGTGCCCAGGCCCTGCCATGGAGATTGCTCGCTCGTCTGGCAAATCGTTTGCTCGCGCCGCCCATCATGCTCGCCCATCGCGCTCGTCCTCCAAACGGCGAGCGAGCTCATGGGGCCGAGGAGCTCATGTCGGGCGGCGTTGGCTTGGGCGACGCGACGACGATCGCGACACAAGGGATGCACCAACGTGACGTCTGTGCAGCTGCGCCACAGTGGCCGCCTGTGTCTGTGTGGCGGTCTGTGCTGCGGGCTCACTTGCTATTTCTTTGCCAACTCCCTTGCCAAATCCCTTGCCAACTCCCTTGCTAACTCCCTTGTTAGCTGCTGTGTTAGCTCCTGTGTTAGCACTTGCTGATGCGCTTGTTCCCGCCCATGCTGCTGTGCGCGTCCTTTGTGCCAGTGTGCTTTTGCAGCCGTCCTCCCACTCGCCCACTCCCCACAAGGCCCCCCCTCCACGTTCGCCCGTGCGCGTGCATTCGTCTCCCGGCCAACTGCCATTGGGCAACCTCAGCACGCGCCCTCGGTCCTCAGGCCAGCCGCCCTGGTGCCGTCCAACGCCCAGCGTGCTCGGGCATGCCCGGCGTCTGCAAGCCTCTTATAAGCTTCTTCCCCCGCCAGAGCTGGGTCCTGTTGCGATCGACCCTGAAGGCTCCCTCAGCATGCTCTCTTCGATCAAGCTGGTCCTGCTCCTGCTGGTCTTGCAGCTGGGCATTCGCCCACTCCAGGCCCAGTCCACGGATTCGACCTCTGCCAGTAAGTTCCCGCACTTCATGATCCCGGTTTGTGGGGTCGCCCAGTCCCACGCGACCAAGGCATTGGCTCACCCGGGTGGATTGATCCTGATCATCCTCCACCACCACCACCACCACTGTCCAGGCACCATCAACGTCATCGGCGGCGGCGCTTCGTTCCCATCGTCCCTGTATATGACTCTGGCTGCCGAGTACTCCAACCAGAGCAACATCTTCGTCAGCTACACCGCCAACAACTCGGGATGGGGTCGCCAGGCACTCTCGCAGTTTGGAAAGTACACCTTTGCGGGCTCCGACAATCTCGTCAACCCCATGATCTTCAACACACCCGGCTTGGCTCCAGTTCAGCTGCTGCCAATCCCGTCGACCGTCGGGTATGTGGTCTCTGGAGCGTCTTGGTATTGCTGTGCAGATTCCGGGTGCTGCCGCGCAGGGCGTTGGCCCTGCAACTTGCCAGCGATCATGTTCCTCACCGCCGCTGCACTCCTCCCGGACACAGCGGAATTTGCATCGTCCTCAACATCGGCCGCGACTCCACCACGGCCACCAACCAGCCCCTCCTTCTCACTCGCCAAAACATCCTCGACATCTTCACCTTCAACGTCACGGCCTGGAACGACCGCTCCTTGACCCAGAACAATCCCTTCCTCGCCACCATCAACCAGAACATCCAGATTGTTGTTCGTAGTGGCAGCTCTGGCACAACTTCCAACTTTATCAAGGGCCTCAACAGCTTTTCCGGAAAGACCGGAACCGCTGCTGCCCTCTCTGACAGCGGCATCTGGCCTGTGCAGGCCCCGGTCGGCCGCGCCATCTATCAGGCCGGCACCAACGCCAACATCGGAACGGTGGTCGGAAGTGTGCCCTACACCATCTCGTACATGGACTATGCCGATGCCATCCAGAATCCGTCCGTCACCAACTTCGAAATGGCCTCTGTGCAGAACAAGAAGAGCTTGAACTTTATCAAGCCGGCCCCGCAGCAGTTCCAGGTAACGGCCGCGCAACTGCGACTCTGTGTCGATCGACTGTGACCCGCGCCTGGCTCTGCGGATATGTCCTCCGCGATGCTTTGATGTATATGTATATGCATGATCCTCACACTCCTTGCAATGCACTGGTAAACCCTCTCCCGCCAGGCCGCCGCCAGCCAGCTCATGATCAACTCCAGCATCGATTTGACCACCGATGCCCTGGCAGCCGTCATCAACTCCCAGCTCATCGACACCGATGCGACTGCCGATGCCTATCCGCTCATGGCTGCCACCTACTACCTCGTCCGAAACGACACCTCTCCAAATTTCCCACAGATCACCGAGACTCAGATGCGCGAGACCCTGCGTTTCCTGTGGTGGACGCTCTTCAACGGCACCGAGGCCGGCGCCGTTCCCAACCCCACTTACCTCAACGCCTCTCTGGCCCATAGCCTGGACAACTTTGCCATGCTGCCCTTTGCCATCCGCAACTTTTCGTACAGCGTTATGCGGCAGACCAAATTCCAGGGCAACCTCCTCTTCCAGAGCAACTCGGTGTGCAACCCCAGCTTTGGCCCGGACGGCTCCTATCTGGCTCCAAACTCGTGCAAGAACGGCGGCTCCTGTCTGGTCGATGGCCCGTTCCAGACCTCGGACAACGTCTGCATCTGCACCGTCGGCTACTTCAACCAGAACAAGAACGACTGCTCCGAGCCTGCCGGCTTGCTGGTCTACTGCCCTCAACTCCCCATACGGCCTCAACTACATCCTGCTTGCCCTGATGTGCCTCGGCGTCGTGATCATTGGCATCATTTTCTTCCTGCTGCTCCTCAACCGCGATCATCCTTACGTCCGTGCCCTGGCACCGTCGTGCTGCTACTTTGTCCTGGTCGGCTGCTGTAAGTTATCTACTTCGAGAGCACACTGCTTTTCTTCCGGCCTCGTGCCATACCGCTCATCCCAACAACACCACTAACGGCCGCCGCTCTCAATCTTTTGCACAACAGTGGTTGGTATTTTTGCAGGATATGTCTACAACGTCATTCCCATCGACGGCAACTGCAGATTCCGCCTTGTCCTTCCTCCCATCGCCTTTACGATGATCTTTGGGTGCGTAGAGCCTCTGCTTGTTCTGGCGACTGTACTGTCGATGGCTTGCAGCTGTCGGCCATGCCCGATCGGCCAGTCTGCTTGTTCTAAATCGTTGCTTCCATGGGAGGGGGGGGGCGCCAGGCCCCGCTGCATCACTCTGTCTGTATCTAACCCTATCCTGCACTGCTCCCCGTCTCCACAGCATGACCATGCTCAAGGCTTACCGCATCTACCTGATTTTTGGCTACACCCGCGCGTCAAGAACGTCCGTCATCCCCAACTTCAGGCTTATTCTGTACACCCTGGTCATGACCGCCATCACGGCCGTCCTGTGTCTGGCCTGGATCCTCGTGTCCCAGCCCGTGGCCACCACGACTCGAATCGGCTCGCAGGTGATTTCGACCTGCGTCCCGACCAACTACCTGGCCGACCAGATCTTCCAGGGCGTCCTGTTTGTCTACAACGGCATTATCCTCGTGGTGTGCTTGATTCTGGCCATTGCCACGCGCGGCGCCCACGCTCGCTTCCAAGAGTCCAAGTCCATCTCCCTGTGCGTCTACTCGGTCACCATCACCCTGATCGTCGGCCTTCCCATTGTGTATCTGCTCCCTCTGGGATCCAGCGCTCTGCTCTTCACCATCGCCTCCTTTGTCCGCTCCCTCATCTTGATTATCCTCTCGACGGCTGTGGCCATCTTCCTGTACGGCCCTCGACTGGCCCACATTTTTGGACACGCCACCGACGACGAACTCAAGCGTGTCGAGAACTTTAGCGATACTTCTGGCGACGACGTCACCGACCTCGAGAGCCCCGGCATGCGGTCGTGGTCGGTCCAGGCCATGACCTACGATGTCGGTGTCCAGGGCATGAAGGTCGGCTCTGCCTGGACCTCCGTCTCGCTCCTGCTCCTGCCGGAGATGGACCTGGTCGTCTTCCTCGAGTCGCTTGACAGCGCCAAGACCCTCGCCTCGGCCAAGGTCTCGGCCGTCACCATCGAGACCATCGAAGCGCACATGAACGAGCCCAGCAAGCGCATCGAGCTTCGTGCCTCGCACTGGAGACACCCCTTCAAGATCGAGTTTGTCTCGGTCGAGCGCCGCGAGTCGTTTGTCTCGCTCTTCCAGTTGGTCAAGAACCGGTCCCAAACCACCAGCACGGCCGTGACTGACAACGTTGCTGCCTTTATCGACAACCGCCGCGCCCAGGTCCAGGGTCTCCGAAAGGCTCTGGCTGGGCCCTACAATGCCCAGCGAAAGGGGTCCGTCACCGACATGAGCTCTGGATCTCAGAGAAAGGGCTCCATCACCGAGACCGGCTATGTTTCTCCGCGCAAGGGATCTGTCACAGACTCCAGCTCCAAGGGATACTCGCCTTCCTTGCGGCCCATCGACAGCAGCAGCAACTATGGCGGCCAAAGCACTCCACTCAGCCGTGGCGATCCAACTATTTCGTCCTTTGCAAGCCAAAACTCTTCGTACAGCGGCAGAGCCCACGATGGCGTCTTTGAGCTCAAGCCGTGAGATCCCGCGCCACCTGAAAGCCTCAAGCGATCGACAGCGTGACGAAGCCGACTGATGTTGAGATGGGAAAGCTCGAGGCCCATGCCAGTGTAGTAACCTATCCCTCAGTCTCCTTCTTCGTCCGCCTGCTCCTCCATATCCCTGCCCGCGGATACCGCGTGCCTTCCTCTGCCAACACCCTGTTTATTTGCCTTGCGTTTGCATTTGCGTGTAGCCGTTGCTGTCACCGGGGCTGAGACGTCTCTCTCGCCTCCCGCCTGCACTGATCCGTTCATGTACTCTTTAGCCCTATTCTCCTGTCTTTCAAAAAGTAGTCGCCAAGTTTCTTTCTTTCCATCTTGAGATTCTGCAGTTTGCTCTTGCATCTCCGCTCGCTCTCCCTCCCCTCCCCATCCATCCATCCTGTCCTCCCATCCGATTCCACTGCTGGCCCATGTGTATGTGCGTATTTTCGTGTCTTGTCTTCGAGGTATTGATAAAAATATTGCTTGTTTTTTTGTTTGGATTCTGTTTGATCATCCCGTTTTGTCTTTGTTTATTGTTGCTTTTTTGTTCTTGCATTTGATGTCGTATCCTCACCTATCCCCTAATCAGTATCACCCATAGTTCATATCCGAGGGAGACGACGGCTTGTTGGTCCAATGGGGTCCCATTGAGATATCGCATCGCTGCGATTGCCATCAGCCGTCGTTGGCAAAGCCCATCTTGAGAAGCAGTCTTTTGAGCACAGACCGGGTGACTGTGTTTATTCACATCAACTACCACTGCCTGTTGTTGGTTTGGGGAGCGGCTTACTGATATGCAATAGACATCAGACATATCCATGTATGGCGTGATTTCTCGGTGTCGTATTCTGACGAGCAGCCAGATACTCCGTCTGTCAGTGAACGAGCCATGAGGCTGTACTGCACCCTTTCCCCCCAGGTTGTTTCCGAGTGAATCTTTCACGATGACGTTGTTCGGTCGATCTCTGAAATATACAGACCGGGTTTGATAACACTGTTTTGAGATTGATCGATGGCCGACAGCTTGTCGAGCATCGCAAAGACGGTGGTGTCCCGTTTGACCGATCCACCCATTCCGCCCAGTCCACCCATTCCGCCCAGTCCACCCAACCCGCCCAGGCCGCCCAGCCCCGGCTTAGAAACACTGTTGCGCTTGACCTTGACGTCGGCAAAGTTGCCAAAGAACATCTGGGCCGTTTCTTTGGAGCCAAACTCGAGTGTGTACACCATCTTGTTGCGTCGGAGCCGGACGCTGCGAGCCAGGGCCTTCTCCGAGTCCGAGTTCTCTGCCAGTTGACAAGGCTCGCACTCACACGACGAGAAGCGGAAGCTCGCCTGGATGGTTCCGTCCGCATCGGCCTCTCGAAACTCGATCAGGTCCAAGGTCGTGAACACCAGCACGTTCGAAGACACCCAGGCACCGCCAAACTTGAGCCCCTGCAGACTGCAGTCGTATGCATAGGCGAGGACGTTGGCTGCCGCCATGCCCTGGCTTGTAATTGCAGAACGATTGTTGTCGGTTGGTACTGAGCTCGGAGAAGACCTGGAAGCCTCGCTTCGTTCGTTGCGGAAGGTTTGGACGAGTCTCACCCCAAAGAGGATGATCGGAACCAGGGACGAAATCACCACGATGAGGCATCCAAGCATCACTCGGCCGACCACGAACAGAGCTTGAGAGTCGACACTGCCAGACAGAACATAGATGATCGGCAAACACAGCAGGAGCGTCATGAAGACCATGTAGATGCAGATGCCGATGACCTTGGACTCTTGGAAGCGCTGATGGGCCTCTCGGGTCAGGAACGCAAAAGCAACGCACCCGATCATGACGAGCCCGTTAATGACGTAGAGCAGGATCTCGGGTGCAACGGTGGAGCCCGAAGTGGCCGAACACACCAAGGAATAGGATGTGCCTATGATCTGAGCCGTGGAATTCTCACTCGCAACCCAAGGCAATGCATATGATGATCTCGATGGCCACGATAATCGCTGTGCCGAGGATGAGTTTCCAGTCTGGGGTCTTGAAGACACGCATGCGCTTGTTGCCGAAGATCATGTATATGCGCAAGGACTTCATCAGCAGCATGCTGGTTGAGAGATTGAATGTGGTATGAGTGCGAGCGCAGCTGAGATTCAGTACGGGTGTCCTCATCCAGCAGACACAATGGATCAACTCGCTGTAGTAAATCGATGCAATGAACAGCGTCGATACAGTTGAACACCATCGCTCCAGAGAAGCAGTGCCGATGCAGTTGAATAGTGCCGATACAGTTGAATAGTGCCGATAGCAGATGATCTCCACATCGTGCCAAGTGCCGTTGCTGGCAAGCTGAAAACCAATCTCACCTGAATACGGAGGAGAATGCCACGACCGGGAAGAACACCCGGCTGGAGCACACAACGCTGCTTGGTTGAGCCGAATAGAAGAGGGCGCCGAGCTGGCCGATAACTGAAGAGCACATGCAAAGTCAGTCGTCGCGCAGCTCGAGTCTCGTCTACAGACAAATCCACGAAACTTCCACAACCTGCATCAGAATCGATGGCAGCTGTTCACGGCGCACCGACTCCTAAAGGACTCTCCAGACCAGACTTGCATCCGAGCACTCACTTGATCCAACCATGATGATGTAGCAGCAGTTGGGCGAGATGGCCTTGATGTTGGCCTTGTTTCTCCACAGCACCAGCAGGGCAAAGATGCCGAGATTGATGACTCCAGTGACGACAAGCAGAACCAAGATAACAATGTTGTTGTTGTTGACCCCAGCAAGCAGGAGCATAAACGGCGAGGCTGGCTCAGAGCAATCCAGTCTTTGGTTGTTGTAGTACCCGACGTCGCAGACGCACTGGGTCACGAACGAGTCCTGGAAGGGTCCGTCGACGATGCAATATCCGTTCTTGCACGAATTGGCGCTGATGTAGGTCCCGTTGGCATCAAAATACGGATTACAGGGCGACGCAGGATCGTAGAGAGCCTTTCCATTGTGTGTGACGAGTTTGAGGGCATCAAATGCAAACTGGCGGATGCGGGCGTCGCCAAAGTGAACAAAGTTGTTCTGAGAGAAATATGTGCTGGTGGAGGGCGATGACGTTGATCTTGTGGAGGGTTGCTGTTGGAGCCGAGAGCAGAATGTGGATATCGGAGGGGCGATCGCCGCGTGGGAGAGAGTTGGTTCAGTAAAGCGATCAGCCAACGATAGGACATGCCAACAGAGTGTGGACCTGGGCCGTGCAGGCATCGAGAAGCATCAAAGTGCGCACAAGAAAGCAGTGATAGGGAAGTTGGAGGGGCAGCCAGATCAGCAGGCAAAGGGATTGTGATGACAGGGCAACATGATTGACTTGTCGCGATCAGCATGGGAGCAACTGCCCCAGAAATCGAGCCACAAAATTGGCGAGCCAGCGCACAATTCCAGCAGCAGTTGCACATGGGGAGTGCCATCAGACTGGACCCTTACCGCCTCGGTGCCGCCAAAGCCCATCCAAAACAGGAAACGCAATGTGGCTCGCATCTGTGGCTCGGTGATGTTGTAGAGCTGGGAGTCTTGCCGAAGGAACATGTACGTCGGGGCCATCAGCGGATAGGCGCCTGGCGTAGCCGAATCGATGTAAGTTGCCTGGAGGATGCTGCTGATGTTGTTTGTGAAATGAGAGACGGCCGAGATGTTGGCGGTGCTTGGGGTTGAAATGGCCACCTGTGCAGAGATGCGAGTGTCAAATGCACATCGGACGAGGCTGGGCTTCAGTCGACGCAGGAGGTACGATCGCCATTGCTCCATATCCCTGTATGATCGCTATAGCCCGTCTTCTGGAACAAATGCACCAGGTGCTTACATTCAGACTCGCAATCGAAGGCGCCACGGTGTCACCGTTTCGGTTGATGATGCTGGCAATAGAATACAGACTCTGGCCCGGTGCGAGCGATGCCAGTGTATTGTAGCCATCGGCATAGTCGACATATCCGATCGTGTACGGAGCAACCTGGATGGCGTCCGAGAGTATGGTGTTCGATGCGGCGTAGAACGGCGGGTTGGCGATGCCCCAGGAGGCAATCGGGTACACTTGTGGAGATGGAAGTCGCAGAGTGGGGTCGAATGAGTTCAGTGCGTACTGGAAGTTGGACGTTGTTCCAGACAAGCCGCTCCGCACAATCGTCTGGATCGGGGCGCTGATGGTCAAGAGTGCTGGGTTGTTCTGGGCGAGTCTGGGGTCGTTCCAGAAGGCGATCTTGCCAGTGAAGATGTCGGCAACGTTCTGTCGGGTCAGTGTGAGATTGGTGATGTTGAGATGGTAGACGATGGCAATGCCGCTGTGGGAATGGAGGATACGGAGCGGATGGGTCAGGATATGCGATCACGACGAAGGGCGACCGGATGCTCTGGCCGCAGAGGCATCATGGCCCACGACACTTGCCTGATGACCGATGGAACAGGTATGAACTGGCCAGCGGTGTTGCCCGGTCCGACATAGGTGGTGTTGGACGGAACGACATCGGATCCGGCCCAGGTCAGGTTCGGGGCGCCCGCTGCAAGAGAGGTCCGGCCAGCACCAGAACTGGTACCAGTGTATGCATAGTCCCAGTTGACATCGTAAGCCGAGTAGACGGCGGCAAGGGTAGTGTAGAGCGACGCTGGGAATGTCGCCCCGACTCCTTGGATTACAGGTTGAGTTTGGGACATGGCGCCTATGTCGTTCGGAGGCCGTAGAACGAGTTAATACACGGGCGATGAACCGCACCATCCGCACTGCCAAGAATGCCTCTGCTGCCCGCACCCGGTACAATCAGAGACCCAACCTGGCACGAGGAACCACATCAGCACCGCTCCAAAGGCGGTCGCAGCCGCGATGTTGCGAGGCTGCTTTCGCGTGTTCATCTTGGCAGACTTGCTCCAGATGGTCCCGCCGGCGTGCGAAAAGTCAGAGAGAGAACGGGCAGGCCAAAGCATCCGCCGTCGCTCGGCGATATTTGAGAGCGGCATAGCCTTCCCTCCCCCAGCATAGGTCGGCTGCAGGAAGCACGTTCCGGACTCGAGTTTGATTCTGGCTGGTCTCCAGCGACGTCATTCATGATCTGGAAGCCTTGCCGATCACAGAATGCACGAGCTCGATGGCATCCGAGCCAACTGCCGACTGGCCAGGGCCAGCCCCCGCTCAGATCGACGGTCATGATCGGCGCTGCCAACGACGGTCTTGTTGTCGACAACCGGCTGTGGTCGCTGGCAGGTCGTCCGCCAGCCAATCACTCTATCTGGAAGAGCAAAGGACGAAGCGCAATCGAAATCATGGCTGTTCCCCCGCACCGACGGTGGTCCCTCTTTCCTCTGGATCCCAGCCGCCGGACGGTGCAGCCCTTCAGCGGATCAATCACCGCCTCGATCGTGGATGCATCGCCAGTCTCATGTCCTCGCCAGTGTCACTTCGTCGCCGCTGCCTCCGTTGCTCGCCCCACGCAGCATATCCGGGCTCTTGTCGATGTCCCAGGCCAGCACCATCGGCTGCAGCACCAGCAATCCCACCACGCGCCGGTGGCTATCGCCAGGGTGCTCCTTGGTGCTTGGCTGCACGTTTCTGGCCGCCGCACTTCTTTTGGCCAATGCCCAGCCCAATAACTGTGTTCACCAGCGCCTCGCTATCAGGCATGGCCAGGCGAGAGTGTACCCGCAGACAAGCGGTTCGCCCGGGTGCCAACCTGGCTGGTCGGGGCCCCAGCGAAGGCTAAAAACCCCGTTGCTGCCGGCTCCTCCAGCAGCCTTCGCCAGCTCGACGCAGCAGCCCGGCCCTTTCCTGTGAGTATGCCACCGAGGAGAATGAGTTGGCCGGCTTGATCACCTCGGTTTAATCCGTTGGCCTCACATCTCTGTCGCCAACAGTCCTTGATCGAGTGTGTCCCAGCACCGGTATTCCCACTTTCACTATGGATCCAGACGCAATCGCCTCCCCCGTCGTCGTCCGTCCGGCGCACTTGTCGACGTACTCCGAGACCCAGACAACGGTCACTATCCAGCCCAAGCCCCCAAACGCCCGCGAGCTCTTCAGACAAAGGCCCAAGCCCTCCAACATCCTCAAAGAGCTCGAGCTCGAGTATACCGACGAGGACCATGCGATGGCCCACGGTCTCTACAGAAGGACCCTGCGTCGGAGCCACTCGATGGTAAGGCTGCTTGCGCTCCAGCTGCGAGGATCGCTCGGTTTGTGCATCCACATTGAGCTGAGTCGAGCCGAGTCCAAGCGAGCCGGTCTGGGAGACAGCGATCTCGCACATCGGCGGCGTAGACTTGCTTCGGCATCCAACCTGCCGAGGCCGCGAGTCCCTCGAGTCTGTCATAACGCCCTGCTCTTCTCGGCTTGTTTCCCAAAAGTCCTTTGCGCTGGTGGCTGGAGCCAAGTCCTCTTCGTCGGAATACCCCGATCTGTGCATGAGGAGACGGCGAGGCTCCTTTGACGACAAGGCCCCTGGCAAGCCGCGCAAGTTCCTTCTGGATGTCGAGGAGACACAGAGTAAGGGCCGTTTGCCATGGCGCTGTTGCTTGCGTGCGTGGTCGATCTGTGTCGATATGACTTGTTCGCATTGCGGTAGTGGAGATCAGCTTGGCGATGGGGCTGTCGGTGGCGGGTTGCGCTGCGCTGCACACAGTGCGCTATCTAACACAGGAACTACCACCAGGGCTTCTCTTGGAGCAGGAAGACACCGATCGAGACTATCAGATCACCATCCACGATTCGGGCCCAAAGACCTTCCCTGTCGGAACCGCCAACTCGGGCGGTTTCAAAAAGTACGAGATTCGCGGCACGTACATGCTGTCGAACCTGCTCCAGGAGCTGGCTATCGCGGCCGACTACGGGCGCAAGTTCGTCATTATTGACGAAGACCGCCTGAGCGAGAACCCTGTCGATCGCCTCACTCGCCTGATCAAGTACCACTTCTGGGACGGCCTTACGCGAAGAATCGATGCCGACGGTGAGTTGCAGGCGCCATTGCGGCAGCGGCTTTCAATCTTGGCCGATCAGCATCCGTCATTGATGCTGCTCCTTGTATCCGCCGCCTTGCTCACTTACTCCTTCGCGCGATGTGCACAGGACTCGAAACAATCTGCGCCGACCCAAAGAACCGCAGCAGGGACAGAAGAAACCGAATCTTTGTGCCCTATCACGACGATCTTGCGCTGTATTACTACACCAAGGTCTCCAAGGACAGGCCCCATCTCCAGCTCGACGTTGTTCGTCTGCCTGAGATCATCACCCCCGAGTATGTCAAGACCCTGAACAACCACCCGGGCATCCTTTCCCTGGCCTTGCGCCAGACCTTCGATCCTCGGACCAAGACCGCCACGATCCGCGGGACCCCCTTTGTCGTGCCCGGCGGCCGCTTCAACGAGATGTACGGATGGGACAGCTACTTTGAGGCTCTTGGTCTCTTGGTCGACGGGCGCACGGAGCTGGCCCGTGGCATGGTCGAGAACTTTTGCTACGAGATCGAGCACTATGGCAAGATCCTGAACGCCAACCGCTCCTATTATCTGACGCGATCACAGCCGCCGTTCCTGACCGACATGATTCTGACGGTTTACCAGTCGCTCAGAGTCAAGCCCGAGTGGGATGCTCTTCGACTGAAGGAGTGGCTGGGCAACGGTGTGCGTGCCGCCATCAAGGAGCTATTCAGCGTTTGGATGGCCCCGCCCCGCCTGGACGAGGAGACGGGGCTGGTGCGATACTACCCAGAGGGCATTGGCATGCCGCCCGAGACCGAGAGCTCGCACTTTGACCACGTGCTCAAGCCCTTCATGGAAAAGTACGGTGGGGAGGATCTTGATGCCTTCAAGAAGATGTACAACTCGGGACAAGTCAAGGATCCTGTTCTCGACGAGTACTTCATCCACGACAGAGCCGGTATGTATATATATGGACGACGCGCGGATAAGTGGGTGTGGGTGTGGGGGCGAATGAGTGCATTGGCCGTGCTTTCCGGGATCCATGTCCTGATCGACATAGAGCGGGATAAGTCTATGCTGGCTCGCCGTGCTGGTAACTGATTGTGAAAGTGGATGCCACCTGCCAGTCCGAGAGAGTGGCCACGATACCACGTATCGCTTTGAGGGCAAGTGCGCCAGTCTTGCCACGGTGGACCTCAACAGCTTGATTTACAAGTACGAAGTCGATCTTGCCGAAATTATCGAGACCCACTTTGGCGGAAGGTAGGCAAGTGAGGACGGAGCAGCTGTGGCAATGGAGCCGGGTGTCGGGTTGGTCGGCAAGCAAGGGCCCTCTGCTCCCGTCCGCTTACTGCCAAGTAACCAGTCTTTGCAATTGCACAGCATTACCTTCCGCATCCGACGTGGTCCTGAGGACGCCTACCTCAACGGCCTCAAGGTCTGGATCATGCTTCTCAAGACCGACGGCGTCGAAGAGATGCTCGGAGGCGATGAGGGCAGTGGATGGAATACCCGCTGGGCCAAGGGCCTGATGGTCTATGACAAAGAACTTGACGACAAGCATGCGCGCGAGGAGCATCCCGACGACAAACGCAAGTCGACCGCCCACTCGTACCTCGAAGGACTCCAGCGCCATCCGATGCCGACCTTCAAGGCCGTCCGTGGATCAGAGTTTGTGGAAGTCACGGTGTCGGCGCAGCTCTTTGCACAGATGGCCAAACGCACCCAGCACCAGATCAACAAGTATCTGTGGAACTCGAGCAAGAAGATGTACTTTGACTGGGACTGCAAAGACCAGCAGCAGACCACCTACGAGAGCTGCACCACTTTCTGGGCGCTGTGGTCCGGCGTGGCGTCCCAGCACCAGGCCAAGGCGATGGTCCCCGTGGCCCTCGAGATCTTTGAGGCCGTCGGTGGGCTCGTGTCCGGTACGGAGGAGTCGCGTGGCAAAATAGGGCTCACCCGACCCAATCGTCAGTGGGACTTTCCCTTTGGTTGGGCTCCCCACCAAATCATGGCCTGGGTTGGTCTCCGAAAGTATGGCTTCATGCCCGAGGCCAGGAGAATCGCCTACCGCTGGCTGTATACGATCACCAAGAGCTTTGTCGACTTTAACGGCGTCGTGCCGGAGAAGTTTGACGTTGTCACGATGACCCACAAGGTCAATGTCGAGTACGGCAACGTCGGATCAGACTTCAAATACGTTGTCCGCGAGGGCTTTGGATGGATGAACGCAAGCTACCAGGTATCATCTACACACGCTCCGCCGCATGTCTGGCTGTGCCCGCCAACAGGCCGAGGGAGCGACTTGTTGAGGGACAGTGTCGTGAGATGCTGCTTTGATTTTGACTGCGTCTGCTTGTTCACAGATCGGACAAACATACCTTACCAAGAACATGAAGCGGGCCCTGGGCGCCTTGATCCCACCCGACGAGCTGTTCCTTCGATCTGGAGCAGACGTGAAATCCCAGTTGACTGCCTGTAGGTTCCAGCGAGCCACCTCGTTCGATCGAGTCGAGCCCGCTAGTGATGTTCATCGGCCCGGTCGAATAGGCCGTGCACGGTACTGGAAGACATGGACAACTAACGCGACTCTGTCATTTCTCTCCCAGGGGAGCGGCGTAACTCGTTTGAGGGCCTGAGCCGGGTCATCAGCGCCCATTCGCAGAAGGACTCGTCCAACAGCAACTGCAGCATCCAGTAGATGCTCGAACGGGTGCCAAGGCAATTAGACGAGACAAGAAGACGCTCTTGTTGCTGCATGAAACGTCGTGTATTGCCAGTGGCGCCGTTGGATTCACACAAACCCGGCGTCGGTAGAGTCTTTGTTTCGACGAAATTGATACAGGTTATTCAGCAAGAAAGGAACAGCGCCCATTTGCGTTGTTTCGCACCGCCTGATGTTGATACGGGGAGCACAGTCCCAAGACACAATAGACATTCGAGCCGTCTGGACAGCTCCGTACAACATCTGGCTTATCGGCGTCAGGATAGTCGACTCGAGCGAGCCGTTTGCCGTGTGTTCCGGGCCGGGATCTCTGGTCATGGTGGGCGATGTGCGAGTGTGTATTCGTGACCAGAAACAAGCGAAACCCCTGTCTCAAACCAGAGTGTCCAGTTTCATTGTGGGAAAGGCAACTCCAGCTACAGGCACGGGAGCCACCACGATGGTTCATTGGAGCGCACCGGCAGTGGCCGACTTGGACAGGTCGTGGATCCGTTCATATCATCGCCGTCAGTGGGGTGGGGATAACGTGTGTGTATTGAAGGTTCAGAAAACGAGAACCAACGGCCATCAATACAGCGTGTGTCGTTTCGGGACACACTCAGACGATGTATTGCCATCCACTGGCTGTGACAGCGAGCCTTCGGCAGTCAAGACGCATCACTTTAGCCAAAGTGGATGCTGCTTGCGCCGCCGGGAGCAGCCATAATCCTGTGGACAGCATATGAAAGAGCAAGTCAGTGGGGCTAGTTCGATCGGGTGAGCAGCACTTCACGGGCTGGAAGCACCAAGTATGGCCTGAGACGACAGACAAGCGCACGGCTCCGTGAGAAGCACGATACCTACCGACTGGAAGGACGAGTGTTGGCCTGCGACGTCTGGGCGTTACGGTCGCGGAAGTTGCCATGAGCAGGTTGGTGGGCGGGCTCGGCAGCAACAGGGGTAGAGTCGTCTCCAAAGGTAAACTGCGACTGGTTGGTGCGTCCGGTGTAGCGCGAGCGATTCACACGGGGAGCCACAGCCGGAGCGGCATCAAGAGATAAGGCGTTGGGATCACGACGACCGACCGGGTGGGCCGGGGCAGCCTCGGAGTCGGGGGAAAAGATGCCCGAGGTGGGTCCTCCAGGAACACCCAGCACGCGGGAAGAGGGGCGGGCACGGGGAAGGTTGAATGACGGATCCTGCAGCTTGGAGTTTGTGGTGGCAGGGACGGTCGGCAAGCTCTCGGGAGCCTCTGGGCCGCCAAAGGTGACTTGAGACTGGAAGCGGCGAGGGTCGATGGAGATCGAGGTGCGCACAGCCGGGGCAGGATCCGACGAGAAGATCGTCGAAGCCTGGCTGGGTCTGGCCACACGAGCCAGCCCCTCAGCGACGACATCGACAGCGGCAGCCTCGCGAGCAGGGGCGATCGGGAGAGTGGCAGAGACATCGGTGGCAGCGGTCGAGGCGTACTTCTGGGCCTCAAGCACACGGTCCTGGATCTGGACACCGAGGATCGGGAGCTTGGTCTCGGAAGAATTGGCACGGCAGAAGAGCGAGTCCGGCAGGATGCTGATCTGGCGCAGGACCGATGCCTGGTCCCAGTAGACTCGCTTGGACTCGATAAGGCCCTCGGAGTTGAAGCCAGCGATGGTTACCTGCGAGGAGTTCGACAGAGAGGCGGATGCAAGGACGCAAGTGCAGTGTCAGGAGGTGTGCTTGTGCTGGCACCGACAGCAACCACGGAGGACAAAATACGAGGGGCACATATACGGGCAGCGTTTGACTACAGTGTTTGATAGAGCTGCCGTGGATTGCATCAGGGCATGATGCAACCAAAAGCGACATGGGCAAAAGCCGGAAAGACGACCCCAACGACGGAGCAGGACTCGGCGCTGACAGTGCAAATGGCTCACCGTCGGAACAACGATTCTGCGGTTGGTGGGCTTGACATTGGGCAGGAGCCAGTCGATGGGCTCCTCGTGGACGACGGTCAAGATGCTCTCCTCGACAATCTGGTTCGATGCGATGGTGGTCGAGATCACCTGGAGGGCCAACGGCAGAGCCGAGACTGATCAGCAGCAGTTCCACGAAGACCCCCTCTCTCCGGCAGCGCCTCCTGCACACGATTGGCAAAGCCAGGCTGCGGGCAATGGTTTGCATGAGGCACGATCGGCCACCCGGGCAGTGTGGCAGGTACCTGCTCCTCGCGGATGGCAATGCTCTGCGCCGCCAGCTTCTTGAAGAACGGAAGCAGATCAGAGCCAGCGGGAACGCCGGTACCGGAAGCGACGTAGAGGATCTGAGCGTCCTTGGCGACAAACAGCTCCTGCAGAGAAATGGCCGAATTCTTCTTGATGACCAGCTTGTGAGCATCCCAGCGGGCGGCCAGTGAGTCTTGGAGGACAGTCATGATCGTTGAACGGACGAGGACAATGGCAAGCGGGGGGGGGGTGAGGCGGGCGATGGCGGGGATCGCTTGAGATGGAAGACAAGTGGGAAAGGCGCGGGGGCAGGGAGCGGCGCTTTTGAGGAAGGGCTGCGGCAGAGAGAGCAAGAGGATTGTTGCCCAGGGCGCGGACGAGGCCGTGTCGGGTGGGTAATGGAGTGATGGTGCGATGTTGGTGTTGATATTGATGGCGATGTTGATGCGATGTAATGTAATGTTGATGTGATGTAATGTAATGTTGATGATATGATTGCTCGGTGTGATCCTCCAGCGATGACATTGCGGAGAGTAGAATGCCAATGCCGCAACGGCATCAACTCCACTTTGGTTGTTACATCGACTCCACCTCCATATTCACATCAGCTCCCCACCATACCCGCCGCCTCCCCGGCACACCAATCCAGCCGCTCCCGCCAATGTTCGCCGGCCCCTGCAAAGTGGCGGCAAGGACGAGCTCGTCCAGTACTGAATCGGCTGCCATTGTTCCCCGAATCCCGCGCGGCCTCGCTCGATTTCACAATTGCAGCTGCCTGCTCGATCGACCTCAACCTCCCGGCGTCGCTCGATAGCACACTCTCGTCTGCGTTGAACCCAGGCTGATAGATGGGCTCCAGAAACTACTACGAACGCATGTCGGCGCTCTGGTCCGAATTCCACAGCTTCGAGCGGCGTGTCCTGCAAGCACACGAAGCTGCCCGTCGAGAGCGAAACGCCGCATTCGAAGACAAGTTACAAACAGAGGAGCGGCTGTTCAAGGCCCTGAAACAGAGGCGGTATGATATCGAGTTCAGCTGCTTGCGTAGCTCGTCGCTTCTCGACATCGATGCGGTATGTATGGCATCATTCGGGGTGGATGGTTGGCAAGTCCTCCCTCGATATGGACCCATGACACAGACACGTCCAATGGCAAAGAGTGCCAGTTCAAGCATCCTTCGAGTACCAGCAACTGACATGCGGAGAGGGGGGGGGACGCCTACACCAGTGCACCGATTCACTCTCTGTAGCCAGCAGCGACTGTCCGTGGGAGTTGTACCAGGACGAGGCAAGTGTGTCAGTCGCCACGGAGCAACACAACGTGTGGGAATGGCTGTGGCTGGACGTCTGGATGCCCCGGTATCAAAGAACGAACAGACGATCGTCTACGATCTGGTTGTCACAAGGGAGGAGCTGTTTGAGGCCAACAACCACGAGAGACCATACCCGATCTTGGCATGCTAACGCCCGGTCTGCATCTCTGGATCGGACGCCGTACTCCACTCCAGGACTCACCGACAGAGCTGGAGGCTTTCCAGCGATGGCGAAAGCTCCGTCGAGAGCGCCGTCGCCGTGCTGCCGAGCAACGCCGACTTCTGGAACGCTCCAGACCCTCGATCGCGGATGATGAACTCGGCGCCGGGCTTGCCGATGATACGCTCCCTTCCGCTGTAAGCCCAGTACGCATCGGCTCGATGGCGGACGGGAACATCAAGAGGCTGTGGGTGTCGGGCAACGCTGCCTCCAGCACCACCATTGTGGCCGAAGATGCATGAGACTCGCCCACCCAACTGTCTGTCCCATGCTGGTCCGCCCCATGTTTGTCTATATGCCCGAGCTAGTCTGACTGTTCACGCGAGAGGTCTCTCGCTGGGGCCAACGACTCTTTGGTTGGCACTTGGCTCTCCAAATATACACATACTCATGCCTGTTCGTCATGGGTGGCTTGTGTCCGACATGGCCATTGGAACCACCGGTCGCTTTCATATGGCATTCCAAGTTGCGATTCTCGATTGTCGTGCCAACACCCGCCGCCCCACAACTGAATTGCACTTGAACGCACATGCTGGGTGCATATCCAGGATCCGTGGGATCGGCCAGTGGCATCAAAGCTGGTGGTGGTTTCCGCGTTGCATTTTGTGAAGCCCAACCATTTTATTCAGAAATGTATATTGAGCCATTGCCACACAAACAGATACCAACGGAGTGCGTCCTACAAGATCGAAGCAGCAAGAACAGTCGGGTTAGTGCACTGCACGGGTGCCGATCCGTCCGAGTGCCCATCCATGCGCCATGCTCAGGGATAGAATGCTTTCTTCAAGAATCAGGTAATGTAGGTAAGAATTCGATCATCACAGCACAGCCTTGTCTGTGATGGGTGGCGGTGGCCGGGTGGAGCAGCCCGCTTACCAGATAGTTTCTAGAGAAGGTGTCAAAACAACGGTTGTTAGAATCGTGTGAGACACATGCGCATGCACCATCGCCAGAGCAGCCGAGCAAACAGCAAGGCTGTCGCGCTTCTACTTACAAGCCTTCTTCTTGGCGACACCGACGGTGCGGCCCTTGCGACCAGTGGTCTTGGTGTGCTGACCACGGACACGGACACCCCAGTAGTGACGGAGACCACGGTGGGCACGGATCTTCTTCAGACGCTCAAGATCCTCACGGATCTTGTTGTCGAGAACGTTGGCAACAACCTGGGTGTACTTGCCGTCCTTGACATCCTTCTGTCTGTTGAGGAACCACTCGGGGATCTTGTACTGGAGGGGGTTCTGCATGATGGTGACGATGCGCTCGAGTTCTTCGTTGGAGAGCTCACCAGCACTGGATGCCAGAAGAGAGATCCGATCAGCAGCCGATACGGGGGCTGGATTCAGCATGATGGAGGCGGGCGGCCGCAGACACCTACCGCTTGGTGAGGTCAACGTCAGCCTTCTTGCAGACAATGTTCGAGTAGCGACGACCAACACCACGGATGTGGGTCAGAGCGTACATGATCTTGCGGCGACCCTCAATGTTGGTGTTGAGGAGACGCAAGATGTGCTGGAACTGGTTCTTGTCTGGGACGACGATGGACTGTGCATCGGCGCACGCAATCCAGACAGTAAGAGAAAGTATCGTGGACCAACATTAGTATCCATGGAATGAGAAACCTGGGCAGATGGCCGCTGCCGACGGTCCGAATGGATGATGTGTCGATAATAGTTGTCCAGCAAAAGCGGGTCTGCCCATGAGAGACGCCCAAACGATCGAGCCGCCACAGTCGATGCTGCTGGGTTCGTGAAACGCAGGTGTCGAGCGTCTGTTGCGTTGTTGGAAGGTAGCGACACGGCCGGGCATTTCGTCGATTGCGGGGATCCGTCCTATCCATCGTAGCTGAGCATCCAATCCGGGTCGAGGTATCGTTCATCCATCCATCCATCCATCCATCCATCTATCCATCCATCCATCGATGCGTTCATCGGCAGAGGCGGTCGCATCCGGCTCGTGTTGGTGTGTCGTCCATGGACTACATACCATGTTGATAATGCTACAAAGTCCGTGTGGAAGAGGGCGATACACTGTGGCTGCCGCGGCCCAACATGTTTTGTCCTCGGCGGCTCTCGCGCACCGCACCACGTGATGTGGCGCAGACTGCCTAGCGCTCCCACGGCCTGGTACTTCTGCCAGCATATCTGCCAGCATATCTGCCAGCATATCTGCCAGCATATCTGTCTTCGTAGTTGCCAGAAGCCACCAGCCAGCAGCCAGAGGCTGGGACGGCGTGTCCTCCATACCGGTCGTCCTTAGCATTAGTCCTGAAACCGCACGGCAATAAGCGCCATCTCTGGTCAGCGCGGATCATACATCGGACACAGCGACATCGATCTGCGCGTCCGTCCGAGTTGGCACCAGTTTGCGCTCAGGAGAAACAGGACGGATTCGCTCCCATCCTATTTGCGTGGCGGTTGTCAGTTTGTGTTCAGTAGGTCATTTGAAATCGAAAGGATCACCTCGGCAATCCCCAAGTGAAGACCGCGGGTTGCCATCCGGTCTCCACAATCGCCCTGCACATACGATCGTATCGCGCGCCGCATCGTGGTCGATTCTGCGCTTCATGGCAACTGTGATATTGCAGCATCGTAGTGCAGCGATGCATGGGTGCATTTCGGACCCAGAATAGCGCCGTGCCTGGTTCAAAACAGGGTGTCACGCTTCGGTTTGGGTGTGATGTCAGCGGCGAGCGATTGGATATACAGCCAGCGATACGAGGGAGACACATTCATGAAGGCTGCATCGATGAGGACGGCATCGATGAGGGCAACATCCGCTGGCAAGCACCGGACTGGTTGTTGAGCGTCGAGCCGTGTGCGGCGCTGTCGGGCAAACAGCAAACAATCCCAGGGGGCTTTTTGGCTGCCGATCCGCCGCCAGCCATCGCCCGCTGCGCCCTTCCTCGCATCTGTCCGCCTGCTGTCGCCATGCCTGTCCCCAAGATCGCCCCCTCCATGCTCTCCAGCGACTTTGCCAACCTCGCTGGGGAGGCCAAGCGCATGGTCGAAGCCGGAGCCGACTATCTGCACATGGATGTCATGGATGGGTGAGTCGCAGCGGACATCTGTCCATCCAAGTCTGTCCCGCCACTCTGGCTCGTCCTGCGGGCTTGGGGTCTCGGCAGGACTCGGCAGGTCTCGCCGCCGTCGCTCTGCTCCGTATCCCAGGATCCCGCACGGCAAATCATCGGGTCAGCCGGCCGATCGTTAGCGACTTATCTGCCGCCCTTCGATCGATGCAGCCACTTTGTGCCCAACCTCACCCTCGGAGCCCCCATCATCAAGTGTCTGCGCAAGCACACGAACGCATTCCTGGGTATCTGTTTGTCGAGCTTGCCGCCGCCGCTCTGGTCCTGGGTCCTGGGTCCTGGGTCCGCCGTCTGCCATGCCTCAAATGGCATTCTCTAATCGCTCGCCCGTAACCTGCACTTACAGATTGCCATTTGATGGTCTCGAACCCTGAACAGGTAAGCATATCCTGCTCTATGCCGCCGCATCCTCGCCCTGAGAGCATTGTCTGCACCACCGGCATCACCGGCCCAAGTTACTGACGCTATCTGTTCTGCTGCAAGTGGGTCGATGACTACGCAAAGGCCGGTGCATCCATGTACACTTTCCATATCGAGGCCACAGGTGAGTGCCGAAGGCAAACGACGGAGCCGACAGTGACCAAATCGGTGAGGGCGCTGTCGCATGTCGAAGCGAAACAGCCGTCGATCCTGATCAAAGCACGGTGCTGTTGCAGCCAACGCTGCTGCCCTGATTGCCAAGGTGCGTGCCACCGGCATGAAGGTCGGTATTGCCGTTAAGCCCAAGACGGCAATCGAGTCGGTCTTTGACTACGCCAACGATGTCGACATGATTTTGATCATGACCGTCGGTAAGCAGCGGCTCCTTGACATACACGAGCGAGGGCCGCGCTGTATCCAGGGCATCATTGTCGATTGTTCGAGAGCATGACACTGTGAACCAGTGAATCTGGTTCCAGAGAAGCAGCATGGGCTTTCTGCAACACATGAGCTACTCAGCAGCGGTCTGGGCTGTGGCAAAAGTGAGATTGTTAAGCCCGCTCGCTTCCCCCTCGCCACCGGGTCGGAACAGAGCCTGGATTCGGCGGCCAGGCCTTCATGAACGACTGCCTCCCCAAGGTCCGCGCTCTGCGCCAAAAGTTCCCCAACCTCGACATCCAAGTCGATGGCGGTCTTGCCAACGACACCATCGAGCGGGCCACCGAGGCTGGCGCCAACGTCATCGTCGCCGGCACCTCGATCTTTAGTGCCCCATCGCCCAAGGATACCATCCAGCACTTCCGCGACTGTGTCCTGCGAAACGTCACCAACAAATAAAGGAGGTTTCATGCATCGGCGAAACGATGCCGAAAGACCAACCCCACAACGAGCTGGCGTGGGAGCGTGCCATGGTGGGCGTCGCATGAGCCGACCGGGTGCGGTCCGTTTGCCCTGGTCCTCCAGTGCTGGTCCTCCAGTGTTGGGCCTCGGTCGCTTGTGCAGTGCTCGCAGAACGAAATGATGCAATGGCCCTGGCAAGAACCAGATGCCTCTCGGTCGCGCCTCGCTGGACTTCTCGCCGTCATCTCGTTGAGAGAGGCTGTCGCTCTCTGTGCCTGTGTTCTCTCTCGGCGAGACGGGCCGAGAAGCCTGTTCAATGTCTCAGACGCGGATCTGCAGGGTGGCAGCCCGATCTGACTCTTCTCGCCGATCGCAGCAGCAGCAGCAAGCTTTCCCCCTCGAGGCCGCAGTATGGACAGCCAAGAACAGACCCAGGATCGTGCCGCCAAGCGCAAGGTCGACGAGATCGCCACCCCAAAGAAGCCTGCGAGCGAGTCTGTGGAGGTGAGCGGACACGACAGACCACCAGTGCTTGCGCTCTGCGCTTGCAGAACCCAGTGTCCGTCGTCTCAAGCCGGATTACATCTAGCTGCTGTCCAGCGGCCAGTGTCCATCCTGCGTCGACACTAACGGCGTCCCAAACTCCAGCAGGCACCCGCCGAGGCCAAGATCTCGCCGCCCCTCAAAAAGATTGCGATTGAACCCACCGACGGCGATGGCGAACAGGAAAATGGCCAGCAGGACACAGAGGTTTGTCCAAGGCACGCCATTTGATCTTCCCGCCTTGTGCATTTTGTCTTTGACTGGCTCTGCCAGCCGAGCATCCTGTTGCAGCTGTGTTCCTTCCCAGCGCTTGCCTGATCCCGCCCACAAGCCCGCACTGACCCTCCGATCTCGTCGCTGCCATCGGTAACCCGATCCGACGGCGTCGCTCTGCTGCCCCCCCCCGACTCCACCACCATGCTATCGTCAGATCGAGAGAACGAGCAAAGTCAAGAAGGAAAGCCCAAAGAAAGACAGCATCAAGACCGACAGCCCGAAAAAGGTCGCCTCGACCCTCTCACTATTCGGAGGGGGCTCGGGTGCCTCATGGGACGACTGGACAGATGATGCGCCAAAGAAGCCTGCAGTCACCACAGGCAGCGACAAGCCCGGTGCTCTGGCCGATCCAGGGCGCAAGCATCTACCAGCTAAATCGGTCGGAATTCCCGAGTCGCCGCTCGGTGCTCTGTCATCGCATTCGGGCACCGACAAATCGTCGCAGACCACGGGCGGGTCAACGTCGATCTTTGATGTGAGTCTCCCCCCCCTTCGATAGTCAAGCGCGGAGACGGCCATGCACGGGAGATAATCAAGCATGGAGATGGCCGCGCATAGATAGCCGCCGCCGGCCGATTGTCTCCCGACCACAGTGGTTTACTTTGCAGCCGCTAACGCCCCGAGATTGCTCCCTCCAGCGCTTGAAGAGTGCGACCTCCCTGGGCACGACCACATTCCGATCGTTCGCGGGACCGACCTTTGGCTCGTCCACCTCGTCGTACTCGGGACTATCATTTGGCTCCCAGGCCAACAAGGATGACCAGTCGTCGTTCAGCTCACTGCTTTCCAGCCAGCAAGAAGATTCGGCCGAGGCGGACGACGTAGAGGCCGAGGCTCCCATCGAGATTGCGCCAGTGGTCAGCCTCGAGCTGCAAGAAGGTATGCCGTCACTTTTGGATTGGTTCACACAGCAGCGGCCGGGCGTGGTTCGCCTGACTACCTGTACTAATCTGTCGAGGTTCTAGTTGTCACCGGAGAGGAAGACGAAAAGACACTCTTTCAGGTACATCCCTCGCAGATATTGACTTTTGGTTGAGTCCGAAGCACCGGTGGCGGGTTGCTCTGGAACAAAGCTCCCCACCACTGCCGGATTCCAGCATATTGACCGACAGCGCCCGCTATCTCGTGAATCGTCCAGACTCGCTGCAAGCTCTTCCACTGGAAAGACCAGAAGTGGTGCGAGCGAGGCACAGGCTCTCTGCGAGTCAATGCCAAGAGAGACAGCATTGCGCGATCCCGGTTAGGTATGTGTCGGCGAGTTGTTCTGCCAGCGACAACACCATGAAGCATTCCCTCTGGACTGCGGCGGAAGGGCATAGCTCGACCGCAGAGCACACACCTCGGCTGGCGAGCTCTGTTGTCACTCTCTCGGTATATTCGTGCCCTGATGTGTGTTTTTATTGGCCGCCAGTGATGAGAAGCGAGGGAGTTCTGCGATTGATCCTCAACACCGCCATCTACAACAAAATGCCCGTCGAGCAATACCAGGGGCGGTATGTGCGCTTTGCCGCATTTGAAACGGACGAGAGTGGCACCACCACTCTGACTCGATATCTGGTCAAGGTAAGACCGACAATCCGCTGCTGAGCGCCATCGACAGCGAGACGGCGGAGCAACGACTCTCTGAACATACGACGGCTGGTGTAGCTGCTGCACACCTCCGATTGCAGTATTTTAGAGGAAGTACACCACACCGGGACTGGAGTGCTGACAGCTCTATCGCCACCAGGTTGCCAACGACGACGCCGGCAAGGAGCTTGTAAAAGCGGTTGTGGCTGCCTCAGCTAAAGCAGCCAAAGCCGAGTAAGGCTCATACACTGCTGTACATACGCAGAGCTTTGGATGGGCCACTGTGCGGAATACACTGTACACTTGACACATGCGGGACACTATCCCTATCTCATATGCCAGCGTTGTAGGAGATGGCTCGCATCCAACCGAGCCCATATGCAACGAGATCGATCGCCTCGGCGGCCTCCGAGTGAAGCCTCCCAGCGGCAGACTCGGAGCTGCCCAGCATCGATGTTTTTGGCGGTCAAGCATCCGCCAGTGTGCCTTGTTGGCGCCTGTCACTTTGCCCGCCGTCATTTGCCCGCCTTTGGCAAGAACCACCTCTCTGCTCTCCCCAGCCGCCCGCTGCAACCTCGATCGGCTGGATCGACTGGAGGCCCGTGCTCTAATCGCCATGACCATGTCGACTCCCTCGTCGCTAGAGGGCGAGTTCGGTCTCGAGTTCAAGCGATCCTGTGCCGAGGCCGATGGCACACCGCCGACAATGTCGCTTGGCGAGGCGGTATCGCTGATCAGCCGATTTGCATTGCTCCACAACGTTTTCATCGGGCAGCAACACATGATGCAAATCCAGGCCCAGCTGCACAAGAATCCAGACATCTCTCTCACCGAGCATGAGGCCCTGGAGCTCTTCAGCACCCTCTGCACTCTGGCCGATCGAGATGATAGTCCGGCACTGGACGACAAGCCTGGGCACTCGCCAGCACCCGTTCCTCCATCGGATCCGCTACCAGGCCCGGAGCTGCTCGCGCTGGTTCCAGAGCCGATCGCTATGGGACCACGCCCATGGTCGTCCAAGTTGCCCAAGCGGAAATCCCTCATCAGGAAGATCAATGAGAGGCGAGCGGCCGAGCCCACGGCCGAGATCATTGATCAGTCATTCGTCCCCGCCAGCGGCCTGACCAAGGCCGAGGTCCCCAGCGAACCCAATATCCCGAGAGACGATGCGGACCGTGAGCTTCCCTTGCTTCAGATCGACAAGCTCGAACAAGAGCATGCGTCCAGAGAACATCCCTCAAGAGACCATGTGGTAAGACCGTCGCTTGTTCTGGCCAATATGCTATATCCTGGTATCGTGTCGATGGGCATCTGTAGTTGCTGATGCGACCTGGCTATGGCGCTTATCGAATGCACTCGTCTGACTCAACGTTACCCACTCATAACTCAGACCAAGGACGAGGAGATCCGCAATCTCAAGGCCCAGCTGCGGTCGCACCGGAAGCAGCTCGAGGAGAAGGACTATTTGATCAAGGCTCACGATCAACAGCTCGAGGCTCTCCTGCAAACCAACGGCGATCTTAGAGCCGAGGTGGCGACTGCCCGAAAAACGATTGCAGAGCTCAAGTCGAGCGAGTCCAAGCTGTCCGAGTACGTCCACAAGGTATGGGCCTTGAAGTCTGACATTCTCAGGTGCTTGCCAACCATTTCTCATGTCACTATTGACAACCATCGCACCCCTTTCGACTCTGCCGAGCAGCTCGAGAGCGACTTGGACGCTTCTGTGGGGCAAAAAAAGAAGCCATCACCGATCAAGCAGCGACTGGCCCTGCTCGAAGGTACCGGTGCAGCCCCTCAGTCACTTGCACTTATCCCTTAGTGGCCGACGACCTTTGGTACTGACAGATCCAGTTTCTCGCTCTGCCCGCAGATGAAAATCGTCAGCTCAAAAACACTCTTTCGGATCATCAAAGGGACTCGGCAGAAACAATATCCGCCAAGGAGGAGATTATATCGGAGCTTCAGGCTCTGCTCGAGACATACACAATGCGGATGCAAGAGGTACGCGGCCTGCTGTCGCCGTTGCTTTCTCGGCCCGTTGATCGAGTTCAGAGCCCTGCTGATTTCTTGAGAGCCCTGTCGATTTCTTGAGAGCCATCACCTCACCAACGAGCTCACAACGAAACTCGTGTCTCTCAGTCGCCGATCCAGCCCGAGGAGTTACCCAGTATGCTCGTCCAAACGATCTTGGACACCCACGAAACCTTGGACTTGCCCGACTCTGTGACCCTCGGCAATGCAGTGCCGCCAACCAAATGCACAGATACGCCTGGGTAAGCCAAACTAGTGCCCGTCTCTTGCGCAGGCAATGGCCGATACCTGACGGCTGCTGATTATGGTCAACCTCCAGAATCCAACCATCACACGTTGCTACCTGCGATATCGAGACGCAAACCGCGCTTGAGGTTGACGAAGGTAAGATGTCCGACATCCGCCAGCTACCTGATCGTGGGCCAGTCTCTCTGATGCGGCGGTGCTTGATTCAGACTTTAGCGATATCCATATCCATCATAAGCTGGAGCAACAGCTCCGGAATCAAGGTGAGTCTCGGCACTGGCCCTTGCACCAAACCCACAACGGGCCATTGAAAACCGCCATAGCCCTGCTTATTGGATCCATTCAGTGTACTTAATGACAACGCTTTGTTACGATGGCTGCGGTTCCCAGAGTCATTGGCTTCCCTGCTCAAGAGGGAAAATGTGAGTGCTCGAGCAAATCCAGAGTTGGACTGATGTCGTGAAGATTGTGTCAGAAAGCAAAAAGGAACGAGGCAACCAGGCAGCAGCAATTCTGGATGAATGTGCCGCTGCGTCGGCATGACTGACACTTCATCGATCACGCAGGAGGAACTGCAATCGCAGCTCACTCAAGTTAACCTGCTGCTCAAAGACAACCAAGTGCAGCTCAAGCTGTTCCAGCACAACGAGCGGGAGCTGGTGCAGTGGATTGAGATGCAGAAAAAGGACGTTCTGGAATTGACGCACCAGATCGCTGGTATTGAGAAAGGTGAGCTGAGCGAGCACTGGTTCTGGCGGCATGCCGCTGACGATGATCCTGAGAGCAATCTCCAAATGGACGTACGCTCTCTCGGCATGGCTGTGGCAGTGCACGTCCATTTGAACCTATTTCTGCGATGCATGAGTCGCACCGTTGCATGCGATCTCTTCCGGCGAAACCAACGTGCCCCAATCAACTCTACCTTGCAGGAATGGAAGCCGAGATCCGCAAGGTACAGACACTTGCGCAGATACAGCGCGACAGACATGGCCATCCTCAGCCATCAGAGATGCTGCTCGAGCAAGACAGTAGCACGGATTCAGTCCCCAAGATCCCAGGACGGTGGAGCAGCAGAGCCTCGGTCTCAGAAACATTATGCAGCTCTCCGGACCACGAAAGCCCAGGATCTCAGACCAAAGGTGTCCCGCTTGGTGGTCTGAAGCTGCACTCGGAAACTCTGTCTGGGCCTTGGACTCTTGCCATTGCGCTCGTCGCACTCATATTCCTGGGGCTAGTGGTCACTGCAGGCCTCCACCCTGCTGATGGGCTCATTGGCCGCACCCTCTCCGTGCTGCTGCCCACTGTCCCAAATCCCATCACCTGAGCTCGATCCGAGAACAGGTTAAGGCAGCACCGCTATCAATCGCAACCTCTGGCGCACTTTGATAATAGACAAATCTTACAGCTGTTCCAGAAACGGGACAGTCCCTACTATTCTCTGGCATCAGAGGTCTGAAGGCTCTGATCGGTTGCATGTGGATTGTGTTGCCCTGACGACAGTCGTCTCACATGCATGGATGGCATACGCTCGGGCGAGCGACCATGTTTGTCCTGCCCTCGCTGGCCGAGGAGCCGCCGAGGAGACGCCGAGAGCACAATCTCCGCTCTCGCTGTGAGGCGGGTTGGCTTTTGCGATGCATGGCCAGGGCCGGCGGGACTTGCTCAAGCAAAGGCTCAACTCGCACCCGCAACCGAGCCGCCACCTCCATGGCCAACACATTCCTGGGTAGGGCCTGCAAGGCCGCAGCATCGGCGCCGGGTGTTGGCTGGCTGATGGTATCTGCTGACACTCATGGGCTCGGATAGAAAACGTCGTCGGGCTGTTGCTGGTGGCCGTCTGCTGGGGCGGAACCAATCCCTTCATCAAGTTGGGCAGCCAGGGTCTCGACGACGTCACCAAGAAATACCAGGGGCATCCGTGGTGGCGCCGGCAATGGGAAGAGATTCGATTCTTGTGGACCAACTGGAAGGTGCGTCTCGACACAGACGTCTTCGGTCATTTGCGGTGGGCGTCGATGCGGATGTCTGGGCTCTGGTCCTGTGCTGACCATCGAGCTGCCTCTTGCCACCAGTATGTCGTACCCCTTGCCATCAACCTCAGCGGATCTATGGTCTACTATTACACCCTGGGCAACAGCGGTGAGTCGCAGCATAGTCTGGCGATTCTTGCAGCCATCAACGCTGCTCGGCGTGCGGGTAACTAGGCTCCGTTAATGACCCGCATGCTCGATGCAGATTTGTCTTTGGTTGTCCCCATAACAAATTCGCTCACGTTTGCCCTGACAACGGCTGTCGGCTATTGTTTGGGTGAGGAAATGGAGAGCAGAGGTGAGTTGCCTGCCATCGATGGTCTGGGCGTATGGCGGACGAGATGCCGCTGCATCCGACTCGGCTCTGCTCACCAACACTTCTCCCCGGCTCGCGCAGAGACAATCCTCGGTGTCGCTCTGGTCTTTGCCGGGGTTGTCCTATGCATCTTGAGCAAGATGGACACATGAAACACTGCGTCAATCTAGACACCAGCCTCTCTCAGACCCGCTCCACATACTTCCGAAACAGCCCGTGGTGATGAGCAAAGGTTTCGGTAGAATACACACCGCCCATAGTCCTCCCTCCAATGCGCTGATCTGGTACTTGGGGTCACATATTGGCCTTGCCAACGAGCATTTCGCCAAATAGACTACTGGGCTCGCTCGATCCAAGGCGTTTCTGATCCAGGGCGGTTCCCAGAATCTCTGGGTGCACTGCTCGACCCCTTCACAGGCATCCCGATCATCCTGGTCCCACCAGGGCCAGAAACGGGGCGATCGAACTCGCCGATGATATGCCTTCCTTTTCTTTCCAGCCAGAGGCATCTGTGTTTCGACAGCAGACGCTGCTTCTCTCGTCTGCAACCGACTCCAGAACGACTCTGCAGGTGCTTCCGACATGCACGAGAAACCAGAGGTGCTCCACATCGTCACGACCGATATCCATGTCGACGATGACAATCGGGGTGAACGACAGCCACACACGATGCACACGCCCGTCACGGTGGGCGATCCGCTCAGAGAAGACTATGCCTTCTACTCAAATCCCGTTTCGATCGCCGCGTCGACGCTGTCGCTTCAGCCCCGCAAGACCGTGCTCGATGAGCTTGGCGATCTCATCGTGCGGGACGCCAAGGGCGACCCTCTTGGACCCATTTTGAATGCACCGAAGCTCCGGCAGCAGTACCGAGACAAACGTCTGAGCAAGCCGTACTTCACCATTGGCATGTCCGTGGTGCAGCTGGCTCTTCTTATTGTGAGCTTTGTGCTCAATTATATAGCAACGCAGAGCCCCATTGAGCTCAATCCATTCAACCCCATGATCGGCCCGACGGACGGGGCAAGTATCCTCGCGCGAACCTGCTGGGAGCCGGAATGCCGGCTGGGCATGATACGCGGCGGGACGGAAACGAGTAGTATAGAAAGATTGCCTCTGTTAGTGGGCAATCTGATGAGGGCATATAGCCTCCAGCACGGGTGGCATGAGCAAGATCAGCAGATTCTCACAGTAGCCTCCGTCGCTCAATGTATTCATAGATCCTCATGCTCATGGGGGCACGTTATGTGCCCTGCATGCGTGCCACCCGCTACTACGACAGCACCTCCGGCACAACCATCGACTTGACGACACCGGGCCTCACTGTCGCCTGTCCGAGCGGAATCAGCCCGCAGAACGCAACTCTCTACAATGGCCTGTGCACCTTTACGGACCTCTGCGGATTCAACGGCGCTCTGCCCCACAATCAGTTCTTCCGTTTCCTGACCCCGATCTTCCTGCACGGCGGGATCCTGCATTTTCTCATGAACATGATGTTCCAGCTCCGAACGGGGCTGCAAATGGAGCGCGATTTCGGGAGTCTGCGATACTCTATCATCTACTTGATCAGCGGCATCGGAGGCTTTGCCTTTGGTGGCAATTTTAGCGGCTTTGTGCCCAGCGTGGGCTGCTCCGGGTCGCTCTACGGACTGATGGCCTGTCTGGTGCTCGATCTGGCTCAGCACTGGAAAATTGTCCAGAATCCATGGTGGGAACTTCTCAAGATGATTTTCCAGATTCTGGTCTCGTTCATGCTTGGAATGCTTCCATACATCGACAACTTGTAAGTACCGGCCATGGCGAAAGCACTGCGTGTGGGAATGGTCTATTGTTGTCGAGCACATCGATACCACGGTTGGGATATCCTTGCAATATTGAAGCCGACGGTGCGGTATCGAGAGAATCCCGTCGGATCCGGCTCGATTGGTTGTGATACGGCTTGCCGATGAGTTAGAATACCGTACCGGTTCGACTCCTGCCATCAGTATCACTGACTGCTTGGATCGTGGTGCACTCGTTTGTGGTGCATTCGACCGTGAACAGCGCACACATCGGTGGCTTTATCTTTGGGATCCTGGCCGGACTGGTCTTTCTTCCGATCCAAGGATACACCAGCAGCGACCTCCGTAAGAAGAAGCTCACTCGACTTGTCGCCATCCCTGTGCTGATCGTCGTCTTGGTGCTGGTGTTCCAGTTCTTTTATCAAGGCACGGCGTCCGAGTGCGGCTGGTGCGAATACCTCAACTGCATTCCAGGCATGCCGTGGTGCTCATCCAAATGGGGCACTTCGATGATGCTGCAATAGATCCTCGGCTTGGATAAAGTACAGGCCACTTTGAACAGAGCTGGTGGAGTGCTCTGGGTGAATATAAAGCGAAATTCATGCACACAGATGCTCTGCACTTTGCACTCATCCGCCATGCCCTTTCCTTCGCACTCATGCGCCATGCCCTTTTCTTCGCACTCATGCCCATGCTCCGTGGTCCGCACTTCTTACTTGATTCCCGTCGGCTGTCGATGCTTGTTGACGGTCTCTACAGCGAATCACTGTCGAGCGCAGCAGCCGGCTCCAGCCGCATTCCAGCCGTCGGCCATGATGTCTGCTCAGTGCCGTTGTCTGCCCGCCTTCTCGCTTGCGGTCGTCTATTTCCCATCTCCCATCCGCCTGCTCACATCATCGCCAAGTGGTAAGCATATGCTGTTTTCCCGTCAGACATTGCCGGCGATTCGACGGATCGCCGCGTTCACAGGGCGTCTGGGACGACCCGAGGGTGGCCGCTCAACCCGCGGGATATATCGGTGCCGGATAGACCAGATCCTTCGTCTGAGCAGGCAGGCAAAGCAAGGATCAGCATCCAGCCCCGAGCGAGTCTCTGTCCTGTCCGCATATCTCATGCCTATGACCTCACATAGACAGCCGCTTCTCGTCCTGATCCCCACCTCCACGCTATCTGTATGGGCCCATTGGTTCGTTGAGCGTGCGACCGGCTCTGCCCATCCGCAACCGCACTTGAGTCAGCAGCCTTGTTTGCGATGCCGCTGTGTCGGCAAGACAGTCGGCATGATCAGCCAACTAACTGTATCTGCGGTCGGCCCTGTCGCTGTCCCTAGGAGAGGTTTCGATTCAATATCCATCCCCCAGCCCTGCACCCAGTCCATGACGAGCCCCGGCGTGGCTGACGCTCCCAGTGAGGCCGTCAGGCCTTATGACTTCACCAACTTTGACCGGCTCCTTGAGGACTACACACTCTGTGCTGAGTGGGCCCGACAGCATCAGGCAGCCATTCGCCGAGATCAACAGCGGCGGCGTGAGCTGGAGATCACGCTTTCCCGGAAGGACGATGAGATTCAGCATCTGCGCTCGACCGTGAATGAGCTGCAGACCACGGTTGCTTCCAAGGAAGACGTCATCCGCAGACTCAACCTGCAGCTCCAGAAGCTCATTGAGCACAACACCAATATCATCAAGTTTACGTCGCATATGCTCGAGTCCACGCTGCCGGTCGATGCTGTCCCTTCTGGAGCACTCGGGACAACGAGACACGTCCGCGACCTTGGGGCACTGTCGACTACCGAGAACCCTCGCAACAGCATCCCAGTGATCTTCAAGGATCTGCCCAGCCGGCCCTCCGTTGGGCGACCCAGCGAAGAAGACGATCTTGGCAACCGTCCCTCCGAGCAGCCCCACGCAAGCACCATCGTTCCCACATCCATCCACAATCTACCACGGCGGCGACACGAATCGCCTCCTCGTTTTGATGTCTCGACACCAAAGAGCCAGCCCGAGCCTCTGTCTTCCAAGTCTCTCGAAACCAAATCTACGGCACGGGGTGATCAATCCACCTGGGCTCATAAACCAGTCGCCCAAATCCATTCATCGAATGGGAAACGATCGCAACCTTCATCGAGTGGACAAGGACTCGCCGACTCCCCTGCTCGGCAGCCGTGTTCCTGTCAAAAGCCAAGTCATCGGCGACAAGTCCATGTGTCGCGACGACCAGAGGGACTGAAGCCCTCTGCACTGCGCAAGCCTGCTCGATTGCCACATTCTCTTGCATCAGTCGCATCCGCCGATGGGAAGCAAGCGTCGGGTTCGCTGCTCCAAAGTGGCGTGCAGGACAAGCACGCCGATCGGATCTCTCCGCCTCCATCTGAAAGCATCACCCCAGACCGGGTCCAGAATCTTCAAGCAACGAGCAATGGACCCGCAGCACTTGCAGGTCAATCTCAACACAGCACCACCGAATCTGCCGCAGAGCAGTGTGCCCCCTTTGACCAAGAATCCAACGGCCCAAATGGAGTTGTGTCCGGAGGGACCGACCATCCGCCTCGTTCTCTTGGTCCAAAGGTCCGTGCTCCTGCAGACACCGTTCCAGTCCAGCCACAGCTCAGTCCATTATTGAGCGAGCGCATCGAGCCCGATCCAGCTGCTCAGCCATCTCAAGATAAGCAGAAGGTTATCGCCGCCCTGTCGAGCGAGTTTGCCTCGGAGGCTGAGCTTCTCGCAGACATGCTTCTCAAAGCAACAATGAGCAATGCGGACCCGGCTGCCGATGGTGATGTCGAGAGCCTGGAGATGCTCCAGGAAAGCGGGGGCATGCTTATCGACTGTAGACTCTTGCTCTCTGCGCTACAAGCATCCAGCCAGCTCAGCACTAAAACAGGCAGTCCGCTTCCTGATCTCCATCTGGAGAGCGGCAAGCTCAACGTAAGAGCCGACAATCAGCGTTCTCGATCCGCAAAGCGCAAGCAACGCCTTGGGAATGTACACACAACCGCAGAGGCCGACAGCACAACACAGCCATCTGAGCCGATCCAGCCGGTACAGCGCAGAAGCAGCAACGAGACCACCGATGATATCAGCGACAAGATCAGCGACAGAATCAATCTTGCTCGTGACTCCTCGGAGTGCAGCACCGTCGACCCCGGTGTGGCACTCGATCCATATCCGCGCCCCGACGAGGCAACCCCAAGCGATGGGCCGCTTCCGTGTCCCGAGGAATCCTTTTCAAGCGACTCTCCCTTGAGCGATATCATCGAAGGCGAGCTGTTTCCGCCAGAAGTCATAATTGATGCTGAGCACTGTCAGTCTGGGCCGCAGACCAAGTCCGATAGCTATCCTCGTTGGCTCGACAACTACCGGCCCTTCACCAGCAACACAGCCCCAGGTCTCCTAAGCTGTCCAGACACCTTTCTTGGCGAAAAGCAGACTCACCGTGCGGCCGAGACGACGCCATCGCTGCTCGCCGAAGCAGGGGCCCGGCTGGATACGCTACCGGAACACATCGATCCGACAAAAATCATCGATTCCCCTGCCCTGCTGTCGAGCTCTGAGGAGCAGCGTGCTGCCTTGGCGCCACACACAGATGTCGAGAATATCCTTGCAACCCTGCGGGCGATCACCGGTGCCGTGATGGAGCTTCATCCCGAAAACGGAGCCGCTCCGGCCATACTGGCGCATCCTGAAAAAGCCAATACGTGTGAGCACGAGAACTGCGAGCATCCAGTCAAGCCGCGAGTCGACAAGCAGAAGCTCTCCCTCCGTGCAACACGAGCAGTGATGCCCCTCTCTGAGCTGGATGCAACCCTGATGACCTACACGCCGGCCCCACCTGTTCCGTTTTCAGCAGCCTCGCGCATCTGGCTCAAGCCGCTCTCGGACTTTGACCATGAGGCATGGGAAAAGCACTACGTCGAAGGAGTCGAGGCCAAGCTCCGCGATGGCGAGATCTGGGTCGACCACACCCACTTTGTCGACAAGGACGGAGAATATCTGCTTCGAAGCGGAGACTTTGTCGTGTTCCTGACTCGGGCAGGCATGACCGAGAACGGCAACTGGTCTGGGAACATTGTTGTCGCCACAGCCATCCGCGAAGTCAAGAACCATCGGTGTCGAATGCTGCGCCGCAACATGCGGGTCGTGTTCTTTCGTCTCTTGATTGTGAAGGAGCGAGTGTCCCTGAGCAAGGGCGAGTACGATCTATCCAACTTCAGCTTGCCGTGGATGACGCCGCTGGACCAGCTATTGTTCTCGCAGATAATGCGGTAAGTCCCGACGTCCGTGCGAGGGGCACTGCTCGCGGAGATGCCATTTTGGCCGACGGAGGAGCAGCGAGGAAGCAGCTCGAGGGATAAGCCCAGCAGCAGCCAATTCGAGTCAGGGCGTGCGTCAAAGCCGTGCGATGAATGCGGCGCTTTTTTTTCCCCAAAGACTGACTGCGTCTCGCCATCCTGTGCTCAGAACAATGCGGCCCAGCGTCAAGAGAACGTTTGTCGCACGTATGATCGGCACCGAGGTTGGCCCGCCGAACTGGAGCGACTGGAAGCGAGGCATGCGCAAGTACTTTGTTCTACCAGGTCCTTCCCCGCGCCGACACAGCATCCACAGCAGCGCCATTCTCCTCGTCTATGGCTGCTGGGGGAATAGTCCTGGCGAGATCATGATCTGGAACTTGTTCTGGACCGTATGTCGAGGACGCATTGGCGACACATATCTCCTCGAGTTGGCATACCACCGCACCGGACCATTCACCATGCCCGACCTCGGCCTGGACCCGTTTCCGATGTCGTGGCGGCCGATCGGCGATGGCCGCAGCAGCAAGCTGTGGAAGGAGTGCGTCCTGGGCGAGGTGGGGCTCCGTCTGGCCGAGAAGCCGGTGCCGCTGACGCTGTGCTGAGTTGCATGGTGGTGGGATATCGCCGGGCCATGCAGGTTCAATATAGGCTGCCCACATTGAAACGGGGGTGCAGTGCATGGGATTGAGTGATGATGATCGTCCGCCTGAATGCTGTCGATCTACGCTTGTGCCGCTTGTCATAGACTCGGCCGACGAGACATCATGGGATGGACACCCAGGGAGATGATTTTGCGCACTTGGTCGAGGAAAGGCAAGGGCGGCTTGCCTGCGCTGCTCGTCCCATCCAATCCGGCCAGATTTCGCTCACTCCCGCCGCCCCATCATCCGCCGACGACCCAAAGCTCGTCTGCGCTCGGTCCGACCCTTGGAAAGATTCGCCGAGCCAACCATGTCCCGCATACTCCGCAGATTGCTGTCCCATTCGAGCACCGGCACCAGCACTCCCAGGGCGATAGGTGAGCAAACAGAGCCCGATGGCGACTTCGAAGCCAATACGCATCGTCGAATGCTCGGCTTGCTGGCGATGCGATTCACTCATAAGCAGAGCTTCTCTCGATATTCCAGAGCAACTGACCAGCCGAGTCACCCTCATCCGGGCGCTGCCCTCGGGGCCATTCAGCAAAGAAGGTATACCCCCATAGCCGCTATCATGTCCCGACTGTCTGGATTCCCTCTGACCGATGCCGACTCTGCCGCCTATCCCCTGGATGTCGGCCGATGTGCTGTGAATGCTGGTGAATCCCGATTTCCAAGACAGCAACACCTATCTCGTTGGAGAGGGGGCCCAACGCATCCTCATCGATACTGGTATGAAGTCCCTGCTGCTGCTGTTGCTGCTGTATGTGCAGGTTGCGCCGACGGGAGCCCTGCCTCATTGTCCGTGAGATGGTTCCAAACCGATTTGCTGGTCGCTTGCCAACGACATGCTCGAAATGCCATCGATCAAGGCACCGGCCACCCCAGCTATCTCCCGACACTTGCTGGATATCTCAAAGAGAAGGATGCCTCCCTGTCGCATATTCTCCTGACGCACGCCCATGGCAACCATACGCATGGCCTGGTTGCAATCTGGAGAACCTTCGGCACCGCGCTGCCCGTCTACAAGCTCAAGTCGTCCCAGGACGATATCAAATTGTCGGGCAACAACAAGACCAAGGCGGAGCCAAAACCAAGCTTCCTCAAGGACGGCCAAACGATCCGCTCTCTCGACGGAAGCTCGTCCCTCAAAGTCCTCCACACTCCAGGCCATTCCCAAGACTCAGTCTGCTTCCATTTGCTGGAGGAGGACTCGATGTTCACCGGCGATGCCGTCTCGTCCGCTCCGCATGGGCCGACTCGACCGACGCATGCCGTCTTCGAGGATCTGGATGCGTATCGACGGTCGCTCCAGAAGATCACCCGTCAGTTCCCCAAGATCCTTTACCCCGGACACGGCGCTCTGGTGGCCAATCCGACAGCATATCTAGAGTCTGCTCGCGAATGCCAGAATGTCCTTGCGCTTGCGATCCACAACATCCTCGGACAGAGTGGCAAACCCATGTCCGCAGAAGCCATCGCCGTTGAAATCGATCAGGCTCAGCAGCTCCGCTTGAGCGACATCGAGCTGCCTGTGTTGATAGGCACAGTCAAGCACCACCTTCTTGAGATGGAGGCGCAGACATTCATCCGGCGCTCGCATGGACTGGAGTCCGAGTCCTCCCGCGCTGGCACCACGAATGGCTCAGGAGTCGATCCATCCAAACTCAAGGGGCCCGGCGGTCTCACGCTCGAGCAGATCTACTCCAAAGTCACTGAGAGCAATCGGAGAGATTGGTCTGACATGAACCGGCAAGAGCGGTCGCAGGTGCTTGACCAGACCTCCTGGCGCGAACAGCAGCATCCCTTGCATGTTCGAATCCCGCTACGGAAGGAGACGACATGGGTTCTTGCCTAGCATCGCACGGTGATGATGCTGGCAAACAGGCGTCGATGGGAATGATACTTTACAGCACCCACTTTGTTTCACAGCCGACTGCCCGCCCATTGTGTTTTGAATCGACAATGTGTTGCAACCCCAATAAGACGCACTGTTTCTCTCGGGCACAAGCACGCCGTAGTTGGCACCGCCATCATGTCACATCATATGCGGCCAGGAACGCCCAAGTGGGCCAAGTTATCTTCATTCCACCATGTCTCATCGTCGAGTCCATCACAGCAGCGCGAGTCCCGATCGCCATCGTACACCCTCTCGCGGAAGCGGCAGGATATATATTTGCACTCCGTCACCTTTCCAGGTACTTGAGGCAGCTCTGCCATCGGAGATGATGCCCAGCGATCCATTGGTTTCCACACGGACACAATCAGGGACAACTTCAACTCCAATGTACTCTTGCTCGTGTTGACGACAACTGGCGAGCTGACCACATTAGCATCAGCGCTGGAAATCAGTACTGACATCATTGGGGAGCGTCGAGGACGGCGCTCAGATGTCCAGCAGTTCTTTGACCGCCCGGCAGAGTCGGCGAGCTCCTTCACGCAGCTCCTCGGCGTCGTAGTGGGCAATCGACAGTCGCAGACAGTTGAGATACCGGCCTTGGACTGTAGTGAAAATTAAGCCCGGAGCAAACGATACCCGAGTGTTGCTTGTGCCTGCCGCTTCCTTCTGCTTCAGCTGCTGGTACAGGGCGTGGGTGTTGACATGGGACGGGAACTCGATCCAGATGAAGAATCCACCTTTGGGTTTCTCGATGCGCATACCCAGCCCCTCACCATGCAGCCGCAGGGTCTCGTAGGTCACCTCGGCGTTGTGGCTGTAGGTTTCCCTGAGCTGTGCGATATAGGTCTTGAGCTTGCCGGTCTGGATGATCTCGGTCATGATTCCAGAGGTCAGATGGTTGGGACTGCCTCCGGAGTAGAGGACCCAGAAGGTCTCATGGCGCTTGATGATGGCCGGCGAGGCCTCGACCCAACCGAGGCGTGCGCCCGGGGCAAAGATCTTGGAGAAAGAGCAATTCGAGATGACGTTTCCAAAGTCGGTTTCGGATCGCACCTGGTGCTCGAGTGCAATGAGTCGGGGCGGGTTAGGCTCCGCGCCAGGATACCCGAGCAGAGGATAGACGTCGTCGCAGATGATTAGGACGTCGTATTTGCGGGCTAGCTCGATCAAGCGGATACGCTTGTCCAGAGGCATAGACTGCCCCGTCGGGTTCGAGTAGTCGGGGATTGTGAAGAGCAGGAAGGGGAACTTTTTGGCCGGCTGGCCAGCAAAGGCCTGTTGGTCGACACTGCTGGAGAGCTCCTTGAGCCTCTCTTCGAGGATCTGCAGTGAAATGCCACCGGATTCGACTGGGACCGAGACAAAGTCGCGTTCCTGGAAGCCGTGGTCTTGGAGGACTCTGAGGGCCAGAAAGTAGGTCGGATCTTCGATCAAGATGCGGGTCGCAGAGGTCGTGAACATGGTGATGAGGTTGCTGAAGGACTGCGATGCCCCGCTGGTGACGGCGAGGTGATTGGCCTCAACGGGGCTGCCGTACTCGTTCGCCAGGAATCGAGCGAGCTGGGCCGGTTCGAACACTGGGGATCAGAGAGATGCAAACACCGTCTGCTCGACAAGATGGCAGGGGTATTCGGGTGCTAGGATGCGGCCGACTCTGTGTGGATGCTGACGGCCCAATACCTCACTGCGGAACTCGCTGTCGCCAAGCTTCGGCCCATACTGGAAGGCCAAGCCAGCATCTGGCTTGGACAGCTTGCGGGCGGTGGCCTCTTGGAAGATGGCGGAGGCGGTCTGGAGCAGGGCCGGAGATGGGGCGCCAAACTCAAACTGGATGTAGCCGCGGTCGCCAGAGGGGAAGAGAGTCCTGTCCGAGTAGAGGTTGCTGAAGGACGAGATGCGAGTGATCTGGTGAAGATCCATTTTTTTGGTGCGGGGGCTGTTCGCCGGACGGACGGACGGATCGACAGCTGGATCGACAGCTGGATGGATGCGAAAGACAGTCGGGAGGCGGAGGACCAGCGCGGAAGCCCTGGGTTGGCGCTCGATGGTCGTGCTGGCTCTGGTGATGCGATTCCTGGACACTGGCCACATCGCTCGCCCACGGGGAGGATCTAGCAGTGTATATTGGGTGTCTAGAAGAGCTGTCTGAGCGACAGGAATCCGTGGCCGAGCGAGTTCTTTTTGCCCCCATGATAGTGCAGAGAGATGGTCGACTTGGACGGCAGCGCCAGAAAGTCCTGGTCGATGAATCGGGGTGTCGATGCGCATGCCATGGTTGATTACCGGCGGTTGCAGTGGCATGATAGAGTCGGCACACGGTGAGCGAGCGGCCGATCGAGGAGCCTCTGGTCGACAACGCAGGCGATGCATAACAGAAACATATTCTCGGCTATTGCCAACTGAGCTTACCAGCAAACTGAGGCCCGCAACGGTTCCCTCTTGCACTTTCCCGTCGCCAGTCGTGATGAAGCCCGACGAGTGGTGAACGACGTACGACGCCGAGTTGATGGCCGAGAGCACCGACTCGCCGTTTACGACAAGCTGGATCGACGGCTTTGCCTTGGTGAAAAATGCAAATGCGATCTCGTACAGACCCGGCTGGGCGATGCGGATGTTGATTTGGTCCTGCTCCCAGCGGAAGTTGTCGGGGTCTGCTTGATGGAAGGCCGGGCAGATGGGTCAGTGAGCCAGACGACCTTGCTCCAACCACCGGAGCTACCTGCATTCGCTCCTCATCCACATCCAGCTGCACGTCCTGACACTCTTGCACAATCTCTCATGTCTGTCTGTTGCAGAGCTGACCTGTGTTCAAGGTTTCATAGTTCCAGGGTACCGCCGAGCCGTACTTGAGGGCCCCAGATTTCCACAGCCACCGTGCGCATTTGTGGAAGGGTTCCTGGAGGCTCTGTTGGTAGGCCAGCTTGCAGGAGCTGAGATCCGAACAGATCATGTACAGCTTCTCGTCAAACTCCCGCCGCAGTCCCTTGACGGCTGTATCAACTGCTTCCAGTTCATCCCGCGAGGACTCAGTGTCTCTGACGGGCAGTGCCTCGGAGCCGTCGGATTCCTGGCGGGGCTCGAGGTCCTGAACCAGCCGGCGCATTTCGGCGAGCTCGTCTTCAACCCGATGGAGTTCGTCGTCCATCTTTCGGTTGATGTACTCCCGGATTTCCGATCGCAGGGGGCTCTTCTTAACTCGGCCGCCCTTTTGCCGCGCATGCAGAGGCTCATCGGGGGCATGGTCTGTGAGTATCTCGCGCTTCAGCTGATTGAATCTAGACTCCAGCTCATGCCGAATGTCGATTGTGTGGTCCTTGACCATGTCTTCGATCAGCTCGCGTGTCTGGCTGATGGGCGAGCCAGAGCCAGCAGAGGCCGACAACTGCGCCCCAAGACGGTCGGTATGCTTCATGACATCGGCCCGGACCCGGCTGATCTTGGATTCCAGACGCTTGAGCAGTGTATTGATCGTCGACTGGGCTGGCAGCTTAAGCTTGGACAGGGCTAGCTTGAGCCGGCCCTCCACATGCCGCTCCAGCTCTTCGCGTGTTGACAGATGGCGCATCAGCTCTTCCAGGACAGCAGTGTCGACCTTGGCTGCGAGGCTCTCCGCGAGGCTCTTTTGAGCATCGCCAATCAGTTTTCTCACTGCAGCAGCGGCGTTCGGACCCAGATTGTCGTCTTTGGACGAGGTTTGAGTTCTGGGAACGGGCTCGTGGTGAATTGCAGAGACGTCGCTAAAATCGCCATAGGGAGCACCGAGGATGTGGGATGTATCATGTGTGGAAGGAAGGTGCGTTTTTCGTGGTGCCAGCTCTTCGTCCAAGGTGCCCTTGAGGTTTGACACTGTCTTGACGAGATCATCGACACGGGCTTGGGTATCCAACGATACTTTGGACACACTACCGAGTCGCTGGCGCAGATCGTCCTGATCCCGGAGGCACTGGGTGAGGTCGCTGCTCTGGCGCTGGAGCCCCGAGGCAGAGTCCACCACCTCCCTCTGAACTGCATCCAAATCCCTCCTCAGCTGGCTGACGGTCTGCTCAAGCTGCCGATGGTATGGCGCCGGCTCGTTGAGGTAGTCGCCAACAGCCCGCCTTGTCTGAGATTCGAGAGCGGTCAGCTGCTGCTTGAGCTCAACAGAGGTTTGCTCAAGCTTGATGCCCATGGTACTCTGCGACAGCTCATGCTTTTGCTGCGAGTGCGCCAGATTGTCGATGCTGGACTCGAGCTTGAGAAGTCGCAGGCTGGTCTCCTTATACTTTTCATCCAGCTCTGCCCAACGATTCGGGTCCTGGGAGAGGGCACTGGCTTGGCTGGTCAGCTTTGACTCGATGGCGCTGAGCTTGACTTCGGTCAGATTCGACAAGACGTCAAAGTCGTTGCGTGACACCAGCTGGCGGATGGACTGATCGAGCCGATCCTGGCGCTGCTCGATACGCTCGAGGGCTTCTTGCAGGTCGTGCAGCTGAACCTGGAGCTGGGTGCTGGATTTTGTTTGCTTGGTGGCCAGACTGTCGATCTGGGATCCGGTGTCCTGGAGACTGCGCTCGAGGCCAAGGATTTGATGCTGCAGCTGCAGCGAATTGGACTCGATGTCCTGTAGAATGGTGAAATTTGGCAACGACCGCTGGGTGTCGACTTTGATTTCTGGCGGCCTTTGGATAACCGAGGGCATGCGGCTCCCGATGCGGCTGTGAGCCAGCTGCTCCAAGCGCTCCTCAACGGCCTTTTCCGACAGCAGCAGTGCCCGAATAGAATCGGTCGATTCCGGCAATGGTGGGAGGTTTTGCAGATTGTCAAACAGGCGCTCTTCCTTTGGCTCTCGCGATGCCATGCGGGACGAGACAGCTGCCCCTGATTCATAGAGTATCGGACGCGACAGGGTCGTGTCGGAGAGCTTGATAGTCTCGGGCATCTGTTCAAAGAATGATTGCACGGATACGGGATGGGCGATCAATCAAGAGCAGACAGAGACACACCTGGTTGGGTACGCTCGTGAGAATGGATGCAGTTGCCACTCGAATACGGTGACAATGCCCATAACAGCAGCGTTCGGGGGTTCTTCTTTAATACACCGCCAAAAGTCATCCGCTCTGCTCACCTCACTTCGATTTTCTGCTTGGAGCTTGCTCATATACGAGCTTGAGCCCAGTTCGCTCAGCGGCAGGACGCCCGGACTTGCTCTGGACTTTTCTGGCGATGAAGGTGCGTCGGCCAGGGAGCTTTCGCCGCCTTCGGTGAATCCAAGGAGATAGCTGGAACTATAGTCCTGGGACTTTTCGCGATCGAGCCATGATGGCTCAAGAACAGAGTGCGACTGTTCTCGAGTTCCGCCAATGCCGGCACTGCCGCCACCAATGGATCGCTCATGGGCGCTTGCTCGTCCGGCCGAGTCCCGGTCTCCGTCAAAGAGGATCTTGGAGATTTGTGATGGCGAGGCCGAAGAGTCGAGCGATTCACGGACTCGGATCTGCGGCGTCTGATAGATGATGAAGGACTCTTGGTTGGACACATCAGGGGAGTCGTCCTTGGACTTGGGCCGCGAGAGATCGGCGCTGGAAGTGTGTGCCGATGAGTTTTCCATTATGATCCGTTCGTATGAGGACATTTGCTGGACGCGACGAGGCGGTAGCTTGGCGTCCTCGACCGGCTGTCCCATCGAGACCACACTCGATCGAACCTCGGGCCGCAGCTCGGAGGAGGCAGCGTGCCGCCCGACGACAGGAGGAGGGGCGACGAATTGATAGGGTGGCTCAACAACAACGGACTCCTTTGGCGTGTTTTCGTTCAAGACCGACGTGGACAGCTCTTCGTGTAGTCGGGAGGATTTGAAGGCATTTGAGGCCTTGAGCTTCCGGAGAAACTGCTGGGAAAGGGCATCGGTATCCCCGACAGACCGGGATCGCTCCGCGAACAGCTTGGTGCGACTGGAGGTGCTCATGCTCGGTTACTTGCCAGAGCGATGGCGACAGCCCGAAAGGAGAAATGCGATGCAGCCAGGTGGTGGAGGGGGGGGGCTCGTTCGAGCGCTGGCGGGCTCTCCCGGTGAACCATGCTCCCACAAGCAAGTGTGCCCGCTGGAGAACACCAACAGGACTGTCGGCAGTCGAGCGTGGGAGCGGCGGATGACCAGGGTCCAAGAGCGGCCAGCCAGTGTGCGGCTGGCAGGCTGCGCACGCCGCCAGCCAGTGCAATCCGCCCGGCTCGGATTTGCAACCCGCCCGCAGTCCGCCAGCGACATCACCACCACCGTCACCGCCGTCGCCACGGTCGACACCCCGATCGCCATCGCAGTTCGCCATTGGCATTGGCATCAGCGGCACACGCAGACAGACCGGCACCAAGGTACACGAATCGCAGCAAGCCTCTTCGCTCCCTCGGCCGACTTCCTACCAACTCACCGGCCCGATTGCGTCCTTGCTTCACAGACTTTGCAGCCGACTCCCAGGCGCCATGGCTTCCAGCGGACCGCACGGCTTCAATCCGCACTCCTTCATGAAGTCGTTGGCTCGACTCAATCTCAACCCTATCAGCTCCTGGATTCCCTCTTCGCAGAGTGCGCTCTCGCATGGCCCCAGGCGTCTCCAGCTCGCCTGGGCCAACAGCCGACGGCCGGACACACATGTTTCCATTACCGAGAGACAAAAGGCTCTGGAGACGGCCGAGACCCGCATGCTACGAGCGATTAAGACGCCCCTCCGCAAGCACTTTGTAGCGATCCCAAAGAGCAGGGTTTACGGCAACGAGTCGATCCCTGGCGCCTACTACATCAACACCATCTCGACCACGGGCGATCCACAAGAGCAGGCGCACAAGCCCCATCTGCTCTTGGTCCATGGCTGGGGTGGCGGCCTTGGGATCTGGATCAACAACATTGACGAGTTGTCGAGTAAGTTTACTGACGAATGCGTTTAGTTCAGCACTGTCGAGCGACTTGTTGCTGTGATTGCGACTGCCGACAAGACCCGCTCGCATCTGCCATCGTGCCCTGACTTTTGCTTGAACCAACAGAGCACTACAACGTCCACGCCATTGATCTTTTGGGATGGGGTACGGTCCCAATGTGCAAAGCACATGCAGCGGGTGCAGCGAAAGCAACTCTTGCTGTGGCTCTGCAACCAGTGGAATGGGCAGCACTGAGTGAACAGAGCCGAATGGGCAGCACTGAGTGAGCAGCGTCGAGCGCATCAAGCAGATGCGGCGCAGGTCGGCTCGATGGGTAGGTGTTTGGCATTCGCACCTGCGACTTGCATCGTCTGACAGTGCCTTCAAATCCAGGGCGGTCGTCGCGACCACGGATCTCAGGGTGTTCTCCCACAACCATTCAAGACTGGTGGGTCGAGTCGATCGAGGCGTGGCGAATCGCACAGGGAATCGACAGGTTCACTCTCGCGGGCCACAGCATGGGAGGGTAAGTCGAGGGCATGTTTCTGACGGGTCGGTGCGGTATATGACTCTGACTGCATTCACAAACCGCAATGTAGTCACTGCGGCTTGGATGGCGAACTTTATCTTGTATGCGCTGACATGTTCCGGCCCGGAAATGGCTTTGCAGGTTCATCTCGGCCTCATACGCCGCGCGCTACGGCCCGCAGCATCTCGACAAACTCACTCTCCTATCGCCCATTGGTAAGTGTTCGCTGGGCTTGTTCGATCCGAGGACAGATTGCTGGTGGTCGGTGCGCTTGGATGCTGCTCGAACGCAGTCGACTGGCTGCATGGCGGGGGTGGATAATTGGAGCACACGCCACTTCAGAATGAATGACGCTTTGAGTCGCCGCTGCTCCCAGGTATCAAGGGATTCGCTGTTCCTCCATCACAGAATACCCGCGAAGTCGTCCGGAATGTCATCGTCAAGTCGGTTTGGAGACTCACGCCACAGCGTATCCTCTCGTACCTGTCCCCGTCGCGAGTGCGCGACATGCTGCTCAAGAGCCGATCCCGGGTGGCGGCCCAGTTCCCGTATCAGGATGATACGGCAATCGAGTACGTGTATCGGCTTGCCACGGTCGGCAACATCTCGGGCGAAACAGCATTTACCCGACTGATGGATCCAACGCTGGGCTGGACACTGCCGATTGGCGAAGGGACAATCAAGCAGTTTAACTTCCCAGTGGTGTTTGCATATGGATCCCGGGACTGTGAGTACATGCACTCTGACGCGGTGTCCGTGCGTATGAGGGCACTGTTTCGGGGCGCTCTTTGGTCAAACTGAGTTTTCCTCTTTGGAGGTCCCACCGCTGACTTGGTCCCACCTACTGGACATGTGTCCCACAGGGATCGACCCGACTTGGGCAGCAACGCGGTTCGGCATCGACAAAGTCATGGGCGACCAAGCCCACGTCTATGTGTTGCCTGATTCCGGGCACCACGGCTATTGCGAGGCATCCAAGGCCTTTGTCGATATTCTGCTGAACGGCGAGCAGCCGGAAGGTTGTCGAATTGCACCCATTCGAACCCGCGAGCAACTCATATCCGAGGCGGGCGATCGCTCCAAAAATACACTCAGCATCGCCTGAGAGATAGAGCGTGGATCCAACGGGCGGCACCTGGCCAGTTCGCCGGCGCTCTCTGTGTCGGCTGTGCCAAAGCGCACATGGTTTCATCCCAGCAAGCTTCCTCATACGACTATTTTCAAGAACATGTGGGGGCACCAATGTCCCTGAGTCCATCGATGCAGTGCACTAGAGCAAGGAAATATTGTGATACTCTGGGCGTCGAGAATATACACAGTTGTTCCAGAATAACGAGAAGCATTGGCGTGAAAGCATCTAGTCGATCTCCTGTGGCGACGATCGACTGGTATGGGCAATGCGACTCGGGGGTGGCTTCTCGGCATCAAGATACTTTACCTTCTCGCGTTGCTTGGTATCCAGGCACACCGTGTGGCCGTGCTGGGCGGCGAACGTGTGCATTCACTACCAGAACAACAACAGCAACGGCAATGACGGGCAGGGGATTGTGGGTCCGATCGTCGATGCGGACGATGGAAGCGTGTGTCACCACCGCAAACTCCGACGTGCGCAGCCATCATATGATCTGTGTGACCTGATCCACGTGTCCATGGCAGAAAGAGCACCACCAACGTTCCCAACATCGCCAACATCGCCAACACCGCCAACATCGCCATCAGCACCACCGATCTTGGTGCACCGCCCAGACAGAGCCCAACCACGGCACACACCGCTGGATACACAATGCTCAAGGGAAACAGAAAGCACCACAGCAAGTCGCAGAAGGAGCGGATGCAGGTCCAGTACAAGCTGCTCCACAGCACCGATGCTCTGGAGCGACTCCCGCTGACCCGCGAGCAGCTCGCCGACCTGGTCCATGCGATTCAGAAGAGCAACCTCGCCAAGTTTGGGCTCGTGAAGCTCTCGACCCTGGGCCTGAGTCTCGTTCACGAAATCGAGTCGAAGCCCTGCACCTTGCTGGAGTATGCCGCCGGGATGCGCAGGGACTCGATCGTGTCGTCGCTCTTGCGGGCCGGAGCAGACCCGACGGTGTCGGCGGATTGCCCCGAGGGTCTCTTCCGAGGGCAACTGGCGCTAGCACTCGCATCGGTTCTGCCGGCGTTTGCGGTGTACATCGTCTGCTTGGCTGTCCAAGGCGCCTCAAACGGACCACGGAGCTCGAACTGCAAGCTGTGCCGACAGCACCGCCCAAGTTTGCTGGTGCTCTATCCGTGCCGACATGAGGTCTGCCGGCAGTGCTTTTGGACAGCTGTGATGGAGCGCCCGTGCAAATGGGAGGACATGGAGTGTCCTCTGGAGCAATGTCGAACGGTCCTCTGCCTCGAGTCCGAAGCGGACCTGTCCAAGCCGTCATGGCCGGCAAACGAGGGCCCCGCAGCAACAGCCGCCCGGTCCAGATCCCGCTATCTGCTCCTGCCAGAATCCAGATCCACGACGGCGCCGGTCAAGCCAGTGTTCCAGGCAAGGTCGATGCGCTCGCTGGCCGGGCTCTACGTCGGAACCTATCGGTCACAGCGGGACTCGGAGCTCTTCAAGGCCGCCGAGGAGAATAATGTGCTGCGGCTCGAAGCCCTGGTTGAGGTCGGTGTCGACATCAACGTCGTCAACGAATACGGACAAACGGCATTTTTTCTGGCTTGCTGGAAGGGCTGCGGCCGGGTTGCCCAGAAGCTCCTCGAGTGCGGTGCCGACGCAGACATACCCGACCACAGCAACATGCATCCGCTGCGACTGCTGTCGCTTCTCCATCCGGCCGTGCTCAAGTCGCTTGAGATGCCGGCGCCCTTGCCGACCTGGCCTGACAATCCGACATTCGAGCCGTCGAATCGGCCGGTCATGACAGTGCTCATTCCTGTGGACTCAAGTCATCCCGGCGCCGGCAGCTTCACGATCGACGACTTTCTCTCCGACTCGGCCGTCTCCGCCATCGCCGAGCTGTGCAGCCGTTTGCCGATTGCCCCGCCGCAGAAAGAGTCCTGCAACAAGCGCTCGCTCTACTGCGACACACTGGGATGGATCCAGCGGGCATTCCGCGAGGCCATGGCCCGGCTCGACGGCGATTTGCCATCGGCCGCGTTCGCTCACATGCGGTTCCTGGTCTACGATGAGCCCGGCGGATATCTCCCAGCACACACTGACCTGACCAGGACTGTCGATGGCCAAACGTCCACGCACACGTCTATCTTCTATCTGACGGACTGTGCCGAAGGCGGCGAGACGGTGCTGCTGGAGTCGCTGAAGGGGACGACGGCGCTGGCGACAGTTCAGCCACGCCGGGGTAGGCTCCTGTGCTTCCCGCACATCTGTCCTCACGAAGCTCGGCCCACTGTGAGTCTGCCCAAGATCCTACTGCGCGGCGAGATGTTGTAGCGAAAACATAGGCGAATACACTCGATACAGCCGTGTGCCGACCGCGCTGTATGCGTTTGTTTGATCATCCAAGAGCTGCTACTCATCAGAGGCTGACATGGACGGCAAACAGAAAGAGCGAGCTGGGTGGTGTGTGTATTTGACCAGTTTCGAGAGCCGCATTTCTCGAAAGTGCGACTGGCTCTGTCCATCCGGACTTACTGGAAGGCAACAGTGACCTTTTTCGCCTCGACTTGGCCACCGCCGGAAACAAATCCCGTGCCTGTTTGTGTGCACGATGAGCATGTGGATGCGACGAAGAGAGTTCGCAGATCAAGCCATCCGTTTCGGGCATGGCGGGGATGCGTGAGCGATGAGAAGCAACAATGAGGCCATCGTGTGGCTGTGGCTGTCTCCAGCATCGGCGACGGCGAGCAGGCCCGTCGATCGTGGGCACCCACCTTCCGTATGCAGTTCGACCATGTCCTTGTCCTTGCAGCGAGTGTCGCATACGAAGCACTTTTGTTGCTCCTTGATGAACTTTTGGCAGCAGTGCTTGCAGAACACATGTCCGCATGGCTTGAGGACTGGCGGCGACATTGTAAAAGATGAGTGTTGGATTGGAGGAAGGTTGCGATGGAGCTCAGATCGTCGCATATTGCTGTGTAGCCGGAGTACTCTGGATCTCCACGTCGGCTTGGGAGCGCAGGTACGTTGGGGGGGGGGAGCAAGCCAAGTTCCCGTTTCCAGCCTTTCTTTCACGGGAGCAACGCACATGAACAGGGCAATGGCAAACTCACACATCATCTTTACGCCGTTGGTGAGCGTTTTCAGGCAGGATGGGCACATGTGCTCGACTTTGGAGGCCGAGGTCTTTGCGCCCTTTGCTGGCGTAAACACGATCGGGACCAACTTCTTCAGCCTGAGCAGCGAGACAATGATGGATTGATGTTCAGAGTGCCGCCACTGCCATGATATCATCAAGGGAGGAGCAGGCGTGACCAGTTTCCCAGTGATGTGTCGGACGTATCATCGCTTACATGATCGGGTGCGGTGTGGTCGAAGCGGTGCATACGATGTCGGTTTTTACTTCCGTGACAGCGTCCGGTTTGGCTGTCGGGGTCAGTGACGGCTGCCGCGGGCATGCACAAACATCGATACAAATGGAGTCTGTCTGTCAGTTTCGCCGTGCCACTGGGTGATCTGGAGATCGGGTTGGCGATCGCTTTGCAGACAGTCGTCCAAAACACATGGCTTGTCATGCCCGACCACGAGCCGAACGGATCGGCACCGACGATCAATACATACAGTCCAAAAGCTCGGGAGAGCCGGCTTGTTCTGGCCCTTGGCCTCCGTCTCGGTCGCCGCCAGCAGCTTGGTCTGGGTCTTCTCGAACTGGGCAATCTCCTGTTCCCGCTGCACGAGCTCCTTCGCGCGGACTTCCTCCTATTGGAATGCCCGCATCACGCAGTCGAGAGAGGGAGAGTCTGAGTTCACGCCGAAGGCACAACTGCTGTTGTTTGGGGGTATCGACGGACCTCACCCTCCGTACTCCTGGGCACAACGGCACCATATTGCCGGTTGCATATCGAATGCATCCGTCGATATCAGGCCCAAGCTGATGTCCCTGAGAGCCCCAACTGGCTCGGGTCTGACGCTGGCTGCTCTGCGCATACCTCTTGCTGAGACTCGTACAGCTTCTTGAGATCGCTTTTGCGGGCAATTTCTTTTTTCTGCGACAGGATGTTCTCGTAGATGCATTCCTGCCAGAGACACGGCGGCCGACCGCGGGTTAGATGGCGCAACGACCGTCCCATTTCCCTTCCTCCCTCGCTCTGTGCTCACTTTGATCAGAGACACCCAGCACAGGGTTCGCAGAGGTGCATCAGGATGCGCCTTTCCAGACAGCGTCCAGGAGAAGGATGGCCGTCCACAGCCAACAGATCCAGTGCTGGACTTGATGCCGCCGTGATCCTCACCTTGCAAGCGAGATGGCCTTTTGGACTTGAAATCAAGATTGTACCACCAACCACAGAATAAAACGTGGATGAGGGGAGAGTGCATATCCCCAGCCCTTATATCGCCGGCTCCCGATGCAGCATTGGCCTGCTGACGCTTGCTTGAGAAGCCCGCCGATTCTTGGCTTGTTGCCGGACACACCACCGTGCCAAATGGATGCTTGGGCTGGTACGCAGGAGATGGATGCATCCAAATGGATTCGTACCAGCTGAGCGGGCTCCGTGCCGTTTGTAGGCACAGGAAGCATGCATCAAAGTCCCTCATTGAATCTCGGCCGAGTCGTTGCTGACGAGCACATTCGTGGAGCAAACATGGCAAGATGAAAGCCCCTTGTCAGAAGCTGGGGGGGGGCAAATCGCATGCTGAAAGGCAATTCGGGGTGACTTGCTACCTTCTGAGTGCCGTAGCCGAGCTCGGCTCTCTCGGCAGCGGTGAAGAACGCCAGAGCGGTGTTGTTCTTGGAGTGTCTGGAGAGAGCGACGGTCAGAGCGGACGTGCGGGGTGAGTGGGTAGATCAGCAAATCTTGACGATCGGTTGCACAGGAGTGGCGACTGGAGATATCCAAGGCTTGTGGCCGGATGTCGAGTTGCCTCCCTCCCCCTCAGTCGGCCCAACGTCGGCCTACCTCGACATGACGGCGGCCTGCTTGCAGCACTCGGGAGGTTGGATCAGACCAGATCCCCGATCGTCGAAACGCGGCTGGCTCCCTTCTTGCTGAGGACCGGTCACGTCGAGGTCACATGGCGCCGCTCACATGACCCGCGGCTGTTGCTGTTGAGGCCGATCGCCATCGCCAGACCCACCCAACTCAGCCCCAACCAGACGACGTCCCCGACCCCGACAGGAAGCCATGGGCAAGCTCAACATCCTGCAGCACAAAAGGCATGTCTCCGCTCTCTAATGCACGCCGCATGCCGAATGCTGCATGTTGGATGTTGCATGTCGAATGCTGCATGTCGAATGGTGGCAGGCGACCCTTGTAGCTGGACTGACCCAGAATCTCGCTGACTGACGCACATTCGCTGCTCTGGAATTGCATGGGGGCGGGCGGGGCGGATGGTTTGCAGCTGGCATGTGTACAGCCGAGAAAACCAGGAACGGGTTCGGCGGGACGAAGAAAATGCCCGCATCGAGGAAGAGGAAAAGCAGCGTCGTATCGATCAAGCGGAGCAGGAGGTCCGACTCAAGATCCTGCGGGAGCGAGCCAAGCGACGGCGGCTGGACACTGGCGAAGAGCCCGAGACCGATCCGAGCGTCGCCGCAGAACAAGAGGCGCCGGGACCCCTCAATCTGTTTCCAGATGCCGAGGTGAGGGCGCTGGCGATGCTGACTTGACAGCTCGAGAGCAATCCTGGCTGCGAGACGGCCTCGACACATTCTGTCCACGATGCAGAGAATCTGCCTGGATTGGCGCACAGAGAGGCTTATTGAACTCATGATTCAAATCCACTCTGTTCCAGAAGCCAGAGCTGGGCTTGAGCTCGGAGAGGCGGAAGGGCAAGGACAGAGCAGAGAAGAACCGGGACGACAAGAGGCATGCCCCCTCTGGCAGCTCTGCTTCCTCGGATTTTGCTGTTGCGACGCCGTGGTACGCCAAGTCCAAAGGGGATCAGACTCTATCGCGATCAGAGGACAAGAAGGATCGGTAAGCAGTGCGTGGGGAAGACCGAGATTGCCGAGGAGGGGGGGCAGTTCTGAGCAGCATTTCATGGAGCCTGGTATGGAGTCGGATATCGAGCCTGGTATGGAGTCTGGTATGAAGCCGCGGGCCTGACATTGCCGGTTACGGATGGGCCAGTCTCCCAGAAGAGTCGGAGCGGCGAAGGAAGCGCATCCAGCCCGAGGCCGAGCGCGAAGATCCCATGTGGCTCATGAACCAAGGACAAGCTCGGTTGGACCAAATCAAGAGCAAATCCAAATCCCGCTTGCTGGAGAGACGGACGCAGGTGGGCTTGGGCAGCTAAAGGCCAGATGCAACCCTGTACGCTCGCTTGGCGGTGTGGGGGATGCATGGTTGATCTGATGCATGGTTTTTGGTACCTGCAGGCTCTGGTGAGGACCGCTGGATCTCGCAGTTCCCACGGCAAGTCATCGAGCTCACGGGGCGAGTCCAAAAGACATGGTCCACGGCACAATCCCACACCGCCTGGCACCAGTCGTGATAGCCACGCCGACGGCAGCAGCAGCAGCAGTAGCAGCAGCACAATCGAACGCCTCCGAGCTGAGAGGCTGGCCCGAGAGCAGGCCGAGAAGCATAAGGCCGAGCTTCTGCTGAATCCGGGGGCGGTCCTGGGCATCGAGACGAAGCGGCACATTGAGGATACCCACTACTATCACAACCAGTTCAATCGCAACCATGGCGACATCAGGCGCCGGCACTAGACCGAGATCCTGCCAAGCCGGGGTCATGGCAGTTTGTCGGCGAGTTGTTCTTGCCCGTACAACGACATCCGCACCGCTTGACGGGCAACACGGCCAGTTTTGGATTCGATTTGACGATCGGCTCGGAGGTCCTGCAGCAGGACCGCCAGGGTGGCAGAGCGACAGGGTGACTTTCAGGTGCTTTTGGTGCACCCGAGAGGACCGGCCAGCCCGCCTGACTCGGGACGGCATCGGCTCGAGCGTTGGCTCCATCGTCGGCGACACATCACGTCATCGCGGAGGGAGATGCAGGGATCGCGCATCGGGACGGATGTCCGTGATGGCCGGGAAGGACATGGCATGGCGAGCAGGCACATGACGGGGGATGGCATCACGGGCTCAAAGACGGGCGGCATATGGAGCCAAGTCGGCGAGAAAGTCGAGTTGGAAGACGGTGAAAGGGAGTCGACTTGGAGGTATAGTGATGAGTGGGTCGGGTTGGAGTTATAGCGATGGGCGAGTCGACTTTGGAGCCAGCAGCCAGCAGCGGGCAGTCCCGGACCATGCCGGCGAGCCCGGTTGCATGACCCGGCAGCACAACCGAGCGCATCGTCTTTGCCCAGCGGCATCTCATCACCAGACCCCCACCCTCCGCGACGGCACTCGGCAAAGGATTGCTCCATCTCCGACCGGGTCCGGCATGTGCTTCCCGGGCGACTCCGACGGCGCGCGGGCCGACACAGCCGCCATCGGTCTTGCGAGGCCATGTCAGCAGCGGTGGTGTCCATCGCAGCGATGTCTGTCGTCGTGGGGGTGGTGGTGGCAAGATGTGTTCGCAGCAGCAGCAAGATATGTTTGGCGGATATCGACTTATCAGATCGACCCCTGCCCCGGTCACAGCCATCGTGCGCTGGCAGACACAGCAACGGCTCTCCACCGACACAGCAGGCCCCGCGCAGAGCAATCTCGGCGACCACAGACCATGCCGTCCTGGTGTCTTGGTCTGAGGCATCCAGCGAGCCAGTGCGCTTGCCAGTGCGCTTGCCAGTGCGCTTGCCAGTGCGTTTGCCAGCCAGCCTGTCGACGCATCCTGACAGAGTCGGCCAGTCAGGCGACACCCAGCCGAGGCACAAGCACGCCCGAGAGACAATCGCCCCAATCGAGCGGGGGGGGGAGCGAGGCCGTTCCTGGCCCAGTCGCCCTCGACCCAGCGCTCTCGACCAAGTCCTCGACCCAGCGCTCTCGACCAAGTCCTCTCCGTCCTCACAAGGCCATGTCTCGGCAGTGACATGGTTCCGTCGCAGACACACACAGCTCGCCGGGCCGAACGCCGACGCCGACGCCGACGGCGCACAGTGCCGGGGTGTGTGTGCGCAGCAGCACGCGCGGCGGAGATTCGCCGGCGAGGGCGCCCTCGCTGCCGCTCTCGCCGCGTTCTCGCCCCCGCCCCCGCCCTCGCCCTCTGCGGCTGAGCGCCGAGACGGAATTACTCACCCCCGGCCGTCGCTTATCAGACATAAGAACCCGCGGTCTGCGGCCTCGCCTTCATCGCTGCTGTCTGGACCGGTCTCGACGAGCCCTCGCAGCCGCTGCTCCTCCTGGCCCACCCCTGTCCTTGGTCCTGTCCTTGGTCCTGTCCTTGGTCCTGCCAAACTTTGATTGAGCCTGCTCTTCCCGCTCCGTCTTGCCCTATTCCCTCACTGCCTCTCGGACTGTGCTTGGCCATCTGCCTTCGTTTTTCTCTCTCCCCTCACATCTATTCATCTTCTCGATCCCCATCCCCTCTATCTGAGTTTGCTTCTCCACCATCTCTGCCATGGCCACCCCCACGACGCCTTCCATGAGGAAGATGGGTCGCATGTCCGCTCAGAATCTGGCCGAAGTTCTGGCCTCTATGCGCGACGACCCCAACAAGGCCCAACACACTCTCCTCGTTGCCAACCGAGGCGAGATTGCCATCCGCATCATTCGCGCTGCTCACGAGCTCGGCATGAAGGCCATCAGTATTTACTCGCATGAGGACCGTCTGTCCATGCACCGATACAAGGTACGTCGCGCTCGCGAGCTCCTCCGCCAGAACTGCCATACATCGTGGCTGTCGGTAGTCCTGTCTCGCTGTGGCGGTCACTGTTTCTTCTGGACGTCTTGCCGTTCTTGCCATCCAGCCGAGTTCTCTCATATCCGTCCGCTGTCTGTCAGCGGGCGCCAGTGGTTTTCCTGGCTGCGAGCCTCCATTTCGGACTCGGGTTGTCGTCCACAGCCGACTTTTGCTTTCGACTGACGCGTGAATCCTCCTGTTGTCTCCAATGCCATGCAGGCCGATGAGTCGTATCAGATCGCTCCTCAGGGCGTTTACACTGCCGTTGGTGCCTATCTGGCTATCGACGAGATCATCAAGATTGCCAAAGTCCACGGCGCGAATGTGATCCATCCAGGTGCGTTTTGCTCGCGTCTTTGCCGTGAATGATCTCGTTTGACCGCCGGGGGCCGGCTGGGCCCTCTGTCTGCTTCCATATTTCTTTGTCGTGCTGTTCTCGCCATCTCCCTTCTCGTGTCTTGACTTGCAGTTCTTATTTGATTCTGACAATTCCGTTGTGCAGGCTATGGCTTCTTGGCTGAGAACGCTGAGTTTGCTCGCAAGGTCGAGGCCGCCGGCCTTGCCTTTGTTGGCCCTCGACATGAGGTCATTGACTCGCTTGGCGACAAGACCAAGGCCAGAGACATTGGTATGAATGCCGTTCTATCTTCGATTGTGGTATCGGGCTCTCAAGCGGCGGCCGATAGAGCAGCCGGCATCGGGGCTGCCTGATTCGTTGGGCTGTATCTTGCCGCCCTTCCCGCTCTAGCGCCGATGCCCAGATGGCTCCGTGCGGCCCCTTGGTGCTATTCGCCATGCCTGTTCCCGACTGATCATCTGCTCTCGATCGTGACACTGTTGTTGCTGGTGATGGCTGCGCGTAGCCCTCAAGACCGGCGTTCCTGTCGTTCCTGGTACCCCCGGTCCCGTCAAGAGCCTTGCCGAGGGACATGCTTTTGTCAAGCAATACGGCTTCCCAGTCATCATCAAAGCCGCCATGGGCGGTGGCGGCCGCGGCATGCGAGTCGTCCGCGACGAGAGCTCTTTTGCCCAGCTCTTTGAGCGCGCTTCGTCCGAGGCTCTGGCGGCCTTTGGCGACGGCACTGTCTTCATCGAGCGTTTCCTCGAGCGACCCCGCCACATCGAGGTCCAAATCCTGGCCGATGGCTCCGGCAATGTCATCCACATGTTTGAGCGCGACTGCTCGATCCAGCGACGCCACCAGAAGGTCGTCGAAATGGCTCCTGCTCTCGATCTTCCCGTAAGTGCGATCGGTCGTGTTGCCACGGATGCTCAACCGCGACATTGATGGCTCACACAGCACTGCCAGTGGCGGGTCTGCAATGTGGGCCCCCGAATCAGCCTCGCTCCATCGGCCTCGCTCCATCAGCCTCGCTTGACATGGCGTGTGCCTCTCGTGCTTTGCAGCAGGAGCACTCCAAGCCGTTTCTCACCCGCATTCGTTACTTATGTCGTGCTATTGCTTTGTTTTTCTGTTCTAGGAACCGGTCCGTGCTGCCATCTTGGCCGATGCCATCAAGCTTGCCAAGTTCGTCAACTATCGCAACGCCGGCACGGCAGAGTTCCTCGTCGACCAGCAGAACCGCCACTACTTTATCGAAATCAATCCTCGCATCCAAGTCGAGCACACCATCACTGGTAAGGCCCCCCCCGTCCATTGTTTGGCGTCGACATCCTGCCAGCATTTTGGTCCTTGTCGCTGTCATTGCTTCGGGCGCTTGCTCAGGCTGCCCTCTCGGTTTGGCGGAAATGTCGTTGCTGATGTCGCGCTCTCTACTTTCGTCCATGCCCTCGGTTCATGTCGGGCAACCCACGCGGCCGGACAACAGAGGAGATCACCGGCGTGGATATTGTCATTGCCCAGATCCGCATTGCGCTTGGCGCCACTCTCGATCAGCTTGGTCTCTCTCAAGAGTCCATCAAGACCCGCGGCTACTCGATCCAGGCCCGTGTGACCACCGAAGACCCTTCGCGCCACTTCCAGCCCGACACTGGCCGCATCGAGGTCTATCGCTCCTCCGGTGGAAACGGTGTCCGTCTCGATGGCGGCCCGGGCTTCAGCGGCGCCATCATCACGCCCTTCTACGACTCACTCCTCGTCAAGGTTATTTGCACTGGCAGCAACTTTGAAGCTGCTCGACGCAAGCTTCTGTGCAACTTGCTCGAGTTCAGAGTTCGCGGTGTCAAGACCAACATCCCGTTCCTCATCCGTCTGCTGACCCACGAGACTGTAAGTACCACCCCGTTCGCTCCTGACGAGCGGCTCTCGGCTCTGGCCAGTGTGCTTGCTCTGTAGCGGCGTACACTTTGTCGTGGATGGCGTGCGATGCTCCAGATGCATGTCAAGCTGCAGCTCTGCCGACTCTGCTGCTGCTTTACTTGTTCGCGTTCTCATTCACGCTCGCTTCCTGCGCCTGCCGTTGTGTTTGCATGCTTTATCATGGCCGTCCATCTTATCTGACATCTGCCGCGCTCCCGCCTCAATCCACATGCAACTTGTCATGGCCAGTTCTCCTCTACCGGCAAGCTCTGGACAACCTTCATCGACGACACTCCAGAGCTTTTGATCGGCAACGAGACCAAGAACCGCGGCCAGAAGCTCTTGCGCTATCTCGGCGACCTTGCCGTCAACGGCAGTCGCATTTCTGGCCAGCAGGGCCTGCCCCAGCTCCAGGACACCATTTCCGTGCCCAGTATCCCCGGAGTCTCGGACGACGATGCTACCATCCCCTGCCAAAGCGGTTGGCGCAAGATCTTTGTCGAGAAGGGTCCAGAGGCCTTCTGCAAGGCAGTCCGCGCACACCGTGGAGCCCTCATCATGGACACCACCTGGCGTGATGCCCACCAGTCTCTGCTGGCCACCCGAGTCAGAACCATCGACATTGCCAAGATTGCTCCGGCAACCTCCCATGCCTTCCAGAATGCCTTTGCCTTTGAAATGTGGGGCGGCGCCACCTTTGATGTTGCCCTGCGCTTCCTGCACGAGTGCCCCTGGAAGCGTCTGGAGGCTCTGCGCCGCCTGGCTCCCAATGTGCCCTTCCAGATGCTACTGAGAGGTGCCAACGGCGTTGGGTAAGTCTCCGTCAGCACAACGCAGCGTAGCGCAATATAGCGCAACATAGGCTGATCGGCGTATCCCGTGTGCCACCCGTCATCGACGAAGCCGAGATCTGGTGCAGACACTGACACCTCTGATTGCTCGATAGATACACCAACTACCCCGACAATGTCATCTACGAGTTCTGCAAGGTCGCCAAGGAGAAGGGCGTGGATATTTTCCGTGTCTTTGACTCGCTCAACTACATTGACAACCTCAAGGTTGGCATCGAAGCTGTGATCAAGGCCGGCGGTATCGCCGAGGGCACGATCGCATACACTGGCGACGTCTCAGACCCCGAGCGCAAGAAGTACGATCTCAAGTACTACCTGGACCTCACCGACCAACTTGTCGCCGCGGGCACCCACATCCTCGGCATCAAGGACATGGCGGGTCTGCTCAAGCCCAAGGCCGCTCGTCTCTTGGTCGGTGCCATCCGCCAAAAGTACCCTGACTTGGTCATTCACGTCCACACCCACGATACCGCCGGTACCGGTGTTGCCACCTACCTGGCTGCCGTCGAGGCTGGGTAAGTGCTGGGCGACGATCGTGTGTGTGTCTTGGGATCGCTTCTCGGTATAGATGAAGCTAACATTCTTGCATCTTGGGCTTCTTTTCAAACGTAGTGCTGACGTTGTTGACGTCGCTGTCGACAGTAAGTAGGAGGATGTAGTCACGCCCTGTTTTCGGCTAGCATCAGCCCACTGTCGCCAATCCTCGTGGGCGACACCAGCACAAGGAGGTACTGATCACTTTCCCTTGTGTTTCCTCCTATCCATAGGCATGTCCGGCCTCACCTCGCAGCCTTCCATGGGTGCCGTGATTGCCGCCGTCGAAGGCACCGATGACCACACTGGCATCAACCTCGACTCGGTTCTGGCCATCAACGCGTATTGGGAGCAGATCCGCCTGCTGTACTCGTGCTTCGATCCCAACGTCAAGAGTGGTGACTCGGGCGTCTATCTGCACGAAATGCCTGGTGGCCAGTACACCAACCTGCTCTTCCAGGCCACCCAAAACGGTCTCGGCACCCAGTGGGACGGTATGTACAATCATGGAGTGCTTTGTTCTGCCGGTCTGCGTTACTTTGACGGGAGGGAATCTGGTTCATCGAAGTGAGGCATGTGGAGAAGGCACACACCCCGGACGGCGCACCCAATGTCAATGTCAAGAGCCATGCTGACAGAGTTTCGCATCCAATCACTGGCAACACAGAAATCAAAAAGGCCTACGCCGTCGCCAACCGCCTCTGCGGCGACATCGTCAAGGTCACGCCCTCGTCCAAGGTTGTCGGTGACTTTGCCCAGTTCATGGTCTCCAACAAGCTCACCGAGCAGGACATCTATGACCAAGCCGAAACGCTCTCGTTCCCCAAGTCGGTCCTGGAGTACTTCCAGGGTCTCCTTGGCCAGCCGTCGTATGGCTTTGTTGAGCCTCTGCGCACCCGCATCTTGACCGGAAAGAGCCTCAAGGCCATCCACGAGCGTCCCGGCAAAAACCTTCCCTCGCTCGACCTGAATCTCCTCAAGCAGGATCTGGAGGATCACTGGGGCCGCGGCCTTATCGATGACCAAGACGTCCTGAGCGCCGCCCTCTATCCCAAGGTGTTCGAGCAGTTCAAGCGCACCGAGGACAACTACGGCGATCTTTCGGTGCTCCCCACCCACCGCTTCCTGTGTCCGCTCAAGGTCGGCGAGGAGTTCTCGTTCATGATTGCCAAGGGCAAGACTCTGATCATCAAGCTGATTGCTATCGGCCAGCTCCACGAAGAAGCCGGCACCCGCGACGTCTTTTTCATGCTCAATGGCGAGGCTCGTGTGGTTTCGGTCCTTGACGACGCAGCCCAGGACCTGCTCAAGTCCAGCGGCAAAACCCGTCCCAAGGCCGACCCTTCGGACAAGCTCCAGCTCGGCGCGCCCATGCCTGGCTCGGTCCTGGAAGTCCGTGTCAAGGTCGGCACCGAGGTCAAGCTCGGCGACCCCATCGTTGTCCTCAGTGCCATGAGTAAGTACATTCCGACTGTTGCTTTGGGCAAATATGGCCTGCCCGGTGCCGCTATAGACCAAACTCCCCCCCCCACTAACCTGCAACTGCACTTTCCGACTCGCAGAGATGGAGACTGTTGTCACTGCCACGGTAGCAGGCGTTGTTTCCCAGGTTCTGGTCAACGAGGGCGACTCGCTCAACGCCGGCGACCTGATCATCAAGATCGACAAGAAGGAGTAAAGCTTCGCCCCCATCCATGATCGCGGCCCTTCCTTTACCCGGGTGTGTTGGGGGGCTCCCTTGCATGTACGCTTCAATGCTCTTCGGCCAGCGGTTCTGTGGAGCGACCTGCGTCCCCCCCCCGGCGTGAGAGGGGAGGGTACCTTTGCGTTTCCCTATTTGACTTACTCCTTTTCATCACATTTTGGTTGATTGTTCCTGTTCATTTCCTTGAGATTATCGATGGGGCATGTTGGGGTGCTTGGACAAATGCAATAATATATTCCGACTCGCCCCCCCCCAATTCCCTGTGGGAAATCTGGTGATCTCGAGACGGCTCGCGGGCCGATCATGCTCGATCCGGCCGGAAGTTTGCTGGCCAGCCGAATCTGCAATTTCGAGGGCACTCTGAGCTCGCCTCGTTGTCCGACAGAAGCGCTCTTGCTCTTGCTCTTGCTCTTGCTCTTGCTCTTGCTCCGTCCCTCTCAATACGGCACTCGAGGCAGTGAACCAACTCCAGCCAGACGAGCTGCAGCCCCCCCCCCGACACCGTTTAGCAAGCCAGGCAGACATACATACATACATGTCGTCCACAAAGACCAAGCCAGGATCGCAAGGATCCGCCGGCACACAAGGGTTGAGGGGAACATCGCCGAAAAAAGCCGACTCGGGTCAAAGACAGACCAGTCGAGGGGCCGTTCGCCCTGACGCCAAGGCCGGCAAGGCGCTCAAGACCAAGCAAAAGGAAGCATCCGAGACCGGGCTCGGAGGAGACGTAATGGCCGCTTTGTCCCGAGCATGGCTCATCGCATATAGTCGGCGAGCGGCGTTGCGAGCCGGGTTCGCCTGCGACCAAATCCACGAATATGTCGTGTTAACACCGTCGCTTGCTGTCCTTGCTATATCTCACGGACGCCAGTCCGATGACACCAAGCTTGCCTGGACATTTATAACCTCAGAGAACATCGACGAACTCGGCAACTTGGATTTCGAGGAAATGCACAGGTGGAGGCACCCCCTGCGACGCTCCTGGCGGAAAGTACGCGAGTCTCCCCGGACGGTCCAGTCGATTAATCTAAAATGTCTGCATCTTCTCACCAGCAAACTCGCCACAATTCTCTCAATCCACAACTGGAAGGACGACCTCCAGGCCAACTGTCTGCTCGCATTCCATATGAGCAACTTTATGTGGGTATCCAGGAAACCGCCGTCCGGGTAGCAGCTCGACACGCGTGAGAACGATCGTGGCGATAATCGCCGAGGGCATCATGGGTGCGAGAGGCGTTGGCCGCCCAAGCTCGCAGCACTGGTAAAGATGCCCCATGGCCAACCAGATGGGCATATAGTAGATACAGATGCCAAACCTTGCGCTCAAAGAATCTCAGCTCCAGATGGACGCCTACACTGCCACGGCCCTGTGGGATGGCCAGCCTGCGACTGCAGCATCTGCAGACTAGACCATCGACCAACTGCTTTATTGACCTCGGGCCCCTCTGAACGCCTCTTAGGTGGGCCAAGGATAACGGATTTAATGCTCGCCAGATCTCCACGTTCTTCTCGATCATGAAGTTCCTGCTCGACAAGACAATCTGTAAGTATCGTCCACAGGCAAACCCGCACCATCACTAGCCCGGCGACTTCCATAGAGCACAGGCCAGGCGATTCTTTGGTGTCGAACGGTGGATTTACTTTTACTGTACGACCTGCTGCGTCGGATCGCTCTGCGACTCGCCGCTCCAAGCCGACGGCTTGACTGCCACAAAGGCCATGGAGCTGTTTCAGACCTATATCTGCTATGAAACCATGCCAATGAGCAGCAGCATCGGCGGCGGAGGAGGATACGAAAACGAGTCACAGTCGTTTACGCTCAAGGAGGCCATATCTATCACCGATTTTGTCACCACGACGTTAGTATCGGCGGATCGCAGAGTGTGTGCTTGTGGTCAGCACAAAACGAGCTCGCGCTCGACTCGGATAGATGTACATCACCTCTTGGTCCATCTAAATCGATGCTGGCTCTCAAACCCCCACTGTGGTTTCGTCTCGGTCTTTCTTATTTCTACCTTGGAATGCCTTCTGCCGGATAGTTTCATGCAACACTTTCGGCTTGTGCAGTGCGTTTTTGTTACCGATCAAGACAAGCTCGACGTCGAGACCCAAGTCAGTGTCGAGAAGCCCATGTGCCCAAGGCCGCTGGCTGAAGGCATGACGCTGCTGGCGTGGGAGGCTGAAGAAGCACTCAAGCGAGAAGCCGAACGCCGCGAACGGGAGGAGCTCGAGCGTCGGCTTGCCGAAGAGCGTGCAAAGAGTAAGTCGTTCCGGCTCTGGACGCCTGTTCTATCTCTGTCCCCCCCCCTCATGCACCTTCGTTGTCGCTCGAGCGAGGGTTTGGCTTCAGCCGAGCTGAATGGAACTGGGGCTCTTGTATTTCGCCCCGCTGCCTGGACCAGATTTCAACCCTTTCGAAGTCCTCACGAACGAAGAGATCAAGCACATCACCACCGAGGTTATCCAAAACGCACTTGGGTCGATCTACCACGAGATCGATACAGTCGTAGAGACCCACAAGCAGCGCCAACTGGCCTCGCTCGCCGGATACATCAAGGAGGCACCATAGAGGCTTGCTCGAACGCAGAGGAGCAGCCTGTCCCTGAGCGCCCCTCAACGACCGGTTGGCCCCGGTGGGCAGGCCGTGAGATTGCACTGCAGTCTTTGCTGGCGATTCAGTGGGTTTTGTTTGGCTTCGGGAGCACAGTCTTGAATCCATCGCGATGTGGGAACGTGGGGCATGTATTGGACCACCTGGACAGCTCCATGGCTTCTCGATTTCAAGACACTCGGGTGGCCCGGGTAACTCGAATTGCTCCTCCTCCAGTCTCTTTGGGACACACTGTTTGGCGATGGTGGGGGCGGATGGACGATGTGCATTCAGGTCCGGAAAGTACCGACAGTCCCTGGTCGTTTGGATGATACGTTGCAGCGTTTGGGAGTCGGTGCCTGGCCAGTGGGATGAGCATTCCACTCATTGCCATGAGCTCGAGCCATCCTGCTTTCCAGACTCCTCGCATGGATGCCGGGCGGAGAGCAGCGCGAGCTTTCCATCTTTCATGATGGCCTTTGCGTTGTCGGCTCGTTTTGAGCGATAGAGTTGGCAACCCGGTTTTGGCGGAGCATCTGACTTCGGTCCCGCACCCGAGTTCGGTCATCCTCGATCTGCTGCAGAACGATATCCCTTCGACTCTCGACTGGGGCCGATGGCGTTCACGGCAGAGATCGCAATTGGAGGTGTCAGATGGCCCCAACCGAGTATGCAGCACGCGCGGGTGGTCAAGACGGCCGGGCCTACCTTGCTCTCTCGCCTTGGCAGCACGACGGGTCTGCTGTTGGTAGTCCAGTGTGGCTTCGCTTCGCAGCTTTTCCAGGTCTTGCTGGAACTTGAGCAGAAAAGCCAGGGTGGCATCGTCCAAAGCGTGCGAGTATTCCAAAACTTCTTCAAACTCGCGAACCCGCACGAGGAAGCCCAGCATGACCAAGCAGTCGACCGACCCGGTGAGGTTGAAGAGCGACCCTGCAAGCCTTTTGTTTCGCAGACGGATCAGCCGGTACTTGTCCTCGGCGGGGAACCTGATCAGGTTGCCGACCAGCTGGTCGAGGATAGCAATGCCCTCGAGTGCGGCTGGCAGTGGATTCTCGGCAAACAGGGTCGTGCGGATGTGCTTGGAAAGCAGCTTCAGGAGCTCGTCGTCGCTGGCCCGCTTGGACCTGTGGGCAGTGTGCATAGTGCAGAATAATCGGGCGCGGGCGAGAGGACACCTGTGTCTGCCCACCCGCCCGGGGTTATCATTCCGTTCTGTTCGCCGGTGCTGCTCATGCGCTCCCACCGACCTTTGGCTTCGTGGTCGCAGCGATGTGAGCAACAGCAGTGGCGCTTCCCGCAGTGCCGCTGTGTCCAGCAGCCGCCCCCGGCGTGGGCCCCACGTGCGCCGCCGCGCACATGACCGCCGTGGCCGGACACGCCCAAAACCCCGCCGAGCCGATCTTCGCCCGCCCTGGAAAGCACTCCTCTCATCCCCCCGCCGACCCTGTCCCCGATGGACGACGACGACTATATCGAGTACCAGAAACGGGAGGAGCTGGCCGTCGCCGGGCCTTCTGCAAGCGTCCCACCGCTCGCGCCGACCCTCCTCTCAGACAGCATCGCCTATGCAGTTTCGTATCTCGCCACGACGGCCCGCATCTCACTCCGAGCTGCTGCTCTGGTCGCCGATACAGGTGCGCCTGTCCGCTCCGGCATCTCCCGCAGATGCGGGGTACTGCAATTGCACTTGTCTTGAGCCTCGCTCTTGTTCAGCGACTATATCTTGGTGGCAATGCCGCCCCGGGAACGGCGAACGAGTGATCTGGATGCCACTGCCTCGCCCACCCATGTCTGTGGAGAACCCTGGGCGGCCTCACTGCACCAGGCCGCCTTTCAGCGCTTGTCCACTCAATGCCCCACTCTGCATCTCAGCCCTTGAAGGTGCCAAGATTGGAACGAGTGCGTCACTCGGTGCTGGCCGGGCTGCCATCGTCGGTGCTCTCACGACGGCTCGATCAATCCACTATGCGCTGGCACCGCCCATGAGCAACAGCAGCGAGGGCACGCCGACGTCTGTATCGCTTGACCATTCGCCGAGAACATCATCCTGCGACTGTCTCGGGTGCCTCGCTATGGCTTTGTTTGCAATCGGCCGGAATCTGACCAGTTACATGCCTTGGTTTCGCTCAGTCCCCAGCACATTGCGCTCTTCCATCGGGCTCTGGAGCAGTACACCAACATGAGCATCAGCTTTGTCAACCACAGCTTCACCCTGACTGAGCTCTTTATGTTGGCGACATTCCACCTCACCACGAAGGTTCGTTGCAGCCCTGAGTTGGCTTCTGCCCATCGCTTGGTCCGCAGCAGCATCAGCACCAGCAGCACCAGCACCAGCACCAGCAGCACCAGCAGCAGCAACCAGGAGCTTGAGTCGGCCGTGGTTTCTGCTAATCTACCACACATGATTTCTTGATGCGCTGTGGCGGAAATGCGTCGCGAAACACTGCCCACTCCACCACTTCCATGTGCTATAGACCGTCAAGTTCTCTCTGAATGTACGTATCTGCCATTGCGCTCGCCTCGGCGTGGCTGGGTGTCCGATCCGCTGGCCTGTCTTCATGTGATTGTCATGCTCGAAAACCCTCTGCTCGACCTATCAGACTGGTGTCGAGTGGATGGGCAGCGGAGGGAGGCTCCGAGGCACTTGAGGCTCGAGCAAGTCGGTGCTCCGCTGGCACACGGGTGTCCATCTGCCGATTTGGACATCCTGTCGATTTGGAGATCTGCCGCTGAATGGCTGTTCGCTCATCACGGCTGCCCATATTCCAACACTGCTCTTGAAAATCTGTAGGCGGCTGAAGAAACCGTTGCCACCTTTGACGGGCTCTTTGGGTCGACAGAGACCTCCCGGACCCTGGCCACGTTCGTGCAGCTTGTGCGTCAGGAGCTCAACGAACTTGGCGAGGGCTCCGGGCTCCTTCTCCCGTCGGGCATTTTCAGCAGCACCATCAGCACAATTCTTCTGCTCGGCGGCCTCACCAAGGCCATCACCGCCTACGCCTGTCTGCAGTATGTCACTCGCGAGCGTACCATGGCGTCCCGCAAGCTCATCAAGCTCTACGAAGGGATCGTCCACTTCTATGGCGATGACCAGCACAGCCACTCGGAGGAGCTTCTGTTGACTTGGGACACCCCAGAGCCTTCGTCTCTGTCCCCAGAGGAGCCCTCGCCGCCGCCCGTCCCCACTAAAGACGCCGATGGCATCATTGATCAGGTCAACTTCCTCCGCCAAGACATCGAAACGATCGAGCACATCGACGAAGTCATCAGCGAGGGTCTTTTGGAAGAGGATGTCCATGCGCACACAGACTTGGGCCGCGACGACGATGACCTTGTCTCCAATCTCGACTTTTTTCATCACCTTGCCGACGACTTTTCCGAGCAGGCCGGCGAGCAGTTTGCCATGACGGTCTCGAGCCAGCAGGCGATTTCGGAGCAAGGATCTGCAGGCCACAGCCCCGCGCATTCTCCACATGCAACATCGTTTGAACCGAACGACGACTATGGCATGTATCCCTCATCGCCTGAATCAACCAAATCAAGACCTTCTTTCTTTTCCAACCTCTTCCAGAAACTCTCATTCAAGCGAAAACACTCTGCCGACTCAAACTCGCACGCCTCCTCGTTTTCCGTATCCTCTGCGGCGTCGCATCCGGATCACAAGCACATCAAGAGCGGAACTGTGAGTCTTGGGTCCAGGGAGGTGGCTCTCGGGGGTCGCAGATGGCCCAGGTTGCTTCAACGAGGTCCTGTGTTGCTACGGGTTCAATGCACAACCATTGATTTGTTGCTGATATTCGCTCGCTCGCTCTCCCTACCCCCCACTGTATGTCGATCTCTGCGATGTCACTGCAGCTTCCAAGTGCATCACAGCCCATCCAGGTCCGCGCACACCATCGCGCCGGCCCGTCCTCTAACGGCTTTGCTTCGCCTCGAATCGTCAGTCCGGGTGCCTCATTCGATCATCCTTCGCGCCACACCCGTGCTGGAACCAGCCATTGGCCCGATCCCTATCTACTCAAGAACATCAATCGCTTTGTCAAGTTTGCTTCCGCAGCATACGGGCGCCACTTTATGAACGTCTTTGGCATCGGCGTCGTCTCCGACGTTCGCACCACCGACCCTGATTATCCGGAAAACCACTATGTGTTCTCGATCCATACCGGCATCCCGCTCAACTGTATCCTGCTATCGTCTTACAAGAAGGGCGGCGTGGCTTTCCAAGCACCTCGGATGAAGCCTGTTCAGCACTTTGTGTGCCTCGACCACGCTTCCAAAGCCGTGGTGGTGACGCTCCGTGGAACTCTGGGGTTGTCTGACACACTCACGGATCTGTTGTTCGCATACGCCGACTTTCAATTCGAGGGCGAGACCTACCAAGTTCACGAAGGCATGCTCAAGTCGGCCCAGCTGATTGCCGACCCGACCTCTGTCATATCCAAGGTCGTGAGAAAGACCCTGGATGAGTACCCTGGCTATGGCGTTGTACTGGTACGTTCAAGGCTTGCATTCGTGCTTCGCTTGTGGTGGTCCGCATTGGCGACAACGTGCACGCGCAGGACCCTTCGACGCCTAGCCTTGCAGCAGCTGATGATGTGTGCCGCTCAACGTCCCATGGGAGTGCGTCAGGCGAGATGCAGAGTAGTCACTGATGTTGTTGGCGAACTGTGTCCTTTGATAGTGTGGTCACTCTCTCGGCGGTGGCGTGGCTGCCCTTGTGGCTATGATTTGGGCCACAGCCGCCTCGTCGCTCTCGGCTCGCATTCCGACGGTGTTTGCCACCTCGACGGCTTCTGGCTTGCCCACAGGCCGACCCATCCACTGCTTTGCTTACGGCACCCCGTCGGTGTGCTCGCTTTCTCTGTCTCAAGCCTCCCGCGAGCTGGTGACGTCGGTAGTGAACGGCAATGATCTGATCCCCAACCTGTCGATCGGGATCGTCAAAGACCTGAAGAGCATGTCAATGATGCTGCTCGATCCCGAAAACAAGGGTCTCTCCGAAAAGATCATTGGCAAGTCCCTTGGCCTCTATCGCGACAGCCCTACCACTGCTGCCCTTTCGCGGTCCGGTGAAGGCTCTTCGTCCGGCACACCATCGTCCCCGCCTCCGCGCCCGACGATGCCCTCGCACGGCTCTGCTCCTGCCGCCCAGTCATCGTGGTTTTACGGCTCGCCACCAACGTCCTGGTTCTTTGGGTCGCCTTCCTCGTCCGCTGCCGCTTCGGTTCCAGTTCCGGCCCCTATTTCAACTCCCCAGGCGCCGTCGGTGCCCTCCTCGCCGCCAAACCCTTCGTGGTTTACGCAGCAGTCTGTACCGCATCTGAAGGACAGGACCAAGCTCCCCCCGCAAGACCCCGACGAAAGCGACCAAGAGTGGTTCTGGGACATGATGACCGAGATCAAGTCGACCATGCGCTCCGAGAAGCTGTATCCTCCTGGCACGGTCTATTGGGTCCGATCGGTGATGACAACGACAAAAACTCGCCATAAGCCTTCACTGGCACCGCGCCAAACGAGCAGCAAGTCCAGTCCCTCTGGCCTTGACGCCGCCGCTGTCAAAGGCGGTCCGGCCTCGAGCAAGCACCAAAGCCTGGAGATTATGACGAGCCGGGTCGAGTGCTCTCGGGTCGAAGATGTATGCCAAATGTTCGGTCAGCTGAACTTTTCCTCCAAGATGATGATGGACCATTCGCCCAAGTCCTACGAGGATACACTGGAGCGTCTGATGCAGTGTGTCTACGGCAGCGTTCACGCGGATGCAGCTGCGGCCAGCTCGGGATCTCGGCCTTCGGCTCGCCACGAGCGCTCACAGGCGGCCTCCTCATCTGGCTTGACAGTTTTGTCCGATGCTCAAGCCCAGCCGTCTCGCAAACACCGCTTCCGCAAGTAGATTCAACATGGGGCGGGGCTAAATCCTGCCTTCTGGAGGACATCTTGTCTGGGAGCGGGAGAGAGGAGGGGAGTGATCGCTTGGTTCTCCGTCCGGCTCCTATATAGTGTCTCGTCTTGTCCTCATCCTTGACTTCTCTCCATTGTCGTTGCTTCTACCTTCTGTCCTTGATCTCATGATGTCATTTGTTTCTTGCTTGTCTCCTTCTCATGATTGCCGATTCTGGTCGTGGCCCGCTCTCCCTCATGCTGCGGCATCACCGCGGCACTCGCTCACGCATCACTATGCTTTGATGGCTGGGATACTCCCCAGCCGGAGCTGCTTCTCTGCAATGACGGCGATCGTACCCTTGGCTGCTTCAATCGAGGGCACATGCCCTGGAATGCGGGTGACGCAGCAGCTCCGGCGAGGCAATGAACAGTGCGCATGGGTGAGGACTGTTCCCTTACGCCGTGTTCCACCCATCGTCCGCTGTGTCCATTTACCACTAAATGCAAACGTGATGCGAGATCCACTCGTTTCAGCGGGCTAGGCTTGGTTGGTACGTTCCTCAACTGAGCTGTATTGGGCCGTGCTGCCAGCTTGGTATGCCGAGTTCATCCACATGGTCACAAACGTTTTGCGGGGGGGGGGATGCAACTTACACGCCCGCCCTCTCGCCCCTCCCTCTCATTCAAGCACGGTCCGGACTGGCGACGCCATCAAAGTTGATATGGGGTTCTTCGGATCTAGAGCTCGTCGTCTTCAGTAAAGTCGCCGTATCGCCACATGTTGACCTGCCAGAGACGGAAACAAAGATCATCATCGTGAGTGATCGGGACGGATCGACTGGCGATACATATGCGCGAGACTGGCTCGGTCATGTGGCCCCGAGCTGTACCGGCTGCAAGCCAGCTGCACATACCCTGCTCCTCTTAGCCTTGTCCTGTGCATCCAGAAGGCTGTCCAAAACCTCGTTCTTGGAGCCAGCAGCGCGGTCGCGGTGGTACTTCTTGACGATATCCTTCGAAACCGTTGCCAGACCCTCGTACACCAGGTCTTCGTTGATGCTGATCTTGCTGTCGCTGCGTTCATACAAAACGACGTTCAGCGCAGTACCGCTTCCAACTGCACTGGCGACGTTGCCCAGTATCTTGGCATGCACAGTGCGGCCCTGGACAACTTCAGTCAGGAAATCGCGGGCCTCGTGGCCCCAGTCCTCGCCAAGCTCGGCCACACGCAGATAGGCCAGACGGGCCTCCTGGGCTTGGGGCTTCAGGTCTTGGATGCCAAAGGGAGCGACGAGAGGACGCACGTTTGAGAAAGGCAGGTCCTCGGTGTTGCCGTAGTCGATGTAAAAAACGTGGAGAGATCGGTCCGGGTTGATTCGGCGAATGCGAGCGCGGTACCAGCCCTGGTCGGCTGCCGACTTGGCGATGCAGAGCTCGCCCGACTTGGGGGTGTATCCGGCACTGGCAGAGGCAGGAGCCCTGCTCTGATAGGTTGCCAGGTCGTTCATCAGTTTCTCCAGTCTCTGGATCTCTACAATGACGAATCATCCAAGTGATGATGATGATGATGATGATGATGATGATGATGATGATGATGATGATGATGATGATGATGATGATGATGATGATGATGATGATGATGATGATGATGATGATGATGATGATGATGATGATGATGATGATGATGATGATGATAGAGGAAGGTTGCAGGCATTTAGTTGACGGGTAGATGGGCTTATGCACTCGTGGATCGTTCAGGCAAACAGCGGTCTTGCGTCCGGTGGTGCAGATAGATCAAATCGGACGCCGCAACCTTTGCAGCAATGCCTTCGATGGGCGGGGATAGGCAGCACTCTTACCGTTGTTCAGCACTTGAACATATAGCGTTCCGCGACCGAGGATCTCGCTCACTACAAGATCCCGAGACTCGGTAACAGTGGCCGCAGCAGTCTCTTCGGGAACCTCCTGGGCCCAGTTCTTCTCCAAGCTCCACAGGCCTCGGCGAGCATCCTTGGCCTTCTGCTCGGCTTCGATCAACTCGCGACCAAAGGGGCTCTGTTGAGCACTGTACTCGTGGACACGGGCAAAGCCTTGTTCCAGAATCAGGGAAGCAACGTTCTCGGTCTTGGCCTGTGCGCCAGATCCGGTGGTCAGGAACAGAGAGCCGATAAAGCCACCGACCTTGTCCTGCGACTCGACCTGGAACTGCACGTCGCGCTGGAAGAGCTTCTTCATAGCCAGCTCCAGACCTTCGTTTCCAAACGGCTCGGCTGTCTCGCCGGGGCGTCCACCGGCTCTGGGTGCACGCAGGCCGCCCAGAACAAGAGTAATCTTGATGTTTTGACTGGGAACAAAGATACGGTATCGGGATCCGCTGGCAATGTTCTCGACAACACCAGCGACTCGGCCAGCCCGCTGCAGCGAAGCAAAGAACTGCTTGGCTTTGGCGGCGCTCTCGGATGCGTTGATTGGCTCGCGGTAGGTCGGCAGCTCCTTGACGGGGCCACCGTTGGCAGCACGCTCCTCAGCGACTTTGATGGCGTGCACACCCTTGCCAGCAGCCAGGGCCTTCTCCTCGGCGAGAAGGAGCTGGTCATAGGCCGAAGCACGGTTGTCATCATCCTTGCGGTGGCGCATTACAAAGGCCAAGCCCTTGGTGATCAGGGCCTCGGCAATGTTGGTATTTCCGGATCGGATGGTAGCACAGTGTCGCTCGTCAAACTCGCCCTCGGCGGGCTTGATGTAGTCGATGTTGATGTGAACCTGCTTGCCGATCAGACGGGAGCGCAGGAACTCCTTGGCTTCGACGGCAAAGTATTGCTCCTTAGCATCCTTGAGCTTGGGGGGTCGGACGCTGGCGAGCGAGATCTTTCGCTCGGCATGGGTGGCGACGTTCTCGACCTGGACGGTGTCAGCCGTCAGGATACGGGTGACGATGGCGTCGAATGAGGTCTCAGATCCAGCAGTGCTTTTGACGGGGGTTTTGGCGACATAGTCCTTCCAGAGGCGCACTTTGCGCTCCTTTGCCTTTTGCTCCGCGGCCCGGAGCTTTTGTGGGCCACCGGTTACCATGGTGATGGTCCAGTCGACAACTTTGGCAAGGCCCTCAGCCACCAAAGCCTCGGAGATGTTGCCCATCGGGAACTGAACGGTGCCGATGAAGGTGTTTTGGCTGGAGAGGCCCTCAAGCTGGATCTTGACATCGCGGTTCAGCAGACGAGACTCCACAAAATACCTTGCCTCTTCACTATAGGGCTCGAGGAGGTCTGGGACGCCTGGGACGTCTTTTCGGTAGATGGGTGCTTTGACACCGGAGAGCTGCAGAGTGATGAGCTGGTGCTGAGTGTCCGAAAGGAGCAGACAGACACGGAAGGTAGATCCTGCATGAGAGGGCCGGGTCAGCCAAGGGAGCCAAAGGAGCAAGTGCGCACGCGATCGTTTGGCAACTGACATGCAATACAGGCCACGCATGGCTCGAGCAACGCACAGCTACCCCGGCGCGGAGGGTTTGCGTACCATCTCGAACTTGCTCGATAATCGCTGGAGAGAAACAAGGTGCGTCAAAGAAGCAGGTGGATTCGTCAGAACACAGCGATAGACTTCATATCATACAACCACAGGTACAAGGCTCACCGTCGATGGGCTTTCCCTTATACTGTTCCAGGAATCGGCGGGCGTCTTCTGGGGGATTGTACTCTACCGAGCGGGTCTGCGAAGACATATGATGGATTATGATCAAACTCCAAGCCATCGAGCCGATATACACACAAACAAGCGGGAGTTGCGATAAGACAAAATAGGGCATGGATGGCAGACAGTGTAGTCTACGAGCCACTGTGGCGATATCGTGATGGTGATGTTGGGAGAAGGAAGGGAGGGGGAGGGCGAGGGCTTGGCGTCGGATTGTCACTCACCACTTCGGTTCCAGACCAGAGGCCGATTTGGGCAGTGCGGGCAGTCTCCTCCAGGGCCAGCAATTCTATTTGCTCACTTGTGCCCAAAGATCCATAGCAAATCCATTCCATTTGCATGTCCAAAATGGACACAAGCAGAGCCAAGGTAGTCGGTTAGTTTTGGATTACTGGCCGAGGGATGGCCTGTGCTTCTGTTTCAATGTCGAGGCCGTCGCGATCTATGGCGACTACTTTGGGTCGATTGCCCAGGCGCACACGATTGGTCCACACGGGAAGGAGTGGTGCAATATTGTACAGAACCGATCGGCGATTCTTCCCTCTTTGGCTCAAGTGAAGCGAGCAGAGGAAATAAACACCGGGGCTCAGGAGCAGCACTTACTCGGTGGGGGCCCGTCGACCATCCACTGGCTTGGCTTTGGCCAGACCTTCTTTGATCAGCAGTCGGGAGACATTGGTCTCGCCATTGATGGCAACCGGGATGATCAAGTGTCCGAAATCGCGTTGAGAATTGGTCGTGTACTCGACCTTGAAGTTGACTTCCTTGCCGACGAGGAGTCGTCGAAGATACTCCCGAGCTTCGAATCCAAAAGGCTGAAGGACGGGCAGGAGCGATGATATGGTGAGTGCCGTGGCAAATGGACAAATGCAAAACTGCCCGGGGATCGGAGAGAGATCCTTGCGGACGTTGTGGAATAGCAAGCTCGCGAGTCGAAGCGAAAGTATACCTCCTCCTTCTCGGGCTCTCTCTGCGAGCCGATGCGGGGAACAACGAGGTTGGCAAACGAAAAGATCTTCTCGGGAGGGGGGCCCTGAACGGGGCGGCCACGGAGGACAACGGTGTCGCCCGAGATAACGTTCTTGACAATAACTTTTCCAGAGGACGGGAAGGACATCTCTGCAGGATCTGACGGCGAGAAGGAGGAGGAAGATCAGCGACCAGGGATGCAGATCAATTCAGGGGAGGCGGGGTGGATCTGATCTGGGAGCCGCGCCGGCTGTGGCTTGGGCACGGCGCGCATTTGTGCTGGGGCGTGTGCTGATTGGCCAGGGGCGCTCTCTGCGCCGCTGACCCAATGTGCGTCACGGGGCAGTGAGACGAGGCGATCGCGAGAGCCGCTTGGAGCTGAACAAATCGCTTGGTCTCCCATGTGAGTCCTGGGCGCCGGGCGTCTCTGGTGGTGGTGGTGGTGGTGGGTGTATATTCAGGACCCAGAGAAGTGACATGCAGGACTCAATAAGGTATCCCCCGGCTTTCGTTTTGTCGAAATAGGGCAGCTGGCTCATGCAACAGCGACAGCGATGGTGGAGAGCGCCGCCCGTCCAAGACAGACCACCACCCCCGGGGTCGGCCAAGGCTCAAGTCCGCGACTCAGTCCAAAAAAAGAGGAGACATAGCAGGAATCAAAATTCACAGATCGGAAAATTACATACAGCAACAGCAACAGCATCAGGAGCAACGTGGGCTGGGACGCAGCCCAGGTCACTTTTTTATCACCCCAAACCGCTCCTGAAACTTGTTCAGACACCGCTCGAGCTGATCAAGCACTTGCATGCTCGTCAGCTCCTCGATTGGCGGATCGGGAGAGAGGCCTCCTGAGGCCGAGGGGCTCGACTCTGCGCTTTGCAGCGACTCGATGCTATCGCCCCCGCTCGAGTTGGCTGAGCTGACCGAGTTGGCGGACGATGTCGACGGGCGGGCTTGGGTCGCCAAGAACGGGAGTCGGTCGGTCGGCGAAAATCGATCGTCGGTGCTCGCTAGCGAGACCTGGAACCGGGTGATGTAGTCAGACAGGCGCTTTGCCCGCTTGGTCATCTCGCTGAGAGACGACCGCGTGCTCGGTATCCGGACCTTGATCGGCGGCGTCGACGATCGATGGCGCGAGCCAAGCGAGCTGTCCGAGCCAGCGACATGGTGCGGATGCGAGCTGCCCGGTCCGGCTGCATGTGTCGACCCATTTGCACCATTTGATCGCGACTTGTCGCGGGGCTTTGGATTCTTCTTTTTGGCGTCAACGGACTTGGCACTCGATGATGCGGAAGCAGCATCCACTGAGCCTCCCGTCCGCGAGTCGGCAGGCTTGTACCGCCTGTTACTGGCCCGTTGCGGCTGTGTGGCGCCGCTGCCGTCAACGAGAGGTGAGTCAGAAGCTGGACTCGCCCCAGGCGACGGAGAGGGGTTGCCATCGGCATCGAGAGCGTCGTGCAGCTTGTCCAAGATGAGAGGACTGGAGCAGGCCGCCGGGCTGGCGTCGTTCGAGCCCATTCTATTCGGCAGACGCGGGACGGCTTCCTGGTCGGTGGATGTGCGCTTCTTTTTATTCGGGTTTTTGTTGTCTGAAGGCGAGGGCTTGCGCTTCTTGGAGTGATCCGAGGACTCGGCTGGTATGCCAAAAACGCAGTAGCAGGCGGTCAGTTGCATTGCAGTAGACGGGGGTGGTTCTTTCGCGAGGAACAATCAATCACACAGCATACCCTGGATAGACTCGGGTGACGGAACCCTTTTCAAAGGAGGGACATCGCCGTTCAACTTCCTGCGCCTCGTAGAGTCAGCAGCCTTGGCAGCACCATCCTCTGGCGGTGGCGGCAGGAAAGTGTCGGGGAGATCAGCCGCCTCGGGCGTTTGGTTGCTGTTGTTTGTGTTGCGAGGCCGTTTGGTCGGAGCCGGCTGGTCCTTGGACTGGTTCTTGTGCTGTCGGGATTTGAATCTGAGTAGCAAAGCGAGACGAGAATTAGCGGCAGAAGGTGACTCGCTCGGGCGCGATCGATGGCACGGGCGCTGCGTATGCCACTCCATCCAGGATCACTGGCTACTCACTTGAAATACGGGTGGCCAATGGGCTGGCATCGTTCGCAGAAATAGTGCTCGGGCTCAGCCCGTTTGGACAAAATGCCCATGCATTGGCAGTGCTGCCATTTGTCGCACTTTTCGCACTGAATCATCCATTCAAATGACTCTGGAACGGAACAAACCGCAAAACGAAGGATGATGAGTCGACAGACCAAGGACACCAGGGGGTTGGATTGGGATGGATATGAGGGGCAACTGCAAATGGCACTGGCGCCGCTCTTGCTGTCACTATCGATGTGGTGATTGCCTCTATTGCCATCGTTATTGCAGTTGAGGCTATGGTTTCTGGTGGCATACCCCACGGTCGCCCCCAGCAAGTATGCCTTGGCGGCAGAGGATAGCGCAGCTCAAGAAGCGGCGAGAGTTTGGGCGATTGCGGCATATCGTACCTGTTCCGTTGCAAACGCAGCGGGTCTCGGAGGTGTCGTCGGACATTGGGTTTTCGTCGCTGAACTCCTCTGGCGGAGGGATGTAGTAGGATGTGGGCCGTGATGTTGCTCTTCGAGACATGGCCGACGATCACGGCAGCGTTGGACAGAGTGATAAAAAGGGTTTAAGCAGCCTGGCACACGAAGAAAGGAAAGGGCCCGGTGTGGATCCATTGAGAATCGAGCACGGCAGATCATGGACCAACAGAGGGGGGATAGGAATGGTTGGGTCAAGGGAAAGGTGCCGAAACTTGGGAGGGGGATGGGCAGGATGGGCGGACCAGACAGCCGGCAAATGCTCTGAGGCAGAACACTGGCTGCAGGCTGTACTGGGGATATGGATGGAGCAACGATGCAATCTGAAGGGTCTGGCGCTGGGGAGGGGGCTGCATTGTCACGGCTCGAGGGCGCTCAATGAGGAGGAGGGGGGTTGCAAGTGGGCCCAGTCGTTGCTGCAAGACACAAACCTCGGGGGGTCTATGGGACCAAGAAGCCAAACAGACGCAGGCGATGGCCTCTGGAACGTGGGAACGGGTAGGGAACGGGTAGCAGGTTGTTGGAGGCTGGAGTTGTGCGAGCCCAGAACTTGAAGCAAACAGGCGTCTGTATGATGGGATCGGCGAAAGGAAGAGAGCGTCAGCAGCGAGTTGGGCAAATGCATCTGGCCGGCGAGACGCTTCGAGGCATTGCAAGTCGAGAAGGATCCACGATGCAGACTGGTGACAGAGAGGGAGTGTGGGTCGGAGCGGGTGAATCAATGGTGCCTCTGGATGTCCAGCGCCGTCTTGCTCAGATTGGAGCGGCTGAGGAACGCCGTGAAGACGCCGACAAACGAAGGACGAGGGCATGCACAGGAGGCAATGGGAAGAGGACGCAGCGAGTAGCCGCGGAGTGGCCAGCGGAGAAGCACAGATATAGATGGAGAGGGAAGAGGACTGCAACGGAGATGGCATATGGCCGATGCGATGGGCAGGACGGGATGGGATTGACCCCGATGAGGCCGATGAGGCCGATGAGAGTCGCCGGGTGGGCAAGCGCATCGACGGGGAGGGAGCGTATTCGACGGGCGATTGAGGAGGGCAACGGAACAGCCAAACGGACATGAGGCAGGAATGGAGCAGGCAGCACCTCCGGCAGCAAAGCACAGCACAGCACGCCGATACGCACCGATACCAAGATCCGATGGGGTCGGGCTGGCCAGAGGCGGGTATGGAATCGGGAAGCCCTCCAAAGGCCGCTGGGGAGGTTTTCAGCCAGGCGCCCAACCCGAGCGCAGCCGCCGCCGCCGCCAAATGAATTCATTTGCGTGTGTGTGTGTCCGCGTATGCGTCATGTGTCCGGCGCGTCGATCCGGGCGGATCCATCCAGCCGGCTGCATCCAGCCACGGGTGGCGCGAAGAGGCGATGCGCAGCGCGGCTGGCCAGACAGACCAATACGCAGGCTGGCGAGCGGACGGGTGGACAGGCCGGGCAGACAGACATGCAGACAGAGCGACAATCACGCAGGCCGGCAGACAGACACAAACCAAACGGACAGACAGGCAGGCCAGCAGGCGGGTCCCAGGCTCGTCGAGATGCTGCGTTGTCGCCTGGGCTGGGGGGGGGTGGAAAGTTGCCAGTGTCGCTGCAAAAGTGCTGGGAAAGAGCAGAAAAAAAAAAGCCGCCTGCCCGCGCTGGCGCAGCCCTGGCTGGGCTCTCGGTCACGTGCATTCTGTGCAGCTGTTCCGTGTCGAGCGGTCCACGTGCAAGCCGTCCTGGCTTTGCGTCGCCAGCGGCCTGTTCGTTGCCGTTCGTTGATCTGTTCGCCGATCTGCTTGTGCGTCGTCTGTCCGTCTCCATTCGTCGTCGTTCACAAGCGATCCCATCTGCTGCGCGCCCGAGTCCCTCCAGAAGGCCTCGCCATGCCAAAATACTACTGTGGTGCGTCCATATGCCGATAACACTGCTCTGAATCAACGCCGGATCTCGTCCAGTGTCCACGTTCCAAGCACAAATGCCATCCGATACCGGGAGCCACCCCTCCAACACGCCTCGAACAGCCCTCGCCTGAGACTACAGCTCGCTCAGTGCAGGTTGCCCCTTTCCAATATTGACGCCACAGACCGATCATTTTGTCCACCGCTGTCTCCGTTAGATTACTGTGATATTTTCCTCACCCATGACTCGCCCTCCGTAAGAAAGTCCCATAACAGCGGCAAGAATCACAAGCTGGCAGTCCAGATGTACTATTCGAGTGAGTCTCGCTGCCGCACCTCAGTCTGTGCATCCCGTATTGCCCGCTAACGTGATCACTGCTGCCTCGGTCATTTCCGTCCCATCCTTATCGATGGGTGTATCGCCGCTCCTCCCAAACCGGCACGATTGTCTTTCCGGGTCACTTCTGCGGATCGCTGCTTCACACCATAGATCTCAGCCACGAAAAGGTTCAAGATGTCATCGATCAGATCACAAAGGCATACGACGGAAAAGTCGGCGCTCCCGGTACTAATAGCATTTCTCGTCTCGTGAGGCGGCCGCTGACATGCATAACACTCCACAGATGCGCCGATCCTGCGGCTGTCTCTGGCCGAGTCTCCCTCGGCCACGATCATCGGCCACCCGCAATCCACACCAATGCCATTGAACCGATCCTGAACATCGGGGCATCTCCTGACGCTGCTGGCGTCAAATATGCATGCTCTTCGTTTGGCCTGCCCTCTGGGCGTGCTTGCACCGCATGCCGATTTGATTGTCGATCGCCGTTACTCACATGATATAATGTATCTCTTCCAGAATTCAACTCGCCTTTCGGCAGCTCATTCCCGCGTAAGCATCGACCCTGCATACCCAGGAGCTGGATTGGATCCTGACGTGCGGCTCTGGATCTCGGCTCCGACCCTGGATGGGTGCTCGTCCATGAGCAACCGCCTTGGCCGGCGTGCTGCTGCTGATTCCTGTCGATGGTCTGCCTTACGTACCCGCCGTCATCACCTCCGAATGGCGAGATCAACACGCTGATCTTCTACTCCACCACAATCTCTCTCGACTCCAAAACCAACCTCTGCTTCTCCTCATATCCCTTCGACAATCTCACCTTTCGGAAACTCGAATCTCGCAGCCCCTCCAATGCGATCCGGCGGCCCGGGCATGCCGCCATACGGCCATCGGCACCCGCCTCCAGGTCCTAACGGTCCACCTCCTCCCATGGGCATGAGGGGGCCTCCTCCGCCTTTCCGGCCAGGCATGCCGCCTCCTCCCTTCCCACCTCCTCCGGGCGGATACGGCATGCCGCCTCCCGGTTACATGCGACCCCCGCCCCCTGGGTTCGCTCCTCCTCCTGGGGCTCGCTCTGGACCTCCGCCTGCCGGCATGCCCCTTCCGCCTCCGGACTCGTCTGCACACACCCACGGGCATCCTCCGGGAGGACCTGGCTATCCCGGAGGGCCTGGCTATCCCGGTAACCCCAGCGGTCCCCTCCCTCCTTCGCGTCCAGGCCCGCATGAAGATGGTAAGTCGTCATGGACGCTATATATAAGCGCACCGCGCCATTGCCTCGGTCTGCATGGCTTCGAGTGTATACGTGCATACGGCCGTGGTGGACCGAACAGGTCATCGGCAGTTAGTTGGCCAACTGGCCGCTTCAAAGCTTGCAATTCGCTCGGATCGGCAGTATGACTCATCGCTCGCTTCCGCAACCCTGTCCATTCTCAGGACCTGCAGCCAAGCGCACCTTCGAAAGCGAAGCCGACGACCATCACCATGCCAAACGCGCCCGAGATGAGTGACATTACTGATCCACACGTCTCGGGGTTGCTGGCTGTACTCTCAAGTATGGCGAGGATGAGATTGCTGATGGCAACAGTGCCTTTGCTCGAGACGCACATTTCACACAGCAGTACATACTACCATGTGATTGAATGCAATAGCTGCTCTGTACACTTTCTTCAGCTCTCTCTGGGGACTGAATACGCTCACATTCATCGTCTTGCACGCTTATCCATGTCGTGGGGGGGGGAGCACAGTAAGGCCCATATTTCCCGCCAGCCATCGCCGATGATAATCATTTCCTGGGCCACACGGTCCTGGAGGCTGCTGGTTGGTTTCCATAAGCGCCAACCGAGTCGCGCACCATGGCCATGGGTCGAGCTCCGCCCGGCATCACCAACCCGGATCGCTGAAGTTTTGCTGCGTCGATTGAACATGGATATTGCGTGTGCTGGCAACAGGATGATCGCCCTTTGCAGGGGGGGGGTGCCCATCTGTCCGTCCTCCGTCCTTTGTTGCTCGGTGGTCAGGCGACAAGAGTGGCCCGGCACCAGCGGAGGCCGCCGGGGCTGTGATTGAGGGAGGCATGGCTTCCGATGCCGCCAGGGTCGATGGCCGCAGCAAGGGTCGGCCCCGTCGCCCATCCGGCCCTGGCCCAGCACTTTCGATCCATCGACCCATCGTCGGTCCCATCGTCGGCCCATCCAGCATCTTCTTGGCACATTCCTGTTCAGTTATCTACCCTCAACCTAGCCATCGAGAGTCGCACCCTCCTCAGCTCCACATCAAGCCCTTCCCTCATCAATCTGTTAGCTTCACCACCGTCCCTCTGCATTGAGCCACAATGACTACCCCGAACAACATCCCACCTCCCGACATCAATTACTATGCCTTCGATACATACCAGGCCTCCGCTCAGTTTCTGAGGAACCGCCTTCCACCCGAGTTGCAAGCCATCCAAATCGGCATTATCTGCGGCAGCGGTCTCGGTGGACTGGCCAAGACCCTGGAGGAGCCTATTTGCGAAGTTGAATACAAGGCAAGGCCCGTTCGTTCGTTCGTTCGTTCGTTCGTTCGTTCGTTCGTTCGTTCGTTCGTTTACGCAGCGCAACTCTGTCGTCTCCCTCCTTCCATCATGCTCGCGTTCGTCTTGGGTTGTGGGTTCGGGGCTTGTTTCGGGACCCATACAGCCCACGAAATGGCTCATCCATCATCTTGAGCACTTGTCTGCCATTCGCAAGAGTCGATAGACCGCTCTCGCTGGCCTTTGCTGATTCCTCTGCCGGCTCTCGCCTGTCTCCAGGACATTCCCAACTTTGCCGTCAGCACTGGTATGAAAGAGTCTGTCTGTCTGTTGATGGCTACGATCCTCGGCTCTTGGTCTATCCATCCTCATCCGGTCTTTGGAACTGACCCCTGCCCGACACGCGCTCGATCTCGTCTCCCCAGTCCCGGGCCATGTCGGCAAACTGGTCTTTGGAATGCTCGCTGGTCGCGCGACCGTCTGCATGGTCGGCAGGAAGCACATGTACGAAGGTAACTACGCAGACATGGTCCTGTCCAGCCGTTGTCGCCATCGGCATGCGGTTCGTTATCACCATGCGATTCGTTATCCGCTGATTTTGGCTCTCTTGTTTGCGGGCTCTAGGCCATTCCCTGCTGAGAACTGTCTTTCCGGTCCGAGTTATGAGACTGCTGGGTGCCCATACCCTCCTCGTCACCAACGCTGCCGGCGGCCTCAACCCGGACTTCAACGTCGGCGATATCATGATCATCAAGGACCACCTCTCCATTGCCGGCTTTGGTGGCTGCAACCCACTGATCGGAGCCAACGTCGATGATTTTGGCCCACGATTCCCGGCCGTATCGAATGCCTATGACTTTGACCTGCGGGTCACTGCCTTCTCCTGTGCCACGGCCTGCGGCCTGGGCCCGTTTATGCGCGAAGGGATTTACGCCTTTGTGCCCGGACCCAGCTTCGAGACCCGGGCCGAGGCCCGCTACATTCGAAATGCCGGTGCCGACTCTGTGGGGATGTCTACTGTCCCTGAAGTCATCATCGCCCGCCATTGCGGCATGCGTGTCCTTGGTGTTTCGCTCATAACTAATATCGTACCTCAAGGACACGGCCGCTCGGCCATGCAGGCCGCAGCCGAGCTCGAGCCGCCAACTGCGTCGTCTCCCGGATCGGTGTCGTCAGGTCCCGATGTTGCCGCCGTGATGAAGTCCATGGTCAAGAACGTTGTCGAGGCCGTTTCCAAGATCACCGAGTATCCTCACAAGAACGACGAGAAGGTTCTGGCGAACCACGAGGAGGTGCTCGAGACAAGTAACAAGCGCTCGCAGGCTATGCAAGAGCTCGTCCGATTGATTGTTGGAAAGATCCCGGAGCCATCCAAGCAGTAGGACTTGTCTCCGATGCCTGAGATGTTTCCACATCTAAACGTTTGAGTTGTGGTGGTGGTGACAGGGTCTGGGGAAGCTGGACAGTAGCCCGCTCACAGCACGAATCACTCCAAAAGCACCATCTTTTCGTCATTAGAATACACAGTGGTCGATGCAATTGATATTCGATCTGAGCGAGAGGGAGATACTCGTTCCCATTCACTGCCGCGAGCAGGGCTGCCATCTGTACCGAGCCTCATACATTATTGGCTCTCGAGCCAGCAGCCTCAATCCGCTCGGGTGCTCTATTCTGGCTGCGCTTTGGTGCAGGATGCGGTCTTGGACCGGCTGGCGACTCGAAAACCAAAGCGTTTCCGGGTCTCACCCGGCGTCCGGGATCCTGGTCCTGGAAGGATATCCCATCCACAGACACATGGTCATGGGAAAGCAAGTCCGTAAATATCGAGAACAAGGGCATTGAATCGCGAGGCGGATTTGAATCGGAGCAACTCTCGTGGGAAATGGTGCCAAGATGGTGCCTTTCAGGAGAGAAGGTCGATTGGTCGCGAAACGCCAGCATACCTTCGTCATCTTTGGAGCTGGGCGCCCCATCGTTTGAAGTGTTTCTGGGCTCGTTGTTCGAATAGATGCCATCGGGCGGTGCTGTTGCGGAGCAAACGGGAGGAAGCCCTTCAATGACATCATCACCAACGTTACATCCACAGTAAATTGTGGAGATCTCCAGGACAGTTACTGCTGCGTGGGCTATATACGTCATTGCAGCATCAATGCCTCCAAAGGTTGAGGAGAAGCTGGGGTGGGGCGATCAAGGGTGTCCATAGCATATAGCTGCGCGCATGTGTGGAACTGTATCTGTGTCAGTGCGAGAGGATGCATCAAGGGGTTACCTCTATCAAAGTCGTCTGACGAGCACAGAGAGCGACTCCGTCGCCGAAGACCATCGCTACTGCCGAGAAGACCGTTGAACGACTCGGAGCGAAGGGATGCTGCACTGCCCTCTGGTAGATCTGTTGACCGACTCAAGTTTTTTGTCCGGGGCGATTCGAGATGCAGCGCAACACTCGCACTTCGCTCGGGCTCGCCTCGCTCCTTTGCTGACTGAACGACATAGTTTGGCCTTTGGACTTCGATCGTGGCAATCCTGGATTTGGATACTGATGCACATATCTTGTCCTTTTCCTTGTCCTTTTCTTTATCTTTGTCCCTGTCCTTTTCTTTGTCTCTATCCTTACCGCTCTTGTGCTTCAGCAGCGGTGACGATGGCGTCGAGTTGGACTTGGCTTGGTACTCGGTCACGATCTCGTCAAAGAGAGTGTTGCGAGCGCGCGTGTGTGGCTTGCTGAATTTGGGGGCACTGTAGGCCGCATTTTCGCCGTTGATGGCTGTTTGGAATTGATATTCGCATTTGGGGATTAGCTTGGCCCAGTGCATCCGTACTCGGGGAAGGATCCAATGTACACGCTCAAGCGCCAGGGAGTCGCATATGCACCCAGGGCGTACCTTTCGCCAGGATAAAGTGCCTGAGGGCTTCCTTGGACCAGAACAGAGGCGGGCATGGCAGATTCGGCCCAAACGAAGGCACATTTCTGTTGCTAGCAACGCTCACGCGATAGGGAACGACGCCGTCCCGCTCGTATTGCGGGTCCTCCATGATGATGATAAAGATGTGGAGGAACTGCGATGTGATGCACCTGGGATCAAACTGTCCCCCTCCATCCAGGAACACAATCGAGACAATGTCTGCGATGGCGGGGCGATTGTTGGGATCAGAATATATCGTTGCGTCGTCAATGTCGAGCGATTCTCAGCATCTCCACGGACTTGGCTTGCTCTCCCTCAGGGATAATGAGAAGAGAGTCTCTGATGAAGCCGGATACGATCCGATCACCGCAGCACGTATGCCTTGAATCATACGGTCAATATCTGCGATCGTTTTTGGCTCTCGCAGGCGGCATCTACAGGTGCGCAGTCTGGCCGATACCACTTACCGTTTCCAATATGCCGCTTCCTCTGGATCTGCTGGGGATCTCCCTCGATAAACGGTATAAATGTGGACACGTGGAACATCACTTCGAACTTATTCCAGTAGCTGTGGAGGGAGAGCGTTCCAGTTTGGTCGTTCTTGACGTCGAGTCCTCCAGCAAACCCACTGTGGCCCTTGAGTCGGATGACATTTCCAAGCAACGAAATCAGGCGGTCAAATGACGGTGTAGAGCTCTCTATTGGAATAGAGGTCCAAAGATAACATTGCGACGTTTTCGATGGAGTTAGCGAGCATATCAGACATTAGAGGACCACAGGGAGGCTCCAGAAGTAGGTCCAGGTGTCTATGCTCTGACGAACCGCGCTTGGCATCGGGATCCATCGCTCGTTCTGGCCCTCTCTGCTGAGGCCCCTGCCGCCCACATCATTGAAGCTGGATCTCGTCTCGCATATTTCCTTCTTCCAAACTCGAGCGCGTTTAATGCATACCGTTGCAAAACATTTCTTCCTCTCGTGTCTGCCCGTCTTTGCACAGGAGCAAGCCAAACTTGTACTTGAACGACAGCTGTCGTTAGTGGAAAGACGAATCAGCCAGCTGACCACCGAACAATCACTCCCAAGATCATGTCCAAAGCCTCCGGCAATCGATGCGATGGACACTTTGTCGTTACTCTGGACGGCACCGGCAGCTCCAGAGTGCATATCCATCATATGTACTCCCACAGAAGAGTTGGACAGTCGGTCTTTCATCTTGCCTGCATCTCGTCAAGACTCTTTAGCCGCTTCTCGATAGCCTTGTCTATGACCTTGACGAGTTTTGATGGGTTGATGCTGTGATGGATCATCTGCAGCACTTGCTTGACCGTTGAAGATTTGCTCTTGATCACCGATTTGCTGACAACATCCTTCTCATAAATGAAATGTATGCTGTTCTTTTTCTGTACCGTGCCGTATGTATAATTAACCAGTGGCTCTGTCGTTAGCCAGAACATCCGCAGCTTGCTCACACGCTGCTGATCCGCCAAAGGAGTTCGGATACCGCTCTTGTGCAATCAAATGCGCCAGCTGGCAGATCTCACCTCCTTTTGCCGCAGTATCACGCGCCAACGAGGCCCTTCGGTTTCTTTGCTCTCGAATTTGATCGAGATGATGACCGGGCCAAGGACATCCGTATGCCCAACATAGTTGAAGTGCTCTGAGGTTCAAACGATGCGTCAGGCAGACCCGGAGCATAAGCAAAGTACAGATTGGCATCCGGTCATATGCTCCGAGTACAATTGGGTCGACCCGGATGGTTCGTACACACCTTGTCCAATGAACATTGTCGAGTACGTCTGCATGGACTCGTCGATATGCTCCATTTGGTAGTTGCTGTACTGGCTGGATGACCCGGCAGATTCGCCCTGGATCTCGATTCGGTATTCGTCCGATGGCCTCATTGCGATCTGCTCGAGACCACATCCATATGATGGATTGGCGCATCATCATGCAAGGCAACAGCGCTGTCAGCAGATATGATCCTCCCCTGACAAATAGCACGTTGTCCAGTTCCGATAAAGGGAGCAGGCTCTCGTCGCCCATGACGCTGCTCGCCCATGACGCTGCTCGCCCATGACACTGCTCGTCCATATGCAACACAACCAGCGGCCAGCGCACCGTCTTTTGAAATAGCTTGTACTGTTCCTCGAGCGATTCGCATATCATCAAGGTCGTTACTAGCTGCAAATCCGACAGGCATTAGCTTTGGATATGCATCTATACCCTTTGGGGATGTCATAGTCGGCCAATCATGTGTGGTATTTCAATCGCCTGCTGCCACAAAGCTCTTGGCTCTTTCAACATGGACGCTCAGTTCCAGCGATGAAGATCGTTGCCTACCTCGCCTTTGATCTGCGTAAGCTTGGATTCCATGCCTTCGAGCATCTGCTTGCGCTTCTCGGCCGGCACCGACCGGAGGTCTGCGTATTCGCTCTCAATGCCTCCTTCTAAGCTGGTCAAACTGTCCTGCAGCTCAACTAGGTTCTTGATCAGCGGCAGCCAGCCAACTGTCTCCAGTACCCGCTTCAAGAGATCAATCAGGCTCCGGAAGAGTAGCCTTTCGATGTCTCTGGAAGGGAGCGTGTTGCTACTCGAGTTGAGGGCTTGAAACATGGCGTCAAACGAGTTGGAGACCGAGGCGATTTTGAGTGTCAGCTTGCTTGAAAGGTTTACTATCTGAACCTCCAGGTCGGCTGTGAGCGAACATGAATTGAATCTGGCTCGTTCCTTTGGGAACACATACTGCTCGCCCATAGTGCCCATGTCCTGGATCAGAGGCAAAGGTGGCCAAGGGCAGGTCAAGCCAAGATTAGCGTTGCTTAACTCAGTATCCAATGGTCAGTTGCCAGGCGATACTAAAGGCTGTGAACAATGTAGAGCTTGCCAACCACCATCATCATGGTCACCAAAATGCTCTGACGGGAGCAAGGCTGCATCAGAGACTCCAAAACTAGCGCATACTTACGATGCTCTGGTTTCGGGTCTGCCCTCCATCGCCAGGGAAGAGCGCATGCGGGAAGATTTGATTGAACTCGCACATAATGTCGTCATCGGTCTCTGGATCATTCAGCGAGTCCATCGAACACGATGCTGTATCCTTTTTCGGTGAATCATCGTCGTCCGAGTTAGGCGTCGCTTGGGCTGACGAAGCCTGGCGCACGGTGGTGTCGATGGTGACTGACGATGGAGGGAGCCGCTTCTCCAGCAGCGGAGGCGTCATGTTGCTGCTGGCGCTGCCACCGATGATGGGTGTAGCCGCCTCGGCATCATAGGAGAGCGCTGAGTTTGGTATGATGTTCACGGCCGGGTTGATGAGCCTGACAGAGAGACTTTGTCCGACCGATGCCAGAAAGTCGTTTGGGATGCTCCCGGGGATCACTGGAGTCATACAGGTGGCCTCTATGTAGCTACTTATTGGCAGCCGGGACGATATGGCCTGCACCGAAGTCACTGGGTTCAGAGAGTTGTCGGGGGCATCATGTGTTTCGAACAGGTGGGTGGCGAGTTCGTTGAGGGACCGCTTTAGCGTCTCAAAGGTATCCAGATTGAGCTCCGAGTCGTGCATGCCGTCGATTTCTCGGGGGCTATTGATGTCTCGGAGAGGGGTATTATCGTGGCGATGCAGGGACATCGATTGGCCTGGATGGGCGGCCAGGGATAGAGGACCGGCGGAATATTTTATGGACCGGCGTCATGTGCGTAAAGGAGGAGGAGGAGGAGGAGGAGGTGCGGGGAGGACATGGGCAGAGAGGGCATGGGCGGTGAGCAGCCGAGCGCCTGTCCGATCGAATGCAGTCGCCTGCCCGAGCCGCACCCAAATCAACGGCGGCAAAGATGACGATCCAGGACCACAAGAAAGCAGCGGGACCAAGCCAAGCCGGTGTCGGGTCTGGTGATGAGCTGCTCCACAACGGATGGATACTGCAGAGAAAGCGCCTCCGCGTCGCCAGAGGCACTGCATCTCGTGAAAGTGGTCCCGACACTGTTCGCCGATGCACCCTTATGCGTACCTGGCTGTGTGGCGCTGCTCCCTGGGCTTGTGGCATCGTTGGAGAGTCGGACTGGGATGCGATCGGGATCCCGGTCGAGAAACGTGGATGGAGGGTAAGTATGCCATTGGGGCGTGGGAACGTGGGAAGAACCGCACATTGGACGGCCAGGCATCAGCGAACAGGGGGTCGCTGGAAGACCAGCCAGCAGGCGATCATTGGAGGACCAAGGTTTGTGTGCTGACCCAGGCGAGAGCCGACCCGAGCCAAGTGCGGCACATGGGTTGCGGCGACAGGCATCCATGGCGAGCATCGACGCCGAATGGAAGCAGCCAGCCCGCGGTGGATGGGCGGCACAGGTCGTCCACAGACCAGCAAGACTCATGGCCGGATACGCCCTGGCCAGGAGATTTGCGGCCCAAGCGGGAGAGAACAGCACGGCGAGAGCCAGGATACCTTCGAGCTTTGGTCTGTGGTTTGTGCAAAAGATACTGTTGCCAATCGATACATAGTTGACGAGGGAAAGCGTTCGCTTGCAGACCTCGCATTTGAAGCACTTGCATGGCGAATGACCAGGGCATCAGTGTCCTTGCCCCAGAGCCGCACGGCAGCCACATCGACACAGGAGCCCATCCGTCAACCGTTTGAGCATCGGGGCCGCTCTGGGACGCACTGGGCGGGCGAAGCACAACACGCGAACGATCTCCATCCGCACCCATCCAAGGCCTGCTCTTGGTCCTTGCCAACAACACACTTTCGACGCACCCATTTGTGATAGATCCTAAAGTCGTCGCATCCGATCGATTCCATCGCATAGCTGATGCAATCCAAACGGCGTGTCAGCGTTGGCCTCGTCGCGGGCTGGCTCGAAAAGCAGGCGTCCAGCCAGTTGCATCGACTTACACCGGTTTGTTACAGACGAAGCAGTACTGGCTCTGCTCCTCGGCCATCTTTCATCTGGTTCGCAATTGGTCGTATGCGCGGAGGGTTGGTCTTGACAAAGGGCTGCCTGGGATCTGCCCGTCGCTATACGTCGCTTTCCGTCGCTTTCCGCTGCCGCCCCTTCGTATAACCGCCGTGATTTCGCTGCGGGTTGTCTCTGCTGGTCGATTTGCCCAAAGCAAGCGGGGTTTCTCTTAAAGAAGCCCAGCTTACAGCTTGAAATGAGCCCACAAAAATTGGGTTCTACAGCTGCCTCCAAGTCTCTCCGCCGAGCTGCTCCCTCTCAGAGCAGCCATTGTGCGAGCCCGGCCGGCTTTTCGCACTGATTGGGATGATGGTTTGGCTGGCTGGGCTTGCATCGGCCTGATCGATCCGGGTGGCCTCTGTGCGATTGGATACCGGGTCGGTTTGCTTCCCATCGTAGTCCTTTCAGCGCCTAAAGTCTGATACCCTGCTACACTCTATTCAGAAAGCAACGGGACACTGCCCATTCCATGAACATGTGGCATGTGATGGGCTTGCGTCCAATGGAGACACATGCAATTCAACAGATCACCTCCCAGTGAAGACCACGGTCGCTCTCCGGTCTCCACAATCGACCTGCACTGCTCAAAGTACCGAGCAAACCGCTGCCTCCTGGGACCGGATGCATAGCCCTTGCCTTGGCGGCGCACTGGTATCGGAGTGCCGGTGGTGAATGGTGCTCTTGGACACACTAGCAAATAGCCATGACCAAACACCAGGGTGACCCGTTTCTTTCTGGATCGCCGGTATATCCATCGAGGTATGCTCGCCAACTAGATCAGCGCCGATATGCCATCATGGAGCGACACAAAGATTATGTCCTGAATATGCTTGCTCAAATTGTATTTGTTTCATGGGAGGTGGGAGTTTGATCGCATCTTGGCGACCAGTGGCAAGGCAAGGCAAATGGAGCTGTGCTGGTACCGATGGTGCTAGTGTTCCAGTACGCGGTTGGTGAAGAGGAATCGACTAGCCATTGACCCCGCTGCTCTCCTTAGCATCTCTAGCTTGAGCTTGCTCAGTCTTTGCGAGGGAGCAACATGGACTGCGAGGAATGCGAGATCGTTGCAGGAGCGGCGACCTTGGCTCCGCTCAAGAAGCGCTGCTGGACTTCATAAACAAGAACGGTGATAGCAAACAGTGGCTGTTTGTTCAGTGCCGAGTCGGAGGCGGCATACCGCAGCGATACGATGCCACGGGATAGCGATGACGCATCGTGTGATCAGGAGGAATTAACGGCGGGGAAGAGAACGGGGTATCAGTAATCATGCACTACAGAGTTCCGTCATGGTATGACCGGCTACTGGTTTAGAGGTTCAGAGGCGCCCATCGGCTCAAACCACTTTCAGCACTACAACTCCACAGCAGCCACTTACCGATACAATCAGCATACGGGGAACGACGCCGCGGAAGAGAGCACTAAAGCCCTCGTTCTTGATGATTTCCCTGAGGATACGCCGAGCGATGATTGGGTCATTAGAGTGGGTGTCTTGCCTTGCCGCGATCGCGGACAGAGCAATGTGAAAGACGTGCCCTGTTCTTGAAGCAGCTCGCAATCAAGTCACCCACCGATAGCAGTGTGCCATTCCCTTGTAGACAGGGTCGCCAGGTCGGGGGATGGCTTGGAGCCGTGTCTTGACAACTGTCAGGGGCCAGAGGCAGCGACAGAGTAAGTACGAGGCACGGTTTAGGTGCGCATCTCTGTGAACACTCCGTCGCGGAGCTCATCCAGGACCCCTCGAGAGTATTCGAGGACTGATGAGGACTTACCATCCATGGGCGTGACAGCGGCAGCGGCAATCATGCCAGCGGCGATTCCCGAGCCAAAGACCACGCCGAAGCTGGGAGTACCGCTCGGGCCCGAGCCAAGAGACTTGAGAACGGCCAATGTCGGGAAGAAGACGATCGAAAAAGGCACATCGCGAGCAAGACAGGCGGCTGTTCCCTTGTAGAGACCTCGCAAGCCGAGTTGGCGAACGATATCGCCGGCGCTGGGTTTTGGCAGCCCAGGCGCGGTGTTGGCTCCAGCAAGTTGCATTTGGATCTTGACCATCTCCATCGGATTCGTCGCAATGACCTGGCAGAAGCCGGCTGTGGCACCGGCCACCTGAAGCAACAGGGCGGACGCTACGTCAAAGATTGCAATGTGCTGTTGGTGCTCACTGACTGCATCACGCAGCTCGGGATGCATGGCTCATGGTGAACAAGGATTACGCTCCAGTGCTGGATGATGTCTGGTTTCTTCTGCGACCCGTTGATCATGGCCTTCTGGTCGATCGACAAAGCCTGGGCTCCATTCACCATGACCTCAAGTGTGCGTGCATCAGCCTGGTTCCCAGCGGCTCGGCTACACGGCTCCGAGAGCAAGAAACTTACAATGCCGTAATGCACCGGGATGTGGTCCGCATCGATCTGAAGCTGTTCGGCAAAGTGCTCACGCACAGCGTCATTCACAGCCAGCTTGATGGCCTTTTCCGGACAGATACCAATAAGGTTGGGGAGCAGACCTATCGCCAGAGATTGGTTGTCGCAGATCGACGGCTCGCGGCGTTAGCGACAAGTCCAAAGATCAAACTGTCGACATGAGCGGAGCGTGGCCAGAGTCGAGCTGGCCAAGGGGCTGATTGAGGCCGACAGCAGATGCCTACCTCGATAAAGACCGCGAACACCTTCCTTGCGGACAATCTGCTTGAAGCAATCGACGCTGTCGAGCGCAAAGGCGGCAGATCAGCAAATAGCCGGTCAGGGCACGGCCGGCCGGCCGGCGTGGGCCATGGCAAAGTAAAATAGTAATGCAAGTCGCGGCGACGACACTCACGCTCCACGATACTGAGGGAGGCCATCCGGCCCCGGTCGCTGGTTTTGTAGTCGGGTCTTGACAATGTCTGCGGATAGCAGTGCAAGTAAGCACGGACGCACGCGAGAGTCAGACAGCCGAAGAGCGGCGTCCCGAGGTCGAGACGAAGGACTTGTGCAATTCGATCCGTTTGAACAAAGGCATACCCAAGGGGAAAATGCTAATCCAAGAGAGCGAGAATGTTAGTGCGAACGACGAGGCGAGCCAGCGTCCTTGGACGCCATCCGGTGTCGGGGCTATTCCAAACCCGCACCATCGACAACGAGCCCCCAAGCCTATGTGGGCTCGCAAGCACTTCACACGATCCACGCAGCAAGGAAGAGCTAGCGGCCAAAACCGAGACCCACATGGAGGTTCCGATGACACCGGCGATAGCTCCGCACACCAGCTTGGTTGTCAAGCTGTGCGTGGATTCGTTATGTGGTATATTCGACGGTTGATGGAGGGTTGTGCGGTGGCATCACAAGGTATGATACTGTCAGTCAGGAATGCCGCTGCGATGACAGCTACAGGAGCTTCGAGGCAAGCACACGGCGGCTGGATTGGGTCGGATATCGGCCAAACCTGATCTTTCCCTTGGGCTTGGAGACAGGAGTGTGCTGGGGCAGGTTTTCGTAGATCCCAGGCGGAGCGACGGGCAGGGAGACTTGCGGGCTGGACATGGCGACGGGATCAAGCCGCGACGGCAACGAACGATGCGGACGATGGAGATGGCGTCAACGCCGAGGGCAGCAGCGTCGGATCGGCTCTCTCGGGGAGGTGCTGGTCCTGGCGCTGCCCAAGACCTGCGGGCAACAGAGCCGCAGATCGTGGCGGCCGCAAGCCAGCGATTGGCCGCGAGCCGATCTGTATCACAGCCGGGCCATCCCGCCGGCATCCATCCCGCCATGCCCGAAGGTGGAGGAGAATGCCCGGCAGGAGCCGGGAGCAGCCATGGACCAAAAGCGACTGGGCGGCAGGTCCATCGGCAATGGCAATGGCGATGGCAATGGCGATGGCAATGGCAATGGCAATGGCAATGGCAAGCATCCGATTTGGGACTCGACGACAGCTGTTTGTCTCGATTTCCGCCGACAGATGCACTCCCGCTGCTCGTCCATTTCCTGCCCATTGCATATCCAGTACTCATGCTCACAAATGAGCAGTCGATGAGGCACTCGCGCATTCATTTGTTTGCATTCCGATTCCATCTCTTCTGTTCATTACCCTCTGGAAGCGCATCTGGACACTGAGCCGCTGTTCCGTCATCAGGCCGTCAGACCCTGCGGCAGCACGGGTTGCATCGACTCGCCCGGAGGAGTGGCTGCTTCCAGTTTAGCTTGGCCCGAGACATACTCCTGCAGGGGATTATAGTCGTCGATCTGAATGAAACCAAAGGGACGACGTATTAGCTTGAATCACCTCTGCGTTGATATCCTGCAGCGCCGGATCCTCGGCTCGCTCGCTCCGGCTTCGACGGCCCCCCCCCAACCTACCTTCTCCAACAACGTTGCCGAGTATCCGGGCGAGTAGTATCGCACAATTTCCTCGGGATAGCATTCGTTGATGGTACGAATGTACTCGCCCATCTTGGTGCCCATAAGCGAGTTGGGCTGGTTGTTCGATGCCGTCCCCAAAACTTGTCCTTGCGGTCCACTTCCGTAGCTGGCAGCAATTTCCTGGATGCGCTGCAGCCCTCCAGACGTCACAAATGCTCGGCGTGCCGCCACGTCATGCGGTAAGATTTTGGCAAACTGGCCAACAACGTACTTGAGGATGTTGGCCGGTGTTGTCTGTTTCAGCAGCGGATCGAGTGCTTCGAGATGCAGCGTCTTTTCGAGAATGCATTTGAGTGCGCGCTTGGCTTTGGTTTTCAGATCTGCTCCGACCTCACCCTCGCCGTTTTCATCCGAGGATGTAAGAACCTTGAGGAGCTTGGGGAGAACTGCATGGTCGGCCAGAGTTTTGGCATGGTCGGGAGAATGGCGGCCGATTTGTCCCAAAGACCAAGCGCACGCCGCCTGTGGGAGCGATATGTAGTTGTTGCAAGGGTTACAATGTGTATCGGGCTCGCAAACCAGGTCTCTGACCCAACGCCGGGTACTGGCAGGACAGGACAGGGCAGGACAGGACAGGGCAGGACAGGACAGAGCAGGACAGGACAGGGCAGGGCAGAACAAGTTGGCTCCAGGGAATCATGACAGAGTCTTTGTTCAAGATGCTCGCGGCTGGCAGAAGACGGATACGCCGTACCTTGATATGTTCCTCGGTTTCGGTGACCAGAGCGTGCGCCAGTGGCGGCACACCCTTGGCGACGATCACGGCAAGCGCAAGCGTCTCGGAAAAGGCCGCTATATATCCTAGTGTCATGATACCCGGTAGTCTGGCATTTCCGTGGCTATCGTTGATGTAATCGACGACGGCAGCGATGCCGCCGGAATTGACAATCAGTTGGGCAAGCTACAACAGAGTTAAGGTAAAGCCAGTGAGCGAGTGCTGGACTAACATAGCGCTATGCTCTCGAGTAGATGCTTGCTGCCGATTCGAAGTACACAGTACATCATATTCGAGGCTACATCGGACAGTCACTGCCTGGGCTCACCTCGGGGGTATGCTTGGCAATCTCGCAAATCAGCGTTGCGGCATTCTTCTTGACATATCCATCGGTGTCTTTCATACAGTTCAGGACGTTCGGGAAGATTTCTCCGTCGACAACAGTCTCGGCCAAGTCGACAGTGTGCTTAGATATCTGCGAGAGTGCGCTGCAGACCTGTCGGCGCAACTTGGCATCGGGGTTTCCGAGCAGCGGAGCGATGAACGCGATTGTGTTGGCATCCACGACGGATTGAGCGAGCTGGATATGGTGATGTAAAGTGAGCATTCGAGATGGATCCGAGGCTCACGGCTCTCGATAAGCAAGGTCACAAAATGAATGCACAACTGCACAACTGCACAACTGCACAACTGCACAACTGCACAACTGCACAACTGCACAACTGCACAACTGCACAACTGCACAACTGCACAACTGCACAACTGCACAACTGCACAACTGCACAACTGCACAACTGCACAACTGCGCGGCCGTTACCTCGGGCGAGTGCTTGGCGATATCGCTCAGGGCCGAGGCAGCGATACGCCGCAGAGACAGCTCTGGCTCCTGCACACACAGCACCAGTAGAGGTACTGCGCTAGCGTCGACGACGGCCTGCGCAAGGTCTGGATGATGACTCAGTGTAAGGATCTGGTTCGCATTACCTTCGCACCCATTCATCCCTATCGACCTTCGGTGCATACGGGCCGCTCGACACGTGCATAGCGACTGCGATGAATCGGTGCCAGCATCGACATACCTCCGTTATGACGAGCAATATATCCCAGTGCCCACGCTGCCGACTCTTTGACGCCGGGATCGAATTCCTCGAGACAGCTCACCAGAGCGTTGAGCGCTCCAGAGTCAACCACGGACTGGGCGAGCTCGGGTGAGTGCTTGGCAACTGCGCGTAAAACGAAAGCAGCCGCTTTTTTATAGAATCGCTAGAGTTGAGCGAGCAATAATGAGCCGGTTGACAGCCGCAAAGAGAGGACCACAGTATCGCCCAACAATGACGGCAGGTAAAGAGGCAGATGTATGGATGATTAGTCGCAATGCCATGGCTGATATGTCCACCTTCTTCCCGAGACCCTGTCGGCGGCATTGCTGAGCCCGTGGATGCGCTCGACAGCTAATTTTCCTTCGTGTTCTACTCTCATGGTTTTGGCTCTGCCGCTCGTTTCTAGTATGCAAACCCGCAAGAGTCGTGTCCTTGGAGCGGCTCTCAAAGCTCCGTCCCAGGCCCATGCGCGGGCGCCGATTTGGCCGCACTCGACGACGGCAATAGCAAGAACAAGGATGCTGGTTACATTTTGCTCCGAGAGAGAGTATACGAGTTGCGGGAGGATATCCGAATCGACGACCGACTCGGCAAGCTCCTCGTTGTAATTGGCCAGGCGACCGAGAGCCAGCGCGGCGGCCTGCTGGATGGCCGGGATATTGTCGAGCAAGAGCGGACGCAGAAGCGACATGACACCAGCGCTCTGCAGCGCCTCGATGTTTGACTCTCGTGACGCCAGATCGGCGACAGTCTGGACAAACAGCAGCCGCTCCTTCTGATATTTTTCGAATACCGACAGGACCGCCCGGGTGTTCGCAACGGGCGTTGTGGTTGAATTCATTTCGTTTGCTTTGCTAGCGCGCAGAATTGTCCGAGAGGATACGTGCAGTGTGTGGAGTGAAAGCAGAGCCGCAGCAAGGCAATAGGATGGTCGACTGGACCATAAAACAGACGAGCGAGATTACGATCTTTGCGCAAAAGCACGCATCACTTGCTCATCCGGGGATGCGCTGCAGAGGGGACTTTCAAGCCCTTATCGAGGGATGCGATGCTGGCGAGAAGTCGGCCGCATTTGCACAATGTCTTTGGAAAATTGCCCGAGTGGGTACGCTCTTGTGTCGACAGAGGCAAGCTCTCTGGTGCTCGACTGAATCACGACATTGTCCAAGGTCGTCTGTGACGTCACTGAAAGTGTCGCCGCTGCTGCATTTCTATCGCTCTGTCTGCCAGCCCCCCCCCCAATCAGCCCGCAGTAGCCCCAGCATGCTCTGTGAGATGCGGCGGACGCAGAGCACCTATTGTAGCGCCCATTCAAATCACCCGCCATGATCGGCAGAGTTCCTTTCGAAATCACCTCGCTGCCTTCTGTCCAGATCTCGGTCAACGATCGTCTTTGGCTCGCCTCACTACAACCGCTTGTGTCTCGTACTTGCGGCCAGAGACCAGTCATGCACCGCCAAAGGACCATCTTTCGACTCAGGTATATCTTGCAAACTTGGGTCCAACAGGGCCGTGTCGGCTAGAGTACCTGTTCGCCATGCAGCGATCGTCAACCGCAGCCTTCCAGCGGCCATCGCTCAAGATCCGATCCAGCTTGGCAGTCGAAGCACTGAGGCCTGCGTCGGCTATCAACTCGACGATATCACTGGCTTCCGCAGAGAGTCCTCGGTTCGCTGGAAATGCACCATTCTCCATCAACTCGGCTCCCAACGGCAGCAACGGCGACGACCGAGAACTGGGCTCGCCAGCGCAAATCGTCGTCCGCGTTCAAAATGAGTTCCCCAAATTCTCGGCTCCCGACCGGCAGAAATTCATCCTGGCGATTCTCAAGGAGTGCGACCCCTCCGACATGACGTTCCTCTACAAGACGCTTCCAGTCCTGCACCGCGACTTCCTGAAACTCCTGCCGGCGCCAATCTCGCACCGAATCCTGAGCTATGTCCACCCTCGAGACTTTTGCGTCGTAATCCGGGTCTCCCGTGCCTGGTTTCGGACTGTAACGGACCCCGTACTCTGGGCGCTGCTCTACGATCAAATCGGCCTGTCGAGCATGACCAACTCATACTACATTGCGAATGCCCCGCTCTTGGTGAATGCAAAGAAGCTGCATCGGCTCAGCAGCTGGACACGCGGTCGATTTACACATCGGCGTTTCCTGGCCCATCAGGCCGGCATCCTTGGCATCTGGTTCAATGGGCAGTGGGTTGCTACAGGCTCGGTTGACAAATCATGCACGGTCCACCATGTCAGCAACGGCAAGCTGGTGAAGCGATACGTCGGACACGAAGAGAGTGTGTATTGCGTCCAGTTTGATGAAGCAAAGGTTGGTGTTGTGGCGAGGCCCGAGAGAACGGCTGTTGCATGGTGTGGATCCGGTTGGATGGTCGTATAGGGCTTCATCGCCAGGCTTGCATCGGGTCTCCGCTCTCAAGTGATGTTTTGATGAGGGCTCTAAGGTCGTTGCCCCGCGCCGAGAAAAGCGCAATGATCTGTAACGTACCGATGTCCTCGTATCCCATACCATGCTTTGCCTGGGTCCAGGTGATTACTGGAAGGTACGATGGAGATACCGACTTGCGACCAAGTGATGCCAGCACTCTGATTCCGGTCTTGGCCGCCATCCCGAGCCGGAAGATGCTGCAGAGGGGTGCTAAACAATCGTCGCGAATGCTTCGTGTAACTGGATCAGTCTCAGCCCGCCGGCTAACATGATGATGCATTGCCGATTGCACTCTCAGCGCCGACTGCACCGTACGCATCTGGGGTGCCAAAGACGGTGGCCAGCGATTTATTCTGCGTGGACACAAGGCCACCATCAATTGCCTCAAGTTCAACTCGGATAACCTTCTTGTTACTGGCTCTTCCGACAAAACCCTCCGGATCTGGCAGATGCCTAATAACGCCATCATCCTATCTACCAAGATCAAACGAACAGAGACTACCGATGAGCAGCGGCTGATGCTCATCCAAGGCGGCGAACGAGCTGCTCCTGCACAGCAGCGAGTGGGCAGTCCCAGAGAAAAGCCAGGATCTGCTGGGCTTGGGCGTTCCGCCTCGACCGTGAATCCCAATTCGAATTCCAAACTCAGGACCAAGGACAAGAGCTCGACCGAGCCTGGTACTGTACCAACTCAGATGGAGCCGACCTGCTTGCGAACCCTCCATGGACATGTTGCTGGCGTCAAATGCCTTGACTTCACCTCGGCTGTCCTCGTCAGCGGAGATATCCATGGGTTCCTCCGACTATGGCATATACGCAGGTATGGGGTCTCAGCAGACGCACGATCAAAGTGGCGCAGCGGTGGTTGCCTCATCGACTCTTCCGAGCCGCTCTGCGCATATTGTGCCGCATGGATTGTGATGGCTCTTCTGATACTCTGCTCTCACGTGGCTCTGCCTGCCAACTGTTCCGTCGTCGTAGCGGAAATTTGCTCAAGGTAATTAGCATCGCTCAGCCGTCAAAGGCCATCAACGCCTTCCAGACAGCAGTTCCTCCTGCAGCGTCGGACGACCCAATTTCATCCATTCAGTTCACGGGCACACGTCTTGTGTTTGGAGCGTTCTCGGGAAACCTGTACATGTACGATGTTCTCCCGCACAAGACCATCACCAGTGCTGTCACGACTAACCAGCTCAGCGCTGCCTATGAGCATCTGCATCACTGGGCAAACGATCCTGCAACCTTTGTTCTCAACCGGGTCTTCAACCTCCAAGAAACCATGTCCAGTCCTACACTTTCGCATGCTGCATCGTCGGCTGAAGTCCGGCCGCTCTCACCAACACCGGATCGGCGCAAGACTAAGCGCCGCAACGGCGAGCGCTATCCTGCTTCCAAATCCGGTGCCACCTCTTCGTCGTCGTCGTTCTCCAAGCCCGGCAACCTCGAGATTTCAGTCTCCCGGGAACCTTCGCTGCCCAGTCCGTTGTCAAGTGCTCTTCCAAGTCCGCTGGCTTTTGCAGCTTCGCCGCTTGCCAAGATCAAGAGCCAAAAGCTCAATTCATGGGCTCTTTGTGTCCAGATGGACGAGTGGAGACTAATGAGCGGCGGATCCGGGGGCCGCTGTTCGGTTTGGAACTATAGAACCGGCCGCCAGATCTATGTTTTGAAGGGCAACATCATCGACAACGGAGATGGACCCATCCAATGCGAGACAAAGGAGATCTTGCCGGAAGAGGCTCTCGATTTCGCTGGGGACGGCAATACAGAGGAGGGGAAGACCATCACTGGAGTGGCGTTTGACGACCGATATATTGTTGCTGGCGGAATGGATGGAATGGTGCGTATATGGGAGGCGAAAGTCAACTAAGGTCCATTGCCGTGTAAAAGCGAATGCGACGAAAGCAATATACAATGACCGCTCTTCAGTGGCTTCACAAGGATGCTGTTCCTGAAACTCTTGTTTTGTAGGGTATGGTGTATTTCCCCACTGGATATACCAGGATCTACCAAGCACATAGCCCTCGAGGAGTGACAGCAGCTATGGCGCATGAGGGCAGCGGTGCAAGTGGTAGAAGAGGAGGCAGAGGGCACCTAGCGAGACGCCTCAGTGTGATTGGTGAACGATGCAGCCCGCCGCCGTGGTATGCATGCCCGTGCGCGCAGATCTTTGCAGTCTTGAATAATCGCTGCCGTATTGGATGGGATGACAGATTGTCGGCTTCACTGCGTCCATTCGGACCATATGGCATAGAAGCGACAGTGATCCAGGGGGTATTGTCAGGCGATCCTCATATCAATTCAGCTGACCGCCATCCGAGGGGACCTCGGCAGTCTCTCAGATACGAATGCATACCGAGGAGATTGTGAACCGGATCTGGCAGCACTGCACCCACAGACTACCAACGGATAATGCTCTGAGAGTAGTCAATCAGGGCATGTCAAACTGGCCGTTGGCAGATTCAAGTCCGACCTCGCTTGCAAGAAAACGCTGGATTTCATTGAGGCTCCCGTCTTCACCGGGTGAGAACTGTGAGCCGAGCGGGAGACTTGGGCCGCGTTCTGGTGTACGCTGGCTAGAAGGAAAGTCGCTCTCTTCGACAGAACCAGTCGCTGTCAAGCTGAATGCAGGCCGTCCGAACAGCGACTCCTGCAATACAAGTACAGTGAGTAGCGGCTCCGGAATCACACACGCGATTCGGACAGGCAGCAAGGTGCTATCGACGCTGCATTCGAGATACAACGTGCACTACACTGCAGGCAAAAATATGACACGAAGCAACGATCCGTCGATCCTGGCTTGACAGTCATAAGCGGGACACTTACCGACCGAGGGCTCCCCGTTGGCTCGGTTTTCAAAATCTCAAACAGTACTGCCGATATGGGCTTGTGCGCCTTTGGCGCCTGGGACAATGTTGATCCGATGATGTCGTGCCATGCGCAGATACAGTCAGTGATTTACTTGAGTACAGTTATCAAAGGGCTCGATTTGTCTCACCTTCCCGTAGCATGTTGGTCCTCTGAGTGACAGCTCCGGTTTTCGACCAGAGACCTTGGATTGCGGCTGTTCGTCGTCATCGTCCGAGCCAGGAAAGTCGAAAACATTTTTGGGTCCAGGAGCTGCGGCGGGGCTATTGAAAAGCGATGCCTGTGCTTGGCTTTGGAGCAGGGATGACTCGGTTGGGGTTTCAAGCTGCCGGTTGCCGATCCCTGTTCCAAGGGGAAGCACATTCCCATTTGCTTTGGAGGCAACGTTGTGGTCAAGACGGCGGGCATTGCCGTCTGGTTGGTGGGCATCAATGACCAGCGGCTCATCGAGGTCCTCAGGTTCGTCATCTACAAGCTGCAGAGATGGCTCTGGGAACGACAACAAGGAGATGTCGCAGTCCATCGAGAGCAACATGCCAGATGTATCTTGGGGCTGAGGCAGCGTAGGATGACGGACGAGTCCAGGCCCCGGCATTCCGTATCGAGGAGCTGTTCCGGATAGCAGCTGAGGCGATGCAGTCGGTCCTTCGCTGGCATGGCTGATGCTTTGCAGAAACGGCTCTCGATGAAGCGACCCATGATGGCCTTGCGCAAGCATATCGACTTGGTCAGAGGCTCCGGCTGGACTGGCGGGTTCTTCGAAATCGTCCGCAGCTATCAAGGTAGGCACGGTACTCGGACTTGACAAACGAATTTGCTCGAGCGTGGCTGCGTCTTGTCTATGGCCTTGGGCCGAATTGCTCGTTGTTTTGGATCGCACTTGAGTTTTAGCCGACACCTCTTCCATGCAGGCGGATTGATGTCCACCTCGGGATATCGACGGAGAGCCATTGTGGACAGGCAAGCTCAGCAGGTGCCCTTGCGCGACGAGACCCATCGGCTCTTGCCTTGGGGATGTGATTCTCGGCCTGGTGATGCTGGGGCTGTTAGTGGCTGTCGGCTCGTTGTCGAGATCGACAGCATCCCCGGCCATCCTTGAATTGTACCGATTAAATCTGGCAGCAGCGACAGTGCCTCTGTGATGGGCATCCACAGCGCTTGAGTGCTGCCGAGACCCACAGTCAAAGCAGAGCCATGGATCGTTTCGAATCGACCAGTGGTATGGATAGAGTGGCTCTCCCGCCAGCACAGCTTTCTTGGCTGCAGCGATCCGCGACTTGAGAAGCTGCAGCCGTTCGGGACTCCAGCCAAGCGGCAGGGTGGACGCATCGCCCAAAACCATTTCGCCGTCAGGCACGGCAGAGCAGCACGGCGCCGGTGATTGGGATGGGTGGGCGCTGGTCCGAGAATGCGATAGATCCGAACCAGGACGGCAAAGCCAGGACGGCAAAGCCAGGACGGCAAAGCCCGCTATTTTTGGGTCACCTTCCCTGGTGTGCATGTGGCACCGCCCCTCAAGACCCTGTTGTCTCCTCATCTCGCTGCCGCCTGCCCCACCGCCGGCCTCATATCCAGCTTCACCCCCCACGCTCGCAGTCTCGGACCGCAGCAAGTTAACAGCAAGCCCGCAGCGAGCACAGCATCGACTCGGCACTGGCTCCTTCTCCTGCAGCCTCATCTTGGGTATGCATCGCAACTTGAATCTCGCCCGCCAAACAGGCATCGACACCAAACGCAGCAGCGCCGTTCGCCCCGAGAACCATGTGGGCGAGCATGTACTGGTCTCTCTCAGCGAAAGTGGCGATCAGGACGACGACTGGGTCCAAGCAGGTGGGTCTCAGGCGGAGCACTTGTTGAGGAGACTCTTTTCTACAGATGTCTTGCTCTGCCGCCTCGCGGACTGGCGGGGCTGGTGGCCTCGCCGTTGACTATCGGTTCTGATATGCGGTACCTCGGCAAATATATGAACAGTGATCGTATCGGTCGCTACGGACGACGAAACCGGAGCCAGAACCTACACCGTCAAGGTGCTCTCAACCGAGCAGACCCTCGTCGTCAGCCGAGATCGTCTTCGCTTCACGAGCTCCAGATCAGCGTCGTCTGCAAATCTTTCCTCTGGGCCGGTGTCCAAAACTCTCTCCAATGGCACCGGCATTAGAAGACAATCTGCCCTTCCAATGAGTAGAGGCAGGAACGAGGGCTCTTCAGAATCGGGTGTGCATGCCACAGCTGGTAAGGCGATTCTGGCTCACCTGTCGGTGGCGACGCAAGTTGCTGACGTGAAGGCCTAAAGGAGAAGCGACACTGATAAAGCTCACATAATATCATTTCCAGGCCCCCGTCCGCCGCCGCCACCACCTCCTCCTCCCATGATGGGTAAGCGAGTGGTATTTGATATTCCAGCACCGATATTCTGGTACTAACTATCCAACTTGGTAGGCGGACCGCCCCCTCCACCCCCTCCTCCCCCCATAATGGGTAAGTGCTCTCGGGTTGTAATTTGCTGAGTGATTGGTTGATATACTCACGATTATGTTCCGTCGACAGGTGGACCACCCCCTCCCCCTCCTCCTCCCATGATGGGTAAGTGTTCATGCGAGTGGTATTTGGTATTCCAGACCAACATCTTGGTACTAACTATCCAGCTTGGCAGGCGGACCACCCCCTCCACCCCCTCCTCCCATGATGGGTAAGTGTTCATGGGAGTGGTATTTGATATTCCAGCACTGATATTCTGGTACTAACTATTCAGCTTGGCAGGCGGACCACCCCCTCCACCCCCTCCTCCCCCCATGATGGGTAAGTGCTCTCGGGTTGTAATTTGCTGAGAGACTGGTTGATATGCTCACGATTATGTTCCGTCGACAGGTGGACCACCCCCTCCCCCTCCTCCTCCCATGATGGGTAAGTGTTCATGCGAGTGGTATTTGATATTCCAGCACCGATATTCTGGTACTAACTATCCAACTTGGTAGGCGGACCGCCCCCTCCACCCCCTCCTCCCCCCATAATGGGTAAGTGCTCTCGGGTTGTAATTTGCTGAGTGATTGGTTGATATGCTCACGATTATGTTCCGTCGACAGGTGGACCACCCCCTCCCCCTCCTCCTCCCATGATGGGTAAGTGTTCATGCGAGTGGTATTTGATATTCCAGCACTGATATTCTGGTACTAACTATTCAGCTTGGCAGGCGGACCACCCCCTCCACCCCCTCCTCCCCCCATGATGGGTAAGTGCTCTCGGGTTGTAATTTGCTGAGAGACTGGTTGATATGCTCACGATTATGTTCCGTCGACAGGTGGACCACCCCCTCCCCCTCCTCCTCCCATGATGGGTAAGTGTTCATGCGAGTGGTATTTGATATTCCAGCACCGATATTCTGGTACTAACTATCCAACTTGGTAGGCGGACCGCCCCCTCCACCCCCTCCTCCCCCCATAATGGGTAAGTGCTCTCGGGTTGTAATTTGCTGAGTGATTGGTTGATATACTCACGATTATGTTCCGTCGACAGGTGGACCACCCCCTCCCCCTCCTCCTCCCATGATGGGTAAGTGTTCATGCGAGTGGTATTTGATATTCCAGCACCGATATTCTGGTACTAACTATCCAACTTGGTAGGCGGACCGCCCCCTCCACCCCCTCCTCCCCCCATAATGGGTAAGTGCTCTCGGGTTGTAATTTGCTGAGTGATTGGTTGATATACTCACGATTATGTTCCGTCGACAGGTGGACCACCCCCTCCCCCTCCTCCTCCCATGATGGGTAAGTGTTCATGCGAGTGGTATTTGGTATTCCAGACCAACATCTTGGTACTAACTATCCAGCTTGGCAGGCGGACCACCCCCTCCTCCCCCTGGTCCACCACCTCCCCCTGGTGCCCCCCCACCGCCCCCGCTTGGAGGTAATCCGAATTTGTTTTTGCTGAGGACGGTCGTCGTGTGTACCGATTTGGCTGCTAACTTTGCCATTGTCGATTCCAGGTTTTGTACCCCCTCCCCCCGCAGCAGCCGCACCTCCAAAGTCCTCTGGCGACCCTATGGAAGAGATTCGACGGGCAATTCAAGGTGGCGTCAAGCTCCGTAAAGTTAATCGTGAGATTCGACCCCAGCCCGAAGTCAAAAAAGAGGTCTCCGACGACGAAGCTACAAAGATGGCCCTGGTATTTGACATTCTGAATCTCGTCGAAACCACGGATGGTGGCTCTCCTGAAGAAATTGTATCCAAGCTAGAGCTGGAGAGCTCTCGAGCGCGAACATACATTTTCCAGTTGATTCGCCGCGGATGGGTCAAGCCTTATCGCTTGTTGGATGGGACTGAGAAGGAGTCCGAGAAGGACCGCAAGCTGCCCTACAAAGTCTGGCAGGGTAAAGAGGTGACATCGGCAATCGAGGTCCCGGGAAAACACGAGTTTGAGCTTGAAGAGCTGGGGCTGCTCAAGAACGAAATCATCCGGGCGCATCTGCATCGCTTCGCGAAAAACTCCAACATTCACACGGTCGACACGATCGTGCTCCTGCGGTGTCCTGGTACGCCGACCGAGATTCCTCCCTTCGATAAGGTGGAGCCCCCCAAACTGGATTCCAGCTTCAAGGGCACGGTCACCAAGGAGCTGCGACAGCAACGCGAGGACTGGGAGCGGCAACGCGACGAATATTTCCAAGCGCCTTGGCCCACCTTCCGACTGTTCATGTCCAAGATCGAGGACCACGACCGAAACATCACCTCAGATTACCAAAAATACTCCAAGGGTCAGGAAGATGCCGGGCGCGTCATCGGCGAGCTCACTCAGATGTTCAAGGAGCTTGACATTCCGCAGCTCACAAAGCTGGTGAGCGATGTGCCCAAGAAGATCAACGAGGTTGCCGAAAATCTCAGTCGCACATCTGGTATTCAGATCCCAACGTCGAGTGTGAAGGTCTCGACTGTGTTTGTTCGCCGCATGGTCGACGAAACCCTTGGAAAGCGCCCGAAGGCCGAAGGGGCCCCCGAGGTCAAGAGTCGAGTGCGCAAGGTGACATTTGTCACGCCAGAGGAGGAGGAGGAGCCCGAGAAGCTCAAGCTCCAGGGGGCATCCAGGCACGTTCTGAACTCGATCTACAACGCTTCTGGTCGGCATCAGATGCCGATGAGACGTGAGCCCGCAGGCACCCCTTCCAAGCCATCAAAACCTGTCGGTCGTACCTTTACGATCATGTAACCGCAGTCAGCTATTTTTTTCTTTTCCTTTCCGAACGCTTCCGTATTCAATGCTTTGTGTACCTATCGCTTTTGTCGCCACCGGGGGTCTGAGCTGTCGCAAGTGTGATTGCAGCCAGGAGGAGCACACCTCCGGCCTGCCAAGCCGAGCCCTTACTCTAGCACCGACACGAACAAAGGTTCCCCAAACCCGAAGCTCAAGAGCGGGAGCACTCAGGCAGCGTGCATCGATGATCCACCATTGTCATGCCACTGCTGTCGCTGTTGCGGACAGTCATCGAGGGCATATTTGACTTGGGAAGCGTTTATGAATATATGAAAGTGATGTGTATAGGTGATACGGCCTTTCCGAAAGCAAAGACAGCCAGAGTTCGTGGAAGATCTTTGATGAGCGGAATGCGATGGAAAGCCACGGATTCGTCCCCGCTGCTCTCGCCGGCGATACTCGTCCAGAAGGTTTTGTCGTGGGTGTTCATGTGATTCCCACAGGTCAATCTCTATGTGCGATTGTCAACTTGCACACAGCGATCATGCTCCTTCTGGACACGGCTCGCGAGTCTGCAGGGATGATCCGCCATGCCGGACCACGAGTCAATCACTGGATACGTAAAATTGCGAGAGCTCGAGGTGGAATCCACGTAGCAGATCGAGAAGACATAATGGAGTGTATTGGCAGGTCGATGATGTGGTGCATACGGGTTTTGGGATCGGCAGCTTGACCAAAATTGATCGCACATGGATCAGAGCTATCTTCCTCGCCATGCCGATCCGCGTGCAGTTCGGTACTGAGAGGGTTGTTGCTCCGAGCAGGCCGCTTTGTCGGGCCAGACCTAGGTTGGTCTGTGGATCGAGGGCACCGAGAGTTCATCGGCGCAGGATCTAAGAGTCTATTTCTTCTTGGAGAGCTCAGCGACGTAGGCCTTCAAAGAGTCGCCACCGAACACCATGCAGACCTGGAAGGGAGAGCAAAGAGGGTAGGGAGTTAGGATTGTGCCGCCTCGCGATGGCTGTCGCCTACTTTCGACCCAGGCTGATCGATGCTGGCTTTGACAGCGCTTTCGGGATCGGTGTGGAGGCGGATGGATCGCAGTTGCTCCACCAAAAGCACGGTTGTGGTTGCATGCCATACCGTCAAATAGACTGAGAGGCCGATGCGTGGGGTGACGCCTCGGTAGAATCCAAGGAAGCCGTTGTTCTTGTAGATGTATTTGGCGCAAGTCCAGATGTTCATATTTTCAGGCCGACCGGGCGTCTTGATTTGGCTTTGCATCTCGACGCGAATGACCTCGATCGGCTGGTTCCAGCAGGCTAGAGCGCCACCGATGACCGAGGAGAGGATGCGTTCTGAAACGGCCAGGGGCCGTTTTTTGTCTTCAGGGCTGCGCATAGACAGAAGCATCGACTCGGTCACACGGGCGATACCTACAAGTGAAGTAGTTATGCCAGCGAGCGGGATGCATTGGCAATTGAGCCAGTCGTAAGACACGAGAGAAGACAGGCGAGATACCGACACATGATGACCGGAAGAAGTTTTACCGGCTGGGATGTGGTAGCTGCGACGGCATCCATCAATTGACTTACCAAGACGGCTGCCCCAGTTGGTCATTTGCCGCAGAGCCACAGCAGAAACGCCCTTGTTCAGGCCGACAATGCCTTCCTTTTTGAAAATCTCCATAGCGATTTGGACAGACGACCGCTTGGCACCGACTTCCTTGTGCCGAGTAACTTCAACAGTTTTCATGAATGTGCAGAAACCCATAGTGGTATAGGCCTGGATACAGAGGAGTCAGGTTCGATCGCATCGGGGGAGTCCACAGCGCATGCGATGGGAGGGCACGCCACAAGCCAACGTGGGCGCTGGTAGAGAGGGCAAACATGCTTACCTGACACACGCCACCGCCCATGCCTCCGAGAACGCCGGCGACTGCGTTGGAGGTACCGAAGCGTTTGGAGTAGTATTCAATCTCGGAGCTGGAAAAGAGAAGGACGGCGCCCTTTGTCGATGCTTCGATCCAAGCCCACTAATTCCAAGACACCGGCAGCCGTTCCGACGCGGAGGGGAGGGGATGTAAAAGATGAGCTTATGACGCAGATTCAGAGGCAAACACAGCGACATCACAGAAAGGAAACATTGGATGATGCGAGTGCATGACGATCGAACGATGTGCAAGGTGCCACTCGGCGAGGTGAGACAGGTGAGCTCCGGTATGGTCGCTCGATGGTGCTCGTGGATCAATGCCCCTCGCGGATTCAGGATCAGCCACGCTATCAGTAAAGCCGGCACCAGGGAGGTCGGGAGAATGATCCCCAAGTAAAGCGATACTCACAGGTATGAGGCCTTGGTAGAAGCCACCGATGCCACCACGCTGATAGGTCTTGGAGATTGATTTCCACAGGTTGTCGCCACGGTTGGCTGGGAACCAGGAAGAGATGCCCGTGCATGATCAAGATCAGAAAGGGAGCGATCCGAGCAGCCCATCGAGGGACACCGCGGACAGGCCCGGAGCACATGGGTGGGTTGGCAAAGCCCACGAGCAGTAGCAGGCGAACGTACCGGCCATGTGGGTTTTGACGACCTCGAAGGGCTGACCAAGGGTCGACACCTCAAAGGTCTGGATGGCAGCGCCGAGGGCCAGGTTGATCCATGAGACGGATTTCTGCAGCGATCGAGATTGAATCGATCGAGAATGAATCGATCGAGATGAGCGACAGGCCGGCGGTAGTGGGCTGTTTATGATGCTGGGAGCTGCAATCGGAAAGCCCCAGCGCAGACGGTCGAGGAGCGATTACGGAATGATTGAAGGAAAGCCAGAGCCAGAGCCAGAGCCAGCGCTGCTGTGGTGTTGGGCAGAGACGGATGAACGCAGGACAGTTTGCTTGCCTTTGTAAGAGGGGGGGCTTCGGCGGACATTGTTACGGGGGAGGGGCTGTGGGGCTGGATCGAGATCGATGGCAAGGGCGGGCAGCAGGGCGATCGCGGCCGGGGTGTGGAGAGAGAGAAGGTCAAGGGCGATCGTCGGGGTATTTATGGGTGCGGCAGCCGATAAACCGATAGAGCTGATAAGGCTGGCGGTGTCGCTGAGCAGGCCAGGCGCGTGGTTGGTGGGGCGGCCGGTGGCGGTCCGCCGTGTCCGGGCGGGCGTTTTCCCATTGGCCCGGCTGCAATCGCGCGCTGTGCTCCTGCGACTGAGGGCCGGCTGCCTCTTTTGGGCAGGGCTGCGCGGTGTGCGCTTTGGCGGAGCTGGTTTGGCGGTGGATTGCACCGACAACAACGGGCTGCGTCGGCGACGACAACGGACTGCGTTGATGGACGAGGCAAACGGTGTTAGGCTTGGCGGTGGGGTGCGCTGGTTTTGGCGACGAGCGGTCAACGTGCTGGTCTCGATGCAGCATTACTTTGCATGGTTCGGTTGCATGGTCCTGTTGGCAGCGTCGTTTGCATGGCCCTGTTGGCAGCGTTCTTTGCATGGTCCTCCCGCCCCAACCAAACACCCCGTCCCCTGGTCCCGCTCGCTAACTCGCTCTTGCCACCCCTCCAAGATCCTTCGCCGTGCCCCAAAAATTGTGCCGCGCTCCATCGGATCCGCCTGCCCTTGCCGAAGGCGCGTTCCGGGCACGGCGTTCCGACCGTCAGAGACCGCCCAAGGAACCTCCGCCATGGGAGGAGGAAGGGAGTGGGCCCAGCAACCGATGATGGGCTCATGACGTGTCCCGGGGTCGCAGCTGGTGCCGGATGAGGCTCGCACCACACCAAGGCACCACCACCCCGGGCTGCGCATTGTGGATAGCAATTGTGAATGATAGATGTGTGTATTCCCATCCAAAAAAAAGGGGGAGGGGCGATAAAGCAGGGTGTCCTGAATGATTATATGGATGAGGAAAGGGAGCAAGAGCAAAGCAAAGAAAGTGAAAGACATCGACAAGCTGGAGCCAGGAAGAAAACAAGAGTGTGTATAGAGAAATGCGTCCACGGGTTGAGAGAGAGGCCCATCATGTCGCACAACCAGGGGCGGCCTGAGGCGGCCGCCGAGTCGATCTCCCCCAGTCGGGAAGCATTGCCAAAGCCTCGGATGTAAATGCCCCTTGGCGGGTCTGTGTGTGGACGACGAACGGCGTGCAGGAACAGAAACTAATGATACAGTAGTGGGTTGCAGGATACAGACCACCGCCCAGCGACAAATCCCCTGGACAAAGTGCTATCGCCATCGGCTTCAGGATGATCACCGTCGCGTGGGTCGGGAGCGCTGCGGTTTGCTGCGGAATGCCGTCGCCTTGGCATCATGAGCACCAGCAGCAAGCGCCAGTCTCGAGGCACCGCCTGTGTCCGGTAGCTTGATTTTGACCGTATCCTCGTCCGAGTCGCAGAATTCATCGTCCTCGTCGTAGTCGCTATCTTCCTCAGGCATTTCGTTGGCTCCGAGCCATGTGCTGCTCACCTGGCCGACAATCTTGCTGATGCCACTGATGAGCCCGGTGATCGACATGCGCTTCATATCGGATATCACAGCAGAGTCATCCGGCGCAATTGATCCTGTATCGTGCTTGGACAGGTCTCCCGCACTGCCCTTGCGGCGCTCGTCCCGCGCTGCCTTGAGTGGCGTCGCCTTCTTGTCTGCTTTTGCGTTCGTGTCGCTTGCGCTCGTTTCCGAAATCTCATCCTTGGCACCCAGGAAGGATCGAACACGGGTGCGCGATCCATGATTTGAGATATCGCCTCCTCTCTTTTCGGTGCTCTGATCGATCGAACTCGGGCTGTGTGTCCGACCGGGGAGGCTAGAAACCGCTGCCGCACTCCGTGACTTTTTCTTCTTGCCCCTCTTGGCTTCGGCCATTCCCAGGCTCTTGCTCGGAGGACTAGGATGCATTTCTTCGCTCGAACTTTGCGAGAGAACGAGCGCCGAGCTCTCGCCTTTGAAACAAGTATTGTCGGATCCCCGGACGGATGGTGCCGGGTGCTGCGAAGCGCTGCCGCCCCATGAAGCATCTCCCTTGGTATTGGGTCTTCGACCTGTCCCGGTCGTTGCTGGAGGCTCGAGGACTGACTTTGCTTCCAAGGGGATGGCGCCACCTCGATTGACCATAGCGGTGCTGGGAGTCTTCTTGACGACAACAGGCATTTCGGGAATCGATCCGCTGAGAGACGAATCCATCGACAAGACTGCCTTCTTGGCCTTGTTCGAGTCGATAGCGGCGCTTGACGGGCTGGGCTGGGCGGGGCTCATATGGTCAGAGCGTTGCAGGCCATCTTCGGTCGGACGCCGCGGGGCTTCGTCGCCTGAAAGCTTGGCCTCGCCGTTGGATCCCTGCGAGCACAAGGACGACCGGGTCTCGCTACTGACATCTGCGGGCCCAGGGCTCGACGAAATCCGATGCGACGACTCGGCCAATTTACTTTCTGGGTCAATCTCTGGAGTAGGAGCCCAGCGGAAGTGCATAGTTTTGCGATCACCCGCCTGACTCAGGTCACTAAAGTACTTTGGCTCCAGCGGGACACAGTCCGTCGCCGGAAGCAGAGGCGAGGTGACGCGGCTTCGGCGGCCCGTGGTGTGGTCCGGGTGGCCCTCAGTGCGGTGGGAACTCTGTTTCGGGGAGCCGACTTCCTTCGTGCCAGTTGCACTCGACTTGGGCTGAGGCGCTTCAAAGGTCGTTCTGTGTGGCTGCGTCTCTGGGTTAACATCCTTGGACCCAGGCTGGGTCGCAGTATCAACATCACGCTCCTTAAGCATCTTTTTTTGTTGAAGCTCTTGGAATGACGGGATGGGGGGGAGGTGAAACTTGGGCTTGCGTTCGCTCGGTTTTGGGTAGTCCTTGGGTTTTAGTGAAGGTACGAGGCCCTTGCGTTGGGCAACGGCGTTGTGGAGGAAGCCGATGAAATTGGCGTTGGTGGCGCTATCGTCTGGCGAAGTTGTGATCACGTCACCGTCGGGCTCTTTGGATACCAGCACAATTGTCTCTTCAGTTGTCAGCACGATCTGCTCGGCAAAAGGTTCGTCGACTGTGCGACCTTGGCGAGCAGCAGGGCCGAGGCCCCACTGTGAGCCGCGGCGCTCGGCTTCAAGATGCGATTGTCCGGAGATGTGCGAGACACTGGCGCTGACATCCATTCGCGGCGGCGGCGGCGGCACCTGCGGAAGCGTATCGTGCTGAAACAGTGATTGCTGCCTCCGCCGCATGGCGGGAGAGCGGTCGTCGCCCGAGTATGAGCCAGCACCTGCTCCATTTTCGGACCGAGGATAGGATCCGGGGCGATGGGAGAAGGGCCGTGGATATGACGACTGGCGCGGATCAAAGGCTCGCGGGTCCTTGGAGGCCTTGGGTGGATAAAAGTTTGGCGGCGGAGGTGGCGGAGGATAGGTGCCGAGGTAGCTGGCGTCCGAAAACTTTCGACTACGACCAGGAGTAGGCGGATAGCCCCAGTCCGAGTAGTAGGATTGGGCCGAGTACGGGTCGTCGCGACGGAGGTCGTGGCCGGCGCTGTGGAATCGCTCTCGGCGCGGTCGAACAAGGTCGTCTCGCGAATAGCCGCTGGAGCGCTCATAGACGAGAGTATGCTCGCCACCGGGTTCCTCCCAGTTCGAGCCCCGCTTTGGTCTGGAGCCAATCGTGCGCGGCCCATCGGGTGCATGAGCGGACATGGAATGGATGGCATCCCACGGGTTCCACTGCCCGATGCCGGGCATGAGCGGGGTCGTGTCGACAGTGGTGCCCCATCCTTCCGCTGGGGTGGTGCGACTCCAGGCCACCTGCTGGTCATCTTCGTCATTTTTGGCCGTGTCGCTGAAGATGCTCTCATCGACCTCGCTCTGGCCAGGCTCGGTGGAGAAGACGTCATCATCGACGAGACTTCGTGTGCCTGTGGTGGTGCTGGACCATCCGGCCGGAACCTCGGTGTGGCTGTTGGGGAGTTGACCAGGGTGTTTGGGCGTGCTTGGCCGATAGGGGACCGGTGGGGGAGCAAGGTAGCTCACGGGACCATGGTAGCTGTGGCTCTTTCCGCTGTACGGATGCGGATTCTGGTTATAATAGCCTTGATGTTGGCGCGATCGAGAGGCATTACGGGGATAGGTGGATGCATTGCGCTGGGTATACGTAGCTTCGCAAAGGGCATCCAGGTCTCCGGTCTGAGCGAGGATCGTCAGGGCACGGTGGAACTCCTGCCTCAGGTGGGCTACGGATGCGCCATCGGCAGAGTTGGCGAGGTTTCTTTGGGGATCGAAAGGTTCTTCGACACATAGGTATCGACACTTGCGCTCGATATCAACATGCCATTCCTTTTCTTGTTTCGTGAGAAGGCGGCCGTGCCGAACGGAGACGACATCCCTTTCATAGTCCAGATCGATTGCATAGCGGCGAAAAAATGAAAACAGCAGCGCTCCCAGCGTTTCGTGGTTTGACTTTCCAAACCCGCGCAGAGTCTCGAGATCGTCGGCAAAGGTGCAGTCGACTCCGTCGACGATGATGGGCTGGACAGGGATGCTGTTTTTGAGTTTGAAAAAGTACAGCTCGTGGAGGCACGGAAGAATGGGCGGATCGCGCATCTGCAGAAAATTGAGAACCTAGGGGATGGGGCGGAGCGCAATGGCGACGGATGAGACTGAATTGTAGACAGTGAAACGACCAGGCGGCTCGGATGACAAACGGGAGCTACGTAGCAGTCGCTACGGTGGAGGAGCTACCAACCATCATGACCCAGCAGTAGCTGCTCAAGGTTCCTCCTTTGGCGGCTATCACACAAGGATGATCAAAGACGTTAGCGCTAGATAGGTCACGACCGACAGCCACCTTGAACCGAGAGGATATGCATGCGGATGGTAATATCAAGTACACTCTTTGCCGCAACCTTACCATCATTCAAGGCCCGCCGCTTGGCCCAGTGCTTGACTATCATGATAATGGGGCGGACGCGAGGATCTATCTCAATATAGGTTCGGATCATATGAGTGTTGCGCAGGGCAATAAGGTTGTTGACGTTGAGGTCGCAGTACATCATGCTACGATAAACAACAGTGTTAGCTCAGTTCAGATAGTACTGGCTCCAGGAGCTAGTAAAGATCACCCCCCCCCAGCCAGCAGCCGAATCGAGCAAAGGCCCAAGAGCCCAACCCACATCTACATCCAGCGCAGTCGAGATCAATTGGCAAAACTCACTATTCAGGATCGAAGAATTTGCAAATGGGAACTTTGGCGTTGGTTACTGTATAGAGCTTCTTCATTCCGTCTGGGCAGTGAAGGGTTGGAATGAATTCGGCATCATTGAGAAGGTGCTCGGACACGTTGCTATCTTGCACCATGTTGCTGCAACGCTGGACGCACTTGCCACCAGCATCCGTCACGAACAAGTTCTCACAGACTGACAACTGGTTTTTGGCAGCGACACAGTCGATACAGCAAGCGGATCGGCAAAGTATACATACATCGCTTCATGCAGTCTGCCAAGACATGCATATTCGATATGCCATTCTTCATATCGTCCCAAGTTGTTTCCACACAAATATCGAGGTCACTTTGATTTGTTCCAAGACCATTAATTGTTGATCTGTCGGCGGACGCAAGCAGGACAAGAGACGCATAGAAACGGAAGCGTCAGTGAGAGGGGGGGGTGAAATTCCCGTGGAAGGGTCTGCAGAGTACTGGGTGGAGAGCGCAGAGGTATCATTGGCATCCAGGACCAGATTGATATCCGCCATGCTTGACGCCGATGCAGGCATTATCCATTCAAGTAAATGGTCCAACACCCCTGCCAAGGGGCGGGTGTACATCGCCAGTGCTTGAAGATAACGACAGAATGCAATGGAGACTGTGCAAGCCATGGATTTGTACCCAAAAACATGTGGCAGAATCATCTTGTCGGGCCATTCCTGCTTGAAAATGTTGTGAATCTTGATGGCAAGCTTCTCCTTTGACTTTTGCACCTCGGGAGTGCACATCAGTTTCTATGATAGTGGCGGGCCGAAGGGGAGAGTGGGTAAGCAGACCAACTCGAGGGGGGGGGAGTACCGTATGTGTCTGGAGACTGAGCCGAATAGCACATCTGGATGAACAAGAACACTCTCGAGATCGACACATCGACGATACCGACAGCAACTTTGCTGACAACGGCAGCACCGACTGTCATCGAGCAGAAGCAGCCTAATCAACGATTGCACAGTCCGGCTGTGCGCGCCGGTGCCACAGAGGCATAACTGGCTCATTGCAAGCATCGGTGTCAGAGTCCTCCTTAAATCCCACCTGGGAAAAGTCGTTGATGTCAAACGTCAGATCCTCCTCAATGTCCGAGCTCAGGTGGGCGGCTGAGTCTGCTGACGAAGGATCCGAGCATGGCGATGATTCAGTTTCGGCAACGCTTGCTGCTGTGGAGACGATGCTCGTCTCGGCCATCTGGAGATGAAGCCATGATAGCAGCAGTTAAAGGACGAGTTGCTTATCGCAGCATGGGTCATAATCGCAGCGATAGTCACAGAGAGCGCCAACATAGCCCGGCATGGCGGATGAGAAAGGCCGAAAAAACCGTCCCCCAGGAGCCTATTGCCGATGCACGGCACAAAAGCTCGATGGCCTACCATTCTTGATCGGGAAGAGGGATACGACGGGCGAAGGAATGGCCAGAGGCGACGGATCGAAAGAGTGCAACCGGACACAGAGAGGGCAGCGAATCAACGGCCAAGGACAGAGGACAGGCAGCAGAGGGCAAAGACGGCAGCAGATCGAGACGGTCCGCGGGGCAATCTCTCTGGGCAGGGCAACTCCAGCTCGATTCGGCCAGGGACGGATGGATTGACGGGCGACAGGAGACGTTGACGACCAGGAGCCGGGTTGGCGAACAAGACCAACACCAAGCGGATCTGGCGAGGCCAGAGAGGGGAGCGAGAGCACGGCGAGAGCAGGGCGAGACGAGGTCTGCGGCTGTCGACTGCGACAGTGGCCCGGAGTGAAGGCGGACAGCGCAGCACGGCGAGTCGCGCGACCCCACAGGGCACAAGGGCGCACCCACCCCAGGCCGCGAGTGCCCATGTGGCCCAGCGGGCAGTACGGGACTGTGCAGAGGCAATGGGCTGCCAGCCGCACACAGAGACTGCATGCAAGTGTGGGTGCTGTTGCGGTGGGGGGAGCCTTGCCACAGGCTGCGCTGCGTGCGCCGCGCTGCGATGATCCCCACCCAGCAAGGCGCATGTCACACAACAGAACGCGCGGTCCGCGGCGTGATCCAGCAAGTCCGCCGCGTGTGTCACGCAGAGCCCCGCCAATCATCGCCAGCAGGCTTGGTCCGAGCGCGCACTGGGTCAGCACGCCCATTGCTGCCACGCGCCTGTGCGTGGCTTGCAACGGACAGGCGCGCCTGATTCCTGCAGGAGCACTTTGCTGTGCCTCAGGATCGTGGGAATCGGGGTGCGGAAACAGGCACGGTAGTATCGTGTGCCTGCAGGGCAATGCATGGCTCGAGTCGATGGTTGACATGACGAGGATCGGCGAATCGCGATAGATGCAGCCACCCCTGAACAAAAGTCAGAGCTGTGGCCAGGAGGCAGATGCCGCGGACACTGTGCAGTGATGGTGAGATCCAGCATCCGACTTCGACAGCATCCACAGCCATTACCAAAGCTCCCGAGATGACCCGCTCCACTTGTAGTGTGTTCCGAACGATAGCGACGCCAGGTGCGCGCGACAGTAGACCGATATTTGATGACGGAATCGACAGTACTGCATGAATCACGAGCGATACCCCTGACCAAGGAATTCACGTGTCGGGGTGTATTCGCTTGATTGCCAACGGTCGTCGCCTCCTGAGCGCCAGCGACGGTGCATCTTCCGTCCCGATTGCGGACTCTGACTCGCGAGCCAGAGGGGCGTGCTTGCACTGTCATTCAGCAGAGCTGTCCTGTGGACCACGAGCGATGGAGGGACAGAACCCAAATGAGGGCCTTGTCGGGGCCCTGTCTAACTCGTCAAGTCTTCACGAGTCGGCAGAGTTCTATAACGGTAAGTCAATAGCGCTTGAACATAGGCACGCTCAGTATCGGCGGTGATACCCGCTTCGTGTGGCCTTAACGGAGTGCTAACGCGAATCGCCCACTCGGCCTCCAGCGGTTGTATCCACCGCAAACGTCGACTTGATGGAGGTTCTTCAAGATTTCAATTGGCAGGCCGGTGGCGACGCTAGCGATCTGGAAACACGACTCAAGAGTGAAGTCCAAGCGATAGAGGCTGTAAGTTGGACCCGAATCGCCGTTGGCTACACGAGCGACATTGGCGACCTCTGAAGATTCGGAGCAAATCCGTCGGTTTGATTCCGAACGAAATAATATATGGGCGACCACGGCCGATTCCTGTTCAATGTAATTTCGACGCGAGTTTGCCGAGAATTGATGCATCGATTGCTGGGGGCCTTGCAGTCCAATGTCCACGCCATCATTCAGAGCGAAGAGCAAGCCAACAGTATCGTCGAGCAGCTCGAGCGAGCCATCATGGAGCTCGATATTATAGACGAGTGGCTCTCGCATTATACACGTCACTTGGATGTAAGTAAACCTCAGTATTCATCGCAGCCAAAGCCACTGCCGTGATATAGTCTTTCATTCACGGGGCTGATCGCTACCGCTCATTGCCAGGGTATGGGACAAGATGTCCATCAGATTGAAGTCAAAAACAAGAGCATGCAAATCGGATCGGCCAACCAGAAACGACTGTTGGAGGAAATGGAGAAGATCATGGTTGGTTGGGCATATGCCATCTGAAGCGGACCATGGGAACCGCGACTTTGGAGCCTCCTACGGGTGGCTCAGCAATATTTGCAGTCGTATCCATTGTCGCCGCACAGTAAGCGGCTGTCGTGCCCTTTGGCTGGAGAACGCCCGTGAGTCCTGACACGAACGGCACAAACTCTATCACAGGCAATGATCAGAGTGCCTGGCTTTGTCATTGAGATTCTCCGAAGCGAGCCTCTTGAGGATGAGGCGAGCGTACTTCAATGCGAAGACGCCATCAATCGGCTAATGCAAGTTACCCAGACTAAATTCGACGATGGTTTGTACTTGGTTTTAGTTGCTCCGATCAACCTTGCGCCGATCGTCATTGGATTGCGGACAGATAAATCAACCAACAATTTCATAAATAGGCATTGGTGATATGACAGCAATCAAGGAGAAGATGTCTCTGTATGACGGATACGCGCACCAATTCGGAATGCGTCTGCACAGCTATCTCGAGACGTATTTTGCAACGCAGGTACAGCCGTAGCGACAGCGATTTGATCAGATCAGAGGATTGGGAATGAATGCTTCCGAGGGAGCTATTTATCATTTTGTGGGATCATAGCTCTATTGATTAGGAATATGGCAGAGAGCACATTTCTCGCGGTGTGAAGGGTGACTTACATGTGGCTTTGTGGTGCGTCGTGTACCTGTATTCAGCATCAGGGAGTCTGATCATGGAGGGACGATCTTACGCGAGCCTTTTCCATTTCAGGCCGAGGTTTGGCATCGAGAGTCGGGTCGAATATCGAAAAAGGGAGACCTGAGGATCTGTGGACACGAATCTGTCGAGCTTGATCTGTACAAGTTTAGGAAACTATTGCGGTGGCTGAAGGGACTCGACGTGCGAAAGCATGTCGACCTACAAATGGTAGGCTATGCACATGTGTGGGCCGAAACACAAGAGGCAGCGCCGCTCGCCTACTGGAATACTCATTCTCTGGATGCTTTGCACTGGATATTGAATATCAGAGCTACGTTCAAGAGATGGGGCGGGTCTATCAGAAGGAGACATCCGATCTGATTGAACAGCTGCGAGCTCGAATGAACCGCAAGGTTCCTACTGAGGATCAACAATATTGTATGTATCCCGAATCGTTCTGGCTGGCGGTTGGAGTTGCTTTGCACAGAGCGTGGGCATCGTATGCTTTCGGACCACAGTAGTAGCGATGTTCGATGGCGGTTGCATCTCTTGCTGTCCCCGGGGTAAAAGTTCGAGCCAAGGTTAGCTGGGTGTCGTGGCCAACGCAAGAATCTCGCGCTCAGGGTGGGTTTGGTCTGCGTGGGGCTAATCGGCAATCATCCTAACCGCGACGCACCTGAACGTGACTCCCTGGGAAAGTGTTTTATGTTCCGAACACGGCATCGCTTTCAAACACCATATCTTCATCGGCGACAAGTGCAATCAAATCCATTGGGATATCCGGATCCCGTGGAAACCTCTCGATCCTCGCCAACGAAAAGAATTCGAAGCCCGAGAAGCGAGGTCTGAGGGACCGACACAGGAGAAAAGGGACCAAGGATTCAGTGGACTCAGGCGCAACTGAGGATGAGGAAGACGATGGGGCATCACAAAAGGACGGCCGTTCTCTCCGAAGAAAATCAGAAGCTGGTGACGGAAAGTGGAGTCGCGGTTATGCCTCGAGTAGCATGGCCAGCTTGGATGTTGGATTGGAGGATAGAATGACTCCTGACCAGGTGAGGACCTTCGGTGGTACGAGCCACCTTGTCTCAGCAGATGTGGACGGATGTACAGAACAACACGATCGATAATCAGTGACACGGGCCAATCGGATGTGGTGGCATGGAGCCGCAATCGTATCAAGCGCTGATAGTACCACCACTTTGTGATCCAAGGCCCTTGGTCACGCTCTCTCGGTTATAGTGCCGATAATCATCAGAGAACAAAACTTCATGACTGATCTCTTCGGGCTGAGTAAGTCATTCGAAGAGAGCGACTCGAAATCGTGGCAAGAAACCTTAGATCGTCCACGGCCCGCATCCAAGGATGTCAAAACATCAAAACGTATACAGTGAGCATTTGGAATCAGCACTCTTTGGCCGTGATTCTGGCAAAAAAAGACGAGCAGAGGGCGGGGGCCTGGAGAAACAGATTGGAGGCTTCTACATAAGAGAAAAATATTCAACGAGCACCCAGGAATCTAATCACGAGTGACTCTCGTCATAGCGAATTGGTTGGAAGGATGTTTTCAGAAGCAAAGGAATTTCTGAGTAACATGATCGAGGCCGCTATCAAATATGATCAAACATTTTCAGTTGGAATGATGGTTCGGATTGAAGAGCATATGAAGGAAACCGACTCGGCCGCATATTCATTATTGTTCGAGACGCTGGATGCAGTACATAAGAAGGCGTCGTCGATATTTGAAAAGTTTGTGGTAGGAGGTCCCAAATGCCCAAGCGGAGCCGCATGGGAGTGTGTGGATGACGAGTATTGTGGAATAGAAATGATCTCACAAACCAAAATGCTGCTCTGGAAACAGGATGAGCAGCTCAAGGGCATTGAGGAGACCAAGGTCAACTTTAAAAAGCGAACCGGTATACTGCCATTTATACGAACATTTCCGGTATGCACGTCATTCGCTTGGAATAGTATCGCAACAAATACTCCCAGGAATGGAATGTGACCTTATAATGCAGATAATTGGGATTGATGATGGCGGAGTATGGAAGCTAGTACGTCGACAGCCGACCTCGAGTTGGATATGAAAGCGTATCCACGGAGACAAGGCTTATTGGATTTGTACATACCACACAGCATTTTGTTGATCGAATGGAAGGGTGCCTCGAGGATTCAGACGGCCCAGCTCGACAGGGAGTTTGTCGAGCATATGAGAGAATAGTTCAAAAAATCATGGAAACCTTGAATGATGTGGCGAGAGAAGTCGCCGCGGACTCGAAATTGTCAAATGACGATAAGGAACAGCTAAACATACATATCATCAACGTTGGTACGACTAGAACCTCATGATGGATGATGATGATGATGGCGATGATGATTGTGGTGATTTATGGATTCGATTCACTTTCAATTGCAGAAAATATGCATCACTTTTACTCGGAGGTCAGGGCACGGAAAGTGGTGTTCATGGACCCATTCGTGAAACAAACCAAGACTCTATATGACATTAGCCTATTAAGCTATGGAAAAGCGGTGATCAGAAAGCCACTAGGGAAGCTCTTTGAATTTTTCGAAGGAATCGACGAGCTCTTGGAAAATCACATAACTCCTGAAGAGATAAGCTTCAGACTGCAATACAACAAATCGGCTCTGAAGGACGTGCTGAAGCGCTACCCAGGAAAGGAGGTCTGGTTAACATGATGAAAATAGCGAAGACACAGTAGCAGAGGAGCGGGAGAATAGTAACTGAGCTGAATAGAGTCCTGAACTTGCATCGTAGATCCGCAAGGGATTGGAGAGCCTCTATAAGCGGGTTGAGAAACACTTTCCGTCTGAAAACGGCTTGCTTCAAGTAGCATGGCGGGGCATCCAAGAAGAATTTACCCGACAGCTTCGAAAATACGAAGATACGATGGCGCGGTGCTACCCTGATAGTGGGCTGAAGATCGAATTTACAATGGACGAATTGTTGGGCTACTTTTCTGACTTGGCGCGGGCCCATTAAACAGCATGAATGGAGAACGACAGAGTGGAGCAATAGGATTATTGAAGCCGAATGGGAACCAGAAGTATAAAGAAGCGTCCTACTTTTCAATCGTGAGTGAAGCTCGCTGATGTGAATCATAAAACTAGGACCATCCGCTTGGTTATGTGGTTGTGGACTTTGGAGTAACGGAATGAGTAAAGGATCGGAATGAGAAAGTGGATGCTCAGAGAGTTGATATAATTGATATATGGATACACTCGATATATTCAAAACTAACCACTTACTGGGAGCCGGAGAGGGATAAGGGCCCGAACGAGTCGACAGGGAGCTTTCGGACTTAAAATTTGCTCCAAAGCTGTCAGGAAAGCTGAGCCATTATGGAGTGGATGCAAGGGTGGAGTTGCGATGGGGGACAGTATGAGAGAGGGACGGGATTGTGTGAAATACACTGCGATTGATCACTCGAAATTATTGTTCTGTCAGAAAATCCACTCTTGATATAGTATCTGGTATATGCCGGCTTCGAATACGACTGAAAGACACCCCACATCCGCAACCTGATTCGAGTTATGGACGTGCTATAGGAAACCAGAACGTTGACGCTGTTGGGATCACGACTCACATTTGACAAATGGGCTTGGCGTCATGAGAAAAGGACACATGAAGAGTACAACGCGGATCAATGGGGCAAGCCCAAATATATGCAAAACAAAGATCTGTGAGAAGGTACTGATGTTTTGCATGTAGGGGCAACTGTAACGGACGTATATTCAGGAGGTGGGTCAACGGGGCGAACAGGAAGGCGAGATGAACAGAAGACTCGTCTTTCTGGGTCCTTCCGGTGCTGGGGCATCGCCCTTTATATATCGTGAGAACCCAGCAAACCGCAGTGGTGGTGGTGTGGAGAGTCTCCTCGCTCGCGTGCACGACCCAGCCCTCGCGACATGTGGCGACTGGACCGAGTCGTCACATCACTCCCTCCTTCACCGATTGCGAGACCTGGATACCGGCTTTGGCTTGTCCGGGAATCGCTGGTGGAACTCCTCCACCAGTTCCGGAGCGCACATCACATTTGCGGGCGGTTCCCAGGTGGATTCCGACATTGGGTATCCTTTCCAGGATACCAAGTAAAGCATCCCACGACCTTGTTTCTTCGAGTCCAATATTTCATCAACCTTATACTCGATATTGTCCTCGACTTCAACTGGCGGTGGGGGTGGGATGATACGATTGGGGATGAGTGAGGTCACGTGGGGGTCTAGCTGTTAGAGTCCGAAGGGGACTCAACGGCAAAAGAAGAAGTGAGCTCGAAGTGAGCTCAGGGAAGGCAAGGGTAAAGTCCGAAGTGGACTCGGAGAGGGAGCGAGGGAAGCAAAGATCCGTTCAAGATAAGACTAGTCTCGAAATGAGACGTGAGGAACACTCAGAGAATAAAGTAGAAGGCACTTTATTTAGTCCTATTTTGAACGCTGAGGTTCGACTACACATCGCGGGGGTCAGGCTATTTATAGACAAGTCCGGACTTGGCAGCGAAGGGCGGCCAAGGGAGGGAAAAGTGGGCGATCGAGCAGGGCGAAGGGGGCGATGCACGAACGAGGGCCGAGAAGGACCACCGAGACAGGCAGAGAACCAAAGCGAGGGAGGCGCAAGCAAAAGCGAAGCACCTGGCAGGAGAAACGTGCAAAGGCGAAGCAATGTGACTCAACGTCCAAGAAGCGGATTGGTCAAGTATAAGGTTGGGGCAAATGCATGCGAGATGAACAAGAGATCGGGGCGGTCAGGCAGGTCATGAGTCACCGGTGGTGGGACACATGACCGGCAGCCGAATTGCAACCAATCGCAGCAAGGCGCGTGCACAAACAAACCGGCGCGTGCGAAGAAGACAAAGGAAGCGGAGCAGCGCGGGGAAACGGAAGTGCGGAAGGAGCGGAAATGGCAGGCAAAAGGCGGAAAATTGGAGGGGAACTGCAAAGCTACACACAAACAAACAGAAAGGCAAAAGAACAGCCAAGTGTGCAGTCAAAGTGGAGAACAAGCAGAAGCTATCCCTAACATCATCCCCTTCCTTAGCGACGAACTCCGGGCGTCGCCTTCGGCTTTGAGGGATAGCGAAGGTGGAAGTCAGCAACAAGATCAGTGGCGTGGGAAACATTGGCAGCGGGCTCCCAAGACCGGTCAGTCTCGGAATAGCCCTTCCACTGAACCAAGTACTGTAAGCGACCACGGAAGAGCCGAGAATCGAGAACAGTCTCGACCTCAAACTCTTCCTGGGAGTCAACAAGAATGGGTGGAGGTTCGGGTTGGGTGAACTCGGGAACAATGTCCTTCGTTCGGGGTTCAAGGAGGGATACATGAAAGACGGGGTGGACTTTGAGTGTGGAAGGGAGTTTAAGTTCAAAGGCAACGGGGTTGATGCGGCGAAGAACTTTAAAGGGGCCAAGCTTTTTCTGATCAAGCTTGTTGGAGGGACGAAGGGTGCGGATGTGGCGACGATCAAGAAAAACGAGGTCGCCAACGGAGATGTCGGGAGTGGGGAGACGGGATTTGTTGGCCTGCAAAGTGTAGGACTCTTGGGCAACCCGGAGGTTGGCCTTGAGATCCTCGAGAACGGTCTGAAGTCGGTCGACACGTTCTTCGGCAGAGGGCACAACAGAAGGATCACGGATGATGGAGGGATCAAAAATGGGGTGATGGCCATGGACTGCAAAGAAGGGAGTCATGCCAGTGGAGGTGTTTTCCGAGTTGTTGTAAGTGAACTCGGCAAGGGGAAGGTGAAGGGTCCAGTCGTCTTGCAGGTAATTGCAATGGATACGCAAATACTGCTCGATGACCTGGTTGAGAACCTCGGTCGAACCGTCGGTCTCGGGGTGGAAGGCAGAAGAAAGGGAAATCTTCGTCTTCAGAAGCTCATTGAAGCGCCTCCAGAAGGCCGAAGTAAACTGAGTTCCTCGGTCCGAAACTGTAAGGAGTGAACAAGCGCAAGGACGAAGACCAAGTGCTTGGTATGAGCTTTATTAGCTTTTAGCCCCGAACACCAAAGAACAAGTTTTGTTCGAACTGGTGTTCAACATAGGCTCAGACATGCAGGGCTATTTATAGACCGGGAGAAGGTCGAGGGGCAAAAGTGGGCGAGAAGGGTGGAGCATCACAGAGAAGCGAGAAGGGGGTGCGAGAGTGGCTGGTGTGCAAGCGAGAGAGGCTTGGCACAGCCCGGGGACATGTGCCGAGCGGTGGGGGAGGCAGGAAACCAGTAGACGCGGGTGGCAACGGCGCGTGCTCATGCATGGGGGCAAACAAACACGTGGGGACTCATGATTGGTGCGGAGGGCGAGAGCATGCGGGACAATCTCATTGGTCCGTTGTGATGCTGGTCATCACACTATCTCCTCCTTAAACTACGGCGTGTTCCATCTTGAGTTCTCCTGGGGCCAGGCTTGTCTGGGTAGCGTCGGTGGTACTCCGCGGCCACCGTTGGGGCAAAGACAATGTCGGCGGGCTCCCAACTTCGATCGGTGACCGGGTAGCCTTTCCAATCGATGAGATAGTGCAGCTTTCCGCGCACGAACTTGGAGTCTAAGATCTCTTCGACCTCCCACTCCAAGTTCCCATCGATGACCACCGCAGGGGGCGGCGCTTGCACCCGACCCGGAAGCGAGTTCTTCTTGTAGGGCTCAAGAAGAGACACATGGAACACCGGGTGCACCTTTATGTCCTTTGGCAAGTCCAGGCGGAAAGCCAATGTCCCGACGGCCTCGAGGATGGTGAATGGTCCAATCCTCTGGTAATCCAGCTTCTTGCTTGGGCGAGTGGTGCTGATGTTACGAGTCAGCACCCAGACTTGATCGCCCGGACGCAAGTCGGGAGCCTGGGACCTCCGGAGATCTGAGAAGTGCTTGTAGTCAGACTTTGCCTTCTCAAGATTCTCCTTCAACAGTGCCAGGTTCCGCTGGAGATGTTCAACCCTCTCCGTGGCAGAGGGAACATCAGGGCCGCCAGCGACAACGGGGACTTCGAACCTTGGGTGGAACCCATAGGTTGCCAAGAATGGCGAGGCATGTGTTGACGAGTTCTCGAGGTTATTGTAAGAGAACTCGGCCAACGGCAGCAGCTCGGCCCAGTCATCTTGCTGATACGACGTGTAACAGCGCAGGTATTGGTTGATGACCTGGTTGACCCTCTCAGTCTGTCCATCGGTCTGGGGATGGAAGGCCGTGGACAGACTGGTTTGGATCCCGAGCTGCGTGCAGAGTGCCTTCCAGAACCGAGAGGTGAACTGACTTCCTCGGTCTGAAACCACTGTGTCGGGGAGGCCATGGAGACGAAAGACATTGTCGAGGAACAGTGACGCAGTCTCCTCCGCCGACGGCAGTGAACGCCAGGACATAAAGTGTGCCATCTTTGTGAGGCTGCATACCACCACAAAGATGCAGGTGTGACCCTTGGACTTTGGCAGATCAGTGATAAAGTCCATGGTCAGTGTCCCCCAGGGTCGATCGGCTGTCTGGAGTGGCAACAGGAACCCAAACGGCTTGTGTCGCGGAGCTTTCGAGCGTGCACAGGTGTCGCACGTCGAGACGTACTCTTTGACATCTTTCCGATAGGTTTGCCACCAAAACTGTCGCGATACCAGAGCCAGAGTCCGTCGGATGCCTGGATGACCCACAGCGACTGGGTCATGGCACGACTTGAGCGCCGGAACTCGGCACGACTCTGGGACCACAATCCTGTTCTGGAAGGTGAGGTACTGGCCATTCCAGACGAACTTCGGGTCACGACGGTATTTGTCTAGACCGGGATCCCGAGCCTGCTCTTCGGCTATGAGCTGCAGCAAATCCACAGGGTCACTGCGACTTGCAACCGAAGAGCGGGCGTCTCTGCTTCGGAGCACGCGTATCACCGCGGCAGGATCGAGAAGCAGAGGCGGATCCCTCGACACGGAGGCCGACGAAGGGATGTAGTCCGAGCGACGAGACAGGGCATCGGCCTTGCCGTTCCTCGCACCAGGACGGTACTGGATG